ATCGTACACCGTAAATAATAATTTTGTTCTCATTTTGGTTGCTCATTACGTTTTTTTTTTTTTTTTTAACGTTATATTTTCTGTTTAGTTAGACTTCTTCACATTGTTAGGCAGTTTTAAATAATACTAGGAGAGAACCCGTATAATTATTATTTACATTGTTAGGCAATTCCCACTCTCTTATATTAGCTTAGTACATAACTTTCATGTTTCATTCATATATTGGCGTTAAATATTGAAAATAAATTGGTCAGGATCTGATGAAGGTATATATTCTTGGTTTGTTGCAAATCATCGTTTGGTTCTCTTGGAGGTGATCCTTCTTATTATTACATTTATTATTCAAGGCGGTGATCCCATCAACATAAAAGTGTTTGTAGCATTGGGATGATACTGAAATTTTGAAGAATAAGAAATAGGAAATCAGAGGGTTACGGAAAATACATTAGACGCTTGGGAAATATACAATCTATATACATTTTTTTTTTGTTTTCCCAGTTTATTTGGAGTCACCGTAAATAATAATTTTGTTCTCATTTTGGTTGCTCATTACGTTTTTTTTTTTTTTTTTAACGTTATATTTTCTGTTTAGTTAGAATTCTTCACATTGTTAGGCAGTTTTAAATAATACTAGGAGAGAACCCGTAACGCGTGGACAGATGTTTTTATATTTTTATTTTCGCTGGTACTTAGGGTATAATTACGTACATGTTTTCGCAGTTCTTTTCTAAGTTGTGGCTGTTGTATCGTGGTAAGGGTACTTTGTATCTTTTGGTTACTTTTCTACTTTAGCAAAAGTAATAGAAACTGAGCAAATCATACCTTCTCAAAAAACTTATGATAAGAAATTATGAGAATAGTTTGAAAAAACTGGTAAATAAGATATTACAGAAATCTAAAAAAGGAAGAAGCTAAAGACCTGAAAACATAATAAAAAAAGAAGAAGATTGATAACAGAAAATGATGAAGAAGAACAAGATGAAATAAGAAGAAAAACTTGAATAGAAGACGATGGTTGTTAAGAAGGAGGACGGAGGGAGAGGAAGAGACATGAGCATAAGATTAAATAAAGTATAAGAAACAAGAAAATAAAATTTAGAGAAAAACCAATAAAGGAAAAATATGAAATATGAGAAGATGAGAAAACATAAATAAAAGAAAATAAAGAGGAAGACGAAACTGATAAGTAAGATGTTGAAAAAAAAATAAAAAGATTGTTAATAAAAAATGATGAAGAATACAATATGAAATAAGAATAAAAACATGAATAATAACAAGTAAAAGACGAAAGTTGGAAGATGAAAACGGAAAAACAGAAGAAACAAAATAGAAGAAGAAAAGAATTGAAGAATATGTGAACAACAAAGAAATCGGAAAAATCAAAAGATAAAAAAATGAAGAATAAGAACACAAAGCCAAATGAAAAACAAATTGTAAATAAAAGGAAGAAAACGAATAAAAACCAGGAAATAAAAAGATGACGATGAAGAGAGAGGAAAAAAAAAAGAATATAAAGTTTGATAAGAATAAGAAAAAATGGTAGAAAACGAAGGAAACAAATTATGAAAGAAGTAAAAGAAGAAGATAATATGGGGTTGGGTTTTATGATGTACGATTTATATTGATTGGCGTAAGGTTTAGTTTTTGATACACTTAAAAACTCTGAATATAATACTGATTAAAAAAAAATCTTTTAAGAAAAATAAAATAAAAATAAAAGTAAAAATAAAAGCAAATCTAGAACCAATTTATAAAATGTGGGGTCTGAATGTGTGGTTTGGGGGGGAGGGGGAATTATAACATCTCAGATTGTGATAATGAGGAGAGGCTTAAGAGAATTGATTTGGCTACCTATGTCAACAAAGTGCATTTACCTTTTCGGTCAAAGGTCTATAAGTAACTCCAGTTAAGCGTGCTTATGCTGGAGTAGTTGAAGGATGGGTGACCTTTCGGGAAGTGGGTTTTATAATGTGGGGTTTAGGTTTATGGTGTAGGTTTGTTTGAGGAGGGGGGGGTGTTGTTACACTGTGGGGGGTTTGGGTTTATGGTGTAGGGTTGTTTAGGGGGTGGTGTTACATTGTGGGACTTGGGTTTAGGATGTAGTGTTTATATTGATGGGTGTAGGGTTTAGTTTTTGGTGCATTTTTAAACATTTGAATGGAAGAATATCATAATTAAAATTCATTGATTATAAATTTATGTCCATCTTTCTATATTACATTCATAAATAGAAAAATTAACGATTAAAGCAAATCGAGAACGGAAAATAACAAAACCAACAAATTTTTAAAAGAACTCAATTATATAAAGATAAAGACTATTTCACAAATCCTTGAAAATTTAAATTATCGAATGAATTGATAGGTAAAATACAAGACGTAGACAAGAACGAATAAAAACACAAGTAAAAAAAAAAAAGACAGTAGAAAAGAAGATGAGAAATTTGGAGATAGAAATCAAAGAAAAAAAATGAAATGTGAAGAGAAAAAAAAAAGACAAAGAAAAGATAAATAAGTACTAGAATAATATGATGTTAGAGAAGACGAAGATGATAAAATATAAAGAGGGGGAATGAGGAAGAAGAAAAACCGAAAAAAAATTGTAAATAAAATTAGAAAGAAAAAGAAGAATAGTGAACTGGAAGATATGAAGATATAAAAAAGATTGAAGAACAAAAATTGAAAGAAGAAAAAGAAAAAGATGATGAGAACGAATATCAAATTGAAAATAAAAGAAGAATGTGAGATCATTGGAGAAAAACAAAATAAGAAGTGGGAAAATAAAATGTTGAGAAAAACCAATAAAGAAAAAATATGAAATATGAGAAGATGAGAAAACATAAATAAAAGAAAATATAGAGGAAGACGAAACTGATATATAAGATTTCGAAAAAAAATAAAAAGATTGATAACAAAAAATGATGAAGAATACAATATCAAATAAGAAGAAAACCATGAATAATAAAAAAGAAAAGACGAAAGTTAGAAGACAACGACGGAAAAACAGAAGAAACAAAACAGAAGAAGAAAAAAATTGAAGAATATGTGAACAACAAAGAAGTCGGAAAAATCAAAAGATAAAAGAAATGAAAAATAAGAACACAAAGCCAAATGAAAAACAAATTTAAAATAAAAGGAAGAAACGAATAAAAACCAAGAAATAAAATGATGACGATGGAGAGAAGAAAATAAAAAGAGAATATAAAGTTTGATAAGAATAAGAAAAATGGTAGAAAATGAAGGAAACAAATTATGAAAGAAGTAAAAGAAGAAATAATATGGGGTTGGGTTTTATGATGTACGATTTATAATAATTGGCGTAAGGTTTAGTTTTTGATGCATTTAAAAATTCTGAATATAATACATTACCGATTAAAGAAAAAATTCTTTTAAGAAAAAAAAAATAAAAGTAAAATAAAAGCAAATCTATAACCAATTTGTAAAATGTGGGGTCCGGATGTGCGGTTTCGGGGAGGGAATTATAACGTGGGGTTTAGGTTTATGGTGTAAGGTTGTTTGGGGTGGGGGGGGTTGTTACACTGTCGGGTTTGGGTTTATGGTGTAGGGTGTTTTACGGGGTGGTGTTACACTCTGGGACTTGGGTTTAGGATGTAGGGTTTATATTGATGGGTGTAGGGTTTAGTTTTTGGTGCATTTTTAAACATTTGAATGGAAGAATATCATAATTAAAATTCATTGATTATAAATTTATATCCATCTTTCTAAATTGCATTCATAAATAGAAAAATTAACGATGAAAACAAATCCAGAATGGAAAGATAACAAAACCAACAGATTTTTAAAAGATCTCTACTATATAAAGATAAAAACTATTTCACAAATCCTTAAAAATGTAAACTATCGAATGAATTGTAGGTGAACTACAAGACGTAGACAAGAACGAATAAAAACACAAGTAAAAGAAAAAAAGACAGTAGAAAAAGAAGATGAGAAATTTGAGAAGAAAAAAAAAGTTTGAACATAAGGAAAAAGAAACCAAAGAAGAAAAAATGAAATGTGAAGAGAGAAAAAAAGAAGAGATAAATAAAAACTAGAATAATATGATGTAGAGAAGACGAAGATGATAAAGATAGAGAGAGGGGGAATGAGGAAGAAGAAAAACCGAAAAATAGTGTAAAGAAAATTAGAAAGAAAAAGAAGAATAGTGAACTAGAAGATATGAAGATATAAAAAAAGATTGAAGAACAAAAATTGGAAGAAGAAAAAGAAAAAGATGATGAGAACGAATATAAAACTGAAAGAAAAAAGAATGATCATTTGAGAAGAACAAAATAAGAAGTGGGAAATCTTTTGTATCTCTATACGAATGGAGAAGAAGAGGAAAGCTCGAACATGAGGAAAAAGAAATCAATGAAGAAAAAATGAAATGTGAAGACAAAAAATAGATAACTAAAAACTAGAATAATATATTGTTAGAGAAGACAAAGATGATCAAGATATAGAGAGGGGAATGAGGAAGAAGAAAACCCAAAAAAAAGAATGTAAAGAAAAATTAGAAAGAAGAAGAAGAATAGTGAGCTGAAAAATATGAAAATATACGAAAAGATTGAAGAAGAAAAATTAGAGGAAGAAAAATAAAATGGTGATGAGAAGAATAAGACCTTGAGATAATTGAAGAAGAATAAAAGAGAACAAAATAAAAAGTATAAAATCTTTTGGATCTTTCTAAATGAATGAAGAAGATTATATATAGAAAAACGAAAAATAAGACAAGACACATCAAAATTATAGAAATAAGAAGTTGGCTAAAACAAAAAATGTATATAATAAAAAATTCTACTATTTATATTATTAAAATATTTAATTAATTTATTTATTTAAAAAATATTATATCCGCACAAGGTGCGGGACAACCACCTAGTTCAACTATATTTTTATTCTTTAGGTTTATTTATTAAAACCCTGCGGGTGTAGAAATTTGTTAGGGAAAATTAGGGTTTTTACATCGGCCGCTTTTTCCCTAATTTTCGTTTGACAACAATGACGATGGTTTCCCATATTCCGCAAGATTTGTTGGAGGAGATTCTCTCTAGGCTTCCGATAAAATCTCTAGGAGCTGTGAGGTCAACTTGCAAACAATGGAACGATTTATCAAAAAACCAAAGCTTTACAAAGATACACCGTGATACAACAGCCAAAGCGATGATGTTTATCATGATGAATAAATCTAGGACTTGTTTAATGAGCGTCAATCTCAATGGAAGCCATAACCATAAAGACTTGGTTGATCCATCTATAGAACAGATAGGTAAACTTTATCATGTCGAGATATTAAATGTTTTTCACTGCGACGGTCTATTGCTATGCAGCACAAGGGACAAGAGGCTCGTGGTTTGGAATCCTTATTTAGGGAAAACCAGGTGGATCAAGGCCAGAAACAGCAGTGTCGACAGAATTGATAGGTATGGTATTGGACACGACAACAACAAAAACCACAAGATCTTGCGGTTTTTGTATCGGTACGAACAAAGTGTTGGTAACCACAGAATATGTGAGTGTGAAATCTACGATTTAAGGTTAAATTCATGGAGGGTGCTTCATGTCACTCTCCACTCGTATCCGTATTTTTCTCCTGGCGTTGGTGTATCCTTGAAGGGAAATATTTACTTCCATGCTTCTAAACGATTGGAAAGAGAGTCGAGACAAGTTTTAGTCAGTTTTGATTGTACAAGTGAGGGATTTGGACCCTGTTTGCATTTGCCGTTTCAAACTTTTCTTAAAGATGATGTGACTCTATCTACTGTTAGAGAAGAGCAGCTTGCAGTGTTACTTAACCACAAGGGAAAAATGGAGATATGGGTTACAACTAAAATTGAGACCAACGGGGTGTCATGGTGCAACTTCTTGAAAGTCGATAAGATACCATTCTTCAGTGAAAGTTCTATGTTTCTGAGTGGGAGTTTCTTCCTGGACGAGGAGAAGAAAGTTGCATTGATTTGTTATACAGGCGTATACAAGGAGACCAACAAAGCTTAGATTATTGGAGAGGATAGATACTACAGAAAAGTGGATCTCGGAGAATCTTTATGTTTTCCAATCGAGTGCTCTTATGTTCCAAGTTTGGTGCAGATCCAAAAAGGTCTACATGCAAGAGGCAAAAGGAAAGATCGTGACTATTAATCCATTTTACAATACTCTATTTATTGTTTGCATGATCTCCTTTAAATTATTTTATTTATAATTGTTTTTGGGTGTTTTCTTCCTTCAAGAAGATACAAACAGGTTTTGATGTTTATTGATAACATAGCTTGTTGGGTTTAGTAACCTGATTCGGCTCTTTAACATATTCTCTTATAGGACTTTTTCCTTTGTAGTTGTGATCTTGAGAGTTGCATCCATGTGTTTATGTAGTGTATCACATGTTTAAGCTAACGCATTGCTAAAATAGTAAGGGAAAAAAACAAGAACTTCATCGATCAGTTCGATCGTCTTGCTGCATGTGTGAATAGAGAATCCGATTTTTGCTAATGTTTACTTGTACAATTTTTTAGTATGTTGCTGTGACATTCTCTTTTCTTTTCTGTAGAGGATTTGTAGATTCGGATAAGTAAACTCAAGCTTATACCGTTAAACATATTTTTGTTTGGACAACGTATACAGTCAGAGCCGGCCCTGAGTTTGGATGGGCCACAAACTTGGGAAAAAAATAGGCTGTTTAAGTTATTAGAAAAACATTCAAAAGCAAAACAACTCTTTTTCAGCTTTGTACATTCGAACTGGTGATGCATTTAAGCACCTACTTGGCTCTATATACAGGACACATAATTGTGTTTAGCACGGCCCTAATTTTTGTTGATGTCCGAACCAGCTACTGACCACAAAAATAAATGCGACGAATTTGTGGACGGTTTCTAAAAGGTCCATTCCTACCACTAAGTCCATATTAAAGTTTTATATAACCAATCTTTAAATTAAAAAACTCCCATTAAAATGTAAGACATTAACGATTCGACAAGTATACACCAGAGACCACGGGTCCAGTCACAGCAGTGAAGGCCGTTTTAAAAACCATATCCGAAAGAATGTAAAGGTGTTCCATTATGAAGAAAAAAAAGGTTACAGACTCAGATTTCTGAAACCAAAAAATGATTCTAAACCTTCGAATAAATATAACACAGTACACAGACGGTTCGGTTTGGTATATGTCACTTGGTGAATTTTATTCAAAAATTTGGTTCGAAATTAAGATACCAAATTTATGGAGAAACCCAAAACACCGTCACCAAACCGTGGTTAAAATTATTACTCCCTCCGTTTCTGTATGTCGTTTTAGCCTATTTTTTTTTTTTTTCACAAACAAACAATAAGAATATTTTTTTCTTATAAAGTAGGAGGACCCACAAAATCACCTAAAAAGATGAAAGTTAGCGAATCTATCGCTATGTGGGGTCTCTTTCTCTCTAAGCAAAATCGCATGAACCTTTTTATTATTCGGCTCCAATCGCAAAAAAACGTGTCGAGAGCCTCGACTACACCACCACATTTGCAGTTTTCAATCCCCAAAAAATTGTCACGCAAATTCGCCATTTCTCTGTTCGATCCAAAATCATTCCCAGAAGATTTCTCTAGAGAAAGAGAGTCAAAATGGGCGTGGCTCAAGCGATGGAAGCTCTGAACGAGCGAGCCGGTCTCATGAAGGAGTCTCTCCAGAAAAGCCAAACCATCACCGATAACATGGTCGGAATCCTCGGCTCTTTCGACCACCGTCTCTCCGCTCTTGAGACCGCCATGCGTCCCACTCAGGTTCCTCCTCCTCCTCCATGGACATTTTCTCGGTTGTGAGATTTTGAGATCTATCTTTTGTATTGAAACATTCGATTCTTGATTCTTAAAGATTATTGCCCTCTTCTTCTTCTTCTTCTTCGAATTTGGCTAATTTTCTTTTGATTTTTGGTTTCCTCTTTTTGCGTGTGGTTGTTGTTTGTGTAGATAAGAACACATTCTATAAGAAGAGCTCACGAGAATATCGACAAGGCATTGAAAGCAGCTGAGGTTATCTTGGATCAGTTTGATCTCACTAGAAAGGTTTGGTCCCAGTCTTCTCCTTTTGTTTGCTTGTCTTTCAAGTAATCACTCCTTCAAGGTCTTATTTACTGTTGCTGATGGCTCTCTAGTTGTTTCATGTAAAAACAAATTTCTCTTGTTCAAGATTACATATTACCCCTTTTCTGTCCACAACTGAGACATTGGTAGAGAAGGCATGATGAAAAAAAAAAAAAAGATAAACAGTGTTTTCTTTAGGTAAAGGAGTTAGATATCTGGGAAGCTTTTGCTTCTAGGTATTGATTAATCTAAGATTGATCTTATTACATAATGTAGAACTTGTTAGTTTGAGGTTTGTTTCTTTGGCTAGTAGAGGTCACTGTGACATTCTTATGTTACTAAACCATACTATGTTCATAGTAAGAAAGGAGAATTTTGTCTTAAGCTAAATCTAAGATCAATTTTTTTTTTGTGTGTGTGTAGCAGAGTTAATGATTAAGCTGAAATTATTGTTTGTCAGGCGGAAGCTAAAATATTGAGAGGACCACACGAAGATCTCGAAAGTTATCTGGAAGCAATTGATCAACTTAGAGGCACAATCAAATTTTTCAGCAACACAAAGATGTTCAAGAGTGCAACTGGAGTCATTAGCCATGCTCACAATTTGCTCTCTAAAGCTCTATCAAAACTAGAGGATGAGTTCAGACAAATACTACAAAACTACAGGTTCTGTCTTTGGAATATACACAGATTTTCTTGTGTCTAACACTTGATTTAACTTCTTTTTATTTTCTATTGAAATTTTTCAGCAAGCCAATGGAACCTGATCGCCTATTCGAATGTCTTCCAAGCAATCTTAGACCATCAACAGAAGGTGAAGGTGGTGGAGGCAAGAATCATGATCCTCATCAGAAGAGCTTAGAAAATGCTATTTTCACAGTCCCAACAGTTATTCCTCCAAGAGTTTTGCCTTTGCTTCATGATTTAGCTCAGCAAATGGTTCAAGCTGGTCACCAACAACAGCTTTTCAAGACTTACAGGTCCAACTTCTGCTTCATTTGTACCTTCCATTCTTACTTTCTAGCATTCTTTGTACTGATGCATACATGTTTTCTTTTTTTTGTTTGTAATATATTAGGGATACGCGTGCGGCAGTGTTAGAGCAGAGCCTTAAGAAATTAGGTGTGGAAAGACTTAGCAAAGATGATGTTCAGAGAATGCAATGGGAGGTCTTAGAGGCCAAGATTGGGAACTGGATCCATTACATGCGAATATCTGTACAGAAACATTCTCTTCCATAAAAAAAAAACAAATAATAGAACGTTGCTTGTTCCTTCATTTACGCTGCAATTGCTTTTGTTGACAGGTGAAACTGTTATTTGCTTCGGAAAAGAAAATCTGCGACCAAATACTCGACGGCGTTGAGTCACTCAGAGATCAATGTTTTGGTGAGGTCACTGCAAATAGTGTAGCTGTGCTGCTTAGTTTCGGTGAAGCTATAGCTAAAAGCAAGAGATCACCGGAAAAACTGTTTGTTCTGTTAGATATGTATGAAATAATGAGAGAGCTTCAGCCTGAGGTAACGTTTTTACACCATCATCACACATAGTGTCAATTATGTATATGAATTAACCTAAGTTTTAAACATTGATACAAAAACAAAAAAATTAACCTAATTTTCCTCTGTAGATTGAGTTGGTATTTGGAAGCCAACCTTGTACAGAGATGAAAGAATCTGCGATAAATCTGACAAAACGATTAGCTCAGACAGCGCAAGAAACATTTGCTGATTTTGAAGAAGCTGTTGAAAAAGATGCTACTAAAACCGCGGTTATGGATGGAACCGTACATCCACTTACTAGCTATGTCATCAACTACGTCAAGTTCTTGTTTGAGTAAGTAACTTTTACGTATAGAAGCTGTTAATCTTGTTGGATTTCTAAAGTGTTTTTTTTTTTTTTTTTTTTTTTGTGTGGAAATTTTTGGAAACAGTTACCAATCGACGTTGAGGCTGCTTTTTCAAGAGTTTGATAGTAAAGATCCTGATTCCGAGCTTGGAGCTGTAACAACGAGGATCATGCATGCTTTACAGAACAATCTGGATGGCAAATCAAAGCAGTACAAAGATGCAGCATTAACTCAACTGTTTTTAATGAACAATGTCCATTACATAGTGAGATCTGTCAGGAGGTTAGGTTCTGTTCTCTTAGACAAGAACAAAAGCCTAAAAACATAATCCTGAATTAGGTTTTACATTTTAACAGGTCAGAAGCAAAAGATTTGTTGGGTGATGATTGGGTTCAAATACATAGAAGAATCGTACAACAACATGCGAATCAGTACAAGAGAGTTTCATGGGCAAAGGTTTTTACTAAGTCGTTTTCATGTTTATGCTCTATAAAAATGCTTACAGAGTATTCTCTAAGTAGCCACTTTTTTGTTTCTACAGATTTTGCAGTGCCTCACGGTTCAATCGAGTGGTAGCGGTCCGGTAGAGAACTCAAACATATCAAGAGCATCAGTAAAAGACAGATTCAAGACTTTCAATTCTCAGTTTGAAGAGCTTCATCAGAGACAATGTCAATGGACAGTTCCCGACAGCGAGTTGCGTGAATCTCTCAGGCTTGCTGTTGCGGAGGTTCTTTTACCTGCCTTCAGATCTTTCCTCAAACGTTTCGGGTACATACATACAATTCAAAACTCGAATTTGGTTAAGAGATTAGTGTTTTTTTTTGTGTGGTTTCTTGCTCAGCAAGAAAGTAGTAAAACTGTTGTTGCTTTGTTTGTGTTGTTGTGTTATGTCTCAGGCCGATGATAGAGAGTGGTAAGAACCCACAGAAGTATATAAGGTTCACTCCTGAAGATCTTGAGCGAATGCTGAACGAGTTCTTTGAAGGCAAGACTTGGAGTGAGCCCAAGAGATAATTAATGTGATATGTTTCTTTTTTATTGTACATTTCTCTTTCTTTTTTTTTTGCAACATTATTATTTATTATTTATATGATCTGTATCTCTTTTGTCTTTTTTAAGGTATGTTTTTCTTTTATTGTAACACTAGGTGGTTCATCACACTATCTCTCTTGGATTAATTGACTTAGAGGGTGTTATTGGATATTGTATTTGAAAATATTCTGATTTGTAATCTAATATTAATAGAGTTTCAAATCCAATGTTATTAATCAAGATTTCAAATCCAATTTTAAAACCAAATGTTATTCAAAATTAAATGAATTTTCAAATCATTCTTTGTTAATTGAGTCATTTAAAATGAATTCTAATAGAGTTCTATGAGTAAATTGTTAAAACCAGAATCCATGAGGTAATGCAGAGATTTTAGAATCAACTGCTATGAATTTTTAAAATAAGACAAAAATCTTAAATCTGAAGGATTATAAAACTTAGAAGGGTGAGGAGGAAAGAGTCGATCGAGAAACGAGAAACCGATCTCTTTTCGATTCTTCCTTTGGATCTGATAGTAGAGATTCTCCTGAGAACCCCCGCCAAATCCACAGCTAGTCTCGTCTTGGTTTCAAAACAATGGTTATCGATACTCCGGGGTAAAAAATTTACCAATTTGTACGTGGCTCGATCTTCGACTAGGAAGCGTCTTCTTTCTGCAGTCTTCGATACCTACTTGAAGCAAATATTCCTACTATCTTGCTCCCAGGAGGATCCATCTTCTTCTGATCATCGTATGGTAAAGATAACTGATCAGCCGAGTCATAGGTATTATTTTTCTGCACCCGTCCGCGGCTTGATTTGCCGTCAAATTGATTCCAAAGTGATGATGGGCAAGCATCCCCATCTTATTTCTTCTTATATAACTAAACAAATATGTATAAATGGGGTTGTGTATTACTATGCTTGGGTCACACAGGAAATATCTTTGATAAGCTTTGATCTGATATCCGAAGAGTTCAATGTCATTAAGTTACCTGAGGATATCCCAGTGCTAGTGAAGTACACCGGGAAGGTAGCTTTAGCGAGTTGGTCTGAGAATAAACTTGACGTGTGGGTTCTAGAAGATGCCAAGAAACAAGAATGGTCAAAAGTTTCTATCGTTCTTCCTTTTACGATAAACTTAGTATTCGTGTTCAGGGGTACACTTAGTACCGGCGAGCTTATATTTTCACCCTTCAGGTTTGTTAGACACTGCCATTTTATCAGTTACGATCTCAAGGAGAACAAGGCGGAAAAGGTTGTGGTTAAAGGGAATGGAGATCATTTTCCTAAACATGAACTCTATTTTGATCATGTAGAGAGTCCTATGTTTCTGCCAAATGTAAGTTAATCAATCCTCTGGTGCTGCCTCTCATTTTTAAAATGTAGGAGTCTTTTTTTTTACTTTTTTTGTTGACAAGCTTTTTGATTTTCTTATTTGATTCACATTTGAGGATAGAAAAAAGAGGTTTGTTTTGGCTTGGTTGATCTTCATCTTTATTTTGAGTTTACATTGTACGAGACAGTCTTTACTCTTTAATGTTGTGTGACGAAACTTTAGCAAGAACAACTCGGAAACAGAAAACTTAAGTAATAGTTTGTTTTTTCATTTAAACAAAAGAGGACTTTTCTGTAAACAAATAACAAAGAGGATCGAGTGTCCGTAGGAATGGCCAATTCGTACCTTTACCTGAAGTCAAAACTACGAGATTAGGCCTAGTAGGCTTTTTTGGGTATGATCCGGTTAGTGATGTATAAAAATTAAGTGTTGTGCATGACGGTTTGTTAGGCTGCATAGAACACCGTCTCTACGTTGTCCTCTATAACAGCGACACCATAGATCACCGTTTGTATATTCTCCGCCGGAAGGTTAAGGATAACAGCAAAGATCGTTTGGTCATTATCCCGTCGATTCTCCTATGCCTCGTCATGCGCGGTACGTCACAGTAGGTTCGAAGATATATGTAGTGGGTGGATTTCACACTAGGCAGAATGATTACAGTAGTGTTTTAAGCATCGACTGTAGATATGTTCACACGGTGCACCCCATCTCCGACATTCCTAATCGCATGGTGGAAACGGTCGCTGGCATGGTCGATGAAAAGATTTACGTAATCATAATCGACAATCTCTAAGGCTTGCTGTTGCAGAGGTTCCTTTACCTGCCTTCAGATATTAATGTTATGTTTATTTTTTATTGACATATCACCATCTGATCAATCTTACACACATGTCACGAATGGACCAATTTTGACTCTTTTTTTGTTTTGGCCTTTTGGGTATACAAAACCAGTGTACACTTTTTTATTCATCAGAACGTGATTGGGTTAAAAGTATAGAGATGTCATAGTTAAAAAAACACTCTTAAAAATTAAACCGTCGACAGCAGGGTTCGAACCTGCGCGGGCGAAGCCCAATAGATTTCAAGTCTATCTCCTTAACCACTCGGACATATCGACATTTTGATTTAAATGGTGCAATGGAGAATGGAGAATCAATATATTTTATTTTCCAACGAGAGTATGCAGCTATTACACGAGAAACTACATGATTTTAAGCTTCTCCCAAGGCAAAAGTATAAAACCCATGTCAAATAAAACGTAAATTAAATAGTCAAGAAGTAGAAAGAAAGAAATGAATGAAACCAAGAAAGTTACATAACATGGAGAAATTCGTTAAATGATGATGATAGAGCACTTATGGATATATGATTCTAGAGAGCTCGATTATGAAATAAGCTACGATCATATGGCCTGTAATATATGTTAGATATGGAATTAGCAGATTCTCTTGAGCCTGTTACAATTAATAATATTATATAAAATTGGCCTTTTTCTACTTCCACCTCCTTAAAGAAAGGAAGTATTTGAAGAAAAGATTATTTCCAAGAAAAACGGAAAGAGATCAACACCAAAGAAGAATATTTTCAAAAGAAATATAGAAGAATATTTTGAAGAAGTCGATATCCTCCTTTATAAATAGAAGACCATGTATTCCTTGAAGAGAATCCAAAACCATCTGAAATCATTCAGAATCATTCACAATTATCCACAATCACTGAGAATAGAGGAAAACCTTAGCTATAAGCCTATAATTCGTCTTTTATTTTTACCTTTTTTATTCTTTTTTTATTTATTTCAGTAAACCTTATCGTCGAGACGAATCATCCCTTGTACCTTTTTGAGCTTTGGTTGATCAAATAAAAAATTTTCTCCATAAACTCACATCTTTTATCTACTATTACAATGTGATTTTGAGATTTTAACAATATAAATTATGATTTTCTTAATTACTTTTAAGACATTCACAAATATGCGTGGACAAGATACTATTTTTGAACAAGATATTACTTAAATATGAACAGTGAAAGTCATAAAGTTTATATAAAGAGAACATGCATTCAAACGTGGCTCACAAACAGATATCGTCAGAGCAATGACTCATGTGCTTATGGACACATGGTGATATATCAAACCATATTCATGTTTCGATTAAATAAATTATGTGTAAAATTATAAAGCAATAGATTAAAAGGACAAGCTAGTTAGATCTAAAATATAGTACTTTACTTTGATAATGATGGAGAATGGAGCGTACGATGAGCTACATACGACGGAGTCGAATAACTCAAACGAGTAGGTTATGGTGATGCTCATACGGCTACTCTTTCGTATTTACTTAGTGGTTAGAGTGATAACGTGTTATAGAAAAAGAGAGAACAAAAAAAAAAGAACTGATTGTGTTATTCCCTGAATAATAGGTCATTTATATAGAATTACAAGAATAGATATAACTTTTTCTAAAAGAATAGACTCAGGTTGCAATAAAAGTTATAAGACCAGACGCTCACAAGGAAGGTCTCAGTTCCATCAAGAGGTTCAAGTACTTACTTGTATGAGACATCCAAATATGGTTCTTCTTCTTGGAGCATGTCTTGAATACGGATGTTTATTCTATGAATACATGGCAAATGGTAGCTTAGAAGACCGTTTCTTCAGAAGAGGAAACTCTTCAATCCTTTCTTGGCAGCTAAGATTCCGCATTGCAGCTGAAATCGCCACCGGCCTTCATTTCCTTCAGATAAAACCATAGCCTTTAGTGCACCGTGACCTTAAACCCGGAAACATTTTACTTGACCAGCATTTCGTCAGCAAGATTGCTGATGTTGGACTTGCCAGGCTTGTCCCTGCATCCGTTGCTGACGCCGCAACGCAATATAGAATGACAACCGCTGGAACATTCTGTTACATTGATCCAGAATATCAACAGACCGGTATGTTAGGGACCAAGTCAGACATATACTCATTTGGGATCATGCTTTTACAAATACTTACAGCTAAACCACCAATGGGTTTGACTCATCACGTCGAGAAAGCAATCGAAAAGGGAAATTTCAAAGATATTTTAGACTCTTCCGTGCTTGACTGGCCAGTCGAAGAGGCCTTGGTTGCAGCCTAAATCGGTCTACAATGTGCAGAGTTAAGACGTAAAGATAGACCTGACTTAGGGACTGTGGTTTTGCCTGAGCTTAACAGACTCAGAGAGCTAGCTGAAGAAAACATGCCACCTATTAACTTCGGCGGAAACCAACGACCTTCACCGATTAGGAACTTGAATAACACCCAAAAACTAAACCAAATGTCCAGGACTTCACTACAGGTATGAATCCATTAAGCACCTCTTTCAAGATTTTTAACTTGTTTTGGTTAGTAAAACTATATTTTCCTTTTGCAGGAGATTATGAGTGATCCACAACTACAATATGGATCAGATAACTCAAGTTTACAAAATAGTTCTGGTTCCTGATCGTGCATTGTCAAAGTAAATAATATATATACATCAAGGACATGAAGGCAAAATATTTTTGGTCAAGATCAAGAATAGGTTGTTACCAATATTTGAACAGAATAGTCTGTTTATATATGTTGGGTTTTAGAGTTCCTATGATGTAAACACAAAACACTTGTACACCTCAGAATCTATACAAGCTTTGATTTGTTATCACACACACACACACACACACACATTTCGTGGGTTCCTGTGACCATTTTTTGGTTCATGTCATGTTCCACCGTTTCGATAAAACGGTTTGCATTGGAAAGTTTAACTTAAGCAACAACCAATGGGTAGAAGACATTTCAGAATCTTCATTGTGGGGGGTAGCAGAAATTATGGAATACTAGGGATCGGCTGCCCCGCGCAAGCGCGGGGGTCATAATGTTCTATCCCAGAGGCCCACGTAGAGGAGAATATTAGATATGCGTGATGATTCGCAGAGAAACAATCTTCACGTCTACCTAATTGTTCCAATGTATTTACGATCCTCTTTTCATGTAACAATCAGAAACAATCAATTGCATATAACCCATTTTCTTTTAAATTTTAATTATTTTTTGACTCCCATAGAATAAAACATATTAATTTCTGGTGATTAATTCGGTCACCTATCAAATATTTTTTAAAGAACGTACAACGCTCCCTATACTATACGATTCATGAAGACCCTAACAGATTTAGTGACCTTTCAAATCCTGAATCAATTTAATATGATTATCATGAAACCTTGCAATTTCAAACCCGCTCAGATTGAATATGAAACCCTCATGTAACAGGTGATGGTAGTTGTTGGCCCGTTTTGCTGGAATGAACCCATGGCGAACCGAATTCTGCAGAGGTAAATGTAAAAAGAAGTTAGTGGTGAGGCAAAAAGCAGAGAATGAGTATGGTAAACTGTGGAAACATATAGAGAAAAAGTGGGTGACCAAAGCATGAAATATATGGGCGACGTGCTGTGAAACCATTGACTAAAAAGGTAGATGGCGTAAATGAAAACAACTTGATAGTGTGAAGTTTGAGTGACTGTTGTAGGAAACCAAGGGAGAAAAAATTACAGATGGAGAGAGAAGTTGTGACTCTGAGGTTTGATTTCGTTAAATTTCTGGGGAAAAAGAAAAACAGTGTTACGAATCCTGAAATATTACCTTTTCGTCGAGCATTAGGAGCACTATTCCCATGAATTCACCATCCTTTTTGACATTCTTAGCATCGATGATCGGTCAAGGTTGAGGTTGTCGAAGGTGACATAATTGACGGCGGACGGGATTGTGAAGACATCTTGGAGAGTAAGAGAGTGGTGTTTGTAAGTTTCGGTTGCTGGAGATGTGATGTGGTGCTGCGGTGGTGAGCAGAGTATCTATTAGGTGTTTTGTGAGTAAGTTGAATGGTTGTGGTAGAAGCCGTTTGGATCTGAGGTATTGAATAGGAGTTTGAATGGGGTAATAATTGGAGGCGAGGGGGTGAACAGAGTGCCATTTTTTTGCCGAAACGGAGGTAGGCTCCTGCAATTCGGAATTGGAAGCGGCGAGGAAGGGATGGAGGTGGGAGAGAAGCGTGAGGGAAAATATGATTTGCGCTGGAGTGTAAATGTGTATTTTTGAATGGGCTTTGGGCTATGAAGTTTGAGATTTGTTAGAGTCCATTTAAATGTGTGTGATGACAAATGATAAATTTAGTTATTTAGATAAATTATTTCGAGATGGGGTCCACTAAGGGGAGTGCGTGGATGGCCTAGGAGGAGAAAGTCTTCTCCTATTATATATTCCCTCCGTTTCAAATTAGTTGTCGTTTTGACAAAATGTTCCGATCGTCGGCCATCGGACGGACTGGCGCGCATTTTCGTCAGCATCGGACGGGCTGGCGCGCATTTTCGTCGGCCAGAACACATGTCACCGTACTGATTCGATTTTTCTCCATCCGTTTTCAGATTTTCCATGATAAAAACTCTTAAAATCGTGGTTAGAAGGTTTTCAGAGTGGGAGAAAATGAAAAAATCGAATTTTTTTTTGATCGATTACAAATATTTGAACGTATCTAGACGTGTTTTGCATTGAAGATACATCCAAATAATTGCAGATACATTTTCCCAAAACGACAACTAATTTGAAACAGAGGGAGTATAAGATTTGCAAAAGGAAGTCAAAGTCATTTGTCAGAACAATATCACAATGATGATTTTTTTTTTTTTTTTTTTTTTGCTAATCCAGTATCCAGACCACATTTGTGGGCCGACTAGCGCACTGGACCGAAGTCCGCGACAGGGATTTTTAAGCTTCCACTGAAGGGCCCTCTGGAACAGGTGGTCTGGGACGCTGCAGCCCGTATGTAAAATCCGCAGTGGCCAGACGTCGAACCCTGGTGGCGGGTACCACAGCCGTGGGTCCATTACCACCAGACTACGAGCGTCTGGTTAATTTTTTTTTTTTTTTTTGTCAACTACGTAGATAATTTTAGTATTAATTTCTTTTGTATAGATATGTTTCCCTAAATAAATAAAATATTTTCAGTTTTCTACTTTTATATATTTCAAGTCAAATTTAAATTTATATATAGTGTCATGATATGGTTATAGGATATCACTGTTTTTTTTACAGGGTGACAGTCATATCAAAATCTTCTTAAAATAGAAAAATAATATTTGGTTTGATAAATATCTTTCGGGTGAATATGTTGCCACAAATGTTATGCATTTCTTTTGACTTTTGACTGTCAATAGTTTAAGATTTCATTTCCTAAATTTTCTCAGATTTACAATAAATACTCCGTGATATGATTAACTGAATTAGACACCCGATTAATCTTTTTTTTTATGATTCGATGTTACATATTTTCTTCATAAGGTAATGATTTGATATGATAGAATGTTTTTTGGAAAGTTGTGTTGGCATTTTATCAGTTAAATTAGCTTTTGTATTTTTCTAATATAATTAAAAGGTTTCTTTTCTTTTGGTCAACATATTAATTTATGGGAAAAAATCAAATTCATTTTCTTTCCCTCTTCTCTATCTCTATCTCTCTATCACTAATCTCAATCTCTCTCTTTATATATCTCGTCTCCACAATAACTCAAACATCACCAGCAAAAAAATCTAATAAGCTTTGTTCAGCATAGGTTCCGTTAGATTGTCGGATTATAGAACTTCTCGTGGACCGTCGCAACGATCCGTATACTCTTCACCCCTCTCATCTTTCGTGTAATAATTCTTCTTCTTCTCCATTTTTTTTTTCTTTTGAAACTTGTTTGACATCATGGATTTTTTTAATATTACTTACTCGTGCCCCATGTTTTTGCTTGTGAGATCTCATTTCCTGTCTGGATTTTAATTTCAATTGTTGATTTTGTCTAAATTCATACACACAAAAAAAAGCCACCCTAATGTTAATCTTCTTTGCATGTTTTATTTCTTTGGTTTTTATTTTTTTTGGTTTTAATGTTAAGAGATTTAATTTCTTTGTATAAAGGGAAAGAGATATTGTTAACTCTTCTTCTCGTTCGATATATAATAAATCTAATAGCACATTTATCATTTATTACAGGTACTATGTCTGGATTGGTGGTGAACGAAGCAAGTGCTCCAGCATCTCCATCAACACCACCTGTTGTTGGGAACTTGGCGGGTGCGAATGGAGGAAGTTTGTTGAAACGTCCGCGTGGTCGTCCACCCGGTTCGATAACAAAACCAAAACCTGTTGGTGAAGGAAGTGCTGTCAAGCGTAAGCGGGGAAAGAAAATCCCTATTGATAACCTTACGGTACAGTGTGCAACTTGTTTCAAATGGAGGGTCGTTCCCTCGATGGAGATCTATGAAGATATCAGGACACATTTGGAGGAAGAACCTTTCTTCTGCGATGTAGCATGTCAATGGAAACCAGGAATGTCGTGTGAGGTTCCTGCCGATATATCGATGGAAGGTACAAAACTTATCTGGGCTCTTGAGAGCCATTTGATCCCTCGCCCACACGCTGGATGGAGGCGTCTGACGCATATCAGAAGCGAAGGAGGACTACGTTTCGCTGATATGTTAGTCACTCTTCTCTAATTTTTTGTTACAAGACACTTTTTTTAAAAACCCTAAGTTTATAACCAAAATTTTCTTATATATGTTTCTTTCAGCTATTATATCACTCCTTCAGGACAGAAGCTTCGATCAAGAAAGGAGGTCAAAAGGTTAGTTTTTCTAGCGCTCCATTTCCTTCCCTGTTTTCATTATATTTCCTTGAATCATTTGAGATCAACAACTTTGGTAGAAGATAAGCTTAGTGGTTACTAATTTGATTTCACATATGGCAACTTCTTTACACACTTACAAACCTCATTTCTGGCATGCAGGTACTTGAAAGAAAACCCACAATACATAATAGAAGGGATGAAGATTAAGGCACAGGTTAAGAAACATTTCTCGTTCAAAATCCCGAAACCACTGCAAACGGACTATGTGAGGAAGCGCCCAGCTCGAAAAATGAATCCAAATGGTAATTCAAACGCCATCGTAGCTGCTGGAGAAGGTATGTTGTTTTACATCTTCTGTATCAACTGTTAGTGTAATATCCAACAACAACTTTAATTGTTGGCTAGATATTATTCAGTCACTTGTAACGCACGGATTTACATAAATCTTCTTAGGGCTATCTTTTAGATTATAGGGCTTTAGATTTAATAGAAGAACTGTCTATCAAAACTAGCAACTTGTCCACAACTTCTTTCTAGGATTCCTTTGTTAAATAATTTGGAATACTTTTTGGTAAAACAAAATTAAAATGTGTGGATTTCTTAAGAATATGTCATGAATGATTCAGTCGTGCTAGTTGTGATAAATGTTTTTCCCAAGAGTGCTCTTTCAATGCAGATCTTACTTTGGTTCTCTTTAACAGCGTAATCTTGATTTTGTGATCATGTATATATTATCATTAAAGAGGACATTTTAAATTTGATTCAAGCTGTTGAATATCATTTTCCCATTAATTTTCAACTATTACAGTTTTTGAGCCGTCTTGTGTTTTATTCAGCAGGTCCATCAAGATCTCTAAATACATGCTTAGCCATACAGATTTACCACCCACCTGAGGAGTCTCAACTCCATGAATCTGCATCGAGATCTCCAGATGAACGCTTAGCATTGGTAATATACCAGCCGCCTGAGGAGCTCAACTCCATGAATCGGCATCAAGATCTCCAGATGAACAATGCTTAGCGATACAGCTATATGTTCCACCGGAGCAACCTGAACGCTAAGAATCTGCATCGCGATTTCCAGAAGAGCAGTAGTTATTTTTTTCTTTGAAATTTAATTTCTCCTATGATTGAGATATCTTCTATATAATAGGAGAATACTCTCTCCATCTAGCCTATCCACATCAGCAAAAAAATCATTAAATTGTATTTAAAATTTTTAATATATGAGTATTCATATTTCTTTACATATAATCCAAGGAAATATATAACATAAATTAAGAAAAATACACAAAAATTAGTTAAGAAATATAAAGTATGTAATAACTTGGTATCAAAATTTAACAGAAATTGTAGTATCAACTAGAGAAAGAAAAATGAAATATTTGATTAAATAGTATATAGTTACCCTAATGATCAAAATTTATAGAGGATTTATTTTTTATAAAACGTTATAATGTGTTCAAGAGTTATAAAATATAGAATATCATTTTAGATAATATAGTTGAAAGCGAATAAAAAGTTTGAAGCAAGAAATGTAAATTTTAAGGATTATGACATGTTTGTTTTAAAAGTATGATTTAAATTACAAATATAAAATTGTATTTAAGAATCAACATCATCTTGGTCAAACGCTAATCTATAGAAAATAAATATATATTTTACCATATTTCGAATCAAAATATGATTTTATACCATGTTTTAAACTTTTTTCTTCAAACTTAATGTTAAACTAGATTAATACTCGCGCGTACGCGCAGGGTTTTCTATTGTTATAGTTTAAAAAAAATATTTGAAAACAATTATCGTTTGTGATTAATATTATAAAATCTTATCCAAATAACACCGGCATTTGAATTCCAACTTGTATAATTAGCGAATGCTTTCAATTATATATTTGTGCATTATATCACATGTCTCTATGACATCAATTTCTTTGTTTACTCAATGCTACATGGAATGGACTATATTTCCCGTCATTGTTCTTTATTTGATCTATTTTTTTTCGTATATTAGGAGAACTAATATAGTGGTTTAATAGTGATTCAAAATGACAACGGAAGGATAATACTTTTAAAGTAATATAGTGGTTTTTATTACAATAAATTGAAATGTTTAAAATTGTTAATTGAAAAGAAAATGAAAAGTTGTAAAAAAAATAGAAAGGAAAATGAAAAAAATTGTTAATTTAGATTTAAAGTAATTAATTGAAAGGAAAATGAAAAGTTATAACACATGTCAATTGTAGTGTGTCCACTTGTCCAAAATATGGAGAGAGTTGACCTTTTTTCATATACTCCCTCTGTTTCAAATTAGTTGTCGTTTTGGCAAAATGTATCTGCAAATATTTGGATCTACCTGGACATGTTTTGCATTGCAGATACATCCAAATAATTGCAAATACATTTTCCCAAAACGACAACTAATTTCAAACGGAGGGAGTATATGATTATAATCCAATGAAACTAAATAAGTGAAATATTTAAAATGTTAAATTTTAGAAAAAAAAACTAGAAATGAAGTATACAGTTAACATTTTTAAAAAGTCATATTGAACAATGTGAATAATTGGATTAACTCAAAATATAACCAATAAAAATAAATAATAAACCATCATAATTTAGATAACAAATACACAAAAATACAATCATTTTCGCAACAACCCCACATTTGACTTTATTCCCTAGTTTATATAAAAGGTATATGACCTTTAAAAGTACACATTTTTATAATTATTAAATATTTACCTTAAACTATGTTTGTATGTTGATTATGTATGTTCAATGGGAGCAAATAATATTAAAAAATAAACTAAATATTATTGAATATTGAATTAAAAATGATGATTGCGATGATAAGTAATGATGAACTTTGACTTGTGCGCTTTGGCTTGATCACTCACGTTAAGTATTCTATTAAGATGCATATATAATAAACAGTAAATAAACATTCAAATATTAATATGCATACAATCTTATATATAACAATCTTATATATAACGAGAGGATAATTCTCTCCAGATTTGATTTCTGGCATCTCATCTTTTTCTCATTTTCTATTAAACTGCCACATGTCATCTTTTAATTAAACATAAAAAAAAATTAACAAACACAGTAAACTCACAAAGTGTAAAAGCGTTTTGTCTTTCCGTTCTTTCGTTTGCCTTGCACAGAAACCGCCTAATCCCATAATCCCACCGGCGATTTTCTCATACCTTCCGCCTCCTCTGCCAACCGTAATCGTTAACGATTTCCACATCCCATCTCTTTCGCAGCTGCAAATGTTCAGAGAATGTTTGTTTTTTTTTCTCACAAGAAGTCGAATAAGTACTGTATTGTCAGAGAATAAGTTAAGTTACCTCGGGAAAAAGTTCATCTTCAGGCTTAAGAAATATTGTTTCCTCAATGTCTTCTTCACCACGCCGAGATTTTCTCTGCTTAGGATTCTTCAGCTACATATAGCCAAGAATCCCATATCACATTGAGATCAGATTCAAGAATAAAACAAAACAAAATCTTATTGTAAACACAAAATTACCTTGTAAATCTTGGTGACTATTAAGACATGTCTTGAACCAGAATGATTTTCGAAACTCCTCCGTAGGCTAAACAAACAGAGAAAACAAACTTAGAACAGTTAAATTTGTATGGCTCATAAGAAGTTACCTAAAAGTTTAGTTTCAAAGATCAGACCTTCTTCAGTGGTCCATGAGACTTCATCAAACATTCCATCGTACAGTGGAGGAAGATTCATCACTCTCTGAGACACCAAACAAACCAACATCAATTTCAAGAAGAGAGCAATCTCAAATCAATTCGAGAAGAAAGCAAACGTAATTTCTTATTCCCTAAGATGTGAATTGATTCCTTACTTGACGTCACAAGCTAAGAACATTAGATTTAACGACGCAGCCAAGTGGACCGAGAAGTCCAATGATGCCACGGTAGATCTTGAAAGACGGGATGTAGAACAATCGCCGCTCGAGGGTATTGACTACGGCTTGCCGGAAAGCCTCACGGTTAAGCGAGCCGCTTCCAAAGCTGTTGATAGTGGATTGTAGCTGCTTCTCGGCGGCGGATTTCTCGAGCTTCAGTTAGTTGAAAATTGCGGCGTGAATTGCGTCGTCGATTTCCGGTTTTGCTGCGCGGGAGGCCTTGAGAGCACGTACGGCGTTACCCTGGGCTTCGACGGAGAATGGTTTCTTGGAAAGGGACTGACGGACAGTGATACAGAATAACTGTAACTGGGATAAATGTAATCTCAAATGGAAATCCAATGTTCATAAAACAAAGAACAACCCACACCTTAAGAATCCAGAGATTACAGATCAAATTCTTAAGAGAAATCAGAGAGAAGAAGGGTAACGACGAGAAGGGAAAACAACAAACAACTTTCACAATTTTTCTCATTGAATCCATTATTTCCTTTGTCTTTTTACTTAAACCCTCAATGGAAGTAGCTTTTGATCTCAGCCCTTGATTCAGCTCTCTTAATCTGGACCCTCCATTTGCTCACTCCTCATGACCCTCTTATTTCCTATATCAAATCCTCCTTGATCGAAAAACCTTGACCTCAAGGTTTAGAAGCAAAATATTTCTGTGTTCACACAAGAGTTCCTAAGAAACAGCATCTTGTGGTTGTTCCCAGTGTCATTTTAACGTCTTGTTGTTTCCTTCTCTTGTCTTCTCACTAAAGCGACATTGCACATGCAAATTGCAATCCATACAGGTATCAAAATCAGGGAACCATTTTGCTGACGTTCTGGTGGCCTTGGAGAATGGAACATCTCATAGATGAGATCGTGACAATATTAGCTCCTTTGAGAGCATCAAGTCTAGCTTCCTTTCTTTTTAAGAACTCCAAAAGAGAAACACCATGACCATTTTCCAGATTATGTTTCTCCTCTAAACAGTGATTACCGGACAGCCACAACAACGTCATAAACTCACAACAACTACCAAAGCTTTCTAACTTAGTCCCTGCCTTGTACTTAAACCGCCAAGACTTGGAGCATTTTCGCTTCTTCTCCTTTTGCTCTATTCTCAGCTTGTGAATCAACATTCTTTCAGTCTGAACTACGCCAATCTCTCTTAAACCAGTAGCTCCCTCACACTGATATTGGTTTCCGGTAGCATAGGTGAAGCTTCTTATCAAACCATATGCAACAGAGGCTGGGGCAGTGGACTTCTCTTGTGAATGAGCTTTGTCCATTAAAACAAGCTGATCGGTTGAGATATTTAACGTTTCCCTTTTTCCGACATGATCAGCTCTAACCTCCACTGCCTTGGGATTAATTTGTGACAGCAACCATAAAATCTGCAAGTTCCGGTTTTGCATCTCTTTGTATTTGAGTTTCCAGGACTTAGAGGTCACATCTCTACTTTCCAAAGGCGTTTTTAGCTCCAAAAAAAACCCACTCAAGTCCATATCAAGATGTAGCTTCCCTGGGCGTGATTCTTCTTGATGAATCATTTCTGTAACAGCAAGTTCCTCTATTCGACCATCAATTCTATCATCAATTCTACCCTCCACGTTGTTGAGTCTCTCTAATGAGATTAGTTAAGCATTAACACATATAAATCTTCCTGGCTTCCCCACGTGATTCGCTCTCCCAGATTCAAAACGTTGTTTCTCATCAATTCCAGCTCCATTGGTTAGACTCAGAACACTAGCATCGCAATGACTCATCTTTCTGTCAACGGCCTTGAACTTCTTTGGATTCCAATTCATTACTTCAACCAGATGATAAGCTTCTTGTTTTGTTTCCTTGGCTGAACTTGAATCTTCTTCTTGAATCATATTTTTTATACCTCTCTCACAAATCCTTTCTTCCATTTGTGCTTCAAACTTCATGTTATAAACATCCAAGTAGGCCAATAACTTCCTTGAGAGCCTTGTTATTCCACCAGATTCCCAAACTCGGATATTCCAAGATGAAATGAGTTTCAGTACCTCTTGTTGATCTCGCCCATCTTCTAGATAATGTGACTTGTTACTCTTTTTTCCGTCGGATCCAATTAACTTGTTTAGATTCCAATTCATCATCACTTGCATCTGCGGAATCAGAAATGATTCAAGCTGGTGTGATTCTTGTTGCGGTACTGATTTCTTCTCTGGACTTGATTCTACAACTGGAGTTATGACTGGCAAAGCCAAAGCTAAAACCAACGGATGGAATTGTTCTTACCGTCTCCAAAGAAGCCACTCTTTCCTTTCTTAGCATTAGTTTCAGCGTCCTTTAACTTCTGCTTTTCTTTATCGATAACCGGTTCCTTCAACCCTTCATCCTTTGAAATCTGACATTCCTTGAGCTGCAATTGCTGAGGCTTAGAATTTTTCCAAGAAGATGGTGTAAACTTCTGTGGATGAGCTGTTTCGTATAATCTTCCCAACATAAAGCATTGGCTCACTGTTTCAGGATGAAACATTCTGATATTCATCTGAGTATCTATTCTCAACCCTGCCAAAAAGTTACTCACCAAATCTGCTTCAGAAAGATTTACGCGAGTCCGTATTAACTCAAACTTATTGTGATAATCCCTAATTCCATTAGTCTCTCGTAAATTCTGTAGTTCAGTAATCGGATCATCCCGCACATCCTCAAACCTCTCTTTCAAAAACAGCCATTCCTTCAACTTATCTCCACTAAACATAACCCATCATGGTTGAGATGTGTACCTGAACTCAAATTTTGACCCAATTTGTTGGCGTTAATCGGAACAGACGGAGCCAAAGATGGTTGATTAACTTCTGAAAGTGATAACAACCTGATTGTTTCAAGCATATCCGCCGTGGTCTTCGCAATCGTCGCGTTTTGCTCTGTGATCGAAGTCTCCAACGCCTGGGTTCGGCGAAGCATTTGATCGATGCGTGAACCAAGCGATTTATTAATCTCTGTAGCACTCGTCTGTGATTTCGTTTCCATTCCCATGAATCCGAGAATCGATTGGCGTCTGATACCTTTGATACAGAATAACTGTAACTGGGATAAATGTAATCTCAAATGGAAATCCAATGTGTTGAGATTTACGGACCTCAAAGCATCGACTTTCTCTGAGATAAATCCCAACAACCAAGAATAGAACAGAGATGAAAGAGAACTTGAAGAAACAGAGGAGGAACAGAGTATTTGCGTTTGATAAGAGAGAAAGTAAGCAAAGAAAGAAAAGGGAGCACACACACAACTTTACCCAGTTCACGCCCATTAACTAGGGTCGCTACGTCTGGGCCGAGACTAACCTCGGAATCCACTAGAATCAAGAGAGAGTTATACACAAAGAGATTACAAGTGACCCACTCTAATGCCCTTCACTAGCACTTAAAGCTCACTCTGTCAATCTCTAAGCCTAGAAAACATGTAAACAAGTTTATGCTCTTTACAAGTTTTCTACTTTAACTCTCCGTAAATAAACTCTCGATTCTTTTCTTATTTCATATCTCTCTATTCCTTAAAGACATCCTTTTATAGTGGTGATGCTTTAGGGCTTCCTTGTCCAAGCGCCAAACGCAAAGATTCCATCTTCAAACGCCAAAGAGCAATCTGTCTTCTTCCTTGTCTTTATCCAACCGTGTCTTTTTCTGCTCTGAGCAATATCCATCAGACAAACCAGCGATACACTGATAAAAGCCTGCTGCTCCAAAACAGATTGCAGAACCGTTGACTTTAGGTGGTCCCAAAAGCAATTGATAACCATGGTTATTTGATTTACACCAAACCATGAGAATCTTTGACCAGACACGGGTTGAAGAGGATAAGACCAAATATGCTTGCTCATCAAGTCATCATAATTCTTACAAATCTCCACCTGATGAGATGATGATCAAGCCGGCGAATGGACATAGAGAGATAACGAGAGTACCTTGATTCTAGACTTGTGGATTCCAGTCTCGGATTTCCTGAGTTTTACTACTCAGACTTGACTTGTAGCAAGTTCAATGCAGCCTGAAACTTGCTCACAGCCAAGACCTTCGTGAATATATCGGCGGGATTCTTCTCAGTTGATATCTTCACCACTTCTACCAAACCATCTGCAATAGCTTCCCTGATGAAATGGTATCTCACATCGATGTGCTTGGTCCTCTCATGGTGAACATTATTTTTAGAGAGGGCAATCGCACTTTGAGAATCACAATGGATCTCCACACTTTTCTGCTCATACCCAAAATCCTTTAACAAACCCTTCAGCCACAGAGCTTCTTTAACAGCTTCAGTAAGGGACATATACTCAGATTCAGTAGTAGAAAGAGCCACTACTCTCTGCAATCCCGACTTCCAGCTTATAGTATTGCCACCAAGAGTGAATACCAAACCCGTTGTAGATCTTCTTTTATCAGGGTCTGCAGCATAATCTGCATCACAGTAACCAACCAACTTGAAATCTGAACTCTTCTTGTAGCAGAGACGTGTAGTAAGAGAGCCCTTGATATATCTCAGAACCCATTTAACTCCAAGCCAGTGATCTCTGATTGGCTGGCTCATGAATCTGCTAATGACACCAACAGGATAAGCTAAATCAGGACGAGTCCCAATCATAGCGTACATAATGCTCCCCACGACATTAGCATATGGAACTGACTTCATATACTCTTCATCTTCAGCCAATTGTTTCTCTGTAGTAGCACGGAGCCTTAGATGAGCTCCAAGAGGTGTTACTGTGTGCTTTGCTTCTGTCATGTTGTATGTCTCCAGAATACGATTCAAGTATCCTTCTTGTGACAGCCATAGAGCATGTGATGCTCTGTCTCGGATTATCTCCATACCAAGGATCCTCTTTTCAGGTCCTAGATCCTTCATTTCAAACCGCAGACTGAGCTCCTTCTTTAACTGATTTATGGCCTCCATATTCTTAGCCGCCACAAGCATATCATCCACATAAAGCAACAAATACATCATGGTACCATCAAGCAGCACCTTAGTGTAAGCGCAGCTATCATAATCGTTTCTCGTGAACCCAATCTCAGACATGTAGTCATCAAACTTCTCATTCCACTGCCTAGGTGCTTGCTTAAGACCATAGAGTGCTTTGTTGAGGAGACATACCTCATTTTCCTTGAACAGCGACTCATAACCTTCAGGTGGAGTCATGTAGATCTTCTCCTTCAAATCACCATGGAGGAAAGCTGTTTTAACATCAAGTTTCTCCAGCTCTAGATCTTCTTGTTCAACAATAGTAAGCAAGATCCTTATGGAAACATGCTTTACTACTGGAGCAAATATCTCATGATAATCAACTCCTTCCTTTTGAGCATAGCCTTTTGCCACAAGCCTAGCTTTAAAACGTGGATCCTCAACTCCAGGTATACCAAGTTTATACTTGTATATCCATCTACTTCCAATAACTCTCTGGTTTTCTGGCCTAACAACAATGGTCCATGTGTTGTTTCTGGTCTGAGAATCCATCTCTTCCTCCATCACTAATCTCCATTTATCCCAGTTTTCATTTCTTTTTGCTTCACTGAAATCTGCAGGTTCAATGGTGTCTCCATCTTCAGTGGTGTAGAGAGCTTCTGCGAAGTAATCTTCATCATCAAACCTTCTCGGAGCTTTTATTTCTCTCCTATCTCTGTCTCTGACAAGATGGTAGCTCAATGGAGATTGATTTACATCAGAATCTTCATTGCTGGAATCACCATGAGTTGCAGGTGAGACTTGAGTTGGACTAGCAGGAATAGGAGACTGAGATTCAGTCTCAGTATCTCCACCAGAAGTGGTATCTCCCTCAGCTTCAAGATCTAGATCGAGATATGATCCACCTTGATCTTCTTCTTCCGTAAGAACACCATCACTTCTCTGTAGTAGATCCTTGTAGACTGCATTTTCTTGAAAAATAATATTTCTCCCCACTGCACATTTCTTTTCATCAAGCAGCCATACCTTGTAGCCTTTAACTCCAGAAGGGTAACCCAAAAGAACACCTTTCTTAGCTCTCGGACTTAACTTCCCATCATCAGTGTGAATAAACACAACACAACCAAACCTGCGTAAGTAACTGTAAACAGGTGGTTTCCCAGACCATTTCTTATCTGGTCTATCAAAATTGATAGCTGATGATGGAGTCTTGTTAATAATAACCACTGCAGTGTGTGTCACTTCAGCCCAAAAGCGTTTTGGGAGACCTGAATCACACAACATACTCCTCACTTTCTCCATTACGGTACGATTCATACGTTCTGCAACTCCATTTTGCTGTGGAGTATAAGCACAAGTCCTGTGCCGTTGAATCCCTCTTGCCTTGCAGAAATCATCAAAGAGATTGTTACAGAACTCAAGACCGTTGTCAGTTCTCAGAGTCTTAACCTTCTTCTCACTTTGATTCTCCACCAGATTAACCCAATCAACAAATTTCCCAAAAGCTTCATCTTTTGTCTTCAAGAAATAAACCCAAACCTTTCTTGAGAAGTCATCGATGAAGGATATGAAATACTGACATCTTCCAAGCGAAAACGGCACTGATGGAGCTCCCCATAAGTCTGAATGCACATACTCAAGCTTCTCCTTGGTATCGTGTTGAGCTAACGTAAACCCCACTCTCTTAGCTCTTCCATAGATGCAATCTTCACACGTATCAAAGGTGGAGACTTTCTTCCCATCTAAGAAACCTCTCTTAACCAAGATGCTCATATTCTTCTGACTCATATGGCCTAACCTCCTGTGCCACATCACTGTATCATCTTGCTTCTTTACAGCAGCAAGTGATTCTCCTGAGATCGGTTTCCACTGCAGTAAGTATAGAGTGTCATACCTTCTCCCTGTCAAAAGGATTTGCTCTCCTGCTTTGACACTCAAAACTCCGTTTTCTGACTCAAACTTGTAGCCAGCTTTCTCAAACGTTCCCAGAGACAAAAGATTTCTGTCCATCTCCGGAATATATCTCACGTTAGTGAGAAGCACCTTCAGACCTTGTTCATTATGCAACCTGATTGAACCGATTCCTCTGACCTTGGCTACCGTCTGATTTCCCATCCTTACAGAACCTCCAGAAACCTCTCTTAACTCCTCAAACCATTCCTTCTTGTAGGTCATGTGATAACTGCAGCCGGTGTCCAAAATCCATTCTTCTTCAAGACGTATGTCTGTAGAAGATAGAGCTTCTGACACATACAAGCCGGTAGCTTCAGTTACATTACCATGTCCATTTGAGCTCTCTGCTTTGCTGCTGCCTACTTCTTTAGCTCGGAAATGAGCTTTGTTCTTGTTAGGACAAGCATTCTTAAAGTGACCCTCTTCTCCACAGATCCAACATCCTCGTTTACTCTTAGACTTGGATCTGGCTCGAACAGATTTTCCCTTTTCTCTGCGCTCAGACCTTCCTCTTGATTCACCTTTGTCTTTAACATAAAGACCCTCAGCTTGACCTTTGATACTCTTCTTATTTGACCCAAGCTCCAGCTCCTTAGAATATATAGCAGAAACGACTTCATCTAGAGTAAGAGTCGTTCTTCCTGAGCCATATCTAAGAGTATCTTTCAATTGATCAAACGGTCTAGGCAGAGACATCAAGAGAAGTATAGCTTAATCTTCATCAGCAACCTGAACATCCATGTTGTCTAAATCTTCTATAATATGAAGGAACTCATCAATATTACCTTCAACAGAGAGATTTTCAGACATTTTGAAGCTGTATAGCTTCTGCTTCAAGTAGATTCTGTTCGGAAGCGCTTTGGACATGTAGAGGTTGTCCAGAGCTTTCAACATAGAGACAGCAGTCTTCTCCTTCTTAACTTTCCGTAAAACCCTGTCAGCGAGACTGAGAACAATAGTGCTCCTTGCTCTTTTCTTCTTCTCTTCAAAAGCTTCGAGCTTTGCTTCTGCATCTTTGTCTTCTTCGTTAGATGCTTCCAGATCTGAAACCTTCTTAGATCCACCATCTTCTCTGAAAACAACGCTTAAACCCAGAATATCCAAGTGAGCTTCAAGCTTCTCTTTCCACATCAAGTAGTCTCCACGACCATCATATTTCTCCACCTCTATTCTTGCGGATGACATGGTTCTCAGTTCCCGTGAACTTTACAGAACACCAACAACAGAACCTGGCTCTGATACCAAGCTGTTGAGATTTACGGACCTCAAAGCGTCGACTTTCTCTGAGATAAATCCCAACAACCAAGAATAGAACAGAGATGAAAGAGAACTTGAAGAAACAGAGGAGAAACAGAGGGTTTTCGTTTGATGAAAAGAGAAAGTAAACAAAGAAAGAAAAAACAGAGCACACACACAACTTTACCCAGTTCACGCCCGTTAACAAGGGTCGCTACGTCTGGGCCGAGACTAACCTCGGAATCCACTAGAATCAAGAGAGAGTTATACACAAAGAGATTACAAGTAACCCGCTCTAATGCCCTTCACTAGCACTTAAAGCTCACTCTGTCAATCTCTAAGCCTAGAAAACATGTAAACAAGTTTATGCTCTTTACGAGTTTTCTACTTTAACTTTCCGTAAATAAACTCTCGATTCTTTTCTTATTTCGTATATCTCTCTATTCCTTAAAGACATCCTTTTATAGTGGTGATGCTTTAGGGCTTCCTTGTCCAAGCGCCAAAAGCAAAGATTCCATCTTCAAACGCCAAAGAGCAATCTGTCTTCTTCCTTGTCTTTATCCAACCGTGTCTTTTTCTGCTCTGAGCAATATCCATCAGACAAACCAGCGATACACTGATAAAAGCCTGCTGCTCCAAAACAGATTGCAGAACCGTTGACTTTAGGTGGTCCCAAAAGCAATTGATAACCATGGTTATTTGATTTACACCAAACCATGAGAATCTTTGACCAGACACGGGTTGAAGAGGATAAGACCAAATATGCTTGCTCATCAAGTCATCATAATTCTTACACAATGTTCATAAAACAAAGAACAACCCACACCTTAAGAATCCAGAGATTACAGATCAAATTCTTAAGAGAGAAATCAGAGAGAAGAAGGGTAACGACGAGAAGGGAAAACAACAAACAACTTTCACAATTTTTCTCATTGAATCAATTATTTCCTTTGTCTTTTTACTTAAACCCTCAATAGAAGTAGCTTTTGATCTCAGCCTTTGATTCAGCTCTCTTAATCTGGACCCTCCATTTGCTCACTCCTCATGACCCTCTTATTTCCTATATCAGAGAGATTGTTCGGTGGCGTTCAATTGAATCGCTGACGAAGAGATCGGGGAGATGGGTTTGTGAGGGATTGAAATGCTTTAGAGATTCTTATCGCTGATTCGTAATCGGAGGAGAAAGGTAATTCGGCGGCGAGAGAAGAAGAAACGATCACAAGAAATTTGGGGTTTTTTAAGTATTTCATTACTCCTTTAACTTTACCAATTATTATTTCCCATCATGGTATTTCTAATTTTTTATTTTTTTCTTATTTACTTCAAATCAATTTAACTTCTCCTACTTCAAATAGAAAAGTTGATCATATATAATGCAAAATCATGAGAGAAACCTTGTGTTCCTAGAAATAATATTGAAATTTACATATTTGGAAAAAATATTTTATACAAAATGGTTACAAGTGACAAAACTTTATAATAGTCATAATTTGATTTCATGATATATCTCACTCATAATTAATTTTATTAGTAATTTTTAATATTTTAATTTTATAATTTTGGATTTAGGTTTTATGTTTGAGTGTTAAGTTGAAGGCCATCATGAACTCATAATTTAGGGTTTGAGATTTTAGTTTTAGATTTTAGTTAACATTCATACAAAAAAAAATAGTTTTAGAATTTGAGATTTTGGATTAAGGGTTTAGGGTTTGTGATTTCGAAAATTAGATTTGAATACTTTTGAAATTATTTGTTAGTGTAGATTATTAGTTTTAGATATATATAATCATTAGTTATGTTTAGGGTTTAGTGTTTAATATTTAGCATATTATTTTATTTGAAATTTGTTATAAGTGTTAACAAAATATATCCATTCTAGAAAAATATGTAATCATTTAAAAATGTGTGATTTATTAGAAATGTTAGATTTCGTTTCCATGTAAGGGTTAGATTTAAGAGTTTAAATATGAAGGTTTGGAATTGAATTTTTATACTTTTTGCTAATTCTGATTTATTGTATTCGTTTTGGAATAAAGTTTATGGTTTATGGTTTAAGTTTAGAATTTTGGGTTTGCTTTTTTTAATTTAGGGTATAAGATTTTCAATATGCTACAACTAGCCACAATTTATTTGCATCACATGAAAAACATTTTAAGGAATTTGATTTTAACGGAAATATACATTTATATTTTAACCGCGCCTTAATATATCTGAAAAAGTATAAGAGACAAAATATTTATAAAATTCAAATGACAATTAAAATACAAGTAACTAAACTTTGTAATAATCACAACCCGCGCATCGCGCGGGCTTAGCCCTAGTTTTAGTAAAAGAAGATCAAGTGATTCACCACAAACCAATATCAAAATAAGGCGATCAAACCTTCTCTGATTGAACCGGTGCGTCTGCTTTCTTTGCTCAAGACAAATCTCTGGCCATGCTTCAAGGTTGGCAGGCCTGCATCTACGAGATTTAGCGAGAGAGAAATAGGCGTTTCATGATGGTATCACGCTTCCACCTCTCGTGGCTGCGAATCAGATTATCACTCTTCTTAAAAACAAGGCTTTGGCTCTGCAGCCAGAGCACGAGATCCAGTAATGGTGAATCGTTCCAGGCTATATGGTCATCAAGGCGTTAATTCTGGCCTTGTTTCTTTTTCATCTCTTTGATTTCTCCTTCCCCATCCTCCTCTTCTTCTCTCTCTAGTTCTTCGCGTTTATTTTGTTCCTCGCGGGTGTAAAACTTTTAATTTTAATGAAGATCCTTTAACAAAAACAAAAAAAGACATTCCTCCAGTTATAAGCTGAATTTTCTGGTAGAGCCCTAATCTTCATGCATAGTAAAAAGTAGAAAACGAAGAAAGAAACATGTATAAATTGATTCATAATATGAGTTTTGAAAAAACAGCAGCACAAGTAATTATGTTCGTTATGGCTCTATACCATCACTATCCACTAATTTAGCTGTTTGATACAAAGTTATAATATCACGACAGCAATTTATGTAAATGAAGTAGTAGCTTTATACCATCTTTTTCATTCCTTTTTACCTTTGTGGACTTCATCCCCTTTTTCATTCCTTGCCATGAACAATTACGCAGTAGCTTTCGAGTGAGCGATTAAACCGTTCTTGTAGTCTGCATATACCAAACCAAATCTTTTGGTTAGCCCACTCAAAGTTGTCCAGCAACGACCACACAAAGTATACCTTTATATCCACTTCGTCTCTGTTTCAGTTTTCATCGTTAACAAATCACTCTCAGTGTTATATCTCGGTTTCCAAAGTTTTGTTGCTTGTAAGCATATGAATGAAGAAAAAAAAATTTGGCACACGTGATAGCCTCAGTGACATTGGCAAGGTAACTCTTGAAGGCAACTCTACGTTTATTGTCAAGCATGTCATGGATAGAGGCAGATCCGTCATCTTCTAAATAACAAATAGCGAAAGAATTGTACTTAAAAGCCAACCCAGTTCAATACCTTGTGTGTAATGCTAAAAGTAAACCTACAAACTTGAGTAAGAAACTTAAGACTGATCTATAACAAATAATTCATGGATCCGTTTTGGCAAGGAAAGATTACTCCATAGTCAAATCCCAAGCAGCCTAACATCTAAATCACTATATAAACTCAAATCCTTGAAATCAGTTGCTGTAACCTGTTGTTCTTCTTCTTTACTTGTGCAGTAAGATTTTTTTGCTTGTATTAAGGTAAGGATTTAGTTGAGCCACTTTAGCAGGAAATTGAATTGAGCTACGGTATGGCTCATCGGCGGAGTCCAAGAAAACTATGTTCTAGATATAGGGTTTAATATATATAGATTTTTAGAGTTTAGGGTTTTTTAAATTTATAATGATGATTATCGTAGTTAATAATGATGGTTATTTTTATAGGCTAGGGTTTAGTATATATAGTAATAACCGGATAAACAAAAATTTATTTTTTTAAAAACCATAAGATCATTATATCATTTAAGAATATATATATTTTTTAATTTGAATTGGATAAAATCTATATTTTTTTTTAATACATGAAACAAATCATTCATAAAAAGGAAATACTCAAGATATTATCAAGATTTTCATTAAGAATAGTTTTGTATTTCCGAGACTAAGATTGAATGTGGTGCTCTAAACGAAATTCTGACTTTGCAAATAATTGTATGATAATAAAGATGATATTATATATATATATATATATATATATCATCTTTTTATATATACTAGGTTAAAGCCCGCGCTATGCGCGGGTGGTCATGTTATTTTTTCTACATATAATTTTATTTTTCAAAGTTGTGAAAATACTTTTTTCTTTTAAATATGACATTTTGTTTTCCTTGTAACCCGAACTCGACCCAAAAAACCCGAATCGAATCCAAACCAAAATTGTAAAAATGGTTTTCATATCTTTAAACCAGCAAAACTCGGAAGAAAATAAAAAAAGCTATAAAAACCCGGAAACCCACAAAAATCTGATTAACCCAAACCAAAGCCGAAAATACCCGAATTGAAGCAAAAAAACACTTGAACAGAGCCCAAACCAATTTATAAAAAAAAGCCTCGAACGGTTCTATATCTCTAAACCCGAGAACCTGGAATCTGAAAAACCCGATCGGAAGACGATCCGAAAGGCCGAAGTCGAAGGCCTAGTCTCTCGGATGTAGTGTTTCGTTTAGTTTCTTGAGATTTTTACCCATCACTCGTGCTTATTTCCCCTCTTTTGTAGCCTTTTAGTCGCAATTTCGACATGAAACATAAATTTGGCATAAATATATCTATATGAATGTCTTTGAGTATCAGATAAGTGAAATTTTGACTTGTTACAATTAATAAATAATTTATCTGAAAGTTTGAGTTCATTTGGGAAAATGCTACGCATAGGTTTTTATAAATATTTTCAATTAAAAGTAATCAATTTGAAAATTATGGATTATTATTTGATGTTATTCTTTGTGTTTCCTGAGCAAACTATTATTTTTGCTGCTTATTTCAGTAACTATTACAAAAATTTGTTTATTAAGGTATTGTTATAACATCAAAAATGAGCTTATTATCATTTAATTTCATGGTATAGGTAAAATTTATTTTGATGGCAAATCACTCTTCACTATAAGTAATCGTTATGTTAGTTGATAATGGTTTTTTTGTTTTTCGAATAAACTATTTCTCGAGATTTTATAGAAAAAATCATGTCTTGAAGCTAAACACAAATAAATGTTACAACTACGCAACTATCTAGTATTCCAATGTTTTTGTACATTAAACTTGATTGGAGTTTTGTATTACAGTTTATTACACTCTCTCACTGTTCTCGTTCTTCTACTATTATTTTCATCGTTGCGTTTTCCGTGGTTGTTATGTAACCCATTTTTTTTTTGTTAAAGGGTCTTGTTATGTAACCCATTTTCTTTTCGATAATTTGTTCTTGCTTATTGGTTTTCTACATAATTTTTTAGAATTAAATATAAGTATAAACAAAAATTGTGAGATTATATTTACATAATCCCATATAATCCAAACGTGAGATAACTCTATGCCCGATATGTTTTTTTACAAATTTGTTAAGAAGATGGTATCATGATTCAAATTCTATTATCATTGATATAAATGGTAATTTGATCTTTTCAATGATTATGTGATATAAAAAAGATTAACTTACTTAAAACTGTTGAACCATAGATAACACTATCTAAACTTTTGATGATTGAATTTTTCGCTTAAACAGAACATAATTGTTGTCATTATGCCGCCCTTATCTATCTTTTTGTTTTCGTATCACATAATCACCAATTTACAAACCTATAGTGAGAAACATGTCCTCGTCTTCCAAATCACAACAAAACACAGAGCTAAATAAATTGAGACTAATCATTCCTTATAAGGAGTAGAACACATAATAGACCTTAACTATGAGCCAAACTAATACGAAAGTATGCAACATGTCAAGATGGAGGATAAAAAAACGCCTCCAAAGCTTAATCCTCATATACACTACGCATTCCTTTTTTAACGATTATTCTTTTATACCCTCAATGTAGATTTTTTTTTTTTTCCAGGCTGTAACCACCATCTCTCTCAAAACAGAGTCTGGTAAACCCAACAAAAAAGAAAGTTAAACAACTTCTTATGAGTCTTCAGATCAAAGATGATATTCGTTTTCCAAAACTTTGGTTACCTTCAATGGGTTCTGAATGATCTGCACAACAATCTTCTGGTCAAAGTTGGCTGTTGGAAGTTTTTCCAAATATCTCGTGCGTATAGAAGAGCCACACCTCCTCCTGAAAGTGTTTTGATTTGTTTCTTCAGCACATCTCAGTATCTCACAAACCTTTTAGCTTTTATGTGAAAAGAGTGAGGAGGAGACATACCTGGCAAAATACCCTCTTCAACAGCTGCTTTCGTGGCATTCAAAGCATATGTCACCCTGTCTTTCTTATCACCAACTTCAGCGTCACTTGCTCCTCCAATCTATACCCAAAAAGCACCAAAAGTTTACAACAAAACCAAGCTGCTGCTGTTTTTACACTACAAAAAATCTTTAACATCGACTAACCTTCAAAACTGCAACAACTCCAGAGAGCTTCGCCAACCTTTCTTGCAATTTCTCCTTGTCATAACCTGTGGTGCTCAGTTCCATTGCTGACCTTATCTGTTAATTGCAATTAGAAAAAAATAGCAACTTTACATTTTCCACTCATAACAGTACCCTTTAACAATAGAAGGATTTTCATAATCTATTGCATACAAATTCTACCAACTGATTTAATCAGGGGTAAGGAACAAAACAAACCTGCTCACATCTTTCCTCGATGGCTTTCTTGTCGCCAGCTCCATCAAGAATAATAGTGTCGTCCTTGGAGACTGTAGTTTACATACTGAGCCACCTTCGCTAAATTCATGCAAAGGTCATCTGCGATAACCTTTATCAACCTTGAATACAGGATTTTCAAGGGAACATGAATCCGAATTTACTAATGGAAGCTAAAGCATACATACTTTGAGAGCCAACTCCAACACTTTGACTTTAGAGTTAATTGTGGTGATCTTCTTCTCATGGATAACGAATAAGAGGATCATCTAGTTCCTGCAAATATCAAAACTGAACTGACTCATCAAGGATTGAAACTTATCCATCAAATGTCATGATTTTCCTTTTGACATCGAAACTAATGTCAGATTTCCCAAAAACAAAGTCGGAGAATTTTTTTTGACATGAAGTTAAAGAATCAAATCGTTATACATAATCTGCTAACGATGCCGCTTGCGTGATGCTTCCTAAATTAAGAAGAAGGCATATTTAACAAAAGGTCAAAGAAGCAAAACATCAAACTTACAGTTGGGATCAAGTTAAGCATTTTAGAAGCCAGACGCTCATCTTCTAACAATGATTTGCTATCTTCTGATACTCCTGAAGCAATAAGATCTGAGAAGGTCCAAAGAAGGAACCAAAGCTGCACAGAAAAAGAAAAATTAAGAAAAACAGAGTTGAATTTAATTTTATGCTAAATCTATCAACACAATTGTACAATAAAACCAAGAAAATAGCACCTACTCGTTATACATAAGTTTTCTTTTCCTCTGCTCCGAGGTTGGAGTTGGATCAATATTGTTTCCCTTTTGGCATATTCTTTCTGATTGATTCCATAATCATTGACACAATTCAAAAAACTCTGATTCATAATTCTGCATATTTCCTGGAAGATAGTTTGTCATAGTAAGTTCCTGCAAGTTAAAAAACTCCAATTCAATATGTGTGTTTCACATAAACCATCGTAAGAAAATCTAAGCAAGCGATGTCAAAAGTAATTACTACAATACGAAGATGAACAAAGGGAAAAACAAAACAGAGACATATCTATTGATAGCAACTACCACCTGTGACCATTCTCTATTATAAATAGCATCTCTGTTATGACTACATTGTACGGATGGGAAAGATATAAAGACTGTATTGAGACTTGAGAAAAGCATGTCCTGTTTGATAGACAGAAATCATCACAACATTGATAAGATCAAAACTTTTTTCGAGAAAGGTTGAAAAGGAAGGATCTTCAATCTCATTACCCCGTTCATGTATTTCTCGACAACCCCGGGAATATCATTTTTGGGCTTGTAGTTACCAAAGAAAGTACCCTTGAGAGTCCTCTCATTCAGAAAGTTCATCGGATGAGTCTTGAAAGCATCGTCTTTGCTTGGCACACCCACCAACACCGCAACACCCCAACCCTGAAAAAAAACAATCAAATAGCCTCAGAACATGCACAATCTTTAGTTATGTATGGTTTCCGAATCAATGTGAAGAAGAAAAGAGTATTACATCATGAACACATTCTAAAGCTTGAATCATGGCTTGTATGTTACCGGTACACTCCACACTCCGGTCAACACCACCGTCTGTCATCTCAGCGATCACTTGTTGAACCGGTTTGTCATGCTCTCTAGGGTTTACAAACTCGGTCACACCAAATTTCTTCGCTGCGAACGTTTAAACCAACTTCGATATTAGATTAGAGAAGAACAAAAGTGAAAGTGACAAAGACTAATCATTTTGGTGACTAACCTTCTTCGAATCTCTTGAGGTTGAGATCAACACCAATGATCCTACCAGCACCAGAGATTCTAGCACCTTCAGCAGCGGCTAAACCAACAGCACCAAGACCGTTACAATCTCTAATGAACTACACAAAATATCGAAATTTGGATACTTTCAAGTGAAAATTACATTGATAATCACACATTTTCTGATTCACATTTTGGGGGTCCAGAACAATTCTCCTAGTGGACCGCAGGCCCAAAGTCACTTCGCCTTATACACACATACCAGCCAGTCTTCGTCACGTGCGAGATCCAACTGGTCCGGTCAACGGCTATAAAGTCGTCGTCTTCTCCAATCCAACACCGTGCAACAAGAAAAAGGAAGCAGAGCTAAGAGGAAGTCACAAAGAGAGAAAGAGAGCTTGAAGAGAGAGAATAAGAGAGAGAGAAGTAAGATAGGCTTATCGAGACTTCCTTATACCTTATTCTACTTGTAAGCTTGATCTCGAGGTTTCCGGTACATCGGAATCTCTGTAATCGCTCGGAACTCTTTCTTTGATATAGTGGATTGCGTAGGAAGGCGCGAATCCTTCCCCCAGTGAGTAGGAAACGAACACTGGGTAAAAAATCACTTGTGCAATTTACTTTCCTGCAATTTAACAAACATCGCATTAGTAAAATATAATCTCAAAGTTAAAACTCAACAAGTGGTATCAGAGCTCCAAGGTTGGAGATGAGATTACTAATGGCGGATCACGCAGGAGGTAAAGGATTTTCTCACCTGGATTTGATCGCGGAGTTGTTACCGAGAAGGGATCTGATCTGATCTCTTAAGGTTGATTGTTAGATCATAAGTCTTCGCGGTCAAGGTTTTCTGGATTTCTTGTGTTCATCGGATTTTCTCTCGGGTTTTTTCTGGTTTTCTCTTGGTTTTCTCGTCGTGGTTATCTGCAAAATCAGTGTAGTTGTGTTCTATTAGTGAATCTACTATGGAACCTACACTGGGAAGATTTGAGATGGAGAAATTTACCGGGAAAGAGGATTTCGGGATGTGGAAATATAAGCTGCTTGGTCAGCTGGAGATCCAAGGTCTTGCATCTGTCCTTGATGAAGATTTCTCGATCTACGTTAAATCTGAGAAACAGGAAGAAGGAGCATCACCAAGGAAAGATCAAAGAAAGCAGCACAGGATCTAAGAGTGAGAAACTTACTTGGTACTTGCCTCAGTGATGTGATTTTGAGGAAAGTGATGGATTCGCCAACATCTCGAGATATGTGGCTTGCCCTGGAAGAAGAGTATCAGGCAAAATCATTACCAAATCGGATTTATCTCAAGCAACAGTTTGCTAGCTTCCGCATGGATGAGAATAAGAATTTGGAAGATAACCTGGATACGTTTCTGAAGCTTATAGCCGATCTTGCCAGTTTGAAGATTACCATCAGTGATGAAGACCAGGCCATTCAACTCCTCACGAGTCTGCCTCCAGCGTATGAGCAGCTAGTTCATACTCTTAAGTATGGAACTGGGAAGAAACTCTCAGTTAGAGAGGTTAAAATCATCTGCATACGCAAAAGAAGCAGAGCTTAGACACAATGGAATGCTAAAAAAGGGAAAGTCTAGTGCTGAGGGACTCTATGTTGAAAACCGAGGAAGGTCTAAGAAGCGGAATGATGGTAAAGACAAGGGAAAGACTAAGGATCAGGGAGGAAGATCTAAGTCTAGAAACAAAAATGGCAAGAAAGGTACCTGTTTCATTTGTGGCAAGGAGGGTCATTGGAAGAGGGAATGCCCAATGCGTGGACAAAAGCAGAATGAAAGCTCCTCTGTTAACACAGTAGCAGAGATAAAGCAGCCTTTGGTCCTCACTGTGAGTTCTCAATACACCAAGGATGAGTGGGTTATGGACTCCGGATGTACCTTTCACATTACACCAAACAAGGAGTTAATGTTTGACTTGACAGAATTTGAGGGAGGAAAAGTGCATATGGCAAATAGCACATACAGTGAAGTAAAAGGAATTGGAAAATTCGAATTACTAACCCAGATGGGTCTGTGGTGATCCTCACGGATGTCAGGTACATGCCGGATATGAGTCGGAATCTCATCTCGTATGGTATGTTGGAGAAGTCAGGATGTACCTACACAGGAGAAACTACAAGTTACGTTCTTCAAAGATGGTCAGAAGGTGATTACTGGAAAATATTGATGGCCTCTATTTTCTCCAAGGAACAGTTTCTAAAGGGGATGTAAATGTGATAGATCCTAAGAACAACTGACTAGTCTATGGCATTCAAGGCTAGGTCACATGAGTTCTAAGAATATGGAAGTCCTATCTAAGGAAGGTTACATACCTCGAATGGAGATTGGAGAACTAGGCTTCTGTGAGAGCTGCGTCCTGGGGAAGTCTCACAAGCAGAGCTTCCCGAAAGCCAAACACACTACTAAAGGGATCCTTGAGTACGTTCACTCGGATCTATGGGGTTCACCGTCAACTCCAGAGAGTCTCGGTGGTGCAAAGTACTTCATCAGCTTCATCGATGATTACTCAAAGAAGCTTTGGGTTTATTTCCTGCGAACAAAGGATGAGGCATTCAGTAAGTTCAAAGAATGGAAAGAAGCTGTTGAAAGTCACACTGAGAAGAAGATAAAGTGTTTGAGAACAGATAATGGTTTGGAATTCTGCAATACCTTGTTTGACGACTTGTGCAGAAAGTCTGGAATTAAGCGCCATCGAACCTGTACCTACACCCCACAACAAAACGGAGTATCAGAAAGGATGAACAGAACCATTATGGATAAAGTGAGAAGTATGCTAGTTGAGACAGGATTGGGACAAGAGTTTTGGGCTGAAGCTACATCTACCTGTGTATCTGATAAACAGGACACCTAATTCTACAATTGAGTTTCAATTACCAGAGGAGAGGTGGTCTGGTCAAAAGCCTGATCTCACACACCTAAGAAGGTTCGGGTGTACAGCTTACGTTCACACTATTCAGGAAAAGATAGTCCTAGAGCTGTAAAAGGCACTTTCCTAGGCTATCCGTTTGGTGTTAAGGGTTACAGGGTCTGGATTCCAGAAGATGGAAAGTGTACGACTAGCAGGAATGTTGTTTTTAAGGAGGATGAAGTTTACAAGGATCTAAACAGTTCTAGCAGTCTACGTCTAGTGATCAGTCTACGGCTACACAGAAGAAGAAATCTGGGAGGAAAAATGTTACCTTTGATACTCAGCTGATACAAGGACCGACTCCATTGGGTGCACAAAATTTCAGATGTTGATGTTGGTTCTGAGGGTTCATCTGATATCGACGGTCATGAAATTTCATCTTCTGATGCGGATTCTTCTCAAGGTGGAGCTACTCTTCAGGTGGAGCTACCACTCCTTCCTCAGTTGATCCCATTGATGTTACCTCGGATGATGAAGAAGAAGGATTAATTTCAATGAGGAAGAAGAAGAAAATGAGACTGAAACACTAAACAAGATGATGATTACCTGTTAGCAAGAGACCGTGAGAGACGTCAAAACGTCAGGCCACCTTCACGATATGAGGATGCCGACTTCGTGGGTTATGCTCTATCTGCAGCTGAAGACATTGAAACGGAGAATCCTAAGTCAATGACAGAAGCAAGAAAAGTCCTAATTGGAAATTATGGCATAATGCAGCAGATGATGAGATGACTTCATTGATAAAGAATCATACCTGGGATTTGATTGAGAAACCGGAAGATGCCAGGGTTGTAGGCAGTAAATGGATCTTTACAGTGAAATCAGGGATTCCAGGGGTTGAGGCAAAGACACAAGGCAAGGTTGGTGGCTCAGGGGTTTTCTCAGACAGAGGGTGTTGACTACAATGAGATCTTCTCACCTGTGGTTAACATGTCTCTATTCGACTAATGCTATGCAGCGGTTGTTAACAGAGACTATGAGCTAGAACAGATGGATGTCAAGACTGCATTTCTACACGGTGACTTAGAAGAAAGGATACTAATGAAGCAACCAGAAGGTTTCATTAAGAAAGGAGATGAAAACAAAGTATGCCTACTCAGGAAATCTCTATATGGTCTAAAACAGTCACCAAGGCAGTGGAATATCAAGTTTGACAGTTTTATGAAGGAAGCAAACTTATCAGAGCGAGTATGATCAGTGTGTCTACATGCGCAACATTCAGAATGAAAATGCAGTCTACTTACTTCTCTATGTGGATGATATGCTAATTGCATCAGGCAGTTTGTCAGAGATCAGATTGGTAAAAGACAGTTTGAGCTCTAAGTTCGAAATGAAAGACATGGGTAAGGCCTCACGCATACTGGGAATGGATATCATCAGAGACAGAGAGAAGGGAATTCTAAAGCTATCTCAGGAAAGCTACATCGAAAAAGTGTTAAAGACTTTGGAATGACAGATGCTACAACAACAACAACTCCACTTGCTACTCATTTCAAGCTAAAAAGTTTAACTAAAGCAGAGAAATTAGAGGAAGCAGTTCATATGGAGAATACACCCTATGCTAGTGCAGTGGGAAGTTTGATGTATGCAATGATTGGTTCAAGGCCAGACTTAGCATATGCAGTTGGGGTTATAAGCAGGTTCATGTCAAATCCAGGGAGAGGTCATTGGACAGCAGTGAAATGGGTTTTACGCTACCTAAGAGGTGCATCAAAAGCAAGTCTAACATTTACCTAAGAAGAAAGGTTTCAGTATTGATGGGGTTCTGCGATTCAGACTATGCAACGGATATTGACAGAAGAAGGTCAGTGACTGGTATATCTTTCAAGTCTGGGGTAATACAGTTTCATGGCGTTCTAATCTACAGTCTGTGGTAGCTATCAACTACTGAAGCTGAGTACATGGCCCTATCTTCAGCAGTGAGAGAGGCTATATGGTTAAAGGGTTTATGCAGTGAGTTGGGTTTTGATGCAGGTGCAGTTAAAATTCATTGTGATTCACAGAGTGCACTGGCTCTAGCTAAGAACTCAGTTTATCACGAAAGGACTAAGCACATATTGCTACAAAGTATCATTTCATCAGAGATATAGTAGCAGAAGGCACAGTCAAGTTGTACAAGATACACACAAGCAAGAATCCGGCGGATTTCCTAACTAAGGCCTTACCTGGGCCAAAGTTTGAGCTCTGCCGAGAGCTTGCAAAAGTCGCCTGAGAAGCTTGAAGGCTCCAGGTAACTCCATTGTCAAAGGTACCTCGCAAACAAGAAAAGAAACTTGTGTTAGCAGTTGTTTCATTTTCTTAACCTAGACAATGTAAACTCAAGGTTTCGATGAGAGTTAGAGTTACCTGTGAAGCGTGAAGGAGCTGAGGGATTCTTCAGTTCCAGGTGGAGTATCTGTGAAGAGAAGATCAGAGGAAAGTCAGTTTTGGTTCATCAGTCTGGGTTTTCTGGGTTTTCGTCAGATCAGAGGAAAGTGTTTGCGAGAAAGGGTTTCTGGGTTTCTAGTTGTGGTTACCTAGGTTTTCTGAGCAGAGGAGGTCTGGATCCGTCTTGTTCTTCTGGATCTGCAAAGAAAGTGAAAAAGTCGGAGAAGGATGTTTAAGTTTGTTCTTCGCAAAAGAAAAAGAAAAGGAGAAAGTCAAACGGGCATGAGGAATCGATCGGTGCTTAGTGCGGAGATCGATAGGCCTCGAGAAGATATCTGATGATTCCAGTGCCGGAGTGCATGGTTTACCGGCGGATGCGAGCTGATTCAAAGTCGCCGCATCAGTTCACTATCGCGGAGAGAGAGAGCGGAGAAGTCGAGAGTGTTAGGTCAAGTGACGGAGTTCTCGGAGTTGTCTGAACAGGTGGAGATTGTAAATGGGCTCAGCACCAAATCACCTAGTGGGCTTGGCCCAATATCACTCCTTTATACACATACACGAGTCACTCGAAGTCACGTGCGAGTCCAGCTGTGACAGTCAACGACTACATAAGTCGTCGTCTTCTCCGATCCAACAACCTGCAACAAGAAAAAAGAAACAGAGCTAAGAGGAAGTCACAGAGAGGAGAAAGAGAGCTCATCGAGAAGAGAGAGAGAAGTAAGATAGGCTTATCGGTATACCTTATATAGTGAAGCGACGGAAGGCGCGATTCCTTCCCCCAGTGAGTAGGAAACGAACACTGGGTTAACAAAAATCTCTTGTGCATTTATTTCCTGCAATTTACAAATCATTCGCATTAGTAAGATTCTCAAAGTTAAAACTCAACAAGTGCACCACATCTCCGGCATTCCTAATATCATGACTGGAAATACCATGACTGAAACGGTCGCTGGCATCATCGATGAAAAAATTTACATAATCGGAAATTTTGTGTGTGATGACCAGTTGAGTGGGAGAGAGTGGTGTGAGAGAGTCATGGTGTTGGATACAAAAACTCAAATGTGGGAACCTGGTATGACAAAGCCAGACATGGAGCTAGGTACCAATTGGGATGATGATGTGGTGATGGAGGATAAGATTTACATGAGAAATTGGAAGAATAGCTTTGTTTTTGGACCTAAGGAAAGTAAATGGGAATTGGACCACGTGCTGAATTCTAGGAGATGGGTGGGTGCGTGTGTCGTGGACAACGTATTGTACTATTTCGATGTTAACAGAAACCAGTTAAGGGCGTATGATCCAAAACATAGGCGTTGGACAGTGGTGAACGGTTTGGAAAAATTGTTGCTGAAGACGACCGGTTCGTGTTGGTCGAAAACGGTGAGATACGGTGGCAAAATGGTTCTATTCTTTTATAAATTGAGGTCAATGGGCATTTGGTGTGCGGAGATTGCTTTGGAAACACGCCAAGGAGGAGAGATTTCCGGTAAGAGATTTCAAGGTGCAGTGGTGTGATGCTGTGTTTGAGGGTAGGAGATTTTTCATGATAAAATGTTTAGCTGTTACAATTTGATGCAGAAACTCTCATGCTTTGTTAAAGTGCATGAACCATTTTACCAGTTTTACTCTCGGACACCTTTTATTTATTTATTTCCCAAGTCAGAACGTGAACCTAAAACAAAAAACAAGTTTAAGTCCGTCGACAACAGGGTTCGAACCTGCGCGGGCGAAGCCCAATAGATTTCAAGTCTATCTCCTTAACCACTCGGACATATCGACATTTTCATTGTAATTGTGCAGTGGAGAATTAATATATTTTATTTTCCAAGGAAAGTATGCAGCTATTACACGAGAAACTACATGGTTTTAAGCTTCTCCCAAGCCAAAAGTATAAAACCCATGTCAATATAAAACGTAAATAAAAAAAAATTTAAAGAAAAAAAATAGTCAAGAAGAAGAAAGAAAGAAATGAATGAAACCAAGAAAGTTACATAACATGGAGAAATTCTTTGAATGATGATGCAAGAGCACTTATGGGATATATGAATTATGATTCTAGAGAGCTCGACTTTTGATGATGTCGAGACTCATCTCGCTCGGGTCAGTGGCTTGCAACTCCACCTGAATCCCATCCAATTCTCTCTTGAACCTGTCCTTTGAGCTCGCGTACACCATCTTCATCCTCACCCTTGAAGAATCCGGTGACCTACCATATATAAATGCATCATCCATTATCCATAATCCATAAAGTATTTCATAATTTGAGACCATGATATGTAATCTAGTGATTTGTGCTATTGTCACCACCACACATGTTCAAATCCCCATAATGCATTTTACTCTATATATATACATTATGTTTAATTACATGAGATCCTAATCTAGTCATGTATTATTGCTATTTTTGTGTCACACCACACATGCTCAAATTCCGATAATGCATGTTGTTAAGGGGAAACAAAAATCTATATAAATTAATAGTGTCGGGACACTGTTGTATTTTTAATGTAACGAGATAATTGGATCAAAAACCGAATTTGAGACCTAAAAATTCTATTTAACTTATCGAGGTATTAATTTGTAGAGGTTATACTGTATTCTGTATATGTTTATTCAATGAGGGTATATGTGTTACCATGCTATGAAGAAGATCTTGCTCTTCTGGCAATTCTCAGCACTGGTGTAGTCGAAGTCATAAACAGCGTAACGGCATTCATTGGCCGGTAAGGAATTGGAGAAATCGTCGTAGTTCTCGTCGGGACTTCCAAGCTTTTCCACCACCACTTGTTGTCCGTCTATCCTGAATATTATGAACCTATAATTTCTCTTCGCTTTTAGCTCCAAGAACTTGAGCTTACACTCGTCCTCAACCGCCATCCCCGACGCCGCGTTCGCCTTTTTAGTTCATATAAATATACAAGTACATATAAACATGAGAACATTTTGAAATATAACATTATAACCTATCATGATTATACGCAAGAAAGCCATAATTTCAACCTATTTCTACGTTTGTGTTTACACATGTTAAAAGATAATACATTTTCAGGTTTTTCATAAAATATTTTCTTACGTTCACTATTTTTTTTTTTTGTATATTATTGAAAAAAAGGCTAATAAACAATCGAGACATACTTTAACAAAAAAAAAAAAATTAAGAAAAATCGAGACATAACAAGAACAATGTTCAAACATCTATAACACAAGGGAGGAGAAAAAAGAGAATGAGAGGACACACCATTGCGTTTGCTTGATGAAGGTAAACCTAAGAAACAACAAAGAGAAATTAGAGAGATGAGGCTTCTTGTTTTGTTTTGTTTTTGTTATGTTTGTGTCCTCTTTTGTGGGAGGAGAGATGATGAAGAATGGAGAAAAAGGGAAATGAAAATTTTGAGGAAGAGATTCTTAATTTGATTGGAAGAGGCCAATTAACTCGGACAACCATCAATGTATATCATCATCTCTTCTTTTAACATCAAAACCACACCTTTTTTTCCTCTCTATCCTTCAAATTCGCCTAACCATCCTTTCTTTTCGGAGAATTTCTCTACTCTAATTTTAGCATTTTTATAGCCTTATCCCATCCATTCATAGACAACAAATAAAGTGGCTTATGTCTATCGTTTGGTTGACAAATGGTTTTGCGGTTTGTTTGATTCGGTTCTTGATAAGTTAAGATATGTGAAACAAAATTGGCTGTGTGGTTCCAATACATAACATTGTTCTGAATCTTAAAATAGCATTTGTTCTTACACGACTCAACAGGCATTTAGAGAACAACCAAAAAAATTGATCTTTCCTACAAAATTGACGACCCTTTTAGATCTTCTTGTTCCACTTTGTGATCAGCCGAAGAAATTAACAACCTTTGGACCTCGTTTCTCTTAGGCGAAATCGTCTTCAAGATCATCCCCACTAATCAACTTAGTGACTTTCCCTCTTGGTGTAGCATCAAATCCTGTTCGTTACAAACGAGATCAAGTTACAGTCTTTATTCAAATGAAAGAGAAACAAACCACTTGACTATGACCACGAATGAGAAGCTCAAGAAATGAAAGAAAATGTTACTTGATCTCTTTGGTTGACGATCTGAATCTCTGTTGAATTTATCAGGGCAATCTTTGACGAGATGCGCAACACTCCCACACACTTTACAACACCCACCCTGCAAAAGAAAAAGCCCATCAAAAATTTGTCCTTGAGTATAGGAGGAAGAGAAAACAATCAAAAACAAGATTAGTTGAGAGCATCATACCATTGGGTAGACTCCATGCTTGCTTTGAGGGCAGTTCTTGCTTATGTGTCCATGTTCCTTGCAAATGAAACAACTCGCATACTTTGTTCCTCCTACAAAAGTATCAAAACACCAACCAAATATTATCTTAATGATGTTTTAACTCAACACACAACAAAATGAATACAGAAGAGCCACAAATATTTGCAGGACACATCTTTAAGATATACAGACAGACTTTACCATCTTCCAAAGGATTAGGACAGTGGGAGAGTGAATGACTAGTATCTCCACAGTTGTAACACAGCTTCTTCTCGAAGCTGCTCTCTTCCGTTTTCTCCGGGCAATTCTTAAGACTATGCCCTCTCCTTCTGCATTGCAAACATATCTACAAAGCAACACAACAAACATCATAAACAAAGCATCAACATTCAGTTTATTGGCCCAACAACCAAACCACCAAGAAAGAAACAGAGGATAACAAAAACAAGCAAATTTGCTGATTGAAAACAACAAAACCAAATCTTTCACTCAATTAGACTCTTGACAGATTCCACAAGAGCTGTTGAAAACCAAGTCACCAAGTACAAACACTGAGAAATTCAATCCTTTATTGCTTTCTAGTTAAACCCTAGTTGCAGTATCCTCCTGAATCAAGAAGAGAGCAAGCAAACCTTGTTTCTCTCCCACTCGGATTTTTCAGGGCAGAGCTTAGCGATATGGGTTTTGGACTTGCAGATATAACAGCCTTCCCCAGGTTTCATACCGGGAACTCGAAGAGGATGCCTTGTCGACGAGCCGCTTCTCATGGGTCTGTCTCTGGAAGATCCAGGTTTCTTCTTGAACAAGCTCTTCTTTTTCTTCTTCTTATCGGGATCCTTTGGCGGCGTCGGTTCCGGTTTTGGAAACTCCTCTGGGTGAGCTTCCTTGTATCGTTTCCGCGCAAGTCTCTGCCTTTGGCTCACCATTGTCGAGTGTTCGTTGGCTCACTAGAGATAGAGACGATTGATTCCACCGGCGGCGATAGAGGCAGTCAAGACGAAGAAAGAGACGCAGAGGTTTCAAGCGAGGTTGGGAGACGAAGACTAGGGGGATGTTGTGTTGTTTCGCTCTGTCCGGCCCAATATTAAATGGGCCCAAATCTTTTTAATGCGACTGCGTTTGGAATCGCGCCGTTTTAAATATTTTTCTTATATGAGTTTTTGATTAATCGGAGAATTTTTTATCAAAAGTCAAAACCTTGCATTTTTCTCTACTTTCCTATGCCCGATGACTTGCCGTTGGAAGTCATCTCTAAGCTCTACTGAGCCTTTTCCCTCTTTGTTTTTGCTCTTTCTTTTATTTTCGTTTCTCGGATGTAAGTTGATTGCTGTCATCAACCATAAACCTCTGTTTGGTCACTCGTTTCTCTCAATATATATCCAGCGTTGAAAAAAATGAGTCATAGTCAAAAGTCTAGGCCTAGGACCGTAGGACTTTACCATAAACCTGAACCTGATCCAAAAAAATTTGAACTGAAATTTAAAAATATCCGATCAGTTTTATATCTCTAAGAAAATCTAAAACTTGAAAAAACCTGATTAAAAAAAACCAAAAAACTTGAAAAACCCGAAAAAACTAAATTTAGTCGAATAAAAAAAAATAGCTCAGGTTTCATATATAATTTGGAAACCGATCCAAATCTGAAAAAACCTAAACAGAATCTAAATCAAATTTCAATAATATCCGACCAATTTTTATATCTATAGACTCCAAAAGCCAAAAAACCATATCCGAACCCAACACGAAACTCGAAATCCCATATTAGCATACTCCAAACTATAAGACCTACATCACACTTCTTTTGGGTAGACTTAGATAACACTACTAGATTATCATACATTTTATACATTAGGAGGATTTCAATTTTCAATAGAACTGTTTTTTTTATATGAATGTTAAGAATTTTCACTACAACTTTCTGTCGCTACCAGAAAAATTGACATTTTCTTTTCGCTGTTTTCAACGATTAGCTCGGCCGATGACATTCATATCAGTAAAGATCATTCTTTTTGTTCTAAGATATGAATATAGATTTTTCTTTTTTAAGTAGATACCACAAACTTAATAGTGAAGAATATGTTGCGTCTTTCGTATAAATAAACTCATATTAAGTAGATAGACATGAGTTGATGACTCATCATCATTTGTTATTTATTGTTGTGAAATATCTTTGGTCCACCGACCTTTTTCCTCTCCAATAAATAGAGGTTGAGACTCTTTGTAAATGAGACACATCCATTATAATGAATACTAAAGAAAAGTGATTATCACATCTTGCCTCTCTCCTCTCTCTCACCGGACCCCACCTTCTTTTATTTACTTATTTATTATTTATTTTATAACACGTTATCAGCACGACCACCTCTATGAGCTTAGATCTATCCAAATCTATCTTTATACCGAAAAGGTGAAACTAAATTCTGTCCAAATTATTTTAAATTTTAAATTATATTATTTGTCTGATATGTCGAAGCTAAACTATGCCTACTAGAGCTGATCTATCATGGTAGGTGCCTACTCCAAAATTTAAATTATATTTTGTCTATTATGCCGGAAGTTAGGCTATGCCTACTCCGAGCTGATCGTCATGGATGGCTCTGCCTCCTCGATCAAATAAATTCTTAAAGCCGGGAAGCTAGGCTCTGCCTACTCCGAGCTGATCGTCATGGATGGCTCTGCCTCCTCGATCAAATAAATTTCTTAAAGCCGGGAAGCTAGGCTCTGCCTACTCCGAGCAAATGATCACATGGTAGACTATGTCTCTCAGATCATATATATGGAGTGGTAGGGAAATCCTCCTCCGGAGTTGATGGTGAAAACCTCCTCTATGTAGCGGAGTTGATGACTATGTCTCCTCCCAGATCTAAATTTCTGTCTTTATATTATGCTCTTTTCAGTCATTTATTTTGTATCTTTACATTGTTATTATGCTTAAAGTTTCAAAGTTTTCAAAAAATTGCGGCCCTGATGGTGCCACAATTTGAGATTAAGGATGGAGATACTTGTCTAGCAGACAGTGCTACGACACATACAATACTCAAAGATAAGAAGTATTTCTCCTATCTCAAAATGAAAGACTCCGCTGAAAGCGTGAGTACTATATGCGGTAGTGCAAAGATAATACTTGGCTCTGGGAGCGCAAGTTTTTCATTGCCAAGGGGAACAAAATTTGAAGTGCGAGATGCACTATATTCCCCGGAGTCTCACCGGAACTTATTAAGTTTCCGAGATATCCGCAAAAATGGATATCATATTGAGACTATAAACAAAAATGGCATTGAATATCTTTGCATTACAACGGAGAGGAAACAAACATTGGAAGAATTACCAATGATGTCCTCTGGTTTATATTGCACAAAAATCAACATGACTGAATCTTATGTTGCAGTAAACCAGATGTTTACTAGCACTTTTAGGGTGTGGCATGAAAGACTTGGCCACCCAGGTTCAGTCATGATGAGAAGAATTGTGCAAAATACGAGTGGCCACCCATTGAAAAATGAAAAGATTTTTCAATCGGGAGAGTTTTCATGTAAAGCATGTTCTCAAGGAAAACTCATAATTAGGCCCTCGCCAGCCAAAGTTGGGAATGAATCCCCTGTATTCTTAGAGAGAATACATGGTGATATATGTGGGCCTATTAACCCACCGTGCGGGCCATTTCGATACTTTATGGTATTGATTGACTGATCGCGGGATCAGATCTTCCCCTTTCCTATCCCTGATTCTGCAAGTGCACAGGTCAGAAGTAGTAAACGGGTATCGAACACGAGGACCAGATTGCACACTACAAGTTATGAGTTTGAGAACAAGCTAGGGCAAAAGTATAAGTTGGTTGAGTGCAGAGAAAGTAAATCATGCAAGTAATTAAAAGGAAGGATTCAATAGGAGAGAAAGCTAAGCAATAGGATAGTCTTGAGATAAGCAATTCATGAAGCATGAAATCAATCAATTAGGGTTACCGCACTTAGGTGCTAATCTAGAACTTGAAACACTATGGTATGATCATTCCACTGTCCGTTTTTGAATGGATCCTCGACAGTGGAATGATCATACCATAGTGTTTCAAGTTCTAGATTAGCACCTAAGTGCGGTAACCCTAATTGATTGATTTCATGCTTCATGAATTGCTTATCTCAAGACTATCCTATTGCTTAGCTTTCTCTCCTATTGAATCCTTCCTTTTAATTACTTGCATGATTTACTTTCTCTGCACTCAACCAACTTATACTTTTGCCCTAGCTTGTTCTCAAACTCATAACTTGTAGTGTGCAATCTGGTCCTCGTGTTCGATACCCGTTTACTACTTCTGACCTGTGCACTTGCAGAATCAGGGATAGGAAAGGGGAAGATCTGATCCCGCGATCAGTCAATCAATACCATAAAGTATCGAAATGGCCCGCACGGTGGGTTAATAGGCCCACATATATCACCATGTATTCTCTCTAAGAATACAGGGGATTCATTCCCAACTTTGGCTGGCGAGGGCCTAATTATGAGTTTTCCTTGAGAACATGCTTTACATGAAAACTCCCCCGATTGAAAAATCTTTTCATTTTTCAATGGGTGGCCACTCGTATTTTGCACAATTCTTCTCATCATGACTGAACCCGGGTGGCCAAGTCTTTCATGCCACACCCTAAAAGTGCTAGTAAACATCTGGTTTACTGCAACATAAGATTCAGTCATGTTGATTTTTGTGCAATATAAACCAGAGGACATCATTGGTAATTCTTCCAATGTTTGTTTCCTCTCCGTTGTAATGCAAAGATATTCAATGCCATTTTTGTTTATAGTCTCAATATGATATCCATTTTTGCGGATATCTCGGAAACTTAATAAGTTCCGGTGAGACTCCGGGGAATATAGTGCATCTCGCACTTCAAATTTCGTTCCCCTTGGCAATGAAAAACTTGCACTCCCAGAGCCAAGTATTATTTTGCACTACCGCATATAGTACTCACGCTTTCAGCGGAGTCTTTCATTTTGAGACAGGAGAAATACTTCTTATCTTTGAGTATTGTATGTGTCGTAGCACTGTCTGCTAGACAAGTATCTCCATCCTTAATCTCAAAAGGTGGCACCATCTGGGCCACGAAATTCATAAAATATGAAACATTTTATATTAAACATTGCTAATATATTACATCAAAAACTTTTTAGCAAAAGATATATTATACAATACAAGAAAAACGATTAAGAGTTTGTTATTCTTGTCTTCTTTACGAAGACACTATCATCGATTTGACTTTCTTTGGCTCAGTTGATTCTTCAGGATCAACGAGATAGTCGGCGACATCCAGATGAAAATCATCACTTAAGCCATCAAAGGATGGACCAGGTTCATCAGAGATGAAGTTGGTCTCTGCATCCTTATTTTTGGCTTGTTGTGATGCCCTGTACAGATCGGCTAAATGTTTGGGCGTACGACATGTACGCTCAAAGTGATTATTCATGCCGCATCTGTAACAGGTGCGTTCACCCTTTCTTTTTACCGCTCGACCATCATCACTTTCTCTTCCACGTCCACGACCTCGACCGCGACCACGGCCTCTGCGCATCTGCGTTCACGTTCAGGCTTTTTAGTATGACTGGATGACGCAACATTCGCTTCAGGGAATGGCGCAGATCCAGTTGGACGGAGCTGATGGTTTAACATCACAAGCTGATTATTTTTTTCAGCCACAAGGAGGATTTGCATCAACTCCGAGTACGAGGTGAATTCTCTTGCCCGGTATTGTTGCTGCAGGATTATATTTTCAGGATGAAAAGTTGAGAGATTTTTTCCAACATATCAAATTCACTGATATTCTCTCCACACATTTTCATCCTGGAAGTGATGTTGTACATAATGGAATTGTACTCAGCAACACTTTTATAATCCTGGAACCGGAGGTTCAACCACTCGTACCTCGCTTGCGGTAAGATCATATATTTTTGATGATCAAACCGAACTTTAAGCGAGTTCCATAGATGCAGGATCTTCTTTTGTGATGTATTCATCTTTTAAACCATCATGTATATGGTGGCGTAAAAAGATCATGGCTTTCGCCTTTTGCTCATCGGACGTCTTTCCAGACTTATCGATGGTGCTCAAGAGACCATTTCCTTTTAGGTGCAACTTTGCACCTACCGTCCAAGACAAATAGTTGTTACCACTAATGTCAGGGCGGCGATCTCGAGCTTTGTCAAATTCGACATTATAACTGAATAACAAAAACTTAAACTTTTGAAAATTTCAGCATAATAACGGTATATAAAAGCATAAATTGAAATAACAAGAATATAAATGACTGAATTTAAGAGCATAATATAAAGGCAGAAATTTAGAATGGGAGGAGACATAGTCATCAACTCCGCTACATGGAGGAGTTTTTCACCATAACTCCGGAGGAGGTTTTCCTACCACTCCATATATATGATCTGAGAGACATAGTCTACCATGTGATTATTTGCTCGGAGTAGGCAGAGCCTAGCATCCCAACTTTAATTTATTTGATCGAGGAGGCAGAACCATGACGATTAGCTCGGAGTAGGCATAGCCTAACATCCCGGCAAAACAGCCAAATAATATAATTTAAAATAAATTGGACAGAATTTAGTTTTACCTTTTGATATAAAAATAGATTTGGACATATCTAAACTTGTAGAGATAATCGTGCTGATAATATGTTATAAAATAAAGCGAGAAAATAATAGAAAGTGGAAAAAGAAAAGGTGGAACCACAATAAGGAAAGAAAAAAGAGCTTAGTTTCTTTAGCTTACACCACGTTTCTCGCTCCGGAAGCGGAAGCGGAAGCGGAATCGCTCGGAATCGCCTCGGAAGCGCTCAGAAGCGCGACTCCAAAAATGAGGTGGCTGGAAGCGTAGAGGAAGCGCACGATTCAGAGTTGGAAACGTAGTGGTGTTGATCGGAAGCGTCGCCGTCGATGTGTCTCGTTCAAGTGAAAGAAACGTGTGAGCAATTACTTTTTGGGCTTTTATTGTGACTCAAATTATCAACAAATTTAGTCTACTTTGTGACTAATAAATAACACCTCCTAACAAACTTATTTATTTTTAAGACTTTTTTCATTAATGTTGCAGAACTGAAAAGTTACAAAAAGTCGGAGAGTCAAACGTTTTTAAATAAAAAACCTTTAATTAGTGATCTAGTTGGTTGGTAATATTTAGTTATGTATTAAATTATCTTGTTTAAATTTTTTATTTTTAATATGTTTTATAATAAATATTTTACGATATATATATATATATTTAAAATATTATAAACGCTTCTAACACGTATCCGCTTCCTATTTTTTTCTAAAAATCCGCTTCTGCGCTTCCAAACGCTTCCGCTTCCACGTATCCGTTCCCGATTCCATGCAGCTTAGGTGAAAGTTATCTCTCTTTACATTGTTTACATCCCTTTATATAAAGAATTTTAGTCAACAAAATTTTAACACTTACATGTCCGTTTAGGAGGAGATATTTATCCAAGATGATTAGTCATCATTTTCATCTTTATATCAATAGCATGATATAAAAATATTGTGAACAATCAAACTTTCCCAATTTCGGATTTATCCTTAGTATGGTCTTTCAAGTGGGTGGTTCGTCTTGATTATAAATGTTGTAGGGCATACATATACATGGATACTTAAGTGTATATAATAAGCCAAATTATGCAAGAAGACCCAGCTTTTACAGATAATCCATCTTAATTCTATCTTCCATATTTGATCACTTCGTCTTCGCAAAATGTATTTTGTTGCCTTGCGCCCTAAGTCTCTTTACAAGTTTAAAGAACTCTGTTTGTTTTCATTGAAGAGTCAAATGTTTTTGTTGAACAACTTAATGCAAGAACGGAAGAAACATACCAAAGTAGAAAGACCCAAGGCAACACGCAAAAAAAACCTCAAGAAAGGAAGGAGAGCTTACGCTTGCAGACGGATAGGAAATAAGACGGTCTCGCATAAGACTATGGAGCTCCACCCGTAAAGCTGCCCAGATTGATAACCTACTCCATTTATTTGTCTGTTATAAAGACCATCTTTTGTCCCAAATTTTATAGTTCACTCAGATTCACCAAATTAAAAAAAAGAATGGGTAAAGAGTACCTGAAGTTAGTCCTGCTTCTACTTGTCTTGACTCACCATGTTGATTCAGTCACTATCATCAGGTCTCTTCCTGGTTTTGAAGGTCCACTTCCTTTCGACCTTGAAACCGGGTGTGTTGTATCTTCATCTCATCTTCTTGTTTTAACTAAACTGCATATTGTGAGTTAGTTACTAAGCCGGATGTTTACTTTTTATTCATATATAGATACATTGGTGTTGGTGAGGCAGAGGAAGTTCAATTATTTTACTACTTCATCAAATCTGAGAGCAATCCAGAAGAAGACCCTCTTCTAATCTATTTAACTGGAGGACCTGGTTGTTCTTCTCTCACTGGTTTTTTTCTGGAGAATGGTAAATTTCTCCTATACATATATTACTTTTTCTATCTTGAAAATAAATACAGAAAACGTTAGTAAAAATCGCAGGGCCTCTGGCTATCAAGACGGATGGTTACAACGGAGGCATCCCTTCCTTGGTCACGACTACATACTCATGGACAAAGGTACTACAAAATAAGTAACATTTCACAGTCTTTTTTTTTTCCTGTTTATCTTGTTACCTTATTTATCTATTGGTTCTCAGGTGGCAAGCATAATTTATATAGATCAGCCTGTTTGGACTGGTTTCTCCTACTCAAGAACTCCACTTGTTGATATACCAAGTGACACAGGAGTAGCTAAGACTGTCCATGAGTTTCTTCAGAAGGTAAAAATTAGAAGAAAAAACAAGTAAAGTGTCTCTTGATGCACGATGTGTTTTTAATGCATAGAAAGAACCAAAAAAACAAAAAAAAAAAAAAAAAAAAAATCATTATTTTGGTTGTTATGTATGTAATGCAGTGGCTAGGCAAGCATCCAGATTTTGTTTCTAATCCTTTCTATGTCTGTGGAAATTCTTATTCTGGTAAGGTTGTTCCGGCAATTGTTCAAGAAATCTCCAAAGGTATATTTTCGTTTTAGATCTTCTTTCTTGATAAACTCTTTTCCCCCACTTTATATACTGTACCATGCAGGAAACTATAAATGCTGTAAACCTCAGATAAATCTACAGGTTCATAATTATATTTTGCTTCTTATGTTATATAGTTACATTCTTTCTTCTTGCATTTAGAAATTCAAAGTTGTTAACTCGCTTACTATAACAGGGTTATGTGCTAGGAGATCCGCTAACAGACATTTATTTTGATCAAAACTACCGGATTCAGTTTTCTCATGGAATGGCATTGATTTCTGATGAACTCTACGTGGTACTAACTGTAGCTACCTTTTTTTTTTGTAATTTTTTTTTCTTATTGTAATCACAACGATCAGCTAATGAGCATTTCAATATTTTCTTGGAGGCATTGAGAACAAAATGCAGAGGAAATTACGTAAATGTGGATCCTAGTAACGCAGAATGTTTAAAACTCGTCGAAGACTACCAAAAAGTATATCGATTAACGATACCTGGTATAGTTGAAAACGACAAACGCCTTGTCAAATTTGGATACACTAACGAGTTCAAATTTTGGGGTTACTCACAGCTTGTTTCTGGAATAAATCACTTATCTGTAATTACACCGGAGTGTGAGGAACTATCTGCATCTCCTGATTGCTTTGTAACTAAACTCATCTTCTTGTGTTTATATTTGGCCCAGTTAAAAACCAATTAAATAATAGAACAAGAAAACACTTACACAAAGCTATCTTTTTGTAGAAATATGCACGTTTGCTAATGTCGTACTGGGCCAATGACAATAGCGTGCGCAATACTCTTCAAGTAATAAAGGTATGTACAGTTAAAGGTTGCAACGTTAATGAACGAAGAATAATTTTGATAATCAAGGAAGCATTGTTAAATTTATTTCAGGGAAGTATAAGAGAATGGAGTCGGTGTGCTTCAGATATGTCTTACAATATGGATATTATAAGCAGTGTACCATACCATAAGAATAACAGTATCAATGGTTACCCATCTTTAATATTCAGGTAAAATTTTCATAACTCTCGTATATACTATTTTTTGTCTTTTTTTTTTTTATAAAATATTATTTTGTCTTTATACTGTAACAAAAAAAAACCTCAAAAGATGTTTTACTTTTTTGGAAAAAAAAAAGTGGTGATCAAGATCAGGGAGTACCTTTCCTAGGAACTCAAGCATGGATTAGATCTCTTAATTATTCTATAATTGACGATTGGAGACCATGGATGATTAACAATCAAGTTGCTGGATACACTAGAACATATGCTAACAAGATGACATTTGCCACTATCAAAGCAAGTCTTTTTATTCTACTTAGCATTTTTTATTAGAAGACAAAATTGATTAAAGCTTTGTTCAAAAACAAAAATTATGAAAATGATTTTTAATTAATTCTGTTAATTAACCATACGTAATTGTTTTATGGATCTTATTTATAGGGAGGTGGACACACTATGGAGTTTAAACCAATGGAAAGCTTTATAATGTTCCAAAGGTGGATAAGTGGCCAACGTATGTAACAAGGGACAGTCTTTGCTAATTGCCTTTCATGTTGTTTATTGAAGATCAAACTTTCTCCATGTCTTTGTGTTCATTAAATAACCTGAATAATCCCTATATTTGGTTACAATGAATTCAGAATTGTTTCTCGAAGTTGGAACTATTTAATTTCACATCTTTTTAACAAAAAAATAACAAGCAGAATATTAGTAAGTTAGGTTGTTGTTGAAACTTGGAATTATTAAATTGAATATACATGGAGCCGTTATTATGACCTTGATGGGTGTTTTTTACCAATAAATATGTTTTTCTAACCATCTTTACAAATTATTTGAGATTTTTGTGTTACAATTTGTCAATGAACTTTCCAATTTCTTAGTAATAACTAATAAGAAATAGAAACTTCTCTTAATTTTATGCTTAAACGTTAAATCAATAAAAATAGAGAGAGTGGAGTACTGTTTAGGAGATCTCCCCAATTACGGACTATAAAGAAAACTGAGCGAAAAGCCTAGAAGAAGTGGTGTTGTGTGATTGACTCATCAATGGTTCTAGGGGATGGGGAAGAAGATTTTGTCTTAAGATTAAGCTAAATTGTTTTCTGTATGGGATGAACATCAACATGCAAGAAATCTTCCAATAAATCTTTAGAATCAAATACCGAAAACACTCAATCATCAATCCAAAGTATATCACGGTCTATACATATATAGAATATAAATATTCTTTTACCAGCTATGACACAATTTAAACAAATAGAGAAAGGTATAATGCAAGAACTTATAAATTTATAGGTAATATCAGAATATTCGATTATAAAATAAAAGAAAATTTATTTCGCAACAAATTAGCTTCAACAAAGTTGTCTCTCTACGGAAGTGTATTTACATCAATATATATATATATATATATTATATATAATTAGGGAGTTGCTCTCTCCATTTGAGAGTGTCCACATCAGCACAAAAACATTAAATTGTATTTAAAATATTTAATAAATATATGACTATTCATATTTCTTTACATTTATTCATATTTAATAAAAATATACAAATAAATTGATTAATTAATAGAAAGTATGTGATAATTTGATGTTAAAAGTTATCAAAAAGTTGGAATATAAAATAGAGATGGAGTAAAGAAATATTCAACTTCAAATAGTATATATTTACTTTATTATTCAAAGGATTTATCCTACTTAAAAATGTTAGAATGTGTTTACAAGTTAAAAAGTTGAATATAAATTAATTAAGACAATAGAAAGCTAATGAAACATTAGAGTTAGAGTTTGTTTTTCTAAACAAATAGAAATAGAGTTTTATATGTAAATTTAATTGTAGTGAAAAACAAGAATATGTTTACAAATTTTAACCTTCAGTCAAATGCATATACATATTTATAAATTTTAACCTTCAATCAAATACATATACATGTTTACCGTCTAATAGAAGTAAACATAATACTTATAACATGATAAAATTTTAGAAATAGAAAACTCAAGATAAAGCAGAGTGTTAATATCCTAATAAATTAAAATAAAAACAAATTATTCATATTTTTTAGTGTTAGTGGTTGAGTTAACTCAAAACATAACAAAAACATGAAAGTTAACACAAAACCATCATAATTCAAATCAACGAGTATAAATAAAATTAAACAGAAAAACTATCGTAAACAACCCCGCGCTTGCGCGGGGCTTCAAATCTAGTACTATATAATAATGCTAACTTAATTACAAGAAAACTGCTGCTTGGGAGATTCGAACCCTCAACGTAAAAAAAAAACAAAGCTTACCACTAGACTACATCTACATTGTGAAAACTAAACCAAACAATGCAAATGACAGAATTGCATTCTTGACCCTAAAGACCCATATATACGACCGGCACTTCATCTTACAGTTGGTGTAAATCCAAAATGCTTTTACTTTGATTTTTCTACTATGTATACTATGTTTAAGTGTTTGCTAAGCTAGCACTTAAATAAACTGTAACACTATAAAGAAAGAACAGTCAGTAAAATAGTCTCATAAAAGCTAACATGATATTATTTTGTAGGTCTGGGCGTTCGGGTTTCGGTTTGGGTTTTAGTCGGTTCTATTTGGGTTCTGGTCGGCATCATTCGAGTTGCTAAATTTTAGACCTGTACGGGTTTAGGAAAATTTCTGTTAGGTTTCGATTCGGTTCATGTCGGGTTCGGGTCGGTTTGGGGCTAAATTTTATGGACCCGTTCGGATTCATACAAATTTTGTTCTTATTTGGGTCTTATTGTTCTGATACGGTCAGTTTTTTAACCGAATATCCAAAATCCTACAACATAACTGAAAAAATTGTCTTTACTCCATCTTCCACTAAATGTTTTTGAATTTTTTGAATATTTTGGTTATTTTATTCTATATATAACTAAGATTTATAATTGTAATTTTAGTTATTTATTATTATTATAAGACTAAAAAATAACTAATATTTTGTATATATAATTATATTTTGGATATTCCGGGTATCATTCGGTTCTCGGTTCGGTTCCGGTTTTTCGGGTATAAGAAATTTGTACCTATGGAATATTCGTCTCGGTTCCGGTTCGGTTCTGTTCCATCTTTTATGGGTCGAGTTCGGGTCTTCGGGTCCGGGTAAAATGCCCAAGCCTATTATTTTGGGTGGTTCGTCTTTATTATAAGTGGGGCCTACAAGTTCTATTGGGCATACCGCATACATATAACACTAGTAGAGAACCCGCGCAAATGCGCGGTGTGACGTTGCAGTTTTGTGAAGAAAATCTTAATTCTAAACCCGAGCTCGATTCAAAAACCCTAATCAAAATTTTAAAAACCCAAAATTTTTTAAAATGTCTAAACCCGAAAATCTGAAATCCAAAAAATCTCGAAAACCAAATCCGAATCAGCAATTTAAAAAACCTGAACGGTTTTTAAATCACTAAACCCCAAAACCAAAAAAAAACTTTAAACCCAAAAATCGAAAATCATATTCTACTGATTTGGTATTATCGATAGATTATGTTTAGTTTTCTTTTTTTTTTTGCAGATTTTTAAGAGCTGAAAAACGGAAGTTTTTTAAACCATCGGTTTGTTTTAAGTTATTATTCTTGTATCCAAACAATTTTTTCCATTTATTCTTCTATCCAAATAGCCTTTTTCTCTTATTCTTGTATCCAAACATTACAATGTACTAAATTGACCCTCATTAAACCTGTTACTAAACACTTTCTCTTCATAATTAGATTGGTTTTTTGGTCAGAAAATTTTCATTCAATTAATAATAGAAAGATATACATGGGTTATGTGTATAATAAGCCAAATTATGCAAGAAGACCACAACTTTTACAGATAATACATCATAATCCTATCTTCCATATTTGATCACTTCGTCTTCACAAAATGTATATTTGTTGCCTTGCGCCCTAAGTCACTTTACAAGTTTTAAAGAACTCTGTTTGTTTTCATTGAAGAGTACAATGTTTTAGTTGAACAACTTAATACAAGAAAAGAAGAAACAGAGAGAAATTACAAAGACCCAAGGCAACACGTAAAAAACACCTCAAGAAAGGAAGGAGCTAGAGCTTACGCTTGCAGACGGATAAGAAATAAGACGGTCTCGCATGAGACTATGGAGCTCCACCGGCTAAACCTGCCAAGGTAGATAATCTACCCCATTTATTTGTCTGTTATAAAGACCATCTTTTGTCCCAAATTTTATAGTTCACTCTCATTCACCAAATAAAAATAAGAATGGCTAAAGAGTACCTAAAGTTAGTCATGCTTCTACTTGTCTTGACTCACCATGTTGATCCAGCCTCTATCATCAGGTCTCTTCCTGGTTTTGAAGGTCCACTTCCTTTCGAGCTTGAAACCGGGTCTGTTCTATCTTCGTCTTATCTTCTTGATTAATCACTTGTTTTAACTAAACCGCATGTTGTGAGTTACTAAGCCGGATGTTTACTTATTATTCATATATAGATACATTGGTGTTGGCGAGGCAGAGGAAGTTCAATTATTTTACTACTTCATCAAATCTGAGAGGAATCCAGAAGAAGACCCTCTTCTAATCTATTTGACTGGAGGACCTGGTTGTTCTTCTCTCAATGGTTTTTTACAGGAGAATGGTAGTTTTCTCCGATATATATGTATATTTCTTCTTCTATCTTTGTCGAAAATAAACTTTATTAAACTTTACTTAAAATCGCAGGGCCTCTGGCAATCAAGACAGATGGTTACAACGGAGGCATCCCTTCCTTGGTCACTACTACATACTCATGGACAAAGGTACAACAAAATAAGTAACATTTCACAGTCTATTTTTTTCCTGTTTATCTTGTTACCTTATTTATCTATTGGTTCTCAGGTGGCAAGCATAATTTATATAGATCAGCCTGTTTGGACTGGTTTCTCCTACTCAAGAACTCCACTTGTTGATATACCAAGTGACACAGGAGTAGCTAAGACTGTCCATGAGTTTCTTCAAAAGGTAAAAATTAGAAGAAAAGATAAAAGTAAATTGTCTCTTGATGGACGATTTATTTTTAAGCATAAAGAGAATTAAACAAACAAAAAAAAATTATTTTGGTTGGTGTATATGTAATGCAGTGGCTTGGCAAGCATCCAGATTTTGTTTCTAATCCTTTCTATGTCTGTGGAAATTCTTATTCTGGTAAGGTTGTTCCGGCAATTGTTCAAGAAATCTCCAGAGGTATATTTTCCTTTAATCTTCTTTCTTGATAAACTCTTTTTCCCCCACTTTATATACTCTACCATGCAGGAAATTATATATGCTGTAAACCTCAGATAAATCTACAGGTTCATAATTATTCTTGCTTCTTATGTTATATAGTTACATTCTTTCTTCTTGCATTTAGAAATTCAAAGTTGTTAACTCGCTGACAATAACAGGGTTATGTGCTAGGAGATCCGCTAACATACACTGATCAAGATCATAACTACCAGATTCCATTTGCTCATGGAATGGCATTGATTTCTGATGAACTCTACGAGGTACTAAATGTAGCTAGCTAGCTTTTGTTTTTCTTATTGTAATCACAACGATCAGCTAATGAGCATTTCAATATTTTCTTGGAGGCATTGAGAACAAAATGCAGAGGAAACTACGTAAATGTGGATCCTAGTAACGTAGAATGTTTAAAACTCATTGAAGACTACGAAAAGGTATATCGATTAACGATACTTGGTAATTGGTATAGTATAGTTGATGTTCCGCCTTGATATACGCTAACGAATTCAAATTGTGTGGTTACTCACAGCTTGTTTCTGGAATAAATAAACAATATGTAATTACAGAACAATGTGTGGAACTATCTGCATCTCCTGATTGCTATGTAACTAAGCTCTTCCTCTTGTGTTATATTTGGCCCATTTGAAAACCAATTTAATTATAGAACAAGAAGACACTTACACAAATAAAGTTATCTTTTGTAGAACTATCCATATTTGCTAATGTCGTACTGGGCCAATGACAATAGCGTGCGCAACACTCTTCAAGTAATAAAGGTATGTATACAAGTTAAAGATTATAACGTTAATAAACGAGGAATGATGTTAATTAAGGAAGCATTGTTAAAATTATTTCAGGGAAGTATAAGAGAATGGAGACGGTGTGATGTAGATATTCCTTACAAGAAGGATATTATAAGTAGTGTACCATACCATAAGAATAACAGTATCAATGGTTACTCATCTTTAATCTTCAGGTAAGATTTTAATAACTCTCGTACATTTTATTTTGTCATTATATAACAAAAAACCTCAAAGAATGTTTTACTTTTGTTGGAAAAAAAAGCGGTGATCACGATATGGAAGTACCTCCTCTAGCAACTCAAGCATGGATTAGATCTCTTAATTATTCGATAATTGACGATTGGAGACCATGGATGATAAACAATCAAGTTGCTGGATACACTAGAACATATGCTAACAAGATGACATTTGCCACTGTCAAAGCAAGTCTTTTTTATTCTACTTTACAATTTTTTTTCCATTAGAAGATGAAAGGATTTGTTAATTAAGTATATGTAATTTTTTATGGAATTGATATGTAGGGAGGTGGACACACTATGGACTTTAAACCAATGGAAAGCTTTATAATGTTCCAAAGGTGGATAAGTGGCCAACGTATATAACAACTGGACATTTAAGCTATGTATTTGTTTTCCCTACTGTTGCCTTTCCTTATTTGTTATTAGTGTTTAACCCGTTTGTTGTAGAACGATTAAAAAATATTTAGTTTCTGTCTCGGTTCTAAGTCCAAATGCAGAAGAAAACCTAACAAATGCGCATCAAAAAGGTAAGAGGTGTTGTAAAAAACATCGTGTAATTTCAGTATTTTTAATCTCTCCATCTTCTGTATATATCATTGATATATCCCTTTAATGAATGAAATTTGTATTTCTGAAAAAAACAAATGTGCTGAAAAAGATGCACATTGTTGAATCCGAGATAGCACTCGTAAGACGGGCTATCTAGATGTGAGTTTAGGAAACTGGAACGCTTAATTCGACTCTTAGATTATCAAGAAGTTACAAGAAGCAATCTCGCTAACAAGCCTAGCGAGATTATGATGGATGAACAAGAGGATAGAGTAAAAGCTAATGTGAAAGCCTAGTGATTCTAGATGATTTCGGATCCCTCTCCCCAATGGGGGGTCTTCAATATATAGTGTTGATAAGTCGGCCGAATGATGAATATTCTCCTTCAGGCGAGATGGAAAACTTCCTCTTTTGCGATATGGAAAATCCCTCTTGTTTTTGGATCTTTTTCCATTCTTTAAGTCGGCATGAAGATTTATTTACATTTCTCCATGGATTGTGCCTTTCTCTTCAAGTCTTGCCTTTTTCTTGAAGATGTTAGGCCTAAAATCGGATTGGGCTTTGTGACTTTACTAATGATGACGGGCTCAGGGAAATGTGCTAATTTCTCCTCTAACAATAAGTCCCCCCGCCAGCTCGGCAGGTCAAATGTAGTTTGATCTCGGCGAGCTTCATGAATAGAGGACGAGCTTGAGAATCATTAGTAAAATACATCACTTCAATCGGATCTTAGTGCCTAGGTGCATGCTGAATGTAGATTCGTGCCGCCTCATTAAAACCTTGGTACGGAAAAACCCAATTGGGACAAAAACCATAAAAAGGAAAAAGAGTACGTTGACGTCATCTAATTCATGAGTAATGTGCTTCGAATGATTTTTGCCGCGACCAAAAATGCTTTCTTTCGTAGAAATCAGTAATGGGTTTTAATCGGCCCATGATCTGGTTCGAGTTTTTGGTGAAATCGTTTGGGCGGGAACAGGAAAAAGTCTCGGAGAAGCCTTCTCTTCTAAGAATCGTGGAATTCTTATTTAAGGAAACGATTAGGATTTCCTAGGGTGCTTATTCCTTTTTCGTGATACCGATTTCACCAAGTGCCCTTCGAGGGAGAGCGAATATCTCTTCGCTGCCCTGACTTGCATTTCCTTCCTTCTACCTTATTCTTTCGCGCTTTCGATGGTACAAATCGAGACCAGTTCATCGATGTCGACGTCGGCCCTTGAGCATAATGCTGTCCCAAGGAGATTTGCGAGACGGTGGGTTTGGCGAAGGCGATGAACTCATCCGTTAAAGGGGAATCCGAGGTTCTAAACGGGGAATGCGGCGACCGTTCTTGCGAGGGAATTCCGCACGAGGATACGGGATCCGATCCTGAGCTCGGTGAGGAGAAAGTCCCTGATTGCGCTAGGCTCGATGGTATCCCTCAAAAGATTGAGATGCCGTGGAGATCATCGTCAAGATCTCTGGCTCGGGATGGTCGATCGGGGATGACCGAAGATATAGTCATCGCTTTGCGGGAGAGGGTGGGAATCAGTGACGCGGTCAAGATTCTCGTTCCCTTACCTGACCAAAGGCCGATGGACGCTCCACCTGGATGGTTTTGCCTCTACGAATGCTTCCTCACGGAGTTTGGAATACGTTTTCCGGTCCTCCCGTTACTTCTCGAGTATGCGTATGAGCGGGGTGTAGCGTTGAGTCAGCTGACCCATGGTGTAGTGCGGCATATGGTCTTCTCGGCCGCTCTGGCGAAGGCAGCCGGGATGAAGCTAGACAGGGAGCTCTTTGAGCGTATAACTGATCTTCGTGCTGGGGTTAAGGAAGGAGGTTTCAAGCGTTTCCACACATCGATGAAACATGACATCGTTTTTGGTGATCATCGAACGAAGATTCATCACTGGACGCGCTACTACTTTTTTGTCAAGGTCGACCGTGCTTCGGTCGGGGATTTCGATCCTAGTCACGTCTTAACAAATGGGTCCAGGAGCCGGGTAAAGTGGTTGTGAATTCTTCCTTATTTTTAGCGGTTGCTTCGTATGCTAACTTACGCCCCCATTATCTGATATGCAGGAAGGATTGTCCCAAGGAAAGTAAATACTACTCTAAAGGAGAAGTTTAGAACTTTACGCGACTTGAGTAGAGAGACTTGGGCGGATGCGTTTGCCGAGACCGAAAGGAAGAAGAAGGAAAAGAAAGGAAAGGCTATTGCTATAGCGATTCCTCTCCCTGGTGAGTGTTTGATCATCGCCTTTGAATTTTTACGCCTGGTCCGGCTCTTAAATCGCGCTCCCTGATGTCTTCCAGATAAGTTGCCGGGTGTTGCTAGGAAGACAGGCTTAAGGAAAAGGGCTCCGGCTTTGGTGGATGATGATATCCTGATTTCTGATCCTTTATCCAAGCGGATGAGGTCAGATTCCTGCGAGCTAGGTGATCTTCCTCAGTCACTGGGGTCTCTTGGGGGTGTCACCAGTGGCGATTTCTCTTCTCGGACTGTCGCGGCTTCTACTGGTCAGGGCGGGGATATGAGTATCCTGGAGTCTGGAGGTGACGGGGTGACGGATTCCGTCGGGATAGACTCCGATGCTGTCTCCTTTAAGTGGAAAGGTGGTGCTCCTTTAATGGATAATGGCGACTTTAGTGGAGAGATGGTTTGGGGTTGCAAACCTAAGCCATGCTGGGGGGTTCCGCGTGGTGAGCTTGAGTTCAAGGGTGCTTTCGATGAGGCTTCTAATAATCTTATTAGAGCCGGAGGGAAGTTTGCTGCGTTGATTCAACTTTATGACGGAGCGCTCAAGGGTGCTCGGAGCGGAGTTGATCAAATTAAAGCCGATTTGTTTGATAACTTTGATGGTGATGCGGCTGCAGTTAGGTTTCGAGGAAAAGATGCTTTTGAAAAGAAGATAGAAGCTCTCAAAGGCGAGGTTGCGAAGGTGTCTGGCCTTGAGGTTGAAAATAATCAACTTCGGGACAAAATTACGCAACTGGAGGATAAAGCCTGTCGGGACATGGAAAACTCGATTGCCGAGATGGCTCGTCTTCGCAAGTCTCGGAAGAAGTGGGCTGAGTTGACGGCTGCTCAAGTGTACGAATCAATGCATAATTGGTATACTCCGAGGTTGGACCGTATAGGTAGATACGTCAGTCAGCGGGATGCAGTGGAGAAGGCGGTGATTAGGATTCAAGTCGACGAGGCTCTTCTTTCCTATGTCAGGAAAATAAAGGGGGTCGAGCAGGATTTTGATGCGGTGGAGAAGATGCTTGCGGCCCGGTTGCGGGAGAGTAAGGCCGCCGGAGACTTGGTCGAGGATGACGAAGTTGAAGCTGATGACTATGCTCCGCCCTTAAGGTTAGATCTTCGTTTTCGTCTTGCTGAATTTTGCTTTGACAGCGCATGGATTGTTCCACGGAATTTTGATCAATATGGGTCAATATATCGAACTTTCAGGCCTACCCTAGCTGAGCTGGCGTTTCCGGGATCCCCATCGTCGCGTCATCAATCGAAGTAGGGAGAGAGGAAGTCGAAATTATCTTTCTTTTTTCTCTTTTGATAGTTTCCCATTTGCTTTTATCGTGACAATTGCCCGGGAGGGCTTTTATCCTTAAACTTTGGGTTTAGTTTTGGATGTTATTTGGTGCTTTATTTGCTGCTTTGTTGGCGAAACAAATTGGCTTAGACATAGTTGATAATTTCACAGCGCGATGAAAGAACCCAGCTTTAGGCCATGTCTTTTAATGAGAAACAATGCGCCTTCAATCGGTTGGGGTAGGCTAGTTTATTCGATCGTCATCGGGTAAACGGCTTACCTATGCCGAGATGGCTTGTTAATCTCAAGTGTGTCGAACGAGTGCTTTCGTTTGACGGTGCGGATGCGTCGTGATGTTCTTCGAAGCTTTCGTAGTCTGTCACGATTCTCATTCGAGACACCGACCGATGCGTATTAGGTCTGAGGTGCTGTGATTCGGTAGATCACATGTTTTGGCGACGAGGTCTAGGGGCTCGATTTATGCCAACGATTCCATGGTCCGTTATGTGTAACGAGTAGCGATTTTTTCTTGCCCGTATGGCTGGTGCCGTGCGAGGTGCGTGCTCTCGTCTTTTGTGGGTGATCAGTCCACGGGTGCTGCGTTTAAGTGCATCCGAGCGTTGGGCCAGAACGTCGGTGTGTTGCGTTATTTCGGAATTATGCTTTGCGTGCGGTGCTTGCGTTGCCGATGTCTTCGGTAGGAAACTCAGTTACCGGTTGAGGGCAGAAGTCGTTACTTCTGGGTCCTTGCCGAGACGGGAACCCTTCCGAAGAGGTTCGATAAGAAGTGCTTGCATAAAAATAAAAGAGCTATTTATTTTTATTAATTTATAGCTGTGCCTTTATCGAGAAAGACTGCCTACGTACCCATGCCGGGATCAAGCCAATCGTAGTTCATTACAAATGTTCATGCCATGGACATGTTTTTTTTTTTTTTTTTTTTTTTTTTGTGCGGTGCGACGCGTCTAGGTGTAGAACCTGCGTAGGTTCATGGAGTTCCATGGACGAGGCATGGGTTTCCGTGACAATCGTCCAGCTCGTAGACCCCGGGTTTGATGATCTTGGTGATGCGAAACGGTCCTTCCCAATGGAACCCGAATTTGCCTGCGTGCTCGGGTTTGGTAAAGTCGTGGACCTTCTTAGATACAAGGTCGTAGAGCTCGAAGCGCCGGTTTCGCACCTTCCTGTCGTAATATCTGGTTGCTTGTTGTTGGTAGTTTTGCATACGCAGGAGGGCGCGATCCCGTAGCTCTTCGGCGTGGTCTAAACTATGCAGGAGTGAGTCGTCATTCAATGCCGGGTTGAGGGGCATTAACGATCGTCGTAAGCTGGCTACGTGCAGTTCTGCCGGTGCTAGTGCTTCGCAACCGTGCGACAAAGAGAATGGGGTTTCCCCGGATGCGGTTCTGGGGTGGTTCGATGCGACCAGAGCACTCCATCCAATTCGTCCGCCCAAGCTCCTTGGTAGCCTTCAAGCCTTTTTTTCAATCCATCAACAATAGTTTTGTTTGTGGACTCGGCTTGTCCATTAGCTTGAGGATATCTTGGCGTGGAGTAAGTGATCTTGATGTTCCATGATGCGCAAAATTCTCGGAAAGTTGCTGCGACGAATTGTCCTCCGTTGTCCGTGACGATCTCATAAGGAAGACCGTGACGGCATATGATATACTGCCACACAAAGTTTCTTACGTCATGAGCCGTTGGGTTTTTGTACGCTTTTGCTTCTACCCACTTAGTAAAGTAGTCGGTGACGACCAAGAGGTAAGCGCATTGCCGTGAGCGTGGCATGGGGCCGACGATATCCATTCCCCAGCGCATAAAGGGATATGCCGGGATCGCAGCTTGAAGTGCTTGCGTTGGGGCGTTGATCGCCGGTGCGTATCTTTGGCAGGGGACGCATTTGGCGGCGACGTTTATGCAATCGCCGATCATCGTTGGCCAGAAGTATCCGATCTTCTTAATTTTTAAAGCGAGTGATCTTCCGCCGGCGTGGTTTCCTGATGCTCCCTCGTGGGTCTCGACCATGATGCTCTTAGCTTGTGCTTCGTCGCAGCATCGCAGGATGACTTTGTTTGCGCTCCAGCGAAAAAGCTCGTTGTTGCGTAAGAAGTAGTAAGCTGCTTTTCGTCGGAGGCGGCGGGCCGCCCATCGCTCCTCTGGCACGGCGTCGTTGATGAGGTAATTTCTGATTTCATCCTGCCATGATTTGTGTTCTGCTGACTCGTCATCAGTGAGGTTTTCGTCTTCTTCTTCTTCTTGCGAGATTGCCATGACGACGGTTCCCTTGGGGAGTTTGATGCTTGGTTCGTCGATGGTTTCGACCGGGATGACCCGTCGCAGTGCTGATTCGGTTTTTGACGCCAAGGCTGCGAGTGCGTCGGCTTCGGAATTCTCGGAACGGGGGATCTTTGTCAACTCGAACGTCTTGAATGCTTTGGCAAGTCTTTGCGTTTGTTTGAGATACGTCCATGCGATCGTCTTTCGTGTCGTAGTCACCGCTGAATTGTTTAGCGACGAGCTGAGAGTCGCAGAACGCACGAACGTGTTCTGCTCCGACTGCTTCGGCGAGACGAAGTCCGGCAATAATCGCTTCGTATTCGGCTTCGTTGTTGGACGCTGGGAAACCGAGTTTGATCGATTGCTCGAGAATCTCGCCTGTCGGGGAGACGAGGCGGATGCCGACGCCTGCTCCTTGCCTGGAGGACGATCCGTCGACATGCAGTGTCCATTTGAGGATTTGCTCGTCCTCTTGAGTTGCGAGCTCTGGTGGGATTTCTACGATGAAGTCGGCTAGACTTGTGACTTGGCGCTCGTCCGGCTTTTGAACTCAATATCGTATTCCGATAGTTCGATTGCCCATCTGCCATTCTTCCGGATTGGTTGGGGCCGTGAAGGATTTGGCGTAGTGGTTGGCTGGTAAAGACGACGATGGAGTGTGATTGAAATATGGCCTGAGTTTTCGTGCCGATATGACTACTGCGAGTGCCAGTTTTTCTAGGGTTGGGTATCGCGTCTCGGCATCATTGAGGGTTTTGCTGACATAGAAGACTGGCTGCTGCTCTCCTCGATCTTCTCGGACGAGGACTCCGCTTACCGCCGTGCTTGATATTGCGATATATAAGAGTAGGGTTTCGCCTTCTTCGGGTTTTGCGAGAATTGGTGGGGTAGTGAGATACTCTTTCAAGTTGTTTGAAAGCGTCTTCGCATTTTTTGTCCCACTCGAACTTCTTGTTTGATCGAAGCAATTGGTAGAAGGGGAGACACTTGTCGGTTGAGCGCGAGATGAATCTGTTCAATGCGGCGATACGTCCGGTGAGTCTTTGGATTTCTTTGGAGGATGTCGGCGATGGGAGGTCGAGGATCGCCGAGATCTGCTTCGGGTTTGCCTCTATCCCGCGTTGGGTCACAACATACCGAGGAATTCTCCCGAGGTAACGGCGAATGTGCATTTTGCGGGGTTCAGCTTCATCCCGTACTTTCCAAGATTCGGAAACATTCGCTGAGGTGCTTGACGTGATCGTGCCTTGGCAGATTTGACTAGCATGTCGTCGATATAGACTTCCATGCTTCTACCGAGCTGGTCCGCGAACATTTTGTTCTAATCTAAGTGGCGCCGGCGTTGCATCACTTTATAGCAATAGGTGCCACGATCGGTAATGAATGCCGTCTTCTCGCGATCATCGGGATGCATGAAGATCTGATTGTATCCTGAAAAGGCGTCCATGAAGGATAGTAATTCATTCCCTGCCGTGGCCTCGACGAGGCGATCGATATGCGGTAAAGGGAAGCTATCCTTTGGGCATGCTTTATTCAGGTCTGTGAAATCGACGCAGACTCTCCACTTTCCGTTTCTTCTTTTTGACGACGACTGGATTTGCTAGCCATTCGGGGTATTTTACTTCAGTGATCGATCCGGCTCTAAGTAGCTTTTCCACTTCTTCATTGACTGCTTGAGCTTTATCGGCGCCGAGCTTGCGTCTTTTCTGTCTCATGGGTTTGTAGTAGAGTCCACGTTTAGCTCGTGGGATGTGATTGCCGGGTCGATCCCTTTCATATCTGCCATTGACCATGCGAAAAGGTGCACGTTCTGTTTGAGCAATGTGACCAGTTGCTCTTTTATCTTTTCGTCGAGGTCGCCACCGATGCCAACGCACCTTTCCGGACGCGATTCGTCGATATTCACCTCGTCGACGAGGGCCGGCTTTGGTCTCTGGTGGTATGGAAGGCGTGGATCCATTTCCTCGTTTGCGGTGCATGTTGCTGCTAGGCGGAGCCGTCGCTCATAGAGGAAGCATGACCTTGCTGCCCCCTTGATTCCCTCTCAGTGTGTAAATTCCTGATTGTGCCGGGAATTTCACACATTGGTGAAAGGTCGAGACGACGGCCTTCATCTCGTGGAGCCATGGGGTGCCCAAAATGGCGTTGTAAATGGCTGGTTTATCGATGACGAAGAATTCGGCGGCTTTGGTTGTTCCGCCGACGTGGATAGGTAGGCGGATCGTGCCTTCACTGGAGACGTGTTCGGAGGTGAACCCGGTGAGGGAGTACAACGAACGCTTGATCTGGTCTCTGCTGATTTCCATGCGGTTGAGGGTCTCTTTGTAGATTAGATTCACCGTGCTCCCGGTATCGATCAGGATTCTTGCTACGCTGGAGTCACTGATGTGCAAGCTGACCACGAGTGGGTCGACGTGAGGGGTATCCAGCCCCGCCGTATCTTGATCCGTGAAGATGATAGTGGGGATTTCTTCGCGGGTCGGGTTGCGATCGTGCTCCACCGCTGCGTATTCATGCTCCGTGATCGTCGAGATGGAATCGCGATGGATGGGGTTGCTCATTATCATGTTAATCTCTTGCCCTGATTCGTCGGAGTAGTTCGTTATGTCATCCGGCGTGTTTTCCGGGATTACGGGTTGTGCCGGCTTTCGTCTGTGACGAGAGCGGTCCCCTTTTATCGGTGGTAGCTCCCCGTGCTGGTATCTCCGAAGGAGATCGCGAGTTAGGCGTCGGCAGTTTCTTGTAGAGTGGTCACCGGTTCCGTGGAGGCGGCAAAACGTGTCAGAGTCGTCGAGATCGGGTGTCGCGACATCTGTTGCCCTTTTTTGTGATGCGGTTCCTGCTCGGGCTCGTTCGTCGGCTGCTGCGAACGCTGTGAGGAGAGACCTCTTGGATTCGTATCTTTTCGTGCCTCCATGGGTTCCTCTCTGGGTTTCGTCGAGGTTGCCCTCCTATCTCCATGTTTCTCGGCGTAGAAGCGCTGGTCTTCCTCGAGGAAGATGTAGTTCCGAGAGCGGTGGAACGCGTCCTCCAGAGTCGCAGGGGGTTTTAGTGACAAATCCTCCTTAAACTTGGAGTCGTACCAGAGGCCGTTGCGGAGTGCTTCTAGCGGGACGCTATCGGGCATGTCGCCAGTGTCGCGAGCTGCTTGTTTGAACCTTTCCATAAAGCTGCGCAATGGTTCGCCTTGGGTTTGCGTTGTGGTGAACATGTTCCGAGTGATTCGGGTCATGTGCATGGAGTAATGCTTCAGAAAAGCATTGGTTAGGTCGTCGAAGTTATCGATCGACTCGGCGGGGAGGTTAGAGAACCAGGTCAAGGCATCTTTCGCCATGTGCTCGACGAATACTTGACAGTAGTTGGCCTCCCTTTCATCGTAAGATTTGTATTTCTCCCTCCTCATGGCGAGGTTGAACGCGGTTAGCCACTTCTTGGGGTCTTCTTCGCCGGTGTAAGAGTCGATTTTGAGTCGAACTCTTTCGTGTAGCTCAATCTGGCGGAGCCTGCGGGTGAGCGGGCTTCTTCGGGTGTCGGCGAGTGCTTTCGTCAATTCCGGAGCTGAGCTGGTGGCGCGATGAACTTTCGAATCGACCTCGTCGAGGCGACGATTCACCCGTTCGAGTTCTTGGTGGTAAGTCGCCTGAAGTGCGCGGGACGGGGTTGTTCCGTCAGGGGACTTGACGGATCTTCATCGTCTTCTCGTGCTAGGGCTTCCACCTGTTCCTGAGTCTTTTTCTGCTGTGCTCGCATTGACTCGAAACCGTCGGCGAGTGGCTTGACGAGATTCTCCATGAGTTTGAGGATCTTCTCGCTCGAGGAGGATTTCTTCGAGCTGCGGGGTTTGTCGCTCGAGGAAGATTTTCTCGAGCGGCGTGGTGCGGACGGAGGGGGGCTCTCGTCCTTTCTTGGCGGAGGGGATCGTTGCGGCGAAGTCGATCTTCGCGGCGAGACGGATCTCTGTGGCGAGAAGATGGTTTCTTGTAGGGAGCAGGCTTGTCCCTACCTTCAGCGGGTAGCGACTTGTCTATCGTGCTGGTAGACTGTCGCTTAAGTTTTCTTCTGAGGGAGACGGGCTCCCGGTGGGAGTGTTCTCTTTCGAGTTCCATCGTTGCTAGTTCGTGAAAATCTAGATATCTTCGAGATGAATAGCGAGAAGCGTTTCCAGCCCCACGGTGGGCGCCAATTGTTGAATCCGAGATAGCACTCGTCAAGACGGGCTATCTAAGATGTGAGTTTAGGAAACTGGAACGCTTAATTCGACTCTTAGATTATCAAGAAGTTACAAGAAGCAATCTCGCTAACAAGCCTAGCGAGATTATGATGATGAACAAGAGGATAGAGTAAAAGCTAATGTGAAAGCCTAGTGATTCTAGATGATTTCGGATCCCTTCTCCCCAATGGGGGGTCTTCAATATAGTGTTGATAAGTCGGCCGAATGATGAATATTCTCCTTCAGGCGAGATGGAAAACTTCCTCTTTTGCGATATGGAAAATCCCTCTTGTTTTTGGATCTTTTCCATTCTTTAAGTCGGCATGAAGATTTATTTACATTTCTCCATGGATTGTGCCTTTCTCTTCAAGTCTTGCCTTTTTCTTGAAGATGTTAGGCCTAAAATCGGATTGGGCTTTGTGACTTTACTAATGATGACGGGCTCAGGGAAATGTGCTAATTTCTCCTCTATCACACATGTTACTTTTTTCATTGAGGAAAAAGATTCACACGTTTTAGAATTGGGAGAATCACATGCTACACGTAAGCAGCTTCAAAAGTTAGATAGAGAATATGAATATGGTAGTACATTTTTCAATTTAACAAATGTGAAAATTAAATTAAACTCACTTACATATATGATCCGGTTGTATAGAACTGAAACTCCTTTTAGTAACGTGACGCACGTGGGCAACGAAGAAGGAGACAGCGTATACGTAATAAGTTACAGGCTATCGAATACTAATAAGTGAAAATTTGAAAACTACATTTTTTTAGGTGTCAATTTTCAAAAATACATATTTATAGTGTTTATTTTCAAAACTACACATTATTCATTAAATAAAATAATTTTAAACCTTAAAACTTAACCTTGAACCCTTAAATCTAAACCTTAAACTCCAAAATCTAAATTCTAGTCTAGGATTAGTGAATCCAAACATATATATTAAAATATGGAAAAAGTGTATTTTTGAAAATTACTACAGTATAATTTTGAAAATTTACATTTTTTATTTCTTAAAATATATCTACTAATACAAACCCAAAACGATTTAAAAAGATGTTTTAACTTTGGTATAACAAGCTATCGAATACTAATACAACCCCAAAACAATTTAAAAATATGTTTTAACTTTGGTATAACTATCTATATATGTCTACATATGTGTATGCTTTCTTTGTAGCTTATACAGTTTGCCTTGTATCCATGTTTGAAGATAATTAAATAACGATACAATACGAAACCACTCTTGATTCTTGAAGTGGTGAACAAGCATCGAATTATGAGTTTACATCAATTCCATGATATATAATCTGCCACTTTTTTTTTTGTCATCTGGATTAATATAAAAGAGAAGTACAAATCAAAGGAACAAATTCAACTAGTAAGATTAGCTCACACCTGGACAAGCCCATGGTTCTCTCTGAATTCAACAAGTGAACAAGATCAGGAGAGAACAAAATCTACCAAAAACAAACGAAACCTCCAATCAAAAAGAGGGCTGAACTTTCTCACTTTCAAATATAAAATCCAACTAAAACGGAGGACCTAAAGCAACATACGAATGCTTGCGGCCACTTTTGATGACACTTTGAGCAATGAAAAAAACCCCTCTATTCGCACAATGAGGTTCAAGCAACATTTTCCGATCCGAGAAACTTGACAGAGAAGAAGACCACTCTGAAGAATGCTTCTTAAAAGATGGCCAAGCTTTTGGCCTCTCCAAGACTCCCACCGCCACCGAACTCTCAACGGCAAACACCATTTTTTGACTCCGTGAGTAACCGTGCTTTCCCGAGCCCAAGACAATGCTAAGAAAAAGCAGTCTCTACCCCCATAAAGGAGGAGTCAAAGGGAAGCAACAATTTTCGGGTTTGACTTTGACTCCTGGAAAAGCAGCTCGATCGAGTTGTCCTTGGCCGGTCGAGTTGGCGAACTCGACCGGTTGGTCGAGTGGATGGGTCGATCTGACTTCAAGACGGCTTCCTTCATCATCCTAAGCATCCGCGGCCAAGCTGAATCCATATACCAAGTCCTTCCTTGCTCCTCACGTCCCAATTGCTCCATAGTGCTCCAAATAGACCTAATTAAGGATCAAACATGCATATGTATGCAAATGAAACCTAAAACTACAATGAATGCATAAGAAGGAAAAAAGAACAAGATATGATGCTAATGGATGCTAAAACTATGCAAAAGATGGATAAAAGATGGATAAAAGATGTACCAAAACTATGCAAAATGCAAGTACATCATAAACCTAAACCCTAAAAACAACTTATTACACTCAATTATTCAATTACCAACTTGACTAATCGACAAATGATAACATTTTGATGTTTAATTCAAGTAAGGTATGTTTCGAACATTACAAAGAAGATGAACAAGTGTTTCTTATAGTATAAGGTTTACTATACAGTAGAAACTCTATAAATTAATACTCGATAAATTAATAAACACAATAAATTTATAAATGTCTCCGATCCCAAGTTGGGCCGGTGTATAATATGACACAATTCGGATAAATTAAGATAATAATATTTTTAAAATTCCTATATAAAATATGGTTTCAGTAATATCATAAATTAATAATTATCATATAAAAAAATTATATATATATATATAGATTATCTAAGATATCTAACTACTAAAATATGAATCTCACACATCAAACATATTTGAAAATTAAATTAAAAACGAAATTTAAAACAATATGGAAAATATGAGAAAATGTAAACAATAAAGTATATATAAATATAAAAAGTTAAAAAATATAAAGTTCTTATTTAATTTAAAGAAAAATTTAAAATATTATTAATATGAATTTTCTTTTTTTTTTGAAAAACAAATAGTCAAAATCTATATATTAATAACTCTATAAATTAATAAAATATCAAAGTCCCGACATTATTAATTTATAAAGTTTCTATTGTTTGTTATCTTAGAGGATTTCTTATAATTTATGAATTTTACCAAATATGTTGTTGTATTTATCCATTAGAACTTTTTTTATAGCTCCTACATACACTTCTCATACGAGTGAAAGAACGTCTAACAGTTTAGGGCAAATTTAGGGTTTAGGGTTCATATTATCAACGAATTTCCGACGAGTCGTTGTAAAAATGAAGCAAAATCGTGTCAACTCTTAACATGTTTCCTCGGATGAAATCGAATTAAAATTATGTCCTCCCGGTTTAGCAACGAATTAACAATGATTTTTGGACACGTCGTCGTAAGTTTGTCGGTAATAAGTATAAATTTTTTTAGCAAGGAATTAACAACGATTACCAAGAAATCGTTGTTAATTCGTTGGAAATTAACGACGAATTAACAAGGGACATAAAAAATGGAAAAATTTAATTCCCACGTGTGGGAAAACAAAATTTTGCGAAGATGTTTAGCGATGAATTAACGACGATTACCAAGAAATTATTGTTAATTCGGTTGTAATAAAGAGGAATTACCAAGGGACATAAAAAATGGAAAATTTTAATTCCCGCGTGCGGGAAAACAAAATTTTGCGAAAAAAATTAGCGACGAATTAACGATGATTGCCAATAAATCATTGTTAACTCGTCGGTAATTAACGACGAATTACCAAGGGACATAAAAATGGAAAATTTTAATTCCCTCCAGCGGGAAAACATAATTTAGAGAAAACTATTAGCGACGAAGTGTACAGATCGCCGAAAATTCGCCGCTAAATAGCGACGCTGTTGCGAGGAAACAAAATCCTATATAAAGGATCCTCACTTCCGTCACACTTTCATCTCTCCTATATTCTCATCTGCAACTCTCTCGATATCACTGTCTTCTCGCCGACCCTTTCTCACCCGCCGGATCCTCTCTCTCCCGCTAACTCTCTCTCACCCGCCAAATCCTCTCTCTCCCGCTGACCCTCTCTCTCTGCCAACCCTCTCTCTCACGGCCGGAGACCTCTCTCCGCCGATATACATCCAAAAAATTGCAGATACATTATGCCAAAACTGCTTATAATATGGGATAGAGGGAGTATATTATTTCATATTTTTTTAAAAGAAAATATAATCGTCGCAAATACGACGCAAATAAAAATATAAAAATAACGACTTTCGTTGTTAAATCGAAGCAAACTTATTACAGCTTTCGTCGTTAAATCGTTGCAAATTTGCGATGATTTAATGACGAAATATTACCGACTTACAATTTCCGTTGTTGTTTCGATGTAAGTTTGGCGTCAATTTAAAGCCTCCTTGTAAATCTGTCGTAAATGTTACTACAAGTTTACACGAATGGTTTGCGAACGAGATTATCATTTGTCGCTGGTTAACGACGAATTAACGATGATTGGTCATTAGCATCGACCGCTAACTGACGATTTGGTAATCGTCGCAAATCCGATGCTAAGGTCAATTAGCAACGATTTAACAAGTTTCCGTCCGTTGCAAAACGATTGTTTTCTTGTAGTGTCAGTCCCATGACCCAGGTCAGCTAATATCTTATCAGTTGTCATTCATTGCTTCCAGTGCTAGAGTGATGTATGACCGCCAATAACATGGAGATCTTCTTGTTTCTCTTATGTTCTTTTTATTTTATTTTTTTATCAAATGTTCTTTTGTTTGTTCCCACCAAAATTTGCGTGTGTTTGTATTTATCTCTATAGTTAATGAAATTATTAATTATCAAATACCTATTAAAATTTAGGCATTGGAAATAATATACTATATATCAGAACATATATATAGTCTAATGGTTTATGTTAATGTCGTCGTTGTGTCATTCGGTTTCAAATCGATCTACTTAATGTTATGAAAAAACAAATTTTTAAAAAGAAAACATTGTTAATTGTAAATGTCAAACGTCAAATGGAAGAAGCTGAAGCTATCTTTGAACAACAAACCAACGGGTTGGAGCTTGCAATGGATACTAATATGATAGAAAACGATGATTTGCTATCTGAGGAACTGGAAGAACAACGTAAAATCTTAAATTCTCCCAACGTTAGGACATCAGGAAAAGCAGGACAAGAGAAAGAGTTTACAGGTGACAAAAAGAAGAAAGCAGAAGCTACTTTTGCCGAGGCTGAGCCAACGAGAGAACAAACAAAGAGAAGATCAAAGTCTTCTCAAACAAAACCAGAGCTTTCACAGAGGAGACCAGGACAGAGAAGTCCGGATACAGGAGCCTAGCAGCTTCTAAGAAGATGTCTTCACTCGGTACTCAAGCATCGAACAAGAAGAAAGTCATGCACAACAAACCGTCGACTAAAGCTGCTTCCCGTTTCCCTGGTAATGAGGTGTACCCACCGGCAAGGAATACAAACTTGCCAGCTGCATCAGGTTTGGTGGTGTCCCACAAACAACCCAGTCCGCAATGTTGAGTGCCATAGCATGGAACTGTCAGGATTCTGGAGGCTACCTGACCAAGCAACACCTCCAGGAGCTGAACCGTGTTTTTTTTTCCTAGCTTTCTTTTCCTTTCAGTAACAAAAAACAATTTTTACTTTTTGCAATATTTTCAATTTTCTTTTGGTTATGATAAGTTGTTTACGGTTGAGCCGAAAGATCTCAGCGGTGGACTGGCTCTTTTTTACATGGATGATCTCGACGTCAAGATTCTTTACTCAAACAAACGTATGATCGGCACTGAAGCAAGGATAGAAGGGAGAAAAGTCAATACGACGTTTACTGATGGTAAAATACCGTGAAGAAGTATGGGAACGGTTGACAAGATACAGTCTGCAACGAAAAGGAGCATGGTTGATGTTGGGAGACTTCAAAGAGATCTCCGGAAACCACAAAAAACGGGGAGGGCGAAAGCGATCTGAAACCTCTTTCCTCCCTTTTAAAACTATGCTTGCCAATTGTGGTATGTTGGAATTTCCTTTCAAAGGTAATAGCCTATCTTAGATTGGATACCGCAAATCAGGAAGGGTGCAATGTAAACTGGATAGAGTCGTGGGTAATTAAGACTGGCACCAGGATTGTTCGCACACAAATGTGGAGTATCTCAAACTGTGGGGTTCAGATCATCGGCCCCTTTTAGCTCGCATAAGTTCACTCAAGAGTACCCCCAAACGTTCTTGTAAGTTTGACAAAAGATGGATAGGCAAGGATGGTTTTAAATAAGCGCTAAAGGATGGATGGGGACGAGTATGAATCCCATGCTTTGTACAAGCACATCGCCAACTGCAGGCACTCTATCTCCCGATGGAAAAAAAGTAACCCGACAAACTCAGCAAAGATGATCGAAGCCATCAAAGCACAACTTGAAACAGCACAGACCCATGACACCGCCCCTAGTAGTGAGGTGTTAGAACTCAAATGGAAACTATGCTCAGCCCTGAGTGAGGAAGAACTTTTCTGGAAGCAGAAGAGTAGAGCAACATGGCTTCGAGAAGGCGACAAGAATACAAAAAATTTCCATGCTACCACAAAACAACGAAGAGCTAGAAATAGAATTATCAATCTCCGTTCCTGTTTATCATCTGTACTGAGGCTCTCATAAGTCTTCTTCAAGCCGTGGAGTATGAGGGTCGACTTACAGGTTTGAAGATAGCTAGAGGAAGTCTGGCCGTGTCGCATCTACTGTGTTTGTTGACAACAGTCTTTTCTTCTGTAAGGCACACACGGGACAATGAGCTGAGCTAATGAGAATCATCAACGTCTGGAAGGCATCGGGAAAACTACTAAATTGTTCTAAGTCCTTGGTTTTTTTTCAGAAAAAAAGTCCTCCATGACGTAAGAAACAGGGTTAAGACAACGCTGGGGATAACCAAAGATGGTGGGATGGGTATGTACCTAAGCATACCGGAACAACTAAGTGGATCTAAGGCTCAGGTCTTCTCTTACATTCAAGAACAGCTTAATGGAAATATTAACTCCTGGTCCGCCAAGCTTCTCTCCAAAGGAGGAAAGGAGATCCAAATCAAGTCAGTCGCACAAGCTTTCCCAACTTATGTCATGTTTTGCTTCTTATTACCAAAAGGAATCATTAATAAGCTTTGTAGTGCTATCTCACGTATTTGGTGGAGTACCAAAGTTCCAAATGGAGAAAGCGGATCAAGCGTTGCGAATCGAGCGAATCTAGCGGAACAAGTGGTACAAGTGCGGATCAAGCGGATCTAGCGGTCCAAAAAAATGTTTGAATGGTAAAAACAGATAAATAGCAGTCCAAACCAATGTTCATTTAAATATAAAAAACTTATAAGTAGGCAATTTCTATTTAAAATTAGATTTCAAATACAGTAAATAATTATATAATACATAATTGTATTTTTGGTAAAACCACTGATACATAAATTTAAAATAAACAGCAAAATAAATTAAAATACAAGACTTTTTTAGTACAAATTGTTTCGATTTGCCCATAAAAATTGTGCAATATTATCTCTAAAGTTCGCCATAAGTTCTCCATCAGTTACTTCTATTGCTTCAGTGTCTTGTAAATCACCCTCATAATTTATGTCCCATTAGTTCAGCAAAATCTTCATCTGTAAAATTTGAAATTCCGATAAAATTATGTAATCCCATTGTAGCCATTACCACTTGTTTTTCCACTTTAAGATTATATCTAGGAAATTCACTGAGAATCCTCCATTTCTTCTTCCAAACTTCAAACGTCCTCTCAATAACATAACGTAAAGATGCATGCCAATGATTAAAAAGTTCCTGCATATTCCGAGGAGGAGGACCATTCTCAAATTGTGACAAATGATAATGGAAAACCGTGTTTCTTGATGATCTGTAAGGAGCCAAAAACCCTTGTTTATTTGGATAACCAGAATCAACCACATAATATTTATCTGCTGGAGGCAACGGAAATTCAGAATCAGTGTCTTGAGCCATTGTGAGAACTGTTGTATCGTGACATGATCCTAGTGCTCCATTCCAAACATATGTGAATAACATATTCAAATCGCATATTGCCATGATGTTGAACGATGTTCTATCATGTCGATTCCAATACATTTCTTGCAATTCCTGTTTGACCTTAACACATACATGAACCCCATCCATTTCTCCAACAAATTCAGTAAAATATGGCCAATACTTTTGATCCATCATAAGTCGTTCAGGAATCCTAAGTAGTTCTTCACTAGTTGGAGTGTTGATATAATCACAAGCAAATAACTCAGTCGCTTGAAGAACTTCAAAGAATATTCTCTTACCTGTTTCTTGAGTTCGTCCAAAACACAATCCAACATCTCTTTGAACTTCGTTATGTCCGCATATCCGTAGAAAGATGGCCACACTATCTTCAATGATTACACTCAAGGTTGGCTGTAATCTATATTCTGTTTCCAGTTTATCACACAATGTTCTAAAACAATTCAGTGACATTCGTAATAACTAAAGACAAGCAGCAAGATCTTCTTGAATCGCCGCCAAATATTTATCCACCCCAAACCTTTATCTGTTTGAACTGGTCCTCTTGCAAAATACCGATTGTAATAACTTAATTCAAGTTGAATTATTAACTCTTCAAATTGCTCGTTCTCCAAATTCCACAGCTCAATCCTATCTTCATAGTTTAGAAATTGAACACCGTATTATCGCAGCTGGCATATACGAAAAGCCTATAATTTGGTAAACAAAAAGAAAGAGATTAGATTCAATTTGAAAATATGAATTAATAATACAAAATAACTAAAAGACATTATAAAACATAAAACAAGACATATTCATTATTAATAAAATACACAAATTAATAATCTAATTTTTATTGTTGGAATCGCTTTGATGAGTTTCATTCAAATTAGGTCTCTCTTTGGTTCCCAAATGTTAAATAATCCTCCTGCTTTACGTCTTTGTGGCATATATCCAGTTGAAGCATAATTTGTACACCCAAATTCTGGTGATATTCCTCTTGTAATATTTGAAGGATTAGGGACCGTGACTTCCTCTGAAGCTCCTTGAAATGGAGTTGTAGTAGTTTCGGTTTGAGTTTCCATTGGAAATCCCCGTTAAATATTCTGTGGAGGGGTCCATTGTGAAGTATTTGACGACGAACCCCATTGGTTATTATGTGATGATGAACCCCATTGTGTAGCAGTTGGTGGATTCCATTGCTGAATATTTGGAGGTATTCTCCATTGTGGAGCCAACGGTGGTGAACTCCATTGTTGTATATTTGGTTGTGCTCCCCACTGTGAAGTATTTGATTGTGTACCCCATTGTTGAGCATTTGGTGGTGTGCCCCATTGTTGAACATTTGGTGGTGCTCCCCATTGTTGAGCATTTGGTGGTGTTCCCCATTGTTGAAATCCATGGCCCCATTGACTACTTGAAGTTTGACCCCATGAATTATTACCACCAGAAGATGGACTACCTGAATGAAAACCACCGGAACTTGGACTTCCAAAATGTTTACCCGAACTTAAAAGTTTTTCCACACGTTCATCATTGCGTGTTAATCCGGTTAGAGCTTGTAGAAGTTTTATATTTTCTTCAAAGTTGTCAGCTCTATCAATAAAATACTTACGCCAGAATGCATCTTCTCTAAATTGTCGGATGCATGCCCAGTAATAGTCGGTATCATTGGGAAGCTCCATCGATTCAAATATCTTCACAGCCACATCAAAATCGTTGTAATCATCTTGGTCAAACGAATTTGGACGTAGCTGTTGTAAACTCTGGCGCTGAAACTCTCTAAAGCCGGTCATTGTATCTGTTAGAGTTGCCTCAAATGATTTTTTTTTCTGAGTTCCTAGTGAACCACTCCCTACTGAAACTCGTGAGTTTCCCGCAAGTCTTTGAGATGTACTCCCTCGTCTTCCTCTACTTTGGTTTTGAACTCTGGAAGCTGGAATTTGGACTGGATCAACAGCTGAAGAACTATGTCGAACATGTTCGTAAGTAAACTCGTTTGAAGGACGATAGTTCTTCTTCCCCTAAGAAGATTACTGTATGTAATGAGCTATGCTTTACGATAGTTCTTCTTACGATGGTTACGTTATCCTTTTGTAACTTTCAGATTTTATGAATCTTTATCTAATCGATTTGGGGGAAAATAAGAATTAGGTTTTGTGTTGTTTGTTTTGGGGAAGAAGAAAAGAGATGGATATTCTGGTCATTTCAGAGTGACTAACACGTGTGATTAATAAAGTAAACGCCACTTTAAGTGTCGCGTTTAAAAATTAAGCGTTGGTTAAAACGTTTAGTCGAAATTTCAATATTTGAATGTTGGTGAATTAAAACGACAACAAAAAATACTCTGGGTATTTTTCTACCAACCCCAAAAGTTTGTATTTTTTTCTTCCAAATTAAAAATAGTTCAGATTTTTTTCGGGTTTTTCCCCTAATATTGTGTTGTCAACAATGATATTATTCTAAAATTATAAATATTTGTAATGGAATATAGGATCAAATATTTTAATCACTAAAGTATATCTAACCATATATATTTTAAAATAAAAATTATAGTAATATTTAGTTTAACAATCAAAAAATTTAACATATTTACTATATATATAATATACAAATATATTAATTTTGAAAAACATTACCTTGCCAAACAGTTTTGGAAGTGCTTTCTTTTCTTTGGTATAGATGATGAAAGAAGAACAAAGCAAAAATGAATGTGAATGTTTTGAGATATGGATACGATCACTTGTGTCTTGGTATGCTATATATAGGAGAAATAACATCTAGTTTTGTGAATAAAATTAAAAGAAAAAATTCTTATTATCTTCAAATTTCTTGCAATGTGTGTGAAAGTGGATCACTCTTCAATTTTCATGTGATCCATACAGAGGTGTTTCTTCCACTTTTACTCACTAAAATCCAAAAGTAAATATGGTTCCTCCACTTTTTCTAATTTGTTTATAAAAATACAACATTAGCTTGAATGGATAATTCATTGTGGTCCCTCCACTTAAGGTGTAGCACCCACTAAAAATACGTCCTCCATTCAAAGCCCAAGATCGATAACAAAGGACTACATTCAGTGGCGAATGTAGAAAAATTATGTTAAGGGGTCAAGGTGGGATTCGAACTTGAGTTATAGGGGGTCGTTAAGCATGATTTACCACTTGTGCTACCAATTCTTTTGATAATTTAGCTATATTTCATGGTTTTATAAAATCTATATGGTGTCAATTGACACCGTGTCCCATAAAGTAGATTCGCCACTGACTACATTGGGTGACATGGGAAAAGATATGCATACCAAAAGAGCAAGAAGGTTTGGGCTTTCGAGATATGTATAACTTCAACTTAGCTCTTCTTGCAAAACAATTGTGGCGCTTGCTCAGGTACCCATCCTCTCTTCTGGCAAAGGTGCTAAAGGGTCGTTACTTCAAATATAAGAATCCATTAGAGACTGGTAAGGCTAACGCCCCCTCCTTTGGATGGAGGAGCATTATGGCAGCGAAAGATTTATTACAACAAGGGCTGAGAAAGTCGATCAAGTCTGGTTTTGATACCAAAGTATGGGCAGACCCATGGATTCCTACTATTCGGGCACGTCCGGCGTTGGATAATGGAAACGGACGGTATCCTAATCTCTACGTAAACCATCATATCGACTTTAACACTAAGCAATGACGCCTAGACAAGATACATGAGGTTATTGATCCAGCCGATATCCCTCTCATCATAAGCATGAAACCGACCAGAGTGTTCAACAGAAATGGCTACGTGTGGATTCACACCAAGTCGGGAAAATATTCGGTTAAGTCGGGCTACGCTCTAGCTATGGAGAAGAAAGAGAGGCTATCGAATCCAATGATTCTGGAACCCAGCACTACAGCTCTAAAACGTGGTGCATGGAAAGTAAAGACTATGCAGAAATTGAGACACTTTATGTGGCAAGCTATCTAGGGATACATTGCTGCATGTAGTAATCTAGTCGACCGCGGCAACGACGGAAATTGTCCAAGATGTGGACATGAAGAAGAAACAATTAACCATATTTTCTTTGCATGTCCTACGGCCCAGAAAATGTGGGCCTTATCCTCGACTCCGACCATTCCGGGAGAGTTCCCGTGTCAGTCAATCTTCAAAAACTTCAACCACCTTTTCTGGAGAGCAAAAGAACTAGGTGCGACGGATGAACAGCTTGAATCATTCCCCTGGATCATTTGGTTCATATGGAAGGCTAGGAATGAAAAAGCTTTCAACGGTGAAGAGATCTCGGCTCTTGATACGGCTCAATGGGCTAAGAGTGAGGCCGATGTTTGGAAGATGGCACAAGTAGTGTCGTCTAAGGTAGACAATGATGTCCTACCCGATATTCCGTCTCAAACTGACGAGCAACGCATTTGGCCTCAATGCCACACAGACGCATCATGGGACAAAACAAGCAACCTCGTTGGACTAGGGTTTCATTTGGACAATGAGGATGGATTAAGCCTATATGGAGCAAAGACATCAAACAATACACAATCAGCGACACACGCGGAACTGGATGCTATCAATTGGGCAATGTAAAATGCAAATGACATAGGATGCACTTCCATACACCTCCAAACGGACTGTCTACAAGTGCTGAAAATGATAAAGGAAGAGGAGGAATGGCCAGCTTTCTTTGTAGAACTTGAAGAGTTTCGTCGTCTTAAACACGCTTTCACTCGTTTCGATATTTCTTTTATCCCTCGCTCTAATAATGTATGTGCGTACTCTTTGGCCAAAGAAGCACGATCACGTGGGATTTTATTCTCTTCTGTAAACTTTTTGTCGCCGACTAGACCGCCTCCTGAGGTGTACCTAATAGTGACTTTACCTTAATAAAAAACTTTATCTTTACCGGAAAAAAATAAATAAATATTTTCAATCTAAACCTTAAATCCCAAAATCTATACTCTATTTAGGGATTAGTAAATTCAAATTTAGATTTTAAATTTAGGAAAAGTGTAATTTTTTAAATTAACATCACCATAAAAATTTATGTAGTTTTGAAAATTAACATTTCTTAAAATTTATCCTAGGTCTTAGATAACAAGAGAGACTCTAAACTATTGTATCATCTACATTTGGTGTCTTTTATTTTTTCTGTTTAGCGAAAGGGTTTACTATTGATGTGCTGCGTGTGTCAGTAGTAGGTATATATCTGAATAATCGATCAGACTCTACACAGATGGATTATTTCTTTTCATTTATGGATTTCTTTTCTTTTTTTATAAGAAAGAGAAGATACATAGAATTTTGGGTGAATTTATTCAATAACCATATTGGAGAACAAAACTAAAAATATAGCCACTGTGAATCTGATAATAAGAAAATAACAAAGAGAAAATATTGTGGACAAAATTATCCATCTAACTAGCTAAATTCGGTTTTATTGTACAGAGGAAAAACAGAATAGACCACCGTAGAGTTTTGAATTTCTGCAATCTTGTTAAGAGTAAACAATCGAAGGATGTGTTCCATAGATCAAAGCATTGTAGAAAACAACACAAATTGAATTCAATGGATAAAGATTAAAAGAACCTAACTAACTGATTGCAAATCGTTTACAAAACCAACAAAAGTTGAGATGCAATAAATCCAAACAAAGATTAAACAAAATGATGAGAAGTAAAAGCCCAATCTCTTCAACGACGGATCCGATCTGGTGTCAAATTCGATTGCGCAACGAATCGATTCTTCATCGACTGAGAGGAATTGAGTAGTAATATCTATGACTTTCTGTCATGTTCTTTCTCTTCGTTGCTGTCATCGTTTTCATCTGTGCTATCGACGGATCCGGGCGAGTCTAAACTCGTAAGCTAGAGCTCAAGGAAGAAGGAAGAAAGAGACAATAGATGAAAGAACATATCACAAAGATTATTTATATAATAAAAATAAATAAAAAAAACCACAGAAATCTCGTTAGAAAGAAGAAGAAGAAGATACGCATGAGTTGTTTTTTTAATCAGAAGGGAAATTTCGGTAATAATACATATTACACACAAAATAGTTTAACCATTCATTTGTTATGTTCATTTGATTTATTATAAGTTTTTTTATGGTTATTCACTGCAAAATCCCTAGAATTTTATGATAAGAACTAAAAGAAGAAAAGTTGTTTTGTTGGGAAATGGGGAATCCACAAAAAAATTAAGAGGACCTTGATCATCATGAAATACTTTGATATATTGGTAAAGTTTGAGTTTATTGATTCACATACATTAGTATATATACACACAAGATTTCCTAATCTGATATACCCAAATCTAATAATATATTTCGAACATATATCATATTCCTATACCCCCCCCCTCAAGTTGGTGGTCGGATATTTCGAACACCCAACTTAGATACAAGCTTCTCAAACAAAGTTTTAGATAGAGCTTTGGTAAAGATATCTGCAACTTGTTCCTTGGTGGAGATGTGATGAGTAGCGATGAGACCATCTTGAACTGCATCACGCACTTGGTGACAATCAGATTCAATAAGTTTAGTTCGTTCATGAAATACTGGATTGGCTGCAATGTGTAAAGCGGCTTGACTATCACAAAACAATGGCATAGGATGAGGATGATCATAGCCAAATGTATGTAGAAGAGCTTTGAGCCACTTCAGTTCACGGAGAGTGTACGCCATGGACCGATATTCTGCCTCGGCTGAAGAACAGGACTCGGTGTCTTGCTTCTTTGTCCTCCAAGAGATGGGAGAGTCACCCAAATAGACGATAAATGCCGAAAGTGATCGACTTAGGCATGCGTTATAGTCAGAATCACAATAAGCTGTAATTGTGAGATCACTATCACGACGTAGGAGGATACCTTGAGCAGGAGAACCTTTTAGATACCGAACCACGCGAAGTGCAGCTTCCAATGAGCCACAAGTGGAATCTGCATAAATTGAGAGAGTATATGCACGATGTATGTCAGATCCGGATGTGTGATAGTCAAATAGATCAGACAACCCACAAGACGACGATACTCCTTTGGGCGTTTTAGTTCAGGGCTATCAACAGAACCAAGCTTATGATTAACCTCGACAGGAACCGCAGAAAGTTTAGCTCCGAGTAAACCAGCTTCAGCAATAATGTCGAGAGCATACTTTCGTTGCGAAAGACATATTCCATCAGGACCACGAGAAACTTCAATGCCTAAGAAATATTTTAACTTGCCGAGATCCTTCATATGAAAGCATTGATGAAGATATTCTTTAAATTTCTGAATCACGGACAAATCATTGCCTGCAATGACAAAATCATCAACGTACACCAGAACGTGTAGAATCGTACCATCTTGGATCAAAGAGAACAATGAGTAGTCCGGGTAGCCTTGCTTGAAACCATAATCCTTTAACGCAGTAGAGAGTTTAGCAAACCAACAACGAGGGGCTTGTTTAAGGCCATAGAGAGACTTTCGAAGACGACAAACTTTATTCGGATCCGAAGACTGAAAACCAGGAGGAAGTTTCATGTACATTTCTTCCTCAAGATCACCATGGAGAAAGGCATTGTGGACATCCATTTGGTGTACTTCCCAATCTTTTGCAGCGGCAACAGCAAGAAGATGTCGAACTGTGGTAAGCTTGGCCACCGATGCAAAAGTTTCTTTAAAATCAACACTTTCCTGTTGACGATTTCCCATAGCAACAAGACGAGCTTTGTGACGTTCCAAAGAGCCATCAGAATTGAACTTCAGCTTATAAACCCATTTGCTACCAATGGCTGTTTTCCCGGGAGGCAAATCAACAATATCCCATGTATGATTACCTTCAAGAGCCTCGATTTCCTTCTTCATGGCCTCGCACCACTCCTTGATACGAATAGCATCCTTAAAGTGTCTTGGTTCGTCACTATCCAAGACAGCAGCCATAAAAGCAATATGGTGTGCTGTGAAGTCAGAGTCAGATAAATAATTAGTAAGAGGGTATAGTGTCTTACCAGAAACCGTTTTGGAAGACTTTGATGTGGTAGGTTCGAGTGAGAGAGCGTGAGAGGGAGAGTAGTGTACATTCTGAGTGACAAAGTCTTTGAGGAGAATTGATGTTTTCTTGGATCGATGACCACGACCTAATAGTTCAGGCAAGCCAGGAGACGGAGGAGGTGAATCATCTTGATCAGAGGGAACATCCGTCGCAGGAGATGCTACAACAGGAGAGCTTATTTCAGTTGGAGGTTCCGGAAGGGGATCTGTTGGTGTGGGTAATTCAACTGGGTCTGGTTCTCGTTCATGATCCAGCTCAATAACCGGAGAGATTGGTGAAACGGGAGTAAACAGAGCTGGTGGAACAGCCCAATCATCATCGACAGTAGCTTCGGTTTGGAGAGGTGGCGAGGGCTCAATTTTGCTGGTATGAAATGGGAACACGTTTTCCTGAAACTGAACATCTCTACTCACAAAAAATTGTTCGGTTTCAAGATCATAGACACGCCAACCTTTCTTGCCATATGGATATCCCACAAAAATACATTTTCTGCTGCGAGGACCAAACTTGTCATTGTCACAAGCACGATGATGAGCGTAACACAAGCAACCGAACGTACGTAGCAAATCATAGGTAGGAGGCTTCTCAAATAGTATCTCGTATGGAGATTTCCCTTGTAACATTTTTGTAGGTGTTCGATTGATCAGATGAGTGGCAGCAAGAATACTTTCACCTCAAAAAGCAACTGGTAGTTGAGCTTGAAAAAGACAAGCGCGAGCAACGTTCAGAATGTGACGGTGTTTATGCTCTACGCGGCCATTTTGTTGGGGAGTATCAACGCAAGAAGTCTGGTGCAAAATTCCATGTTATTGAAAATAGGAAGAAAGGCACATGAATTCCGTACCGTTGTCGCTGCGGAAAGCTTTCACGGGTTTGCCAAATTGTTTTTCAGCCATGGCACCAAAATACGGATCAACTTGGCAACTTCGGATTTCTCACTCATGAGAAACGTCCAAACGGATCTAGAGAAGTCATCAACTAATGTAAGAAAGTAGACAGCTCCGCAAGACGAAGGAGTGCGGTACGGGCCCCAAACGTCACAATGAACAAGTGAAAAACAATCCGAAGCTTTATTAATGCTATCATTGAAAATTTCACGAGTTTGCGTAGCTCGAAAACAAATATCACAACTCTTGATCTCTTCAAGAACACTAAGAGATCGATCACAATTTGGTAAAGAAATCAAAACACTAGCAGAAGGATGCCCTAAGCGACGATGCCACAATGCTCCAGACGAACCAACATCTTTTGAAACTTTGTTGACATGACAAGCCAGAACACCGGTAAAATAGTACACTCCCTCACGCTCTTCACCCGCACCAATCAAAGTCCTCGTGAAACAGTCCTGTAAGATGCACAAAGTGTCAGTAAAAATGGCGATACAACCAGTTTGTTTCAAGAGCTTTGACTTTGAGATAAGGGTGCAGTCAAAGTCAGGAACAAATAAGACATCAGGCAGCAGATAATCAGAGGACAAGGCCAACGTCCCACGCTTGGTAGCACGAGAGCCAGTCCCATCAGGGAATTTCACAGCGGAAGGTAGAATATCAATCACATCTTGAAGGATAGAGATGTCCCCAGTCATATGATGGGAAGCTCATGTATCAATAATTACATCAGAAAAAAAATGTTTTACCGGACAGCTTTTCAGACGTGGTGTTGGGTCGTTGTGCTTGCAGGAGGCTGATCAGGTGTGCGATCTCATCTTGACTTTGATCTGGGACAACCCGTGCATTGTTGGCTCTCCCACGACCTCGACCTCGAGTTGCTGGCGGACGTCCACCTCGCTGAACCGCACCACGACCAGCAGAGTCCTTAGGATCAGAACGAGAGGGTTGAGTACTCCCTTTGTTGAGCTCGTAGTACCAGTCAGGATAACCATGAAGGTTAAAACATTTTGAAACTTCATGCCCTTGACGATTACAGTGAGTACACGTGAGAGTCGAGCGATCACGAAAACGAGAACCTGAGACAGCCGCAACTCTAGCAGATGAATCTCCTTTAGCGTCAAAGCCAATAGCATCAGGTTTTGGAGTTTCGTTAGCTCGTGCGATGTTGAGGTTTTGTTCTTCTCGAATGGTACAGGAGTACACTTGGTTAAGAGATGGCAAGGGATCCTCGCCGGTAATTGTTGAGCGTAGCTGACTAAAGCAAGGAAGGTCAAGACCAAAGAGGAACTGATGAACTTGATCTTCCTCACGTTCTTTGGCAATAGCAGAAGCAGCTTCACAACGACAGACTTGTGTGGTTCTGTAGTTCTGCAACTCTTTCCATAACTTGGTCAAACGACCATAGTATTCAAGAACTGATTGCCCGTTTTGCTTGCACAAAGCAATCTCATCTTTCAAAACTTGTTTACAGACACCATTACCAATGAAAAATCGAGCTTGAAGACTCTTCCACAAGGTTGAGGCTTATGACACGAAAGAGACCGTTGAGCGAATTTTAGGGTCAATCGAGGTACGTATCCACCCAACGATCATTGAATTTACAGCAAGCCACATGCTGAGTTCTGGATCAGAAGCTGGTTTTGTTATCGTACCATCAATAAAGCCAAGTTTTTGCTTAGCTTGTAACGAGTTTTGCAGCTCAATCGCCCATTCTGAGTAATTGTCTTCCTTGAGGATGACAGAAGAGATGAGTGAGCCTGGATTGTCGGATGCGTTGAGTTGATACGGATTAGTAGTGAAGTTATTCTGTGCGGCGATACTAGATTGCGCTGCGGCAGTAGCTTGTGCGGCGGCGAGAGCCTGTGTGACGGCAGCGTCGGTGATAAACATTACTGCAGCGGTAGAGGTGAACTCGGCGGCAACAGATAAGGTTTTAGATAGGGTTTAGGTCAGAGAATTTTTGCTCTAATACCATAAAATACTTTAATATATTAGTAAAGCTTGAATTTATTGATTCATATACATTGGTATATATATACACAAGATTTCCTAATCTGATATACCCAAATCTAACAATATCTTTCGAACATATATCATAATTCAATACATCACGTATAGGCTGTTTAAAGAGGACCTCGTCACCTCAATATTTATTTGTCAGATCTTGTGTTCTTTGGCACAAGTCGTAATAGCTTTACGCGTGTGATTAAAAAAGTGGGTTCGTAATTCATACGCAAAACGTTTGACAATTAGTCTCTAGTCTCTACTCTTTTCACTTGAACTTATAAATATATATTATTATATTAATAACTTCCGGCCGTGACTAATATTTATAACTAAATAACGCACATGTGCCTACTTAAAAAAAACAACTGAAACTCCAAAAAATGGAAAAGGACAAATATAAATAAAGGTTTCTCTTGCTGATAAAGAGACTCCATTGGTCAACGCCAGATATGTACATGATATGTGGTTTAAATAATAACTTGTAATTGATGTATGGTTAGATATATTTTGGGCTCACCGATTGAAGCCAAAGGGTTTCACATTGAACTGTTAGAGCATTTAAAGATTTTCTTTTTGTCATTATTACATTTAACAATTAGGTAGTGAAAGTGATCGATTTCACATATTGGCTCCAAAAGTAGAGAATTAGTTTCACATGTACAATCTCACTTGATTATGATAGAACGCGTAACTTTTATATGGTTATGAACTAGAAACAATATGTACCTACTTTTCATAAACCGACCTTCTAAGTCTTACTTCAACAATTTGAATTTTACTTTTTAGTATAACTAGATAACTCTTTTGACGAACGCAGAAGTTTGTGGTGGAATACAATAAAACCTCGTTAAATTACTTACTACTGTATATTTAAAAAAACCCAAGTTACTAAGTTAGTATCATAAATTAATTGCTCTTCAATCCTACACAATTGTAACTAGAAAAAATATTAAAATTATTTTTATATATTTTTTCTAAAAGTTAAAGTATCATTAGATATCATTAAGTTTTTCTAATTGCATCAATAAAATTGGTATTGTGTTATCAAACCAGCCAAAAACCTTATGAAAAGTTTATATATGATAGTAATTCAGTAATTCTTTATGAACGTTCCACATATATTATATCGTCTTCAGCGTCATCAACAACATAAAAGTTGTTACAACTTATTTTTTGACCAAATAGTCTAATATGGTTTATTGACATATATTTTACTAATCATCATTACATAAAAAAAAAAAGGCAAAGAAGAACATATTTGTTGAAAAGCTGAAAAAAGGATGGAACTGAATTAAGGCAAAACTCATTTATAAGTTAATAAATATTAGTTTTATCGATTACTTAAGCTGTTTTAGAATACTGTAATAAGATGTTACGATCCTAAAACAAGTACAGTAAAACCTCTATAAAACAATAATGTTGGGACTTTGAAAATTTATTATCTTATCGAGTTATTGTTTTATCGATAAAATAATAATAATTATTTTATAAAAATATTCTATAAAAAAAAGAAACTTTATAGAAATATATGTAAGTAGGTACACGTAAGGAATCAATTGTGGCTTCGAAAACTCTTCACAACTTTTGGCCCCAGAAATTGTTGATGCAATAAGAAAAATTCGAGATGAGCTCCAACGAGAATCCAACTTTCATAAAAGACAAACTACATTGGAGTCATATTTTACTAAATTGCCTTAGATATATATGCCTTAGTTTTATAATTATTATCTTAGCCTATTGTTGGGACTATATTTTTACATAGGAGTTTCAAAAATATTATTGTCTTATCATCTTATCGCATTATGCTATTTTTTACATTGGCCCGAGTTGGGACCGGAGAAATTTATTATCTTATAGTGTTTATTGTTTTATCGAGTATTGTTTTATAGAGGTTCTACTGTAAGTTGTCTGCAGTGTTATATATATAATATACATATATGAGTGAGTGAGTGTGTGTGAGTGTGTGTGTGTGTGTGTGTGTGTGTGTGTGTGTGTGTGTGTGTGTGTGTGTGTATTATTAGGACAAGTGTACAAACAATGAAAGAAAAAAAAAATCATAAAATTTACGAGAAAAACAAAACTGAACAATGAACTGAAAAACGTTTAATAAATCATTTATCCAAAGAAAAATAAAAACAGTTAACATCTCAGTTGACCAAAAATACACAGGTAAATTTTGTTTTAACTTCGTGCCTTTAAGGATTAAAATACAACATCCATAGTTCACATCACTTTCAATTATTCAAAAAAAGCATAATAACAATGAAGCGAAAAGGAAAAAGACGGGAAGGCTAAATGCCGATAATGTTTGACCAGAAAATGGCAAAGAAACGTTATGTAACAAGTTATTAACAACATAAAGTAAAATAAGATGCAATAATATATTAATATATAAATTAAATAGAGAAGAGAGGAGTTTCGTTGGTCAAAGTCTGACATTCTTCTACACCCGAACCTAGAAAACATCTATAAATACCTCATTTGGTTATTTCTCATGTTACACCTGCAAACATTCTGAATACAACAGCCAATATTGCACCATAAATCACTTACGCATATACAATCTATCATCTGTTCTTACATATTTGGAGAGATATTCCTGATGAATCACTTACTTGACCTGTCTCGAGTCTGGTACATGTTCTTCAACGTATTCGTTGTACTTCTTTGCCTTACGTTCTTGAAAATCTTTCTGCGTTGCTGGATATTTCCAGTTCGAGCTCAAAAGAAGCTTAGAGAAAACGGATTTATCGGTCCGCCTCCTAGTTTTCCATTAGGAAACCTTAATGACATGAAGAAGCTGAAAATAGCCTTGGTGATGGATGATGAGAAGAAGAAATCTTCCACCATAATCAACCATGACATACATTCCATCGCGCTTCCACATTTTGCTCGGTGGCAACAACAATACGGTAAATAGATACTAACTCTCAATTCTCATATTTTCATAATCTGTTTAGCTAGCAACCAACATTTGATTACTTTATAAAAATATTAACATTAGATTATATTGGTTACGTGTTATGTAATGCAGGAAAAGTGTTTGTGTACTGGCTAGGAATAGAGCCGTTCGTGTACGTGGCGGATCCCGAGTTCTTGAGTGTCATGTCGAAAGGTGTGTTGGGGAAGAGTTGGGGAAAGCCAAATGTTTTCAAGAAAGACAGAGAGCCAATGTTTGGTACCGGTTTGGTTATGGTCGAAGGCGATGATTGGATACGTCATCGCCACATCATCACTCCTGCATTTTCCCCTCTGAATCTTAAGGTACTTGATTAGAAATTAAACTCTCTTTTTGTTCAAATCGTTTACATGTAAGAGTCCAAGATGTAGAAAAATAATAGGGTGACTAATCTACTTCAACAAATTAGACTTTATAGTTCCAAAAAAGTACGAGCCACCATTTTCCATGACATGGAAATTTTCAAGGTCTTTTTGTGTTTACAAGACTAAATATAATTAAGACTCATTCAAATCATACCATAATGTTTCTCTTTTTCTCATTACTTTGAATTGATCTTTTTAAATAACAGACTATGACAAATATGATGGTGGAATCAACGTCCAACATGTTGGACCGGTGGGCTATACAGATAAACTCAGGCAATCAAGAATTCGACATGGAGAACGAGATCATAGGAACAGCTGGTGAGATCATCGCCAAGACAAGCTTCGGAGTCACGGGAGATAGTGGAACTCAAGTCCTCAAAAACCTAAGAGCCGTGCAATTCGCTCTCTTCAACTCAAACCGCTACGTAGGCGTGCCATTCAGTAACGTTTTGGGTTTCAAGCAATTCACTAAAGCGAAAGCGTTGGGCCGTGAGATCGACGGTCTCCTTTTGTCGATCATAAACGAACGGAAGAGATCGTTGGTCAAAGGAGACGGCGACCACCACGATCTTCTTGGAATGTTACTTAAGGCCGATAAAGGGAAGTTTACGGCGACGGAGCTTGTGGACGAATGCAAAACGTTCTTCTTCGCTGGCCACGAGACCACGGCTTTAGCGCTTACGTGGACGTTTATGCTTCTTGCGATCCATCCAGAGTGGCAAGATACGATCAGAGACGAGATCAGACAAGTCATCGGAGATTCCGAGATTGAGTATAGCAAACTTGCCGGACTTAAGAAGGTACATTTCCATACATAGCATCCAACAATCCACGTGGTTAACATGCATGCATTATATATTTTGGACGCGTTCATGAATAAACAAATACTACAAACGTGCATTTGTCATGTTCACACTATTTATTGCATCATACAAATCGTAGCCTGATAGAGTAGTAAATAAATAAGTTTTAAGATTTCATAAAAAATAATAAAACATTCGTAGAACTGAAATTCAATTCAATTCAATTCATTTGTAGTCCAACTCAACGCGTCGTCTATCTAGATCAAAACTAGTCAACGACTGCGCTGATCGATTGGCGATGCCACGTAATCTCCATACAGTATCCATTGATATTGTTTTTAACTTTTTATCAATGACTAAAACGTGTGAAACGCGTGTTACACTCTATACTTAATTAAATCATATGTTATACAAAAATTAGTTAGTTAAATCATTAAATTCGTCGATGTTTTATATTAACTTATAAAAGCTTTCGGATCATTTATGCAGATGAGTTGGGTCATGAATGAGGTTCTCCGGCTATACCCTCCGGCGCCAAACGCGCAACGGCAAGCTCGGAAAGATATTGAAGTAAACGGCAGAGTGATTCCGAACGGAACAAACATTTGGATCGATGTGGTGGCGATGCACCACGACGTTGAGCTGTGGGGGGACGACGTCAACGAGTTTAAGCCGGAAAGATTCGACGGAGATTTGCACGGCGGATGTAAGAGCAAGATGGGTTTCATGCCGTTTGGATTCGGAGGGAGAATGTGTATCGGTCGGAACTTGACCACCATGGAGTACAAGATTGTCTTGTCGTTGGTTTTGTCCCGGTTCGAGATCTCGGTTTCACCCGGTTATCGTCATTCGCCGAAGTATATGCTCTCTCTTAGACCCGGTTACGGTTTGCCTCTAATTGTACGACCACTTTAGATTCCGGTTAAGTCACAAAATTGAAGATGTTTTTTTTTGTTTTTAACAAATGTTAGATCAAAAATTAAGTTCAGAAGGTTAGATCAAAGGTTAAGTTCTAGATTCTTTTTTTTATTGTATACACATGTGTGTTATTATTTGGATTTTTTTCTGGATATGTATTCCAGTCGTTATTACTTATTTCTATGTAATATCATCACTTCTTAATAAAATAAGTTATGGTTAAAACTTATAATGATAAAATAAAATTTGGTGGGTAATTGTTGAAATTATTAGATAAATACGAGGGCCTTTATCGAAATTATACGAAAGTTTCGTGTCATCACTTTTCTTGTGTTGTCTCTCGTCTATGAAGCAACGAACCAAAGAAAATCGTCTGGGAAAATCAATCAGTTCATGTGATTTTTGATTTTTCGAAACCATTTGCTAAGGAATGGCGTCTACCATGGCGACATGGACGCCAAGCTCTCTCCAGCTCAAGATTGCTTTAAATCATGGGAGATTAAGAGCTGCTCCGGCGAGAGCGAAGATGACGAAGCTCAGTCGCCGTCTCCGGATGTCATGCGTTGCGGAGAATGCGGAATCGAGTCGCGATTCGGGTGTCATCAACGGGTCGGATCGTTTTGGTGGGTGGTCTGATTCGGGAGACGATGAGAAGACTGCCGATTCTCGCGGTGGCGATTGGTTTAAAGGTACCGGATTCGCTCTGGGTTTCAGTTAGAAGTGATGATGGTTACTTGGTAGATTTTTTATTCTGGATTTGGTTTCAAATTTCGGCATTTTGGTGCATTACTCTTCAGGGTTATCCCTAATGCCTGTGCTAATATATGTTAATTTGCAAGTATAGTGTAGCTACTTCTTGGTTTAGATTGATGAAAATCTTGAAGGAATTTGATTATCAGGAACGTTGCTACCTAGAGTGACTGGAATTGTTCTTGTCGCTGGGCTAACTTTTGCGGCTCTGTCTTTCGAGCGAAACGTTTCAAGTATGCAGCTTAACCTTTTCATTGACTGTGATTAGCCATAAAAATATTGATACAATGTAAATTGATCCAACAAATGAAGCTATCAAGTTTTGGTGAATGGTAGGACGAAAAGTAGAAGTGATGGTGGTCACCATGGTTGATAAAAGTTCAAGCGATCATGAGGGAGATAATGCAACGGATCATGATAACCAGGAAAGCTATATAGGTATGCATCCAGACCTTTTAGCTTATTTTTATCTTTAGAAATGTTAACATATCAAGTTTGAGCCTAGGTTACTGCATATACGTCTCATCTGGCTTGGAACTTGGAAATTCTGTCTGTTAAGTTCGTTGGTTAATGTTGTAGAGCAATAAGTCATCTGTGTTCTCTCAATGTGATTGACTGTTTGATAAGCGTTCCCTTTCTGGATGTTAGTTTAGATTCTCCGGATGACACAAATGTGGAGTCTACAAGCAATGAAAATCACAAGGCGAACAAAGTATCAGAAAGCCAAGCTGAGATATACGCAGAGTTTGATGGGATCAATACACATACCTCTCAACTCTCAAACGAAGAGCAGAAAATCCGCAGGTTTACAGGAATACCTGCTCCTTGCACGGTTCCACAAGCAAATCCCTTGAAACCTATCTTTCCAACGGTTGTGGACCCAGTTCAAAGTCAAATGTTTGCAGCTTTACAAACTTTGAAGGTATTTATCTTGAAACTATGCAACAATGTTATGATGTATTAAGAACTGACAGAATTTATACAAAACCTATTTAATTTTTCAGGTTATTGAATCCGATGCTCAGCCTTATGATTTATGTACACGCCGTGAGTTCGCTCGTTGGTTGGTTTCTGCAAGCAATGCTCTATCGAGGTAATTCTCTCTCCTACTATTGAAACATTCACCACCTTACATTGTGAAAATATCTTCTTCGGTTTACAGGTACTCAGCATCAAAAGTATATCCTGCCATGTACATAGAGAATGTTACTGAACTTGCGTTTGATGATATCACACCGGAAGATCCTGACTTTCCATTCATTCAAGGTGATCACTTGCTTGTACCAACATAGATGATGAATCAGTGAAGGTTATGTTTAATCTGTTTTCTTCATTTTTCATTGGATGGTATAGGTTTGGCAGAGGCAGGACTTATCACAAGCAAACTCTCTAACCACAATATTTCTTCTGCTGAGACTCAGAGCAGTCTGTTTACGTTCTCCCCAGAAAGGTAGGCGTGCTAATGATTTTAAGCTATAAAACCTTAACTATTGGTATGAGATATCTACTCTTCCAATATCTCTTTTTCTCTACAGTGCTCTTTCACGCCAGGATCTTCTGAGCTGGAAGATGGCTTTGGAATACAGACAGCTCCCAGAAGCTGATAGCAAGGTTCTTTGTCTATTCCCTTTTTTTCTCCGTTGCCACATTTAGTCATTAGAGCATCAATCAACCTTACAGAGCTTACTTTTCCATTTTTTTCAGAAGTTGTATCAGCTTTCTGGTTTTCTTGATATTGATAAAATCAACCCAGAAGCATGGCCTGCCCTTATAGCTGACTTATCTGCTGGAGAAAACGGAATAACAGCACTTACCTTCGGTAAGTCAGATTATTGCTTCTTAAGTTCAGTTTCACAAGCAAGTTCAGTTTTTGAAAGCCACGTCTCTCTCTAGGGCGTACCAGATTGTTTCAGCCATCTAAAGCAGTTACAAAAGCCCAAGCAGCTGTGTCTCTTGCAATTGGCGAAGGTTTTGAGCTAGTCAGCGAGGAGCTAGCTCGTATCGAAGCAGAGGCTATGGCTGAAAATGTTGTTTATGCACATAACGCGCTGGTTGCTCAGGTCGAGAAGGAAATTAACACTAGCTTCGAGAAAGAGCTTTTAAGAGAAAAAGAAATAGTAGACGCAGTTGAGAAATTGGCTGAAGAAGCAAAGTCGGAGCTGGCAAGACTCAGAGTAGAGAAAGAAGAGGAGACTCTTGCGTTGGAGAGAGAACGCACGTCTGCTGAAATAGAAATGGAGGCTCTTGAAAGGTTACGAAATGAGCTTGAGGAACAGCTTCAAAGCCTTGTGAGTAACAAGACAGAGATGTCGTACGAGAAGGAGAGGTTTGATAGACTTGAAAAGCAAGTGGAGGATGAGAACCAAGAGATACTCCGGTTGCAAAATGAGCTTCAACTTGAAAGGAACGCTTTATCCATTGCCAGGTATAGAACATTGCCCATTTACGTTTGATTAGTAAAACTCAAAAAAGTTTTTGTATTGAGAATTTTTTTATGTAGGGATTGGGCTGAGGATGAAGCGAGAAGAGCAAGAGAGCAAGCAAAAGTGCTAGAAGAAGCTAGAGGACGTTGGGAGAAGTATGGCCTTAAAGTAATTGTTGACAAAGACCTCCATGAGCAGACAACAACAGAGTCTACTTGGGTGAAGGCGGGAAAGGAGCATTCCGTCGAAGGAACCATGGAAAGAGCTGGAAATCTGATTGCTAAGCTCAAGAAGATGGCGAAAGATGTAGGAGAGAAATCAAGAGAAGTCATCTACATGATCATAGAGAAGATAAGTCTTTTGATCTCGTCATTGAAAGAACAAATCCATGGAATAGAAAACAAAGCCAACGACCTGAAAATGAAAACCAAGTCAAAAGCAGAAGATTTCGGGAAACAAAGTCGCTTAAGGATCGATGAGATCAGAAGTATCTCTGTGGTGAAGGTTAAGGAGACTGTGGAAGAAGCTCAACAGGCAGCTGAGAAGATTAGGGACAGAGTCGGGAAACATTTCAGGTCTAAGTAGTCAAGAAAGAAGGCTTGGAGGGCACGTTACCCGAATAAACTCATATAATCATGTTTTATGTATTACTAATCACTTCACGTAACACAACTTTCGAGTATAAACAAACAAAAAATGCACAGCTCTAGAAGGAGATTTACTAAGGCATAAGAAATGGATTCTTCTTTCTTTTCCATACTATGAGACATGTTGATTTTGTTGCTTTCTTTATTGAAACTTAGTAAGGACTCCTTCGATTCTGTGTGCAGCAAAATCGACTTTCTATTTCAAGTTCAACACCCTTTGTCCTTAAATAACTACTTTGATCATATCCTTTAAATATAGATATGAATGAAATAGCTTACTCTTTATGTTTAGTCTCATTACCTTTCATGGATTTATCTAAATATGATAGCAACTTGAATCAATGCTTCTAGTGCTTGTACTTTTCGTTTTTCACCATTTCGCCTATAACAGCTTATTCTACAGTTATGTATTTCTGTGACATATTTTTTTGTTTACAACCGCTGAATTTTACTAATAGTTGCATCTTTTCACAGTAATGTATTTTCAACTCTTATATTATTTAACAAAATTTTCATTTTTCAATTCCAGTTTAAAATCTTCCGAACTTGTAGTTTATTTATACTATTACAAATTATGAGAAATACTCCGAGGATGATTTTGCAATAAATAATTCTTTTTTCTGAGGTACCGTTTCAAATCTCCTGCAACCATGTTTTCAATAAACTGCTTAAATGATAAGAAATCGGATTGAAACCACATATCTCTTGGCGAAGAAGTATTAATAAACCATTAATCAAACCATTCGATTTTCCACAACTTGTAGTTTTCGTAAAACTCTTTCTTTTATCTTGCATTTGCCTTTACTCTCATCATTGTTGTGGTCTCCTTGACGTATTTTCACCACCATCCCTCTATATTTTTGCTACATTTCTTTGGATTCATAAAGATAATTCTCTTTTTTTTGTCGTCCGAATCTACCAGTATTTAGTTACAATCACCACTGAAAAATCGGAAGAACAGGAACAGTAACTATACGAGTTGTAGTCGTGAATGGAATAAGTCAGATTCTCATAGCGCTCTCCACTGTCATATTTCTCTGAACCTACAATCATTGGTCTGAACATTATTGGATTTTAATAGGTTTGTTCTTACTGCCCATTCGTCTCATCGTCTCTATACTATTATTTGATTCACAAGTCTTCTCCCTGACATCCATGAATTAAATAAGTTATTAGGTTCTCGTTTGCTCAGGATAATTGTAGTTTTGGTTTTTAATGTATTATCTTGAATGTAGTTATCAAGATAATACCATAATAATGTTGTTATTATGGTACTTTTTTTTGTCAAAGGGTTTGCTTGGTAGTTATGGTACTTTAAAATCAAATATTCTCTCTGTTTTCAAATAAGTGTTCTTTTAGCCTTATGAAATTATTAAATTTTTGTTTTTTTTCCAGAATAAAATATATTTTATCATTAATTCTAACACAATTCAACCAATAAAAAGTTAATCTGCAGAATTTAAACAGTGAAAAGAACAAAAATACATTAATTTTTGCATTGATTTGTGAGAAAGCCACTTATTTATGAATAAACATTTTTCTCGTTCTTTTTATTAGAGATCAGAGGGAGTATTAGTATGCATGCATTATCCTTTCAATCTCTTTTTCATTCATGCACGGATTCTCATTCTTTCACGGCTTGAATGATCGAATCTAATTTTCAAAAGAACAGAAACTGAAACCAGCCAAGTTACAAAATATTTGATTACCTTAAGAACCAACACAGTACTAGTTAAAATAATAATTGTGAGGACAATAGACAGCAAAAACACCGTTTCTGCGAATCCTCCACGTCTCCAAAACCTCTTCCATTCAAAGCTCTTCCCATCCGCCACGTGTACCACTTCTTCACACTCTTTTATCTCTTTCCTCTCCACCTAAAAAAATTTTCACACCACATTTTTCCGAGAAAATAACAACAAAACGCATCTTCTCTAATCCTAACACGAACGAAAAGCCAAAAACCATGTCTGGAGGTGTCGGTCCAACCTACAACGACATAGCCTTACCAAAAGAAGAACATCACGCCGCCGGAGAAACATCAACAGTCGCCGGGAAAACCGCCGGATTCTTCTCGTTCCGACAACTAAACATCCTCGCGGTAATCATCGTCCTCGCCGCAAGCGGTCTCGTCACAATCGAGGATTTTCTCTTCACACTCCTCACAGTCTTCTACTTCTTCTTCCTCTCCAAATTCATTTTCCCTCCACACAAGAATCCGACCCGCGACGCGCCTCTCACAAGCTCCTACCGCAAGATTTTCGGTATCTATGTAGCGTCGGCTGGAGTCGTCGGGCTTCTGATTCCGATCTGTTACATCTTCGAAGGAATGATCGAGGACGATAAACGCGGTGTGAGCGCCGCCGCACCGCACGTGTTCCTTTTGGCGAGTCAGGTTTTCATGGAAGGCATAGCCGCCACGTGTGGCTTCTCAGCTCCGGCTCGGATCCTCGTCCCGATCGTTTACAACGCAAGGAGGATCCTCACGCTCGTGGAGTGGATTATGAACGAGTTCTCTTGGGGAGCTCCGGTGACTGGGAGGGAGACGGTTTCAGCGCGGCGGCTGTACGCCGGAAAAGTCTTAGCGGTGGTGAACTTAGGGATTTGGTCGTTTAATCTCTTTGGTGTTCTGATTCCGGTTTATCTCCCGAAAGCTTTCAAGAGGTATTACGGTTCCGACAAAGAGGATTAAACCCGATTTAGAACCTCGCAGCTTTTTTTTTCTTCTTCCGCCTTTTGGTTTAAACGGTTCTGTTTGGTTTTAGAATCGGTTCTGTATCTTTCTTTTCTTTTCCCGAATTGTTGTTGTTTTCTTTGATAATTTTTAGTGTCTGTGGCAAAACAAATAATATTTGATATTTGATCATCTAAAAAACAAAAACGAAAACTAGTTTTCAGACAACATTTTTAGCTTAGGTTAGGACTAATACTGCTCAGTGTTCATCACCACCTCAGTTCAAACATTAAACACTGCCGTTTAAATTACTTGTAACAAAAATATTATTTCACAATGCATTACTGCTTATATCAATGTAACAAGATTAGACGTAGAAGCTGATCCAAGAATATTCCAAGTTCCTACACTAAACATCAGTACAACTGCAAACCAAAAGCTAAGCATATTTTATTCAAAGTGTGTATATAAGTTGTTAGAACCACCCAATCTCTTACCTTTCTCAAAACCATCTCACTGAGTCATGTTCAATGGTTTTTGTTATCTTGTCTTTGGTAAATGAATAAGAAGAGAGACCTCTCTGTATGTTGTTAGCTGACTCCAGATCGCAAACCAGGGAAGAAACTCCAGCTGTTTCCTGCGACCTTTTCAATATTCTCTTCTTTCGTGTTGTCGAATTTGAATTCTTTGCTAGATCCAATCGAAGAAGACGAACTCAGCTTATGAATCCTCTGCTGTTCCGTCTCTCTAACATCTCCTGACACTCTCTCCACGGCTCTGTTTCTGCTTCTCTCACTGTCCTCTGTCTCAATCGGTTCATTGTTGTTCATTCTGTCATGTGATCGGTTTAGCTTGCTCGCTAAACAACGCGCAACGTCTTCACCGGTTAACTCAAAAGAAACTCTGTGATCCGCCACAACGACTTCAGAGCCGTGATCAGAGTTAGCCAGAGACGCCACCTCAGAGATCTGAGGCCATGCCGTGCTGTTCGGTGTCAGAGCCCCTGAAACCATCCCTGAGCCGTGCCCAACGGGAGTGATCGAACCAGAACCGAACCTCGAACCCCATTTACGAGCAGTGAAGTGCTCAAAACCCAAGAACTTTGGAGGCTCGCCGATTCTAAACTCGACCAAGGGTGATGATTTACCAGGATAAGGAGAAGACGTGCCGGAGTTTGAAATGACCGAGCCAGGGGAGATTAGATTACCACCACCAGGACTCCCTGGACAAACCTGGTTAGACCGGAACTCATAGTGTGACTTGGAGAACTTCTGATTCATCCCGCTGCTGCTATCTCTCCGAGTCAGCTCCAGCGAAGAAGTAAGCAGCTGAGCAAAAGGAACTTCAGGGGAAGAAGGTGTAGCTATGTGGACGGACGATGACTCAGGAGGCGGTGTGAACGGCGCTGTAGATGGCTCGGTTATGAAAGCGGAGAACACTGGAGGAGTGACCGGTTGCGTTTCGTTAGCGTATGGTCCAACGGTGAAGACAGATTGAGGTTCTTTAGGCGAGAATGTGTTGCCGGTAAGGGAAGGCGAATGAGAGAGTGATGAAGGATCTGACTGAAGGAATGAAGCTGGAGATGAAGGAGGAGCTATGAATGGAAGGACAGTTGTAGTTGAAGTCGCTGAGTTTTGAACTGTAACCACCGGAGCTCCTCTGGATGATGCAGCAACCGGTTCAGGTACAAGGACGGCGTTAACAATCCGGTTATTGTTCTTTTGAGCTCCGAAACATGATAGACTCCAGCACTTTGCCCATCTTCTCTTCTATACAGTTCATCAAAAAAACAAATGAAAATTAGTACTGTTTCAACAAATTATTCATCTTTTTTAAGTTTATAATAATTACCAAACGTGAACTGAACATGCAATGCTTTTTACCTTTTAAATCATGAATGCTATTATGACTTGTAAAGGCCAATTCAAAGGTCGAAAAAAAAGCAAAGGAGAACACATTTGCTTTATCAAGCAAGACTTTTTAACTTTATGAGACCAAAATGGTAAATCCAGACTTTGATAACTATCAAAGTCGTGAAGTCAAGAAAAAGTAATTAACCGAACTTAAGCTCATAAATTGCATAAACCTTAGCTCCGATCTACAATCGGAAATGTACAGAAAATAGAAACATAGAGCAAAATTAGAAAGTTGGATCTAGTTTTGAATCTTCAATCTCTTTCGTAAGTCGTAATTAAAGCAAAATTGAGTGATTAACTGGAGCTGAGATGTTTACGGGATAAGTAACAAAAATCTCGAAATCTCTACAGCTTAAATTACTGAATCAAAACACCAAAATCCAGAAATTCACACGAAGCACAGATCATTTCTCAGAGCAATCAAACCAAAAGGTACAAATCTCGGAATCACGATCTAACCGTTTAAAACACTGGATAAAAGCAACAATACTGATCTATCACCAGAAGAAGAACACATTTCAGCATCGGAGAAAAGCTCTTGGTACCTGGACAGACGACGGCTGTACACGAGACTCGGCGTTGACGATGGCGGAAGCGGCGGCGTTCACAGTCTCAACGCTATTATTGACGTTCCTCATATTCGACTCAGATTCCACCGACAATAGCATCCAGATTTGCTGCTATTCGCAAGTTCCCAACACCACTTGGATCTCTCTGAAGAGAGATTTTCCCGAGAAAAATTCAAGCGAGCAATTATGAAAAATTAAACTAGAAAATAAATCAAAAACTGTATAACGATGGATGAGAATGAATGAGATGATGAGAGTCTCTCTCTCTATCGACTCACAACACTATTCTCTCTCTCTCTCTCTCCGGTCGTTATCTAGTCCAGCTCTTTCATTCAATCCCACGAGCTATTGCCACGTCATCAGTATATACGGTTCCGATCCCACGCGCTTCTTTTTGTGGTATAAAAAGAAAGAAATGATCATTTTATCATAATTATGGGATATATAACGTTTTGATCCGATTTGTTTCCACCAGTAGTATATAATTGTATGATCAAATTTGTCAAATAAACAACGTTGTTCGGTGGTCTATGTAGTTTTTAAACTCTTGTTTACAAATTATTGTCTTAATTGAAACTACATATGTTACAATGGATGTTCTTTAGTTTATCAACAACCTCTCTTTCTTAAAATGGTTGGAATCCAAATCAGGGAATCGAATTTACAAATTATAGATTATAACAGATGTTTCGAGCATTTTGTGCTAGTTTGTATGCTAATATCCCATTTGGGACCTTTAATTATGTATGTTGTTGGGTTGTTACCTATACAGCGGCCTCTGTAATCGCTAGAATAATAAGCTTTCTGTTTTTTCGTTTTTATCATTTCGTGCTTTCTTGATATATCAGTGAGGTCCAGTGTAACCACAAATATATTTATATGTTCATTCGTTTTTGATAAATGTTAGAAAAGATGAGTCATATTTGTACAATCTATCAATCCCAGTCCCATCAGAAACGTATGTAAAAATGGATGCTCATGTAAAAGATATGATAAATATTGCTTTAAGGATCAATATAATACCTAAGAGTTTATATGTATCCCTATATATACATGTAGAAGTACTATCAATAAGATCTATCAAAGCTTCTAAACCTAGAGTATAGTCAAAGGAAAGAAGAAAAATATTGGACTGTGCGAAGAGTTGACCAAGCCGTATGTAATGCATATGGTATGGGGACCAATCAATAAGTGAGGTAATAATATTATAGCCGCTTCTTCATTGGAAGTCCCATGTGACTCATCTCATTTTTAGTTTTAAGTTTCTTTAATTTTTTACTTGTTTCATGGGTTAATTTGGTGAATATTCATATTGGAGTTGATATTAACAATATAGCCATAGCAATTCTTTGGCTATGAATGCATTCATCAAATTTTACAATAATTACCTTTAATAAACTTATACTATATAGAAAAATTTAGTATACTTGGCTCTATTTTAAACCCAAAATCCATAACCCTATACCCTGATCTACAAATGTAAACTTTAAATAAAAAAAATTTTAAACCCTAAATCCATGAAACTAAACTTAAGCTCAATAAACTAAACCATAAACTCAACAAACTAAACCCAAATTTAGAAAACGAACCCTAACCCCAAAATAACCCTAAAGTTAGAATACTATATCCAAAACCACAACTAAAACCCCAAAAATTTGAAACCAAAATCCAAAAATATAAATTTGAAACTCAAAAACTAAACCCTAAATCCAAAAAATTAAACCCTAACCCCAAAAAACTAAACCCTAAACCCAAAAAACTAAACCCTAATTTAGAAAAAAGAACCCTAACCCCAAAATAACCCTGAACTCAAAGTACTAAACCTAAAACCAAAAAATAAAACCCCAAAAATTGAAACCAAAATCCAAAAATGTAAATCCTTAACCTAAAATCTAATTCCTAAACTCAGTAACTAACCCCAAAACACAAATATTTAGTTCGTACTATTCCATATAAACAAAGAAGAAATAGTATAGAGTAGTTTCAAGGTTAATATAGACAATATTTCAGAAAATATAGCTTATATTCTAGTCATGGTTTTGATATGGTTATTTTGTTAATTTACTTTTCCAGTATGATTATTCATTATAATTTCCCTTGTTTCATAGAGTCCTCTTTGATCATGGTGAAGAAAATGTAGTTTTGATTCGTGGTTTTCTGTTTCTAATTTTCTTTTTCTAAATCACAATAGTTTATTACTAGTGTTTTATGGTCTGATAAATTGTTGTCTTCTGTAACTAAAAACCTTTGTAAGAAAAAGAACACAAAAAGCGCACGTGCGCACACAATCTTGTATGGTGATGGCTTTTAGAGCAGCCCTCGTGCGTGTGTACGACTGCCACTCCTTACCTTTCTTTTTTTTCACTTTTCTTCTTTCTTTACTTTTTAACTCTACAAGGAAAGTGGAAAGCGAATCACTCATTTTTTGTGCTTTTTAAAAGAAACTTTTTAGATACGAACCATACTGAAAATTCTACTTTTCTATTCTCTAGTTACTAAACATATCAATCATGTTGATGTTGCTAAATGAGTTTATTAAACATTATTGTAGAATAACTGAATAAAGCATGGGTAACAGTTCAACTGTAGTTAAAATATTACGTTAAAATATTACAAAATTATTTTGAATTATATATACTCTTAAGGGAATAATCAGAGATTTTAATTGCAAAGCATCAGCAGCAAATTAGCTAAAGCCCAAATAACGTAACAGGCCCAAATATAATTTAATATCACAGCCCATTTTATTTGCAAGAAAAACAATATTTCTATGTTTGCTGCTTCTCATTCAGATTTTCCAAAGGATAATTTATGAGATTTTCAATTTTTGTTTTTTATCCTTTTCTGTGCGTTTTGTTTTTTCTAGCTATGAACATTTGATTGGTGATGATGAATGTGAGGAAGTGAGTTATGGCTTAGGTTCTTCGAAGCTACACCCAAAACTATAAACACGATTTCGAAGCTGGCCATGGCCATGGCCTCTCAGATAATAGCTTCTTCTTCTTCTTCACTAACCATTACAAAATCTCATCTCCTCTGTTTTCCTACTCTGCAATCTTCCTATAAAGCTTCAAAACCCAATCTTTCTCTTCTGGGCTCTTCTCGTTTCTCTCCATACATTGGTTTAAAGCATCTGGGCATCTCAATTTCGCCGAAATCTTCGAACCCAGGTTTCGATTCCGCTATCTCGTCACAAAAGTTGATTCCTTTTTAGTTAAATTCTGTTTTCAATTTCTTAAATTGGGTGGTTCTGTTTTACAGAGAAGAAGAGAAGATGTAGTAAGGGTATGACGGTTCGTGCGTCTCTGTTTGGCGTTGGAGCACCTGAGGCTTTAGTTATTGGTGTTGTTGCTTTGTTAGTCTTTGGCCCTAAAGGCCTCGCTGAGGTTAGTGTCCTGTGTACTACGATGATTGATTTGATTCATACTTTTCTAGAGCTTATGAATTGGTGCTGCTTAGTTTATCTTCTGAGAATTTGAAGTATAGATAAGGCTAGAGATGAATATGCTTTTGGCTTCGTAGAGTTTGAATAAAAAATGAATCTTTATCTTCATTCTTAGTAGGGAGAAAGTTTTGTTCATTTCAATCCTGAGACTCATTTGAGAGTCTTGAGTTTTGGAAATGAGATGTCTTTGTTTCTTGGTCTTTAGCGGTTGTTTTGGATCTTTGAAGAAGCGTCTACTTGCTATGATCTGTGCAGGTAGCTCGAACTCTTGGAAAGACCTTGCGGGCATTTCAGCCAACGATTAGAGAGCTACAGGTTTGTTTATTTTCTACATCTCAAGACTCTTGAGGAGGAAGAATGAGGTCTGTTTTTTGGTTGCTTAACATGGCTGTTTTGATAGGATGTTTCAAGAGATTTCAAAAGCACCCTTGAGCGTGAAATCGGACTCGATGAAATCTCAACGCCAAATGTATACAACCCGAGCAGAACCAATCCTAGTCCTCCTCCTTCACCATCGGTTCCTAGTACTGAAGATCCTGTGACTGCAAGTGACCCTAGTGAGTGCTCTAAACTTGCTATGCATATGCTAAAAAATTAGTAACCATGTGTGGAAAAGCTTAAAGTTTGAGGTGACTTACTTGAAATAAGCAGATGATGATGCTCAATCACCAAAAGCTTACACAACCGAGGAATACCTCAAGATCACAGAAGAGCAACTCAAAGCTTCGTCTATAGGTAAAAGCCAAACAGAAGATCAAATTCAGACTCAAGAACCGTTAAAAACCACAGTACAAAGCCAGCCTGAAGGTTAGCTATGCCACCAACGAATCAAGAACTCTCTCATCTTCAGAACCGCTTATGACCCACTGTGTTGTTTTTCTGTTTTTGGCTCTTTATATGATTATGTAAAATTGGGTTGTTGCAGGTACAACGAGAGAAACAACATCTGCATCTCCTCCAAGGCAAGATTGAAAGCACCAAAATTTGACTTGTGGTGTTGAAAGCATAAAGCTTCTGTCTATTGGGAAGTTTCGGATGGATTATTTTTGATCTGCTAAAAGAGACGAAGCTGTTAGCTATCTATCAGGGCGTTGTGACAAAGCCATTATTTCTGTGCATTTTGATGGTTTGAAAATATCAGAATATGACTCATTTTCGTATTTATGTTCCTGTAGTTTCTTTCTTAATGATAATAGGGTTTATATTAGTAGGTAAAGCTTAACCACTAGTAATATCATCATCCTGCTCTTAGTGATCGACACATCATTAATCATACTTTTCAGACTTCAGTTATGAAAACATTTGTTATGAAAGAACTAAAAAGTTTTTTTTTTTTTTTCAACAATAACAAATAAAAAATACTTAAAGTTAAAAATTAGAAAATTAGAGATTGAAGTCCTGCCATGGGCAGGGTTGTTTGCGACAATTTTTTTATTTGATTTATATTTGTTGATTTGAATTATGATGAATTTGTGTTAGTTTTTATGTTTTGATCATGATTTAAGTTAATCCGACCATTTACACTAAGGATATGATCAATTTGTTTTTATTTTATTATATTAAGATATTAACTTCACACTTCATATTGAACTTTTTGTAGAATCCCATTTACACTTAAAATATAATATAAAATAATATTTATAATCATTACATATATGTTTTGTTGTGTTGCGTATGAGCATGATGACCACTAATTATTTCTATTAAAATATTTTTCTAATTATTTCTATTAAAATTGTATTTTTGAAACCAAAATGTCACAATCCTTAAAAATTTTATGTTTTTTGTTGCAATGAAACTTTTTTTTTGTTGGCAGCAACCTCTCCACCTAAAACGGCTCAGAGATCCAAACTGGTAGTAAAAAGTTTACATAGTATGTATTATGAAGGCAATCTCGAACATTTCGTGCTAACTTGTCTACCTTCTTGTTTTTCGTTCTTGGGATGTGAGCAATGGAAAATGACGTGAATAGGTTCCTGCACTTTGTGACTTCCTCCAGTAGAATTGAGAAAGCCGGCTACTCTTCAGGTGTAGACATCACCTTCACCAAATCCGAATAGTCTGTCTCGAATCTCATGACCCGTTTTGTTTGTACCAACATACTCGACATAAACCATACCAATGCCTCTAGTTCAGTTTGTAGAGGTGTTAAACCACTCCTTAGATAGAGCCATCATTCCATCGGGTCCCGATTCTTTCTCCAGATGCATCATAAATAAAACGTCTCCCACTTCCTGCTATGTGACTGGTCTCATCAGCATTTTGTTATCACTAGCCGACACCTTTTCAGATACACTGCCTAATACTGTTTCAAACCCATCTGGTTGAGACGTAGTGAAAAAAATTGTAAAGTTTCCTACCTCCATTTTCTCTATTTCCTTCTCCCCATCAATGAAACTTATATATAAGGTCTGATTGGTTGTAGTTGTAGCTTTAATTTTTTCGCTGTAGAAATTCGGTTGTAGATTTTTTAGTTATAGAAATTTGACTGTGAGTTTTTCAGAAGAAAAGCTTGATCGGTAAAATATCTATACATATATTTGTAGATTATTAATCTTGTGTGTAATTAGAAATCATTACTACTAATAAATAATAAAATATAAATAATTTCACTTAACATACCAAAAAATCATATATATTTTTAATAAAAATAATAAATATATAAAATAATTATCCTTAAAATAACATTTTTGACATAATAATAAGTGATATCATTTGTTCATCAACCCATTATTTTTGGTGAATGATTGAGTTGGGTTTTGAATTTATAAATATATAATTAAGGTTTGTATTCATATTTATTAATTACCTTTTAATTAATTTTAGAAAAGATAAATAACAATATTATGGAGAGCACATGGAGAGCACACAAATCTGGGCTGTGGGTTTTTGGCTTTCTACGGCACAAAAAAAGACGGAGAGCAAAAAAATGTTGTAGACTTAAAAACAGATAAAAAGCATGATTGGTATTCACTTGTGCTGTAGATTTTAATTTTGGCTGTGCACAGCTTCTACAACTCTTGCCAATCAAGCCAATAATAATTCGATTTCTATTTGTTTTTAAGAAATAAAATTCTAAATCTAATTTTTCATTAGCTTTCTACTGTATTAACCAAATTATATTCTACATTTTTTTTGAACTAAGTACATTATAACATTTTAGAACAAGATAAATTTTCTATACAACTTTTTAAATAAAAAGTTAATTGTATACTATTTCGAGTTAAATATATCTTTACTTCATTTCTATTTTATATTACAACTTTTTATAATTGTTTAACACCAAATTATCACATACTTTATATAATTACATAATTTGTTCGTATAATTTACTTAGTTTATTTATGTTAAAATATGAATATATGTACATAAATATAAATAGATATATATTTAATAAATATTACAAATATGATTTAATGTTTTTGGGCTGATATAGATACTCTAAAAAGATAGAAAACTCTCTTTTAGGACATATGGAATATAAAATACCATAAAATAGACTAATTTTTTTAGTATGACCAAGATGTACTCATAAGTTCTGTATGACCAAAATGGACAAAATAATTTGCGAAAAAGATATTTGTTTACTTTAAATAATTAACATATAAAATCAACATTATGTTTGATTTTTTTCTTTTCCCAAATTAGAGTTGAACATTTTTGGTTTAGGGTTTACGATTTAGATTTAGTAGTCTTCTATAGATCTATCACATTGAGCTACACGAATCAGCTTCCAACTGTATCGTATAGGAAGTTCAATCAATCTCGCCGTTTCAGCAGACCCTGCAGACGATAGTAACTGTATGAAATCTCTAGACTAAAAAATGAATCATCTCTCGGTGGTGCCAAGTACCACGGTGGGGTACGATTATGTCAATTATACCTAGTTATTGTGATACGATTATCGCATTAGAACAAACTCATTTGGATGATAGCTTATGTTATTCTGGCTCTAGGGATATGATTATGATTAGATGCTTTAATCTACTACATTCTTAAAAAGTGATAAATTATTACCATCGTCTAATACAGAGTTTAGATTGTCCAAATAGCCGCGATTGAAAATGCTAAATAATATTAACTCCTAACATTTTTGCTAAAATTTTGCTAGCTATATAATCAAATATCGCATTATCATTGCTTATTTTTTCCTTACTAAAAATTATTAATTTTGCATTTTCGGAATGTATTTACTTTATCACATCGAAAATTACATTTTGGTAGAGAAATGTGGTTGAAATATATATCATTTTGGTAGAGAAATGTGGTTGAAATATGCAAGTATTTTATTAAGATTCATGTTTTGCAAAATCACCTAATTTGTGTATTTCCCTACAAATACAGAGCATAAAGTGTCACGGTTGATGAGTTTTTCTGTCATGATTGTTTAACCCCAATTTGCCTCTGCATTTGACTGAAAACTCATGCGCGTCTGCTGCTTTCTAATAATTACACGATGTCTTGGTATGAAGTTTTTTACTGACGAGCACACACAAGAAGTGTTGTTGAATATTCAAGAATCGCTTGATGCTAACAGCGTCTGCAACAGCCTCAGACCTTTTTGACCAAGTTTTAGCATTATAGACTAGTTAAGACCCCTTTCTCTCGTCTCCGATTTGTATCTTTAGTCTTCACCAAGAACTGAAGAGGGTGTTGTTAGTGTTTGTTACTAAAGAAAGGCCTTAGGAGTTAGGATTCTCGATTTTCCTTTCGCAGAATTTCTTGATCATTGCCTTTGAGGAGATTTAAGCAACTTGTGTAACCGGTCCTATTAGTAGAATTTGAGTATAGATAACAAGGTAGAGATGGATGAGCTTTAGGCTTAATTGAGTTTGTATCTGGTCAAGTTTGTATCTATATTTGTAAGTTTCTTTATACAATTACGTAATTCTCCTCCAACTCCATTACCAAGCATTTAAGAATCTTTTAGTTTTTATGTGAAATAATAGAAAATTTCAGCTTTAGATATAATCTATGTTTATCTTTTTCCCAGACAACATCCATCTTTACGAGTTGTTTCTGGAAAGAAAGCACCACATTTTCTTTTATTTGACTAATCCAAAATGTATGTATTAATGATCTCCAAGAGTTTAAAATGTTGCTTGATAGCTCTCAAAATACAACAATTGACTCGTTATCAATTGCAGATTTTTTCACTCCTGAAGAAGACTCCACTCTTTTTGTAGCTTTTTTGGCCTATCCATTAACACAAACAAAGTTATCAAATATTTATAGACGAAAACACTAAAGACGGACACAACAGTGTTTCTTTTTCTTTCCTACCTCTTCATCCCAATTTGTAAAGATGGTGACAAGGGAGAGACATGTAACTTGAACAACGAGTGCACATATGATTCCAAGCCAAAGCCCCTTCAAATTCATTAAGAGAATGAACATTATGTTTTTTGCTGAAATTAATTGGTTAATCCAAAAAAAATAATAATAATAATAATAATAAAAAAATCTGATTCTGGGTTAATCTAATTTACCCGACCACCAATGTGAAAGTGAAAACCAAGTAACAAGCCTGAAGGAACTCCAACAAAATAGTATGATCCAAGATTCACAAATGCTCCTATCTTTTGCCATCCACATCCTCTAGCAACCCCTACATATAACAAACCAGGAAATAAAAAACAAATATAACCGTAATAGCCAGACTAAGAATCAAGTTCCTTATATGTATAGTTGCGTTCTTGCCTTTACTTGCAAGCAAAGAAAGTAAAAGAACCTGAGAGAACACACTGAAGACTGTCTAGAAAACTGCCTAAGGCGAGAATTGGTATCATCGAGGCTACATAGGTGACTACTTCTGGCTCACTACTGTAAGCCAATCCCAATATATTCCTTATCAGTATCAAAATCGATCCGATCACTATACTCTCTGCGATTGCAATGCTCATGACCACACGCACCGCAAGCTTAGCCACTTCCGCATTCCCTGCTCCTAACTCGTTTGATATCCTTGTGCTGCACGTTATTTTCAAAAGGATGTAACATGTTCTATGTTTGTGAGTTTGACATAAAGGTTACAAGATTTTATTTATATATGGTTTACCTTGCGGCACCACTTAGACCAAATGGGATCATCCACACTGTACCTGCTGTATTAAGGCTGCAAATAAATTCTTGCTAAATTCTGTTACAACCAAGAACTGATTATATACTAATGATTACTTAGATCATATGTACTGCTCTTACCAGATTGAGAGAACAGAAGTTTCTAAAACCGGGTTCGGAAGAAGTCCTGATAAGAGAACTAGAAGCTCAAAGGACCACATCTCTAAGCTGCAACCAAAGAATATTACCAAAAAAAAAATCAAGATAGCTAGTTATTAAGAGATCATGTAACTGAGTCATTTAGTCACTTATTCAAGTTTCTAATTTTAATTTTTGACTTACCACACCATAAGTGCAGAAGGAATCGCTAGTCTCATAAAAGGAAGAATATCGCGGAGAGCCTCCTTAGAGAAACCGGTCCAAGTCAATGAGCAAGAAGGCGATAGCTTGACGTAACAGAACAATAAAACGACATTAAGCCAATACGAGATAGAGTTAGCCACAGCAGCTCCTCTATACCCTAAATCAGACTTCAAAACCAAGACCCAACAAAGGAGGATATGAAGAGAAGTGATGATTCCAGAGCAGATAACCACAGGAAAAACATTGTTTTGGGCTTGTAGAAACCGGTTGAGGCATTGAAGGAGACCGTAAGCGAAGATGCTCGGGATCATGTGTCTTGCATACGAGCCAGCCATTGTAGCAATGGATTCTTCTTGTCCGAAGAAGAGGAGTACATGTTCTGTGTTATACCAAATGACGGAGAGAGGAACAGAGACTAGTGTAAGAACAAACATTGCTCTTTGCATTTGTATCCCTAGCATTCCGTACATCTTTGCTCCGTATGATTGGCCACAAAGTGTATCTAATGCACTTGCTGTTCCCATCTGTTCGTGAGAAAAAACAGGGAAATATGTGAATCAGTGTATGGTTTCTTGCTTTACAAGTAAACGTTCAAGTTTCAACGCAACTTGTATCTTTTTTTTTTTTTTTTTTTTTTTTTGTTGTAATTAATGAAATTTGTAAACTTTCCCTTGAATATTGAATATTGGATCTGTTGACATGATTTCTAAACTTTCCTTTAAATGTTCGCAGGTGGGTTTAGAGTTTTTTTTTGTAAGTTTTTAGTAGCTAGGGGAGGGAAAGAAAAAAAAAACATGATTTAGGTACTAAAGCATCCATTCATGTGACAAGATTTTGTGATTTTGGCGTTTTCACTTTTGTCCATAAAATGACAAAAAATGATTCTCTTCTGTTATTAAATTTCAAAGGAGTGGCAGAAAAGATGCTTACGTAACTTTGGACATTCAAACAAAGTTGCCTGATAATAATACAGGCTGATAATGCTATGATGATGGACTTATTGTTTTCTTTTTAAATCATTATTTTCTCTCCTATTTGGAGATATTTAAAAAAAACAACTGTGCATATTAAAAAACAAATAAAGAAATATATATCACACATTATTCCTAGTTTCCAATTTTTTTTTTTTTTTAAATAACATGTATGTACGTATCATGTGTATGTATTTTGTAAAATCAAGATTCATGTATGTATGTTCAGATGCAGAGAGAGAGAAGGAGAGTGAGGAAAACTGACGAGGAAGCTTAAACCGGTGACGGAGGCGAAAGATGTGGCGATGGAGGCGGCGGAGAGAGGAAGAGAGCCAAGATGGCCGACGAACATGACGGAGATGAGTTGTAGACAAAACTGAAGAAGACTCACGCCGATCAATGGACCGGACAGCCATAGCTGTCTCTTCACTTCTTCCTTTACACTACTTTTATTCCCTTTCTCTCCGATCAACGGCCATGTCAATACATCCTCTCCTCTTTCTCTATCCTCTCTCATTTTTCTTTTATTTATGCTGCAGAGAAATAGCAAAAAGAGTTGACGAGTAACGATCTTCCTGTCTTTAAGGGTTTTTGTTTGTTTTTGGTTTGGTCTCTCTCCACTCTCTCTTTCTCTCTGTCTGTCTACTGATATGTGGTGTGTGGGGCTTAACACCCTTATAAAAAGCAAATTATAGTACCGAAAAAATCAAATTGAGTTTTTGTTACCTTTTATATCTGTTGGGTCAGATTTGATTTGAAGTACCAATTAGCAAGGGATTTTTAGCCGTAAAAGACAGGAAAGGGTAAGCAATTTTGTAATAGTGGAGAAATGTAAAAGAAAATGGTATAAATGAAAGACATACCAAAATAAATGGATTTGTTTAAAGGGATTCTTGCACTTCTAACCCACAATTTGAAGTCAATGGCAAAAGTAACCTGCTGTTTTTTTCATTTTAGTTTACCCAGTTTTGTCCAGATAATAACGAAAATGCCATTACTTTTATCTCGTGGTCTACGAATGAGGTCTACGTTCCGACCAGAAGACCAACAGAACCTCATCCTCTACACTTATTCACGAAACTGCCACTCTCATCAATGAACTCAACCACCATTTTCAACTAACTTCAAGCTTTTAATGCTTGATACTAGTAATTGTGATACTCCAAACATAATTGCACATCCCATACACTCTAACACTATCATTTTCTCCACATTTTCATCCCAAAAACTCTCTAATTCTACTTTTCATATTTCAAGTTCTTGATTTTCTCAAAATCGGGTTTGTGGCTTTCCTCACCACCGCCGAACGGTTGTGAAGGCTTAAAGACAAAGTTTCATCCCTCGGCGGCCCTAAAGACGACGGCCAGGTTGTGGTTTACTCCATTTTCGTTTTTTCAGATCTGAGTCGATATCGTAGATCTCAGGGTTAGGTCTATAGGTCAACGCAGAGGTTAGTTTTGCAATTGACTAAGACAAATCTGTGGAGTTAGACCGCGTAGAGAGTTCTACATAATCCCTTTGAAAACAAAAAAAATATCGTAAACCTCAAGCAGAGGTCTATTTTGAAAACAGGTTAGTTTTGCAATTGACCAAGGGAGGGCTTTTTTTTTTAGGTCTACAGATGAGGTCTATTGGTCAAAGAGGTTAGTTTTGCAATTGACTGAAGTTCTGGTTTTTACCTTAGACCTCTTAATGTGGTCTATAACAAATTTTAAGCTGACGTCTACGTCAGAGGTCTACATAGGTTTTAGATCTCAGTCTTAGGTCTACCTTAAAAAGTTGGTCAACGCAAAATAATAGGAGGTCTACGATAGTGGTCTACAGGTGGAAAAAAATTTCAAACAATTGCAAAAGTAACCTGTCTGAGGTCTACAGATTTCGTAGACCTCCCCGTAGACCGTATAATTTTCTAGACTACAGGTTGAGGTCTATTTTGTTCGTGAGGTCTACCCAAATTTTTTGGATGAATTGCAAAACTAACCTCTTTTTTTGTAGACCGCATTTGTAGATCTCAAAAAAGTCTTCCCTTGGTCAATTGCAAAACTAACCTTTTTTAGACCTCTTTACTAGGTTTACGTCTACGATCTAGTTTGGAGGTCTACATTTTTTCCGTTTTTTAAAATCGATTTTCTGCGAAAATTTAAAATTGTTTTTGTTAATATTTTTTCATAAATACTTCTGTTAGCCTAATAACTTGTCCCTATGAGAGTTTTGCATGCTAATGTTATGTAATGAAGGTTGTATTAGATTTTTGGTTAAATTTGGTAACTTGGTTAAACTCTGTAGACCGCAGCCGTGTGTGGAGGTCTACGTTTCCGTCTACAGGGCATCCATCAATATATATTAATGTGTTTTCCCTTTGGTTTTCATGCAGATCATGGTTTGTTTGGCATCCGTGTATGGAGCGTGGACTATCAGAGACAGAAAATGGTATTTTGAGGTTGATAAAACGAGAGGAGGTAGAATGTTCTACCTGCAGGATGATTGTAAACATGAAGAGCTGGTTGAAATGGTTGTGAACGACTACATGTTGCAAGTTAATGGCGAGCTGCTGGAGTTGTCATATCCATTACCAGCTGCTATGATGGAGAAATTGCCAACGGATTCACCTCCTATGTATGTGACGAACGACAGACAAGTTGGGAGCTTGGTGGAGTTATGTAAGGAGCATGTGGTCCGTCTTTGCGTCTCGACCCGCGTTGGTATGGGAAGGAACTACAACGAACCAATACATGAGTGTGTCCAAGAAGAAAAGTCTGAAGAGGTGGATAAAGAACACGTGGAAGAAGAATTCGGTGATGAAGGCTGGGATGATAACGACTCTGATGATGTAAACTGGAATGACAAAGCATGGGATGTAAATTCAGAAGATGAATCTGATGATACTCATGACAATGATAGTGCTGATGATGTCGACAACCCCGACGATATCGATGCAGATTATAGTAAGTATGGCAAGGTTAAAGATGAGGAAGAGGGTGAAGAGAGTTTGTCTTTCCGTGAAAGGCTCCGTAGAGGTGTTTGGAATGGTGGAAATGGAGGGTTCACAGGCACTTGGTGTGACACTATTCTGGTAAATCACAGCTATGCCTCTAAAGAAGCCCTTCTTTCTGACGGCTGTGATGGCAAGATTCGCATTTAAAGTCTACAAGTCCACTACGGAGTTGTTTGTGGCAAAATGTGTTGTCAATGGATGTGCATGGAAGTTGAGAGCAGCTGTGAAGAATGAACCGGATTGCTTCTGGGTTACCAAGTACGTAAAGGGTCACACTTGTTCAATTATGGACCGTGTAGCTCACCGTAGACGAGCTACTCCAAGATATATTGGACAATTGTTTGTGGAGCGGACTGGACTCATAGATGGAATTGTCCCTCGACAAATTGCAGATTCGATGAGGATCATGTTTGGCTGAATCTTACCTATACAACGTCATACCGGGCTCTCAAATTCGCTCAAGTATTTGTCAGGGGAACTCCAGAAGATGGATATGCTAACCTTCCTTCCTACCTTAGAAGACTGAAGCAAGCAAACCCTGGCACTATAACACACCTGCTCTGTGATGAAGAAGATCGCTTCAAGTACTGTTTTGTGGCGTTAGCGGCTTCAACAGCGGGATTTCAGTACTTGAAGAGGGTTATTGTGGTTGATGGAACACACCTTACTGGGAAATACGGAGGCACATTACTCGTGGCATGTGGACAAGATGCAAACTTTCAAGTATTTCCTCTAGCATATGGTGTTGTTGATGCGGAGACTAATGAGTCTTGGGGATGGTTTTTTGATAAATTACAGACTTGTTTCTCACCACATCCGATGGTCATTGTTTCAGACAGAGCATTGTCCATTGAAAATGCTTGTGTGAATGTGCTTCCATGGGTCACTAGAGGAATATGCTACTACCATCTTCAGCAAAATATTATCAAGACATATGGTGGTAAGGAGCTTATGTATCTGGTTAAAGGAGCTGCTTATGCCCACACTCTAGCTGAATATAATCGGTGCATGGACTCACTAAGAGCTGCGCACCCAGAACTCGCAGCATACATGGAGTTGGCCGACCCTAAGCTTTGGTCTAGAGTACATTTTCCCGGTGATAGGTACAACATCAAGACGAGCAACATTGCTGAATCTATCAACTCGGCTATTAAAAAGGCAAAGGGTTTTCCCATACCCTCTCTACTCCAGTTTATTAGAGAGATGTTAGGGCGGTGGTTCTACAAAAGGCGTGAAGATGCTTTAAGTCTGCAGACACCATACAGCAAGGGAGTTGAGTATATACTGGCCATCCGTGAACATTACGCTCAGTCAATGGATGTTCAGCGAATAGATGCAACTAGTTTCCATGTTGCTGGACGTTCGCACTTCGTAGTTGATCTAGAACAGGGTAAATGTGAGTGTGGAGTGTTCCAAGTCGAGAAAATGCCCTGTACACATGTCCTTGCAGCGCTTGCCTCAGCTGGTGTGCACGTCTCACACCATACATGTGACACATACTCGCAGGAATGCTTGTATGCGACCTACGCCCATCCTATATATCCTGAGGAGGAAATTGACAACCACAAGAAGAAGAGCGAGCGGTGCCGACCTCCAAAACCGAAGGATGGGCCTGGTCGTAAGAAGAAATCAAGATGGCAGTCGTGGCTGGAAATTTCTAGGAAGTCTAAGGAAGAAAGGCAAGAGTCGAAGGAAGAAGCCCAAAGTTTACAGCTGCTCCAAATGCAAGCAACCAGGACATACGCGCCCGTATTGTGTAAGCTTCGTGCGTCCCGCAGTTCCATTAGTTTTCATTACACAACCTCTGTAATTTGTTTGCTCTTCACTAGGTGTCCAAGCCTGCTGAGAAATAACTCGGCGGTCTACGAGCGGTCTTCCGGAGGTCTACGAGGAGTTCTAGGTCTACGAGGTCTACGAGGCGTTCACGGAATTCTACGTGGAGGTTTACGAGGCCTACGAGGTTACTCGCGATCTACTTATACATTCGTGGAGGTCTACGAGGTGTTCACGGGCGGTAATATTGCTTTCGTACTATTTTCATTATTATTGTTTAATACTAAGTGATGATTTCTTGTTCTCGGGGATCGTAATACTAAAGACGGATTTCATTGCTTACTGCGGTTTCGCGTCTGATGTACATCCGAAATAGTTATGCAAAATAGTTATACAAAAGGTGAGATCAATGTTGTCAAGAGGGGCCAAAAAAAATATAAACCCTCCCTTTCACCGTTAGTAGGGGCACAATAAAATTAACCCACTCTGAAGCCGTTCCTAAAGTTAGATTCGATCAGGATCTCCCGTCGAAAGGATCAATACCGTCCCAGTCACGGATCCTCGGTCCCTTGCAATCGGTCTCCTTGAAAATGTCACAAGCATACCTACTCCGAATTGCCTTGATGTTCTTGTTGCACAGTGAAGAGGCTGAAAAAGCGTTTCCAGTTGCGTGACACTCGATGTATTTCAGACAGTAGACACCGCAATCCCCGGGACCCTCTTGCTCCGGCACACCAGCAATACGTTCGTGAGTAAATTTATCGAACGGATAGTTGTCACGTTCTTCCACTAGTGCCATCTCGCGTAACATGTACGCCATCATCACAGCCACGGGTTCCACCTCCGTCTCCAGTTCTTCATCGTCCATACGGCAGGGATAACTATCCCAGATCGTGATGTGCCTCTTCGGTAAGGAGATGAATAGAGCAACCCAGTGGTTCTTCCCAATGTTAAACGGGAGATATATCTCGTCAATGTCCCTGCACCATCGTTTATTCGTCTGGCAGAATTCTGGCTTCGTGCCTTGGAAATAGTCAAGTGAGTCAGGTGGGAGGTACTTTCCAAGTCCGAAGACATTAGGCTCAGACTTCTTGAAATCGTCATACTTTGCCGTCCAAAACAGACTAAGACCACTATCGATGAGACACAGCCGGTCACTTCTAAAGCAGTGCGGTTGTTCTTTCATTCTGAGCCGCAGAAGATTGATGACCGCGTCCATGTGCTGATGAAACAAAAAAGATTGAATATTAGATTACAATTACTCGCAAACCTCAAGATGCGGTCTACAAGGAAATTATGAAAGAGTCTACGATCGAGGTCTATACGTAGACCTCACTAAATGGTCTATTGATATATCCATATTTTGCATGTTTTCACTTAGTATTTTCATATGTTTTTAAGTACTTTCATAAAGGTTTTATGCCTTTGGAGGTAGTTTTCTTGTATTTGTTGGTTTTGGAGTCTTAACAGGGTAAACAATCAAAAAGGATGGAAAAAGGAGCAAAAGAGCCTCAAACCATGATCCATGCAAGTTTCCAAGTCAAGAGCATCATTTTATCTCCAAGTGACAATTCTCGCTATCGAGCAGGAACGAAGCTTCGGAAGTTTGGCCGCGAACGGAGGAGTTCCCGACGTCCAAAAGTCACGATCTTGATATGGAAAGATAGATACTTGAGTCATGCATCACGTCGAAGTGGAATGAAGCCATTTGGATCAACCATAAGGGCCGGAACTTATTTTCTACCGAGACATGTCCGGTAAAGCGAGCAAACGAAGCCCATGGAGGATTTGGAGTGTCTAATGGCCCGAGCAGCAGCGCCAAAGGCCTTGATTGAATAAGAAGAGGCCTGGCTAATGTTTGGAGCTTTCCTTGGTACAATGTCGGCCCATACACGACGTGGAGAAGAAGGCTTGGCTCATGGGAAACTTTCCTTTTCCGGCACTTCAATGCCCTAACCGACCTACAACCTATAAATACATGTTTTTAGCCTCAAAACAAAGGAGTGTCGAGGGTTTCTAGGGTTGGCCGTCAGAGAGAGAAGCCAGAAGAAGCTGCGCCGTCCAGAGGAAGAGAAAGGAGGCGCCGTTCAAGACCCTTAGCACAACATACAACCTTTGTTTTCTTTTCTTCTCATTCTTTTGTATTGGATCTAAGAGTTTCAAGGGAGAATCCGACTTTGTTCATCAATAGAGAAGCTTTCTTCATCCCTTTACCTCTTTTAATACTTTCATAATGCTTTCAATCATAACTTGTTGTGTTGTTTGCATCATGGCTGAGTAGATCCTTTGCTAGGCTAATGGTAAATCAATGAGTTCATGAATTGTCAACTTTAAATTTTGATCTTGTGAGTTGGGATTATATTTTGAGTTCTTCACCTTTACTTGAGCATAATGCCGTTTGCTTTTCTGATCATCTAGCATCGGATCTTGGGTTAATATACTCTCCAAAAGCTTGCTATATTGCCGGAACTAGTATTTGGTGAGCAATAGGTCATGGCCAACGAAAGTTGAGTTATGGACTATTGTGAACAATTGAATCTTGAACCTTGTAATGCATGTTTACAACTTGTAATAACCAACGAAAGCTGAGTCTATTAGGTTGTTTAAACATAGTGGTTGGAGCCACGAAAGTGGAAAGACTATACCTTAGTGATTTGAGTTCAAGAATGATAATGAATCCCTTTCACTTGATTGTTTGTTGATAATTTGTGATGCTTTGCGATTTGCCTAATGCCTAGTACTTTCCCTTATTGTTTACACCTCATTCTAATCACTTTTTTGTTCTCTTTTGCTTTGCTACTCACAACCTCTCATATTTTGTTCTAGCTTGATTTTCAATCTTTGTAGGTTTGAAGTGAAATCACATCTCCCTGTGGTTCGACCCCGACTATACTACTGCTCTTGCTGTGCACTTGCAGCTACATTGGTTGGGTTAAAAATATTATCATTTGAGGAAGCTAAACCCAGCCTCCATCAAGTTTTTGGCGCCGTTGCCGGGGAGATTGTTTCATTTCCTTCAAGCTTTTTGATTGAATTCTAGTCTAGTTCTTGTTTTCTTGCAATTTACTTTTCTGTTTTTCAAAAAAAAAAAAAAATCATAAAAATTTGCTTACTTGTTTATCTCTCTTTCTTTTGTTTCCAGGTGCATCACAAGGAGACAAAGAAGAGAAAGAATGGACTTGATGAGCTTTTATGCAATTCCCCCACCGGTTAGGCGGCATCAAGAGGAAGTGAACTACATTGGTGGAAAACTTCGTGTATCCTGGCCAGAACGTCTATCAAGGAGCTCAATACCAGCCTAAGCAACAAGTCTATCCTAAGGGAATCTATCAGGTGGAGCATCCCTTCACTTTCCCTCAAGCTGTTGCACCGGCTCAACAAGAAGAGAAGTTAGATGTGGTCTTCAAAAGATACATGGAGGAGCAAAGGCAAACCACCCAGAGCCTCTATGAGAAGCTAGATCGTGTGTTCACTGATCTTTGCAGCAAGTTTGGATCTCTCTCCTCTCATGTCCAGAATTTGGGGGTTCAAATAGTCCAAACCGCGGAAGCCGTAGAGAAACAAAATGAGGTAACCCCTACAACATTTTGTAGCATTGTCTCACCTAAGGAAGACCAGCTCGTACCTATACCTAAACCATCTCAAGAAGGAGAAGAAGAAGCTGAGCCTAAGGAGAGCCAAAAACCGGAGAGGTTTCCATGGGAGTCAAAGAGAGCATACAAGAGAAGGCTTGTGAACAAGCCATTGCCAAAGCTAGAAGATCCGGGGAAGTTTGTGATTCCTGTTTCTATCAATGGGTGTGAAATCAATGACTGCCTATGTGACACTGGAGCTGTTGTGAATCTCATGTCTTATGCATTAGCAAGAGATTTGGGATTCAAATATTTTAAAGATCCTGAGGCAAAGATGGAGTTCGCGGAGCTATCATGTGTGGAGCCCTATGGAGTTTTAGAGAATGTTATGCTGGAGATAGGAGGTCGCCTAGTCCCTACTGATTTCCAAATCATGGTATGGGAAGGATCCAAGAGGAACCAGCTGCTACTTGGAGCCCCATTCTTAGCCACAGCCGGTGCAGTCATAGACTTCATGAGAAACCGCATGTCACTAGGAAATATCCAACAAGATGTTTTCTATCAAAGCATCGACTTCAAGACTGCACCAAGAGCGATCAAGCTGCCACCAGAGAAGACTTCTAACACGCCACAGAAAGGAGCCATGATGCCTAAAGATCCCAAGAAGAGTGAGCCCTATCCAAAACCGAAGGTGGTCATGAAACCATCAATGCTGAAACATAAAGATGTCTTCAAGGATATCAACTCGGTTTTGCTCCCTACCTTGGACGAATATGGAGCTAATGAGAAGCCTTATGTAGTGCCTAATTCCCTTACCAAGATAAGAATCCTTGTCTCTAAGGGTTGGGTCCCAAAAGAAGATCATACCGCAAAGGAGAAGCTGAGGAACACCTTAAGGCTCTTCCCAAGTGCATTTGTCTTCAAAGGTGGCATAGGAGATGATCTTGGCGTGCCCAAACCACCACGTGAGCCCCCTGAACCAGAGAATGGAGAAGCTAAAGGGATCCTTTGCCCTTCAGCCACTCTTCACCACTTAAGAAAGAAAAGGAGTCAAGCTAAATGACTTAAAACAAAAGCGCTTTATGGGAGGCAACCCATATGGTTTTTAACTATTCTATTTCTATTTTGCAGGAGTTTTTCAAAAATCAAACAAAAATACAAAAATATTTTCTTAGGATGAAGACCCAAAGGAGACCAAACAATGAAGTGTCCCACCCAATGAGCCCACCCTTGTACAAGGCGTCTTCCAAAAGGTAAGTAAATTCTCACCTAGTATTCATTTCTAATCACTCTTGATCTTCACTTGAAAAATCGTTTAAACCATTGCACTTTATCAAATATATTTCATGGTTTAACTTGATTTACTTTTGATGATTGGAAAGAATACATAATCACTTGTCAAAACTCATTTCTCACTGAAATTACAAGAGATTGAACTATAGTTTGAAATTTGGATCATTAACCAAGACCAAATAAGAATTTATAGTTTGTGCTTTAATCTCTTGGATTGTGAACTTCAAGTTGGTCACTTGAGGATCACAATCTAAGAAACCATCTAATCATGATTTCAAGTGTTTTGCAAGGAGTTAACATTTGACAGGAAGGAGAAATGAGCAAACCTATAACCAACCTAAAACCAACATGCATATGGCGGCCAAAGGGAGGTTAAAAGGAGATACAAGGCCATCACACGAAACAAGGCGGCCACCACTTGGGAATGACACAGGAGGGTTATTAAAACAATTCGGTCGAAGAAAATCTCAATTGGCCCGAGTGGATTTGAAGAAATTCAATCCGGACATTTCTCTCGGCCATGCGCACAAGGAGCCAATTACGGCCAACTCCTAAACGGCGTGACCGAAGTCCACCAAACTTCACAGGCGACCATAAAATCACATTTTGGTCGGCAAATCCAAAAGATAGGACGGAGAAATCATCACGGATCATGAGATAGACGACGGAGCTCATTCTGGCCGATGGCGCGCAAGCAATATGGCCGACAAAACCAAATCACGGCATAGGCGCGCCAACCGGTTGGAAAACTCTTCTTTGAGCTTAACTAACACTTTTATGCAGGAAGAAACGAAAAGGAACGAGCCAAACTTCACATGGCCAAGGAAACTCCTTCCCGGAGCCGACTTGACCATTTTGTGAAGGAAGTCTCAATCCGCTCGTACAAATGCTCCCAAACTTCACCAGAGGCTATAAAATACCAGGTTGGTCGATGAAATTTCAATATAGGTCATGAAATTTTTGACGGTTTGTTCTGTAGTTCACAGCACCACATTTTGGCCGACCGAATATACCAATCTCGGCCAAAACACAAACCGGCGGAAACCAAGGCCTGAAATTAAAAACTCACCGACCAATATTGCCTAAAGAAGTGTAGAATGACCCAAACCGGAACTGATCTTCATTATAAATTGGTCGACATTTGGTAACATCATCCTAAACCTTTTTCTTTTCAATTTTTCATTTGAACTTCATGTTATGCCTCTCTTAATCCGATTTGATTTCACCGGGACGGTGCAAGTTAAGTCTGGGGGGATTACTAACAATGTTTGTTCATTTTGGCATTTTCATTTGCATTTTTCCCTTTTATCGAGTCGTTTTTATTGAGTCAAAATTTTTGTCGAGAATCATGACCTTATCTTGGATCTAACCATGGTTGTACTAATGTTTAAGTGACCATTGAGCAGTTCTTGGCAATACATCTTACCACAGGTGCACTATGAGTTGATCGATCTACCAAAAACGCCTACATCTCTAAAGACTTGAGAAGGATCCATCTTTGACTCCGCCCTTAATGAACTTAATCTTCTCAGCTAGGGGCTTGGCATACAAATGGCATGATTCCTCATCCTCTCCATCAAATGAAAAAGTCTTAGTGAGTTCGTGCTTCCCTCTCTCTCCCCTTCAAATTTAAAGAAAAAGCGTAAGGTCCAAGTAACCGGGGATTCGGTGGCAAACACCATCAATACTCGCGTCTATGGAAGGCCTATGAATCCAAGCAACCGGGGATTCGGTGGCAAACACCATCAATACTCGCGTCTGTGGAAGATCCAAGCAAAACCTCTATAATAAAGAGAAGGAGTTGAATAAAAAAAATACTTCGCTACCCTAAAAAAGGGATGAATCAACTCAAAGAAGTGAGAAGAGAGAGAGGAGAAACATGGAGTAAAAAGACAAGTGCCAAACAAGGGGATGAGTAAGAGTCTAAAAGCCGGCTGATCGATACTCCCTAGTTGAGACCACACCTTTAGAAATGAAAGGAGTCAAGGGTGGCGAATTGGATTGTCCAAGGAGAGGTGGACCGCTTTGGGAAAATCGCAAAACTCATGGTATGTACTTTGTTCTTAATTCAAAACTTGCCAATGCTGTTTCATGTGGATTACTAAAGCATAAGTCAATTTGGATTTCCAAAAGATTTGAGAGTTCTCACGTTTTCAAACCTCTTTTCCTGCTTAGTTTGCTTGGGGACAAGCAAAAGGCTAAGTCTGGGGGAGTTGATATCACCATATTTTACATGATTTTACTATATTTTATATGTTTTCAAACGGTTTTTGCAAGATTCTTTGCCTTTAGAGGTAGTTTTCTTGTATTTGTGGGATTTGAAGTCTTAGGGTGAAAAATCAAAAAGGATGCAAAAAGGAGCAAAAGAGCCTAAACCAAGATCCATGCAAGTTTCCAAGTCAAGAAGATCATTTTATCTCCAAGTGTTAGTTCTCGCTAGCGCGCAGAACGAAGCTTCGGAAGTTTGGCCGCGCGCGGAGGAGTTCCCGACGTCCAAAAGTTACGATCTTGATATGGAAAGATAGATACTTGAGTCATGCATCACGTCGAAGTGGAATGAAGCCATTTGGATCAACTATGAGGCCTAGAACTTATTTTCTACCGAGACATGTCCGGTAAGCGAGCAAACGAAGCCCATGGAGGATTTGGAGTGTCTAATGGCCCGAGCAGCAGCGCCAAAGGCCTTGATCGAATAGAGAAGAGGCCTGGCTAATGTTTGGAGCTTTCCTTGGTACAATGTCGGCCCATACACGACGTGGAGAAGAAGGCTGGCTCATGGGAAACTTTCCTTTTCCGGCATGAAGAAAACCCTACGCGACTTCGCCCATATATACATGTTTTTAGCCGCTGAAAAGGAGAGTCGAGGTTTCAGGGTTGGCCGTCAGAGAGAGAAGCCAGAAGAAGCCGTCCAAGAAGAAGGAGGCGCCGCTCAAACTCTTGTTCTTTGTTTTCTTTTTTCCATTCTTTTGATTGATCTAAGAGTTTTCAAGGGAGAATCCGACTTTGTTCATCAATAGAGAAGCTTTCTTCATCCCTTTATCTCTTTTAATACTTGCATAATGCTTTCAATCATGCTTTGCTTGCTTGTTTGCATCATGGCCGAGTAGATCTCTTAGTTAGGCCGAGGAGATCTATGGTGGCCGTGATGATTTGATTGTGTTGACTTTATTGGGATTTATCTTATGGATCTTCACCTTTACTTGAGCTTAATGCATGATTACTCTACCGTACATCTAGTAATCTGATCTTAGAGAAATAGAACCACGACAGTGCTGAATCTAGATCTCAAAACTAGTATTTGGTGAGCAATAGATCATAGCCAACGAAAGCTGAGTTATGGTTTATTGTGAACAATTGAATCTTGAACCTTGTAATGCATGTTTGCAATTCTAATAGCCAACGAAAGCTGAGTATATTAGGTTGTTTAAACATAGTGGTTGGAGCCACGACAGTGGAAAGACTATACCTTAGTGATTTGAGTTCAAGAATGATAATGAATCCCTTTCACTTGATTGTTTGTTGATAATTTGTGATGCTTTGCGATTTGCCTAATGCCTAGTACTTTCCCTTATTGTTTACACCTCATTCTAATCACTGCTTTGTTCTCTTTTGCTTTGCTACTCACAACCTCTCATATTTTGTTCTAGCTTGATTTTCAATCTTTGTAGGTTTGAAGTGAAATCACATCTCCCTGTGGTTCGACCCCGACTATACTACTGCTCTTGCTGTGCACTTGAAGCTACATTGGTTGGGTTAAAAATATTATCATTTGAGGAAGCTAAACCCAGCCTCCATCATCTATGCATGCTTACCGAGTCCGATAGCCATTGCGGCTGCGTAATGAGTTCCCACCACCAATACCACACGGGAAACTTATCCTTGTCAAGCTTTGGATACCCACTAAAGCAAAAGTGTGTAATTAGTATACTAATCACAATAATCGGAATTATAAAGAAGTTTTCCAGAGGGTTACTTACGCTGTAGACTTCAGGAACGCCGTTAGTTCCTTCCGAACATTCTTGTCTTCGGGCAGATACGGATTGTAGACCGCTAAGCGCTGCTTCTTGTTACGTATGAGCTCCTTAACCGTAACGTTTCCCACGAACGGAGACTTTTGAGATGGGGCCAGTTTCCTTTCCCTCTGATCCTTAGCCCTGACCATTAGTTTCGCGTTGAACTTTCGCTGATTCTTCCTGATGTCTGCTAGGCATTCTTCTTTGCTTGGCACATAGGTCTTAACATATGCAACGCTGCTGTCGTCACGGTTACACTGTTTGATGGACCGGCGTTTTGGTTCTGCATTTGAGGACAATTTGAGTTTGAAAAACAATTCAGACCACAACAAATAGGCACAAACACTCTCGGAACATTTATTGTAAGTCAAGTAAACAGGTTCATTAAAATTACACACATGATTTGCAAGGAAAGAAAAACGTGACAAGTTTTGTGAAAAAAACAACGGATTGGGCTCTACTTGGTCTTCAATTTTCTAGGTCGAAGGACCCTATCCTGGACAGCTTAACTTGCACTTTACGCTTATCTTGCACTTTAGAAGAGTTGGGAGATTTGGGAGAGGGATCAGTACTAACCGGTTGAGCAGTTTTAGCTTCTTTGGCGCCGGTCACATCTTCTTTGGCGCCGGTCTCATCTTCTTTGGCGCCGGTTTCATCTTTTTTGGGAGAGGGATCGTCGGATCTACGCTGCTCCTGAAGCCTTACATCCATCAGCTGCTTCACACTACGCTCCATACCAGCAACTGTCGAGGTAAGTGCAGCTAGTTGCCGGTCATACTTCTGGAACCCTGCCTTCAGATCAGCAGACAAGGTCCGGGTGCAGTCAGAAATCAACCTCTGCAACGTCTCCTCGATATCATCATAGTTTGATGGAGGAGTAGGACGAGGTCTCTTCTTCGAATCTGTGAAACTAGCCTCCACTTTTATTGGAGGCTTCACGTCCACTCGCGGGTGATTGGAGACCAAGACACCTTCCTCGTCCCAGTCGCTTGGCTTCCACCTCCACCGACCACCTAACTCCCCGTAGATTGCCTTGATGATGTTGTCGACGTACAAATCTTCTACATCATCATCCCAGCGTGGATAAACTTCTTCCCTATCGACAGCTCACAGTTTTTAAAAACGACCTGCAAAAACAAAACAAAATGAGTGAGGTCTATCTACTACTAACTACTTGCCAGCAATTACTCGATTCTCAGATTTATGTTTACCTGCTTCAGCATTGCCTCCACGATGTACCTTTTGCCTTGAATACCCTTGTACGCAAGGAGCGGTGGTGATGGTTTAGATGGCAGAGGAGCACCGTATTTCTCTGCAAAATTCGGCATGCTCTCAAAAGCCCAAATTTGGAGAACCTCGATAAAACCCTGTGTTCAAAATCTCGCTTATCGCTTACCGTTCGGTCGGGTAGCGATAAGCGATATTTGAAAAAACCGCTAATATATCGAGGATTTATCGGGGATAAATTTTAGGTTTAATTTAATATATTTAAAAATTATATATATATAAAACATTAATAATATAAAAGATACTACAAAACACTTATCATTTATGATTTTTAGTAATTCACAAACATTTCTAATACAAAAATAGTAGTTCCACTCACAAATATTACAAAAGAGATATTGTCTTGATCATTTTTAAGAACATACAAAAATATATAAGGATGATAATATATAATTCTTCATCCTTATGTTCTTCTATGATCAAGTAGTCAATTTGAATCAAGGTGTAGTGGACTTAGAAATAGATAAAGCAAACCTGAAAAAAAATCAAAAGGGGATGTTAAATATTGAATTCAATAAGTGAACTAAAGACAAAACAAAACCAGGGAGTATGATAAACATTTGGTTCATGTCTTAATATGTGTTCAAGCAATTGTTCATATCCTAATGACAGAAAGAGATGCATTCCGTTTTTGAAACTATATTCACGAAGTAATTAAAGATAAGCAAGTTACATTCATGTCCTAATCTAATGCTACATATGCTCTCAAGTTTCCTCTTCATGGTTTCGAAATCATAACAAATACAGCAAAACAGAGTAAGACAAATTTCAAAAGACTTATGTCACATAACCAAACACAAACAGAAAGACACTAAGACAAGAGCAAGAAAGTTTACCTTATGGGTTATGCTAAGCGAATGGTGGGTCGCGAAACACAGGATCTTCATGATAGTAATCTGACTGAAACTCCATGCCTCCACCTTCCTCTTCATCGGATTCGAAATCATCATCATACAGAGCTCTGGCTTGTGGAGCTTGTGAAGTTGGCACCAAAGGAACATCTCCATCTACCTCTTCATTGCGATCGAGAATCCAATCTTCAACTGTATCTTCATTTCCCTCATCAAAGATCACATCACATTTGCTTTCTCTGATTTTTTTTTGCTTCTTGAACAATCTGGCATTGAATTGAACATAGACGAGACTGTTAAGCCTGTCTACATCCAGTCTATTTCTTTTTTTCGTGTGAATCTGCAAATTAAGACAATTGTTAAAGACTGTGCAATGAAAAACAACAACTGAAACAAAGTAAAGATAATTAAAAGCTAACCGCTCCAAAGCAGCTCCAATTTCTTTCACAACCAGAAGAGCTAGATGTTAAAGCAAGGATCCTAGTGGCAAGCCTTCTCAAATGTGGTGTTTCGCAGCCATAAGTTACCCACCAATTCCCTGTGATTTCACAAGTGAGTAAGTGACAAAGGGATAAGGCCGTAAAGAATATAGACTAAATAAAGACTAATACAAACGACAAAGCTAAAAACAGAGACAAACCTGGATCGAAATTTTCATCTTTCTTTTCACATCCTTTTCTTGCCAAAGTTATAACATTTTCTAAGAAAAAGAATAAAACCAAGCATGAGACAAATCTCAAATCTAAAACATTACCTAAGAAAAAGACCAAAACAAAGAAGAAGACATAACTATGATACCAATACCATCAAGCAACGAAAGAATCAGACAACAATACAACATATGTGACAACTTTACCTATCGTAAGTGAAGAAGAAGAACTAAGAAATCACATAAGCAAACTAATGCTATCTCTAGTTTCTTTTCCTCCATCTAAGGTTTCAGAATACTTCCAAGACATAATTACTTAATTACAGTAAGACATAAAGACACCAAGAAGAGGATAAACTCAAGTCTAAAACATGAACTTGTAAAACAACAAAACATCACGAAATCGAAAAAGCACAAGTTAGATAAATGGTTACCTCAAATTCGCTTCGAGAATCCTCTGGTTTTGGGAAAACCGTAAAAGAACTCTAGTCAAAGTGATTTCTTCTTCAGAATTTTTCGATCTGGGGTGTGTTATTTGACTGAAATCGGGATTAGGGTATGCAAATGGAACTGATTCCCAAATCGATTTCGTAATTGGAAGTTGTAAGTCGGATTTTGGAAAGAAAAAAAACGAATGTGGGCTCAGTTAAAAAACAAATGGGCTTGAATATCAAAATAAAACAATTTGGCCCAAACGATTTAATTGTTTCTCGGCCGATTTTCTCATTTTCGCGGTCAAACAACAGTTGACCGGTTATTGAGCTGATAAGATGAAATCAGTTCGGTTCACGTTATCTCGGCCGGTTTTTGCGGTTATCGCCGTTTTGAACACAGATAAAACCCTCCAGCACATAACCCGACTTCTCCAAATCCACTCCTTTAATGGACTTGATGAGCTGCAAGAAACAAACTCGGCCCCACGGGTATTCCTCAAACTTCTCCAAATCCAACACAAGCCTAGCTAGCTTGACAGGTGTCTCGGCAGCGGATCTACGGGCCTGAATGAAGCCTGCGTATATGGCTAGGTAGCCCAATCTAAGCTTATCCTCCCTTGGCCACTCGCCTGCCCACTCACAAGCTTCAGCCAGCTGGTCAATGCTAGGCCCTACCTCGACGTTGACACCCAACCTCTCCCAGAACTCGCACACGGCATCCGTTGCTGGAGCATCAGGTGTCTCTAGGTTCTCAACATACTCGCAGTTGAGGCCGGTGATGGCTGAGAACTCGTGCAATGAAAATCTTATCGGATTTGCCCCCACAGCGCTCCATATCTCATACTTCTTCTTGCATACAACCTGGAAACAGAGCATGGCATGCGCAATCCGTGAAGCCCACTCGAATTGAAGGTCACGGAACTTTAGGAAGATACCAATCCTGGAGTCACTGATTTCATTCCATTCGTCGTCGGTGAGGAGCTTTCGGAGACTATCAAAGAGCTTGGTGTTCTTGCTACACCTGGAAATGCTTTTCCCTGCGTCCGGATCGCCTCCTTTGGTGTAGAATCTCCTGGGGAATGTCGGCTTTGACATCCTACAAAAAGATTATAAACTATTAAGTCCAATCAGTTGAGGTCTACCAAGGAGGTCTAAGTCGAGGTCTACATTTACTTATCAACTACAGTCTAAGTATGATGGCTATGACTGAGGGCTATCACTGAGGGCTACGACGGAGGTCTACGATACAACATTAAAAAACGGTTTTAAGATACCTGTTGTTCGCGAAATCCCAACGCCTAACGCCAACGAAGATCTGGAAACCTGATACAGTTTTTTAAACAGAAGGAGTATTACCATATCGAGTTTCGTAATAATAGCAATTTTTCAATCAAAATTACCCGTGAAATCAATGTCGGAAACGAGACTTACGGGGTGAAGTATTAAGGATTAAGGATTAAACCGCGGCGGAGTAAGGAGTAAGGATTACGGATTAAACCACCACATGCAAACTCTCAGTGGGAAGTAGTTAGAATTTCACTAGAATGAAGAACTTACCGGCGGCAAGCGGGTTGTGTAATCGGCGGAGACAGCGGGTTGTGTAATCGGCGGAGACAGCGGTTGTGTATCGGCGGAGACAACGAAATCGCCTCTAGCGGAGAGCGAAAGGTCAGACACAGATTAGGGTTACGAATGAGGCTTACTGATCGCGGGATCAGGTCTTCCCCTTTCCTATCCCTGATTCTGCAAGTGCACAGGTCAGAAGTAGTAAACGGGTATCGAACACAAGGACCAGATTGCACACTACAAGTTATGAGTTTGAGACAAGCTAGGGCAAAAGTATAAGTTGGTTGAGTGCAGAGAAAGTAAAGCATGCAAGTAATAAAAGTAAGAATTCAATAGGAGAGAAAGGCTAAGCAATAGGATAGTCTTGAGATAAGCAATTCAAGAAGCATGAAATCAATCAATTAGGGTTACCGCACTTAGGTGCTAATCTAGAACTTGAAACACTATGGTATGATCATTCCACTGTCGAGGCTCCGACCCCTTTGTTAATCTACCTAGTCGCTAAACTTTTGGTATGTCCCTAGGTGATTAAATCAAGCATTAGTTCGATCAAGATCAATTGTTCACAACCTACAAGTAGATCAACTGTCGCAGTCTAAAAGAGATTGCCCACCAAATACTAGTTCAGGCGAATGATACAGCACTGTCGAGGCTCAAATCAACCTAAAGGCATATGCTAATTGGCCAGATTAACAACAAGCATTAAGTATAAGCAAAGATGAGATTATAAGTAAAACCCTAATTGTGATCAATCATCAAGCATTCATGAATGCTATCCTTTGACTTCCTATCACTTAACAAGTAAACTACTCAGACATAGAGAAGGAACACGAATTCATATTCATAAGAACAGAGATTCGAATCCTCTCTAGAAAGAGTAACAAGCAAGAACAAAGTAAAAGCAAGCAAAACTTTATTAAGATGTAAAATAGATTGTGGTCTCTCTCCTTCTTGAGTTACAAGGCTAAAAAGAAGTATTTATAATGCTCTAAGTATGAGAAACGGCTAAACCTAATCTAGCTAGGTCGGCGCCGGCTTTGGGCTTGAATTGTGCGGATTGGGCTTCAAAAACGGCTTCGGGTCGACCGCGGCGTTCGGACGGTCGTCGGGACGGTCGGCCGGACAGTCGGGTGGGCCGAGTCGGAACGGTCGTGCCGGATGATTTCACGGTCGGCCGGCGTGGTCGGGCGGACGAAGATTTGGCCGATGGTTTCTCGGCCGGACGTGGGACGTTCTTTCCCGGCTCGGACGGATGCATCGGCCGTGGTACGCGAAACAGGTTTATAGATTGATTCATTTTTCGTATAATTTATTTTCAATAGATGTCAAATGTATAAGAATTAATTATGCATACAAGTTTTTTATCAAATTATTTTTTATCAATTTTAAAAATTATTTTTAAGATTTCATTTTCCTGTAGACCTCGTTGCTAGACCTCTCACGGTTTTACAAGTTTCTAACCTAATTTGTTTTTGTCAACCTAAATTCACTTATTAACATGTATGTTTATTTTATATGGACTCTAATTGTCTTTGTCTTGTTTATGAATACAAATTTTTCATCTAAATATTTTCTATTTATTTTATAAATTAAAAGTTTCATTTAATTAAACCGTAGACCTCATCCGTAGACCTCTTAGGTTTTTAAGCTTTCCAAACTAATTTGCCTATGTTAGTTTAATTTGACTCATTTGTATGCAATTATAATTTTCCAAGATGCAAATTACTATTTATGATTTATGTATGTAAATGGTTTCATCAAAATGTTTTTTTTTTTTTCCCAATTAAAATATAAAATTAAAATACAACGTAGACCGACTATAAAAGTCTATATGTAGACAGCAAGCGTAGACCTACGCTCCGGGTTAATTTGGTAATCACGGCAAATTTGTTTGTTCATGAGGGTGACCTTTGTAATTTCGCTACCCAAACAGGTTAGTTTTGCAATACATTCAAGTTTCGGGTTATGGTTATAGAAAAAAAGCAAATTTTCGGGTTATATGTGGAAATTTTCCCTTTGTTTAAACGAAAGATTTTTTTTTTTTTAGTTATAAAAGAAAAAAGGCATTTTAGGGAATATGCTGGTGTACTTTAGGGAATTGGCAATTTACCCAAATAAAAGGGGTTCTTTGTCCCTTTTCTCCTTTTTTGACCTTGATCATTTTTGGTCAAGATTGCCCTTCAATTTATTTAACAACTCATAGTAAATGTTTTTTTAAGTGAAAAAAATTTCCATATTTCCTAAAAATAATCTCAGGACTGTGTAAAATATTTAAACATTTTTGAAAATGTTTATGATATTAAAAAAAATATTTGAAGTTTCGTTCTACAAATCTATAATATCAAAGTAGAATATGTTTTCTACAAGATATTCGGAGGTCTAACCGCCGTAGAACATAATATTTACAACTTATTCATATCTCTTCCGGATTTAGAACTCGATATCTACCAAGTACTATACGCTCTACCGTTTTGTAGAATTTGCACCAAATATATTTTACACAATTAAAAATCTTCTACTACTCGTAGATTTTAAGTTCTACGTGAAACACTGTTATCTACAAAAAGTAGTTTCCGTATCCTACATGTTTTTGTGTAATTTACATCCCACAGAAGTAGTGTTCTACTAAAACCTTGTTTTCTACGATTCATAGTACTCGTGTTTCTAGTACACGATCTAGCAAAATTAGTGTCGTCTACATTTTGTAAAATTCGTCTTCTGCGAAGAACGAGAAAATATTGCAACTGAATATTTTTCAATTCTTTCTTTCCTTTTTTCCTCTAACTATCCCAAAATAACCAACAACACATCTCTCACATTCTTCCTCTTCTTCCTTCCTCTCCTTCTTCCTCTCCTTCTTCCTCTTTAATCATCTATGGGCAAAAATGAAAAAAAATGCCAAAAAAAAAAGGTAATGCACTACAAGATAACTAATTATTAGTGTTGTTTATTTAGTGTCACTTGATACAAATGATATAAACTTAAAAATTAATAAGAATAGTTAACATCACATGTATAAAATGATACTAGAACATTACTAATTACATCATTTAATTGCAAATGACACTAAAACATTTTCTTAGTATCACTTAAATGATAAGTGACACTAAAACATAGACACTAATATCATTTAAAATTTAAATGACACTAATAATTAGGGAAAAATTGACGTTATACAGTAAAAGAAAAAAAAAACAAATCGGAATCTCTTCTCTCTCAGCTCGAAATCTCTCTTCCGATAAAGCTCGAAATCTTCCGATCTTCTTCGCATTGAGCTCAAAATCGTCCGATTTTCTTCCCGTCTTCTTCCGAATCTTCTCATCCTCTTCCGATCGAATCTCTGAGCTCATCTCTCTTTGCATCGAGCTCGACTTCAGGGAAATCACGGTTACTTCTCAGATCTTCTTCCCATCTTCTTCCGATCATCTTCTGATCTTCATCCTATCAAATCGTACTCAGGTTTCTCAGTAATCAAATCAGTACTTCAGTTTACGATTTCCCATTTTTTTGGGTTTCATAATTTCGGGTGTATAGTGAGAAATTTGGTGAGATAGTATTCACTATCTTAGCTTATGAGAAATTATATGGATTTGTCTTCCTCTTTTAGTGTATTAACCTTTGTGAATTCGGATTTAATAACTTTTGAGAAATTATATGTATTCCTCTGAGAATTTGTTCCCTTTGAATATGTATGTTTCTTTTACTAGTCTTCTCAGCTCGGATTGCAACTGTAGAAGGTAAGTTGCATATATTCTTGTTATGTGTTGCATATATTTTTGTTGCCTTATTTAGCTCTTGTTCTGTGTTGCCTTATGTTTTCAGGGAATAGTACGTGAAGGTGACATGATAAGACAGGATTATATACATTTCATAAGGTAATTAACTTGTTCTGAGTTATTGATACGTGTAGTATTGGTATGAATCAAGTTGGTAGTCTTAGCTTTTTGATACGTGTAGTATTGAGGTTTGAGGTTTGACAAGATAGGTTTCAGCTTATAAGATAGGTTTGAGGTTTGAGGTTTCAGCTTATAAGATAGGTTTCAGGTTTGATGTTTCAACTAAATATTCTTTGCAAATAGGTTTCTTATAAGATATTTGATGTTTATGATGCAATTTACTTTTTATTTTGGCAGGTATAAGATACTTGAAGAAGAGAATACAAGAAAGAAGATACAAATACATATTTATACATTTTACTACAAGTAAATTTTAGTTTGATTACTATATAAGGATATTTTAGCTTGAATATATATATATATATATATATATTTTTTTTTAATTCTAATCTCAATTTTAGTATCATTTGTTCAAGTGATACTAAAATTCAAGAAAAATTTAGTGTCACTGATTTTAGTGTCATTTTCTGAAATGATACAATAATTCTTGTATCATTTAAAAAATGATACTAAACTTAAAAAAAAGTGACACTAAAAAAATATGTTTCTGTAGTGATGGGACAAAACACAAACATAAAGGAGTAGAGCATCCGCATTGCAGAACAGCAACATAAGCTCTTTACATTTTTTTAATATTAAATATATTAATTAAATAATTGTAGAGTTTTGGGGAAAATTGTAGAGCTCTCTCTCCACATTGCAGAGCCGAGAAAGGGTTCTATAAAAGTTTGATTTTTTTTTATAGCAAACACACTTTGAAGCACAACTCCATTTGGAAACTGCACACTTATCATACTCCTCTTGTACCTCCTCCTCGCCGCTTTCGCTTGCTTCTCCTTGTAAGATCTCGGGATCAAAAGCTGCAACCAAAAGTGACAGTACAAAGATCAACGATGACTAATATAATGATGTGAACAAGTTGAGAACAACTAAAGATTGCAAAACATTCCATCAACATATAATATGGAGACGGAGATATAATCAAATTGATCACATCTTCATACACATCAGTTTAACATAATTGTTCATAGACAACCGGCAGAAATCAGATGCTTTTAGCTTCACTTTAACAAGTCAATCGAACTATCAACAGAGCTAAAGGCAATTGAAACCACTAATTCAACATCAATACATCCAAAGCGAACATCTTTAAGCTTCTCAAAACCAGAATGTCAAAAACGAAAACAGAACACAAAACATTAATAAAAATCAGTCGATTCTCAAATTGTTTCACAAATAAACTACAATCAACTCATAAGTCACAGCACAGCACAGGAATCAACAAGTCACAAACCTGACAGAGGAGAGGAATGGACCGATTTGCACATTTTAAGTATTTTAAGTATCACAAAATGGATCTAACATAAACAAATACCATACGAAATCAGAAAAGCAACCAAAACCCATAATTTTCAGTTTACAGAATGCGAAAGTAGATATAATCAGAACTGAGATTCATGACCACCAAAGGAAAATTAACAACGAAATCGAGAATCCAGATTCAAGTAGATCTACTAGAACCGTAGAAAAAAGAACCGGAGATCGAAGAAAGAAGGAATTCGAGGAGCCGCTCGGATCGGAGAGAAGACGGAGAGAAGAGGAAGTTCGAGAAAGAAAAGAAAATAAAAACATAACAAGAAAAAAAATAAAAACGCGGGGCTTTCTCCTGTCGACGCGTGGCAAGTAGAGACGGTTCTACAAGTCCTTCCGCCAGAGACGACTCTCGTTAATTTTTCTGCCATGTGTGTAATTGTTTATTTTTTCTTTATTTTTTTGTTTCAGAACCGATGAAAAAATGTGCAATGCGGATGCTCTAAAAGGACAAGAACCCTTTCAATTTGGGATAAATTGCCAATTATCCCATAACTTTAAAGAGCATTGTTGTTTGACTGGGTTAAAAATTCTAATTGTATTTCGAATATTTTGTAACGGAGCCGCCGAGGTGGATGAGAAAAAAACATCAGGACTCCATATATTATTTTCCAATTAGAATACAATTACATGTCTTCGAGAATATATCAGTATCCACATGGTCACATGGATGCAATCGTATGGAAATTACTTGGATCTCTATCCATATGGATACAACAATATAGAGAAAAATGATTACTATTTATTGAGTAAGAATGAAGTTGTTGTCTTAGAAAGTCGATCAAATTTGTTGGTTCCTGAAATATGAAGACATAAAAGGAGGGAGAACACATATAACACTAAATCAGAGAAAATATTTTCAACAAGAAAGATCAAAACCTAATACAAAGCTAGCTAGTGATGTAATGATCACATGTATATCGCAAAGCCGGTTAGATAATTTTCTTAAAACAAAATAAAATATGTATACACCAATACACTATGGAGATCACTCTACATGTTCATATGAAATGTAAAACACAAACGTTCTGATATTCAAAATCACCTTCCACCGGAGAGTATAGAGTCAACCATGGAAGATTCACCGTTAGACATGCCTACCTCACTAACTTTGTGGTGGAGTCCCATCATCATCATCCCGTTCCCACGTAAGTCCAACGGTGACAAATCTGGTAACTTTGCATCTCCGTTTAGATAATTCAACACTTGTCTCATAGTTGGTCTAGCATTTGGGTCGGAGTGAGAGCACAACAAACCTAGCTTCAATACCATTTCCACCTCTCTTTCATCACCATACTCTGTCCCTTAGATTCGGATCTTTAGCATCCAAAATGTTTCCTTGTTCCAAAACCCAAAAACCAAATCCACCAGCAAGACCCTCTCGCCACTCTCGTTCTGAATCTCGATAGGACGTCTACCGCACGCACTTCAAGTAGGAGCACCCCAAACGCAAAAACATCGGTGCGGTCGTGGCCTTCCTGTCCTGATGTGATCAGGGGCTAAGTATCCCCATGTTCCAGCGACATGCGTGGTTAGAGGGTCCGAGCCGTGACCGCACAACCGAGCTAAACCGAAATCTCCGAGTCTCCCATTGAGCTCCGCATCTAACAAGACGTTGCTGGCTTTGATGTCGCGGTGAATCACCACTTGTTCCCATTCTTCGTGGAGGAAGAACAAGGCAGAGGCTACACCTTTGATGACTTTAAACCTCTGTTTCCAGTCGAGTGTTACCTCTGGATTATTGTGCAGATATTTGTCTAAGCTTCCGTTGGGCATGTAGTCGTACACCAAAAGAAGCTCTTTTTCTCGGCGGCAATAACCCAAGAGAGGGACTAAGTTCCGGTGACTCATCCGACCAATACTCACGATCTCAGACACAAACTCTTTCAACCCTTGTCGGGATTCGTTCGAGACTCTTTTAACGGCGATCTTCTTCTTTGTCTTGGCATGACACCTTTGTAAACTCCCAAACCCGCCCGATCCGAGAAGGCCCTTCTCCTTGAACCCTTTGGTGGCGTAGTACAAGTCCTTGAACTTCATCGAATCTTGGCGAACTCTGTTTCCCAATCTTCATCTCCTCGGCGAACTTCCTCCTCCTCCTCACAATGAATCGCACGAGGAAGAAAACAAACAAGACCGGAATCAACAAGAGGGCAATTAACGGCATCCCGTTCTTGTAGAACCTCTGTAGTTTCGTGGGCCCAACCTCGGAATTCGGAAGTTCGGAAGTTCGATAATGCCAACGGTGGAGCTTTCCCTTCACCTGGAAACTCCACCCAAGAACAAAATGATCCGACGATATAATAGTACCGGTGGCGGACGAGAAACCAACGAACATATCTTGCAAAAGAACCGAAGATAGATCTCTGACAGTGGAAACAAGCGGTTTTCTAGGTTTATCCTCGTTGACCAGAGCCATCGTCACATCGATTTGATGAAAGACCATCGTAATCGACCCAAACCTGCATCGGCTCACGACTGATCAAACTCAGATTCTTAAACTGACCCGTCTCGTCCCAGTATCCAGCAGTCGAACTGTTTATCGACACCAAGCTGTTGATATCGATTCCGACATGGTTATCGTCCATATCATTGAACTCGAAATTCGAATCGTGTCTAATTCGACAGCGAACACGTGATTTGTGTCATTACCGTTGTTTGTGACGTTGAAGAGACCCATGTATTGGCTGGCGTCGGCGAATGGGAGGCTTGCTAGGAGCGACGACAAAGGCCATGCCGAAGCCGCTAAGCATCCGCTGCTGAGGGCTGATGGCGAAGACAAAGGTTGTAGAGAAGGACGAGACGTTGCCGTTTGGAGAATCTTTGAACCGGATTGGTTTGGTATAGAAAGCGTGACCGGTTTTGCGAGGTTGCGTTGGTTAGCTTCAATAAACCGTTGGGTGTGACGGTGGCGATCCCTTGGAGAGATAAGTCAGTCAGTGGAGGACGGAAGCCATTGTAAGTGAAGTGAAGACTTTGGGAAGAGGATTTTAGGAATTGAGAGAGTAGGCTAAAGAAAAAGAAGACCATGGTGAGGAGCTGCTTGACCAACATGGCTCTGTAATCTGTATCATAGAGAAAAAGATAATGACGATTTATGGTGTGGAGCGAGTGTAGATAAGTCATATGTATTTATGTCAAGGGAAAAGTCGTCACCGTTCAAGTACGTCTAACTCGATTTAGAAGACTTCCGGGCTTGATAGTACCAAGGTGATCAAATCAACGACATAAATTAGTAATCAAAATAAAATAAAAAGGTACAGATCTATTAAAAAGAAGGGTTTTTACGCAAATTAATCTACAAATTAAATTAAATTTGCAAATCTCACTCCATGCAAATAAAACCCCACTAGCTCAAAAGTCACGCACTAAGAGGAACCGCATTAGACATTCTCAGGGTTCTGGAGTCTAAAAGTAAATAAAAATAAAATTATTTACACATCTGTCAAAGCCCAAGCCCAGAGTTGACTCTCGCCGTAGAGCTTTTCGAACCGGCTCTACTCTACACGTGTCGGAAGGAGAGCGCACCGCGCGAAATTAATTTTTTTTTTCTGTTCTTCGAAATCTTTTTTTCTCCTTCCCTTCAATCTTCGTTCTTCGTCTTCCTCTTCTTCTCCTTTCTCTTCGATCTACCTCTCCTTCTTCTTATTCTTTTCCGATAATATAAACACCACAAGTCTCTCTTGTTCTTCTCCCCCTCACCAAAAATCTTCTCTTATTTACCCCTTTGGCACCCAAATTTTTAATTCTTCTGAATCCCTAATTTACAAATTGAAGAACCTCGGAAATCTAGGATTTGATTCATTCGGGATCTCTAATGGTCTCTTGTTCTTCTGTGATCTCTCTCTCTTAAATCTCATTTCGCTTGCTGGTTTCGTTGATTAGGAATGGAAGATGTCTGTATTGATTACTATTCTTCTCAGGGAAGAATAAAGTAGAATATTTTTCTTCTCGTTTCAGTATTGATTCTTGCGTTTCTTTGGTCAAATTGTGATTTGTTATCCATGTTGTGCTCTTTTGGTTGTTTAGTGTTTGATTGATTGTCTTGAATGAATCTTTGGAGTGACAAACTCTGTTCTTTACTTCGTGAATTTGTATCGATCAAGCTAGGTTGCCATTCGATATTTCTTCATGCTAATCTTAGTTTGTTTTTTTATTTCGTATGATTAGGTTATGACAAGATTCAGAGAACAGAGTGATACTCAATAATATGCTTAAGAAGAGTTATGATCAGGTTTGGCCTTGAAGATATTTTGGTTTGTTTACGAAAGAGTCATTCTTATTAATCCAATAGTTTTAAGGTCTTTGGGAATGTAGAAGCCTAAGGTTCTTACGGTGGATGACAAGTTAATGATTTTAGGATGCAAGTAAGTTGAAATTTCTGATATGCATTTTGGTTGATTCCACTTTTTTGTTTTTACCTGTAATGTCACATTATGTCATTGTTATTAGAGATTTTAAGAGCAAAATTGTTGAGACTGAAATGGAGTTGACTCTGGCAAACATGTTGGATGCTCTGGTGAGCATACTTGAACATGAAGGTATTCTTGGTTGGTAGAAAGGGCTTGGACAGAGTTGCTTGAAGTTGGTTCCTGCTGCTGGAGCGTTTGTATGCAAGGCCAGGTCAATCTTTACTATATGCATTTTTTCACCCAATTTAACTTATCTTGTTCACTACTTTTGTCAAAATGATGAATCTTTTTTTGTTTTCTTTGCAGGCTGATCAAAAGTCCAAGTCTTGGGGAAACATTAACTACCATTTGCAGAGGTTAACTCGTGGAAGAAAGTGATTATAGCATCATGGATCTTGTATTCCACAAGAGTCCGTTGATGGTTAAGTCAGTGGTAGTTTTATAATTGTTGATCTCTTTATATGTCTTGATCTCTTTATTTGTCTCTTTGTTTTTTTTCTTGTGTGGTATTGCTTTTTCTGCATTGTCCCTCTTAGGAGGAGGTGTATTTGGTTGGACCTTTGGGCAAGAAGTCGCGAACCACGCGCTGCAGCTCTATAAGCTGGACACAATGGCGGCTCAAGTTAAGTTCATGGAATGGTGGGAACACAAGTCTCACTGAAGGTCATGTATCCCAAATCAAAGGATAATCACATTTTTCTGTATCCCAAGTCTTAATATGAATATTTTCATAATTTTCAATCTCTATAAATTTAACAAATTTTGAGAAAAAAAAAAAAAAAAAAAAATTAAAGAACCCACATTGGGTTCTCCAATGGGGAGCTAAAATTTCTCTAATCCTTACAAAAACTCTAAAATTAAAATATTGTTATTTTTAATATAAAAAATGTTTAAAGAGCTCCGAGTATCACCAATGTGGATGCTCTAAGCGATTCTTCTCTGTATCCCACATATAACAGTTCTTTGACTAACTAAATGTATTTAGTCAAAATAAGATAGCTTCCATTTTCAACTCCTATTCAAAGAAAAAAAGGTAGTTAGTTAGTGCTTTTCATATTCATACGGGCATTGCATGACATAATCATTTATCTATGTGACTGAACAAGAAAATATAGTTTTACGTTATAGTCAACTTTTATGTTCATATAAATGTGAAGGTTTTTTTCTCTATTTTGTCAACTTGTCTATGATGAGATATATTTTTCTTTGTTGCTTTTTATAAATGTCCATATATAACGGGTGACGTCACAAGAAGTTTACATTATAAAATGTAATCTTGATTCTCTGATTAATATTCTTGACCATTCATTTGATTGAGGTGATTATTTTTGACGTCAGCAACTCCCAAAAAATGTGTTTGCTATTATATATTGATTGCCGGAGAAGAAGCTCTTAAATTTTTAGGTGTTAATAAAAAAACATAAAACCTGGAAAGTTTCTCCAAGGAGATGAGCTAGAAGCCTAGAATATTGTCTTGGTATGTTTTAACAACATGTTAGAATAACTGCGAATCATCATACTCAGCAAATTATGTTGACTTTGATGTTTCTTTATTTAATAAAGAAATTCCACTCGTTCTGCAAACTTCATTACCAAACATTTCACAGTCTTGAGTTTTGGAAATAAGAAGAGAAGATAGCTTTTATATAAGAGAAAATTGGAATTAAAGGATATTTTAATTATATGTTTGGTGATCTATATCTTTTTTTTTTACTTTGAGAGCTTAAAATACAAATATATCCCAACTAATTAAAAACTAGAAATTTTTATTTAAATATACATTTAATAAACAAAATATATAAAATTTAGGGTTTATTGTATGTGAAAAAATTTTTACGTTCTTCTTCTTTTTGCTGAGCCGTTAACCAAATAAGCTCATAGCACTATTTCTAGCAAGAGTGTGATGAACCCTAACTCAAGGTATTTTATTCTACTCTTGTGAAGATTTTGCATTCATATTCAAACTTGTTGTTTCATGAAACTGTTATTTTTCCCTTTAACATTGGTTTGAGAGTGTTCGTTTCGTCTGATTTTGGCCTAACTTTGGCTAGTACGAACCTGCAAACTGGGAACGATCGTTTTTGCTCACAGCCCGATCGATCTTCCGTTTATCGTACGGACTGGTGATCGGAAAACTTGCACAATATATAGGTCGGATCGATCGGTTACACACCGGAACCGATCGGTCTTCATTTTTTTTTTTATTATTCTTATTCTTCATTTGTGTTGCACATCGGAACCGATCGGTTGCACACCGGAACCGATCGATCTACAAATTTCTTATTGTGTTTTTTTTGTTCTTCTGTACCTGAAATCGTCTTCTGTCAATTTTCCACTCAATATAGGTATGGAGAACGAGTTGCCTAGACGTCTGTTTGCTGCAGGAAATGAGCCAGAAGTGGATAAGATAAACAACAGTTGCAGAATGTCGGTTCTGACCAAAATAAAGGCTGCCATGCCAGAAGAGTACAATGAACTGAAGAATGATTCAGTCTTTGCCAATATAGTAGCACTGCATGAAAACAATTTGGGATATTCAGCTCGACTGATACATAGCATGATGTGTAGGCAATTGATTACAGAGAAAAAATATGAGATATGGTGTGTGTTTGGAGGGAGGCCATTGCGATTTTCACTTCAAGAGTTTTATGCAGTAACAGGACTCAAATATAAAGATGAGGATGGGATCAGGGATTCAGAGGAATGGAAAGATGATAATGGATTTTGGAGCAAATTGCTGAAACGCAAGGACAAAATTTCCATCAAGATGTTGCTTGACAATCATCTTCCACGTGTTAAGGTGTGGAATAATATAGACAAAATCAGATTTGTGTATGTCTGTGTAATTGCAGGATTGATATTGGCAAAGCATGAAACAAAAGAAATCCCACACAAATACATTAAGCTGGTAATGGATATTGGTAAAGTTCAGTCTTATCCATGGGTCTTGACGCTTTTGAGTTGCTGGCTGACTCCATCATAGAGGTACAAGGTAGCTTGAAGAAAAAAGGTAGCTATGTTCTGAATGGTTTTTCTTATGCATTTCAAATATGGGTTATGGAAGCAATCCCCAAAATTGGATCCATCTTGGGGAAAAAACTAAATGATGAATACGCGGAAGGTCCTCGCTGTTCGAATTGGACCGGAGCTGCAATAGCATTTTACGATGATATTATTTGCCTGGAGGACAATTTCCAAATGACTGTGAGTATGACTTTACAAAATTCTTATTAATTTTTCCTTAAAACATTTTCAATCAGCTTTAGACTGATGCTTACATTGTTTTACTTTTTTCAACCAGGATGTTATATATCCGTACATCTCTTTTTCTGGAAGTTTGGATTTGTGTGAGTCTTCTGATTTTGCATGGCCTAAAGAAACTAGAGATGCTACGGTTGATTATCTGAAAGCAGTAATCAAATCGGGGAACGGCATGTTTGGGGCAGTGTGGAAACAGTAGAAACCATTAAAAATGCATTTGAGGAAGGCGTAGAGAACAAGGAGAAACTCGAAAATGAGGAACCAATTACTGATGACATTCCAGTTTCTGGTTCGAAAAGAGCTAAGAGAAAGAGTTTTGACGAGGGAGCCGTCAAACGAAAACAGAAAATACTTTGCCAACGAGTTGGAGAAAATCATGGAAGTCTTAATGAAGATTTGAAGTCTTTAGGAATTGAGAGTGTTTTGGAAAGAAAGCACATTTTATTTTTATTTAATCAATCAAAAATGTATTTTTATTGAAGTCTCAATGGCTCTCAAAACACAACAATTGACCCGTTATGGATTGCAGAATTGTTCATTCCTGATGAAGACTCAACTCTTTGTGTAGCTTTTTTGGCCTATCCAAAATAAACAAAATCATCAAATATGTATAGACGAAAACATTTTAAAATGGAACAACAGAGTGATTTTTTCTTTCCTATCTCTTCATCCCAATTTGTAAAGATGGTGACGAGGGAGAGACATGTAACTTGAACAAAGAGTGCACATATTATTCCAAGCCAAAGCCCCTTCAAATTCATTATGAGAATTAATCTTATGTTTAACGTTGAAATTAATTGGTTAATCCCAAAACAAAACAAAACAAAAACTGATTTTGGGTTAATTTAATTTACCCGACCACCAATGTGAAAGTGAAAACCAAGTAACAAGTCTGAAGGAATTCCAACAAAATAATATGATCCAAAATTCACGAATGCTCCTATCTTCTGCCATCCACATCCTCTAGCAATCCCTATTAAACCAAGAAATTCAAAACAAACATAACCGGTAATAACCGGACTTAAACCCCATTCTTGGTAAGAGTGCCTTTTTTTCCCTTTACTTACAAGTAAAGAAAGAAGATAACCTGATAAAACACACTGAAGACTGTCTAGGAAATTGCCTAAGGCGAGAATCGGCATCATCAGGCTACATATGTGACTACTTCCGGTTCACTACTACTTCCAGTTCTCGTAATTACTAGTAATTTCATTAAAATCTCCTATTAAAAACCAAGGTTCATTTCTAGTGATTCATATTCTTGTTAACTTTTTCCATAAGTAATCTCTCTTTTTTTGGAATCGGCTTTCCATAAATAAATGACATAAACATAGTTTTATCGTCAATGGTGAGTTGTGTGTCAATTAAGTTCTTTGAAGAAGGAAGAATGGAAACATTGAAACTATATAATGTTTTTTATATAATGGAACTTGATAAAAAAAAAATGTGTTTCTTAGTAACTTCACTTTGGACAATTGGTGTTTGCAAGGACAATGACGACTAACAAAAACTCACATTTTTAAAAAAACTACTAAAAATGGGATATCAATTTGCAACGTCATGCAAAATCGATCTAAAGCTCCTCCTGTACCACAGAACTTCTGACACGGTCGTACAACACATTGTTTTCGTTTGTATTTTTCAATAAAGACGAGGGTAAAGATACACTCACTCGAGGTGGAGAACAAAAGTCCTTTTCAGTGTGGTTTTCTCCATAAAAGCTTATTAATTATCTACTCCTAGTGCTCATCACCATAGGTTATTTAGATATTTCTTCGCCTCATTCAAAAAAAAATCGTACTATCTTTGTTTAATACTCATTTTTGGAAAAGGCAAAAAAACCTGGTATCAGTTGGGAAATTCATCCAAAAAATGTCGGCACATTTCTTCTTCTCTTTTTTTTTTTTTTTTTTTTTTTTTCTAATGTCGGCACATTTCGCCACACCTACTTTCTCCAATCTCTCCTCCAAAGTTTTTAAAGCGTAGAGAGAAGACTTTTGATCTCTTCCCTCTTTAGTAAGCAATTTCATGATCCAGAAGTGATAAGACTTTTGCTTTGGGGATTCGCTATTTTTTTATTCTTGTTGCACACTTAAAAAAAAAAGCAACCTAGCAACTAGCTATTAGAGGAAACAAGATATCTGAGAAGATTGGAATCAATCATCAACCTAAAATCACTCCATCATATATTTCTCATTCATTGTAAAGATATCTAGTTACCTTTCTCTGTATAGTCTCTGTGTATAAATGTACCTCATCACATATCAATACAATCATCCAATTCCCATTCTCTATACTAACAAGCATGTTGCCAAAGTTCGATCTAACAAACCCAAAAGCTTGCTTGTCACTTCTCGAGGATGTAACTACTAACGCAAAGCAGATCCAAGATTCCGTGTTGGAAGCAATACTCTCACGTAATGCTCAAACCGAGTATCTTAAAGGTTTTCTCAACGGTCAACTCGATAAGCAAAGCTTCAAGAACAACCTACCAGTTGTGACCTACGAAGATTATCGCTCTTATATTGATCGTGTCGCTAATGGAGAGCCCTCTGATCTAATCTGTGATCGTCCCATCATTCTTTTCTTGTCCAGGTACCTTTGAATCTGTGATAGCTAAGTGTTTGGACATGCGTTTGTTAGTCCTCAATAAGTGTATGTTAAACTGAAGTATTGAAATATGCTAAAGAGGAGCGACTGTTTTTGCAGCTCTGGTACTTCAGGAGGAGTTCCAAAGTTGATTCCATTGACAGCAGAGGAGTTGGAACAGAGGCTGTTGTTTGCATATCTCTATGCACCTCTACTCTACAAGTAAGAGTTCCAAACTAGTAAGACGTATCTTGTTTTTTTTGCTGTTGGTTTTTTTTTTTTTTTTTTTTTTCCAAAAACTATACCCTTAGTTGTTACTGCCTGCAGGTACGTAGAAGGGCTTAGTGAAGGGAAAACTCTCATATTTTACTTCGTTACTCGAGAAGGCGAGACTGCATCAGGCTTGATGGTCAGGACTATGGTAACTTGTGTTTTGAAAAGCGTGAATCAGTCCAACTCATTTCATTGGTAAATCATTAAAACCTCTGCTCCCACAAGCTCCTTGGTGTTGCTCTACTGTTTCTTTACTGTGTGTTTTATATGATTTACAGGGATACAAGGCACATAAGCCCGCTTGCGATTTCGACTTGTGCAGACACAACTCAGAGCATGTACTGCCAGTTGCTTTGCGGGCTTCTACAACGAGACCATGTAGCTCGACTTGGTGCAGTTTTTGCTTCTTCTTTCCTCAAAGTAATCAAGTTCTTGGAAGACCACTGGGATGAGTTATGCTCCAACATAAGCACTGGCCGGCTCAACGACTGGATCATTGACGCTCAATGTGTTTCAGGGATCAGTAAGTTCCTCACCGCTCCAAATCCAGAACTAGCGAGCCTAATCGAGCAAGAATGCAAGAAAACATCATGGGAGGCAATAGTGGGGAGACTATGGCCAAATGCAAAATGCATCGAAGCCATTGTGACCGGCTCCATGGCACAGTACATTCCAATGCTGGAATTCTACGGCGGCGGTCTTCCTATAATTTCAGGGAGTTACTTTAGCTCTGAATGTTTCATTGGTTTCAATGCCAATCCTTTGTGCAAGCCTTGTGATGTGTCTTACACTGTCAATCCAAGCATGGCCTACTTCGAGTTCTTAGAGGTCGAGAAAGACCATCAAGAGGCTGGTCATGATCCTACAAAGAAGCCTGCGGTGGTCGATCTTGTCAATGTTCAAATTGGCAATGATTATGAACCTGTTGTTACAACTTTTTTCAGGTAAGTCTTTACTTGAAAATATAAACGTCGATTTACAATATATTTGCAAAGTCTTTGTTAGTGAAAACTAGGCCTCGGACTTTTATATGGAATCTGGACCTGACCCTAAAACAACCCGAACTAAATTCGAGCCGAAATTTTTTTTAAAAAAATGTTATTTATATCTCTAAACCTGCAAAACCAAAACCCTAAAAAAACTTTACAAAACCGAACCAAACCCAAACCGAAATTGAAAAATATCTAAACGTTTTTTATATCTCTAAACTCGAAAACCCGAAACCCGAAAAACCTGACCCCAAACCCGAAGTCCTAAGCCTAGTGAAAACGATTAAAGACAAAATAATTGTTTTCATAGAGCGTGTCAAAAATGTAATAAATGTTGTTTCTCAGAAGGTTTATGCAGGTTGTATGCTATATGATTTTTGTAGGTTTGTATAGGTACCGTATGGGGGATGTTTTAAGAGTGACTGGTTTCTACAACAATGCGCCACAGTTTCGATTCTTGGGAAGACAGAAAGTGATTCTGAGCATTGACACGGAGAAGACCAACGAAGAAGACCTCCTCAAGGCAGTGACAAACGCGAAGCTCTTACTCGAGCCACATAACCTAATGCTCGTAGATTTTACAAGCCGTGTGGATTCCTCCTCGTTTCCAGGACACTACGTGCTCTATTGGGAACTCGGGAGCAAGGTCAAGGACGCAAAGCTCGAGCCCGACCCCAATGTTATGGAAGAATGCTGCTTCACCGTTGAGGAGTCTCTCGACTCCGTGTACAGAAAATTTAGAAAGCATGATAAGAGCATCGGACCGCTTGAGATTAAGGTTGTTAGGCGTGGTGCTTTCGACGAGCTCATGAATTTCTTCCTCTCTCGAGGCTCTTCTGTGAGTCAGTACAAGACGCCAAGGTCGGTGACCAATGATGAAGCTTTGAAGATATTGGAGGCAATGGTTGTTTCCAACTTTATTAGCCGGAAATCTCCGTCGTGGGACGGTGGGATCTAAATGTGAGACTTGAGGCAGAGAGGAAATAATGTAATCGAATACCAAAAACTTTTTCACTACTTTTTTATCTTCTTTATAAAAACTGTATCATCTTGTGTCATGGCTTGTAACGTTTAGTTAGTAATACATAAAAGTATATAATATTTTTTTTTAATAATAATAATCGAATATATGTCCATTACAAAGATTTCGAGTCATGTGAATCGAATTAAAATCAACAAGAAACAACTTTGCACTAAGTTTTAAATCGACATTTGTTTTGGAAGTAAAAAACAAGATCAACAAGTACAAATTTGCAACGTCGATGCATGGTCCGGTTGGACTCTCCCACGTCACGTGGCCACGTCGTTCACATGACTCGAAATGGAGATGGTAATGTTTTTAGCAATGGTTTATGAAAAAGAGTCGTTCTTGTTTTCTTTTTCTTTTTTTTTTCCTGAATTTTGAACTTTACTTCTATCAAACATTGTGTCCAATAAACAACGGATCGTTGGAACAGCGTAGTTCAATTTAATCCCTAATTCAATCATCTCTCTTAACCAATGCGTAGTTCAAGTGGAGATGGTATAAAGACAAAAGGCCATAGGAAAAAAAAAAAAAAAAAAAATTGCAAACTTCATCCTAACAAATGTGGGTCATCTAAAGATGTGATTAACTGAATATGCATCAAATGGTAAGAGAAGAATCTAATGTATCATTTAAACAGAAGCTGAGTCAATGTTGAAACTCGCTTTAGACATAGATTTTAACTCCTTTAACATCACCTCTTTCTCCTCAAGATTGAAGCTTGATGACATCAAGGTGATTCTCACTTCCTTTAAACCCTTTGAGTTTGCAAGAATGTATCTCATGAGCTGTTTCTCTTCTTCACTTCCTCTATAGTCATCCCAAACAAAGAAGCGCAGATGGGACGACAAGCATCTCGGAACAAAACTAAGTTGGTTCCATGACAATGGGGGTTTGCAAGTAAGTAAAGAGAGAGTCGTAGCCAAGGAAATAGAATTGAGAAAATCTTCATGAGCATGACGAAGAACAACGACTTTGATTGGAGCATAGCGAAACACATCCCCCATCGGGTGAGCGTTTGTCCAGTAATCAGTGATGCCGAGGAACACTTTCGATCGATCAAGAACTGAGCAACTCGATAAAAGCTTGGCAAGAGAATCTTTGTCTTTGTATACCACAAAAAAAAAAGACACAATCTTGTGAGAGACGGGAGGCAAGCCGAGGAAGAAACATCCACAAGAATCTTGTGAGAAAGAGTCAATTCCAAAAGTGTTTTGCAGTTGTAAAAGCTCTTAGCTAGGCAAGCTTGTAACATCCTCTATGGTCCAGAGAAGCTCCAGGTATACCTCGCGCACAAAGCGGTCTACTGCATTTGAAACCAATTTTTCAATAACATGTCAAATATCATAATGACGTTTTTGACCGAGTTTGATACGCAAAGTTTCTAATAAAGGTGCCTTGTGAAGTTCCAATGACTTCGATCGATTTGATAATAACTCCGTCTCAGATATACAAAAAAACTAAACTATTTTCGGACGGCAAGTTATAGTTCTAAATGTGTAAGCTATAGATAATGGAAGGGCCTATTTATAAAATATGAAAAGTATCAGCATAAACCCTAAAGCCTCAATATTTATTTTGTATAAAACGCAGTCACAGAGCTTCAACAATCGCCACCCGCACATCTCTTTCATTTTCGCCTTCGATTTTCTTCATCTCTCGTCTTTCGTTCAGTCTCCTAGCAAAAATGAGGCCTCCCCTTACTGGTAAGAACCCTAAAGGCTCTGTTTTTCTTCTTCCGTCCAGCTCAAAAAAAGTTTTTTGTTGAAGTCGAATTCGTTACGTTGCGATATCTGTAGCTAAATTGATTTTAAGGCTCTGTTTTTCTTCTTCTGTCCAGCTCTAAATTTGATTTGTTGAATTAGATTTCGTTTCGTTGCGATATATGTAGTTCAATTGATTTCAAGTCTCAAAAAGCCTCTGTTCTTGACTCTTATTGCCTCTTCACTGCTAGAATCTAATTTTGAAAACGAAAGTTGAGATTTTTAAATTACGTGATCTTCTTCTTCTGATTGGTTAATTTCGCGGTTTATTAGGCGGACGTGGTGGCGGTGGATTCAGAGGTGGAAGAGATGGTGGCGGTGGATTCAGAGGTGGACGAGATGGAGGCGGCGGAGGATTTAGGGGTGGAAGAGGTTTCGGTGGAGGGCGTGGAGGAAGTGCGATGAGAGGACGCGGCGGAGGACGTGGTGACCGAGGTCGTGGTGGTGGACGCGGCGGAAGAGGAGGAGGACGTGGAGGAATGAAGGGAGGAAGCAAAGTGATTGTGGAGCCACACAGACACGCCGGAGTGTTCATTGCCAAGGGTAAAGAAGACGCTCTTGTCACTAAGAACTTGGTTCCTGGTGAAGCCGTTTACAACGAGAAGAGAATCTCTGTTCAGAACGAAGATGGAACTAAGATTGAATACAGAGTTTGGAACCCCTTTAGATCCAAGCTAGCTGCTGCTATTCTCGGTGGTGTTGATAACATTTGGATCGTAAGTCGAATTCACACCTAAAGTTTGGTGCTTTTTATCTTTCTCTTAATTGAAATTGATATATTTGGGGAACTTATGTAGAAACCCGGTGCCAAAGTTCTTTACCTTGGAGCTGCTTCTGGAACAACTGTTTCTCATGTCTCTGATCTTGTTGGACCTGTAAGTTAAAAAGTCTTCCCTTTGGATCAGTTATAATTAGTTCTCAGTTACTTTCTTGTTTTACGTTTGTGACGTTTGATTGTTTTGTAGGACGGATGTGTTTATGCCGTTGAGTTTTCTCATAGAAGTGGTAGAGATTTGGTGAACATGGCGAAGAAGAGGACTAATGTTATACCAATCATTGAAGATGCTAGACACCCTGCAAAGTACAGAATGCTTGTGAGCATGGTTGATGTTATATTCTCTGATGTTGCTCAACCTGATCAGGTTTGCTTCTTTAGTTTTTCTCCTTTATATTTTCGTTGCATGTTTTGCTTTTTTTGTAAAAACACATTAAAATCGGCAAATGATGATTTTACTTGGATTCCCCTTCAGAACATTATTTGAGGTGTTGCAAACTCCAAGCTTCTGATGCCTACTTTGAATCTTTTTTTACATTTGTTTTCAGTCACCAAGATTGGCTGTGTCACTTGCAAATCTGTTTTTAACCAGTCTTATATTTCTCTTCATTGTACACATGTTTTTTCATTTTAAAAGAATCTTTTTAACATGATTTTTCTGCATTTAACTCACTTCCTCGTTTACATGATTCATTTTGCAAAGTTTTTGGAATTGGAATTTGAAAATATTTTGTTGAATAAATCTATCGACTCTTGTGTGGTAAGCAGTAGTGAGGAGCTTGCAGATATCTCAAGAGATCTGCAATATCTTCTCTTGGCTTGGCTATTCTTTCAGTTTTCTCTGCTGTGCTTTTTCTTGATTAAAACCCATTTTATTAAAATTCTTGAAGGCAAGAATCGTAGCTCTGAATGCCTCGTTTTTCCTCAAAACTGGAGGACACTTTGTTATCTCAATCAAGGTCAGTACTTTCCTCTATTTCTCCTCACAACCTCGAATTAAACTTTAGAATGCTCAATTTGTTTGACTAATCAAACCTTGTCTTCTTCTTCTCTTCAGGCGAACTGTATAGACTCTACGGTTCCAGCAGAAGCAGTGTTCCAGAGCGAGGTGAAGAAGCTGCAGCAGGAGCAGTTTAGGCCAGCAGAACAAGTGACTCTTGAGCCGTTTGAGCGTGACCATGCCTGTGTTGTTGGCAGCTACCGTGCGCCCAAGAAACAAAAGGCTGCTGCTACATAGAAAGATATGTGTTGCTGTGATTGTGGATCAGTGTGACCAAACCGCAGTGGGTTTTGTTTGGTTTGTCATTGTAGTATTAAAGCTAAAGATTGATGTGCTTATAAGCCTTGTGTTTGGATACTGCTTTTGATAAAGAAGCACTTACATTAAATTATGTGACATTTTTATAAAAACATCGTTGAGCGTGTTTCGTTAATTACTCGTCTCCCCGATTACTCCAATCACTCTTTCAAGAAGCAAGAACAGAGCAAGAAAGTAATAGAACTGAAAGAAGACAGCATTCGTGAGTTTATAGATGAGTACAAGTAATAATTCCCTAAGACAACTAGTGTTGCAAGTGCACAACATATAATTGTAGTATTTAGGGGTCGAACCACAAGGGATTGGATTTCACACATTACATAATCATAGAGTTTAAATGACTAAGCTAAATCAAAAGATGCAAGGGTTTGTGTTTGTTTAGAACACGCAAAAGAAATAACAATGCAATTCTATACAAGCAACATTATTGAACTATTGAAAACTCTTTTGAAAACATGAGCCAAGTCGATTGAAAAGTTTGTTAAAATCCGATTCTTTTGAACTCAAAACACTAAGGAAGGATTATTCCACTTTCGTGGTTCCAATCCCCTATGTCTCTTAAACCAATGGGCTCAGCTTTCGTTGGTCATTGTAGAGTGAGACATGCATTACATCCAAGTAATGATTGTTCACAAAACTCTTTAGGTCTACTTTCGTAGCCTAAAACGATTTGCCCATCAAATATTGTGTCCGGAGATATAACAAGCTTTTGGAGAGTATATCAACCTAAAATCAAGTCACTAGTTAGCTACTCTAGCAACAAGCATTAAGCATAAATAAAGATGGAGAACCATAGGGTTTCCCCTTTTAACAATCGATTTTCAAGATGGCCATTATATCACGTCCTCATTGGAAGGATCCATAATTCAACAATGAGTCTTAGATAGTAGATGAAGTCTCATGAATCCTTAGAGAGAGAGGCGGCGGAATATAGACTAAACCACGCCTCACCCTTAGGGAGAAATCTCTACTTCTAGACTATATAAATTGAAACATGCAAGCTATATACAAATGCAAAAGAAGAAAAGAAAGAAGAAGGAGACCACCTAAGTGGCTCCGAACTTTATTGAATAAGTGTTTCTTGTTATGCGGCTGGTGATTCTTATTACAAGAGGCTAAAAGCAAGTATATATAGGTAGAGAGCGGGTCTAGGTCGGCAAAGTTGAGCGCGCGCAGAAGAGGAAAGTTTCCATTTCTCTTTAGCCGCTTGAGCTTGCTCTCCAAGTTCTTGAATGGGCCGCGTTCAGGCCAATGGAAGCTTCTGGATTGAGTTATGCTAGTGTCAAGATGAGCCAAGGCCTTGGGCGCGGTATCTCGGGCCTCTTGATCCATCAAAGTCTCCATGGGCTCTACTTAGGCGCTCGTCGGACATGTCTTGGTAGAAAATAAGTTCCGGTCCAACGAGTGATCCAAATGACCTCTTTCCACTTCGCCGCGGGTCATGACTCAAATATCTATCTTTCCATATAAGAATCATGACTTTTGGACGTCGGGAAGGCATGAATATGCGGTCGTACTTCGGATGCTCCGGTTTGGTCTTTAGCGAGAAATGTAGATTTGGTGCTCTAGACTTGGGAACTTGGTGATTTGACTCTTTTTGCTCCATTTTGACTCTTCTTTGCTATTTTGACCTGAATGATGCTCAAAACCAGAATATACAAGAAAACTACCTCTTGGGCTTAAAAACCACATTATTTGTATTAAAAACATAGTGAAAACCTTGATAAAAACATGAAAGATATGGGTATATCAACTCCCCCAGACTTAGCCTTTTGCTTGTCCCCAAGCAAACTAAGAGAGGAAGAGAGGTTTGAAAACGCAAGAACTCTCAAATCATTAGGAAATCCGGGTTGGCTTGGTTTTAGTAATCCACATGAAAGTAGTAAAGGCAAATATTTGAATTAAGAACAAGAGTACATACCATGAGTTTTGCGATTTTTCCAAGGCGGCCCACCTCTCTTTGGACAATCCAATTCACCCTCCTTGACTCCTTTCATTTCTAAAGGTGTGGTCTCAACTAGGGAGTATCGATCAGCCGGCTTTAGACTCTTACTCATCCCCTTGTTTTGGCACTTGTCTTTTTACTCCATGTTTCTCCTCTCTCTCTTCTCACTTCTTTGAGTTGATTCATCCCTTTTTTAGGGTAGCGAAGTATTTTTTTATTCAACTCCTTCTCTTTATTATAGAGGTTTTGCTTGGATCTTCCACAGACGCGAGTATTGATGGTGTTTGCCACCGAATCCCCGGTTGCTTGGATTCATAGGCCTTCCATAGACGCGAGTATTGATGGTGTTTGCCACCGAATCCCCGGTTACTTGGACCTTACGCTTTTTCTTTAAATTTGAAGGGGAGAGAGAGGGAAGCACGAACTCACTAAGACTTTTTCATTTGATGGAGAGGATGAGGAATCATGCCATTTGTATGCCAAGCCCCTAGCTGAGAAGATTAAGTTCATTAAGGGCGGAGTCAAGAGTGGATCCTTCTCAAGTCCTTGGAGGTGTGGGCGTTTTTGGTAGATCGATCAACTCATAGTGTCCCTGTGGTAAGATGTATTGCCAAGACTGCTTCAATGGTCACTTAAACGTTAGCACAACAATGGTTAGATCCAAGATAAGGTCATAATCCTTTGACAAAATTTTGACTCAATAAAACGACTCAATGAAATTCAAAAAGAACAAACTTGTTAGTAATCCCCCCAGACTTAACTTGCACCGTCTCGGTGTAAGAAAAATCCAATTAAGAGAGGTAATGATAAATAGAATGGAAAAGTTAGAGTTTGTAGAAAATTGTACCCAAATTTTTGGCCTTTGATGTGAAGATCGGTTGTGCATTGAGTTGCTTCCAGGAATGAACTGACTGGTGCAAACATCATAGCTGTTGGATTTGGTTGGATGAATGTGACAATTCTCCCTTGGTTTTCTGTTTTTCGCCTTTTTGGCCGAGACTGGTCCGTTTTGGTCGACCGGATGGTGATGGTATGGACTACAGCTCGAACCGTGAAGATTTCCTCGACCTATCTTGAAATTTCGTCGACCAATATTGTATAATATGGCGACTGGTGAAGTTTGGGGTCGTTTGAACGAGTGGTTTGAGATCTCCTTTGAAAAATTTTCAAATTGGCTCCGGGAACGTCTTCCTTCGGTCTTCTCCAATTCTGCTCGTTCCAATCTGGATTTTCTTCTTTAGATGCGATGTGGATGCTTGATTGAGGTGATTTGAGCCGGTGGCCGCGGTAAATGCCGTGATTTGGATTGTCGGCCATTTTACTTGCTCGCGATCGGCCAAATTTCACTCCATCGGCCATCTCTTGAATTGTAAGGAATTCATTGTACTGAAATGAAATTTCATCGACCAACCTTATGTTTTGTGGCTCCTTGTGAAGTTTGAGGCGATTTGAACGTGTGTGATTCGGAGATCTTTCGTTGTGCGCGCCAATGGCTCGGGATGTGATTCCTTTGGCCATCTTGTATTCTGTTCGATCGTCTCCTTCCTTTCTTCTTCCTTGGTGTTTTTTGGACTCCAGAGGATCAGTTTCCACCGGTGTTCGCGCCTTCTTGAGGTTTTGAGTTCGTCGGCCATTCTATGCATCGCCGTCGGCCGTATTGAGCTTCCTTCGTCTATCTCACGTAGCAGGCACTTTTCTCGTCCTATCTTTTGGATTTGCCGACCAAAATGATGTTTTGAGGTCGCCTGTGAAGTTTGGTGGACTTCGGTCGTGCCGTTTGGGAGATGGTCGAGCATTGTCGCTTGGTTCGTCGATTCTGGCCGAGAGAGTGGTTGTGATGTGATATCTCCTTTTTACTCGGGCCAATTGAGTTCTGCTTCGACCGAACTGTTTTTCTATCCCTCCTGGATTGAATTGTGGTTGGATTTCCCTCATCTCTCATGTTTGGCATGTAAATCCTCCTTTGGCCGGTTGTGGCTTCCTTGCGCGCCATGTTTGTTGATATTTTGAACCGGTTTCCTGTCATTTTATATCTGAAAAACACTAGTAACTTTTGTTAAACTCTGTCAATGATTGAGTTGTTCAAAATAGTTTGAACTTCCCAATCAAAGACTTGATCGTGAAACCATATGTACTTGTGATCTTGATCAGAAATCCAAGTAGTGTGTATGGTTTAATTTGATAGAAATAGTGTTTAAAAGAAATGACATAAGAATGGAAGTGATACTTACCTTTGCCTTGTGCAATAGTGTTCCAATGGCCGGATTTTATTGTGCCGTGGCCCTTCTTGGACTTCTTTGCTTCTTGAAACATGGGTGGGACTTGGGTGGGACTCAAACTAGACTCAATGCTTCATACTTAGACCAAAGATGGTTAATCTTGGGTCGTCGTGGCGATGTAGCTTTCCAATGCATTTTTCATGTAGACCTCCTTTTTGGTACTTTTTCCTAAAACACTTTTTATTTTATTTTTGTAAAATTTATTAAACTCTCAAAAATTTAAGAGTTATAAATAGAACAAATAAGTAGTTATAAATAAAAAAATAAAAAGAGGAAGGGATAAGAAAATGTGGGTTGCCTCCCACAAGCGCTTGTTTTAAGTCTTTGTAGCTCGACTCCTTTGTGTTCTTAGTTAGGTAGGATTGGTGGCTCCAAGAACTTCCTGTTGCCTGATGATTCCAAGTGCATCTTGTCCTGTAGAACTTCCTTGATCAAGTAGCCATGCGACTCTCCTCTTACTTGTGAGCACTCTCCTCCACTTGTGTAGCGAAATCGCTTGGATGAGAAACCGGGAGGTGCAGCATCGTAGAAGGTGTCCTTGTCAACATTGGCTAGAGAGATTCTTCTATTAGGCCAATCCATGATCGCTCCAGCTGTGGCTAGGAATGATCTTCCAAGCAAAAGCTTTAAGTCCTCCGGATCCTTCATGGTTACTACATAGAAGTTGGCTGGAACTATGCAGCCTCCAAAATCAAGCTGAATGTCTTTAACCTCTCCAAGTGGTTCGGTCAATGATGAATCAGCTAGCTTTAAATCCATTCGAGATTTCACAATTGAATTGATCAATCCCAACTTCTTGGCTATCTCGGCCGGCATAAGGTTCACACTAGAACCGGAATCGCAAAGAGCATCATCAAAGTAGCTTCCATTGATAGAGAAATGTATAAGGAAGTAACCTGGGTCATGAAGCTTGTGTAGAAACCTAGGTTTAGGCATCCCCTTTCTTGCTTCCTCGTACATCTTTTCCAATTCAGCTAGACTCCAATCTTGTGTCCAAGCTAGGTCTTGCATGAATGGACTCTTGTTGCAAGCATTATCAAACGGCACACCATAAGGGAATCTCCTCGCCATAAAGTTGAAATCATCTATGATCTCTTCAAGTGATGATCTTGTCTTCCTCTTCTCCTTGGTGGGAGGCGGTTGTGAAGACCTTTGAGTAAGGGTTCTTCCTTTTGGTGCTATCTTCTCTCTTGTTCCAGTGGTTAGCCTTCGTGGCTCTTTCTTGATCAGCTCTACTCTCTTCTTCATCCCAAATCACTCTTGGGTCGGTCTCTCTTATAGTAAAGACGGGCGCGGCATAGTTTTGCTTAGGAACGGTCGTCTTTGTCTCGGTCAAGACCTTCTCTTCCAAGTTGGCTAAGCGAGTGGTTAAATCCTTGACTTCCTTGGAGACTCCATCTACTTTGTCTTCAAGCCCTCTAGCTCTTCTTTGAATATCTTGGCTCCTCTTGTCTAGAGAGATGTGTAAATCTCGGATTTGTGCCTTCACTTGTTTTTGCCCTTCCACCAATGTAAGCATTGTCGAGTAACATTGCCTCTCCTTTAGTTACTTCGGCTACCTCCCTCTTAGCTTGATGAGCTACTGCTGTTATTGAATTGAGACTCTTGGTGGTGCCATCGAGGTTGTTATCAAGACTTGAGATCTTCTCATCTAAGTGATTATCCATCTCCTTGGTAGAAACTTTGGTAAAGTGTATCGCTCTCCTATTGTCTTCAATGGCCTCGCCTTGCTTCTTCAAATCTTCCTCCATGTCCAAGCATCTTGACTCTACTCTCTCTATTTGGGTAGAGAGTTCTCCAAGTCTTCCATCTAGTTCGTATCGCGTGAACTCTAGCTTTGTCTCAATGTCGCGGCTAGTTCTTCTTTGGCTCTCCATGAAACCCTCAAGCACGGCATCGAAATGGCTATCTCTCCGCCTATTGAGAACATGGTCGTGGTGTGAATGCAACACTGGTCTAGGTGGTTGATGATAAACCGGAGGTCGGTTTTGATGATGATGGTAATGATGCTCGTCTCGGCTAGGTCCTTCAAACGTCGGATGAGCGCGGTTGGGAGGGAACGGATGTGGCACGATGCTTACGGCTGGGTCTTGGTAACTCCGGCCGTGGAGATCGTGTGGGATCAGTGTCCGGTTCCCAAAGTGGATGTTGGTGTTGTGATTCATCTCCAAGTACCTATAAACACAAGATTTAAAAAGAAAAAGTTAGTATTCGAAAATACCAAGATCTAGACTTAGTTTTAAACAAGACTATGCAAGTGTTTATGATGCAATCCCCGGCAACGGCGCCAAAAACTTGATGCGCTGCATCTATGGGATGAGTACAAGTAATAATTCCCTAAGACAACTAGTGTTGCAAGTGCACAACATATAATTGTAGTATTTAGGGGTCGAACCACAAGGGATTGGATTTCACACATTACATAATCATAGAGTTTAAATGACTAAGCTAAATCAAAAGATGCAAGGGTTTGTGTTTGTTTAGAACACGCAAAAGCAAATAACAATGCAATTCTATACAAGCAACATTATTGAACTATTGAAAACTCTTTTGAAAACATGAGCCAAGTCGATTGAAAAGTTTGTTAAAATCCGATTCTTTTGAACTCAAAACACTAAGGAAGGATTATTCCACTTTCGTGGTTCCAATCCCCTATGTCTCTTAAACCAATGGGCTCAGCTTTCGTTGGTCATTGTAGAGTGAGACATGCATTACATCCAAGTAATGATTGTTCACAAAACTCTTTAGGTCTACTTTCGTAGCCTAAAACGATTTGCCCATCAAATATTGTGTCCGGAGATATAACAAGCTTTTGGAGAGTATATCAACCTAAAATCAAGTCACTAGTTAGCTACTCTAGCAACAAGCATTAAGCATAAATAAAGATGGAGAACCATAGGGTTTCCCCTTTTAACAATCGATTCAAGATGGCCATTATATCACGTCCTCATTGGAAGGATCCATAATTCAACAATGAGTCTTAGATAGTAGATGAAGTCTCATGAATCCTTAGAGAGAGAGGCGGCGGAATATAGACTAAACCGCCTCACCCTTAGGGAGAAATCTCTACTTCTAGACTATATAAATTGAAACATGCAAGCTATATACAAATGCAAAAGAAGAAAAGAAAGAAGAAGGAGACCACCTAAGTGGCTCCGAACTTTATTGAATAAGTGTTTCTTGTTATGCGGCTGGTGATTCTTATTACAAGAGGCTAAAAGCAAGTATATATAGGTAGAGAGCGGGTCTAGGTCGGCAAAGTTGAGCGCGCGCAGAAGAGGAAAGTTTCCATTTCTCTTTAGCCGCTTGAGCTTGCTCTCCAAGTTCTTGAATGGGCCGCGTTCAGGCCAATGGAAGCTTCTGGATTGAGTTATGCTAGTGTCAAGATGAGCCAAGGCCTTGGGCGCGGTATCTCGGGCCTCTTGATCCATCAAAGTCTCCATGGGCTCTACTTAGGCGCTCGTCGGACATGTCTTGGTAGAAAATAAGTTCCGGTCCAACGAGTGATCCAAATGACCTCTTTCCACTTCGCCGCGGGTCATGACTCAAATATCTATCTTTCCATATAAGAAACATGACTTTTGGACGTCGGGAAGGCATGAATATGCGGTCGTACTTCGGATGCTCCGGTTTGGTCTTTAGCGAGAAATGTAGATTTGGTGCTCTAGACTTGGGAACTTGGTGATTTGACTCTTTTTGCTCCATTTTGACTCTTCTTTGCTATTTTGACCTGAATGATGCTCAAAACCAGAATATACAAGAAAACTACCTCTTGGGCTTAAAAACCACATTATTTGTATTAAAAACATAGTGAAAACCTTGATAAAAACATGAAAGATATGGGTATATCAACGCTCATCACTCACCAGAGCCTTACTTCTTGGCAAGATTCGACAATGAAGAATGCAAGCTCTTTCACAATCCAGAGAATCTCGTGGACGATGATCAGAACTTTTGCTTACAACGACCCAACGGACTCTGTTCTTGATCTCTAAATACAGTAGCACTAAACCGGAGTTACACAAGAAACTAACCGACACTAATTAGTACCTAACCAACACCGGATACAATTAGAATCGATTATCGATATCCTCTAAGTCCGACAGAGTCTTTGCCATATATTCTGAGTTTACCCGAAGTTGTAACCCTTTCTTTGAAACCATGCATTTAAACACACATTAGTGGGGTCCGTGGGTCACAAGCAACTTGGTTTTAATCGGAAGAGAAATAGAAGTATTATTACAATTCCAATATAAATACAGTATAAACCTTCTTACAACCCTACGAACTTGTCTATAAAAACCATACACAGAGTCTGCAACAAAGCTTTCTGTTTTGTTTCATTGTCTTTATTCTTTAACAAGTTCCTTCTCTCTCGCTCTATAGCCAAAGATGAGACCTCCCGTAAGAGGTAAAGAACCCTAAATCCCGTTTTACTTGTTACTTGTTTCAGAATCCAGAGTAACTCTGTTTGACCTAAACTCAGTGTATCACAATATCTCTAGCTGAACTGATTGTTAGCCCTAGACTGCTTTGACTCTTCCTTGCTTCAGTCCAATAGTTTAATGGGAGATTTAAATAATACCCTCTTCTGATTATTATATCTTCGGTCTATGCTCAGGACATGGCGGTTATGGTGATGGTGGCGGCCGTGGTGGTTATGGTGATGGTGGTGGTCGTGGAAGAGGCCGCGGAAGAGGTGAAGGAAGTTTCGGAAGAGGACGCGGAAGAGGCCGTGGAGCCCCTAGAAGAGGGCAAGGAGGGCCAAGAAGAGGAGGTCCTCCCGGAAGAGGAGGTCCTGGAATCAAGGGAGGGAGCAAAGTGATTGTGGAGCCACACAGACACGCAGCAGTGTTCATGGCTAAGGGCAAAGCCGAAGCTCTTGTCACTAAGAACTTGGTTCCTGGTGAAGCCGTTTACGGCGAGAAGAGGATCTCTGTTCAGAACGAAGATGGAACTAAAGTTGAATACAGAGTTTGGAACCCTTTTCGATCTAAGATAGCTGCTGCTATTCACGATGGTATTGATAACCTTTGGATCGTAAGTACCATATTCTTTACGCATCATCAAGTTAACAAAATCTTTCTTTTTTTTTCTTTTTCTTTGCGGATATTGAAAGAATTGGTTTCTTGAACATTTTAGAGACCTGGTGTTAAAGTTCTTTACCTTGGAGCTGCTTCTGGAACCACTGTATCTCATGTCTCTGATATTGTTGGACCTGTAAGTTAAAACCCTAAAACCCTTCTGATTTAAATAACTTTTCTCTTTTAACATTTGCGTTTGGTTGTTTGTAGGAGGGATGTGTTTATGCCGTTGAGTTTTCTCATAGAAGTGGTAGAGATTTGGTGAACATGGCGCAGAAGAGACCTAATGTTATACCAATCATTGAAGATGCTAGACATCCTTCTAGGTACAGAATGATTGTGAGCATGGTTGATGTCATATTCTCTGATGTTGCTCAACCTGATCAGGTTTGATCTTTACCTTATTTCTTGCTTCACAAGTTATAAAAATTATTTCTTGATATTTTCTTGTCATTAAGCCTTTCGAATAATCATCTTCATCATGTCCATGTTAAGTCACTTATGTGTTACCTTGCAAACATTTCAGGCTAGAATATTAGCTCTCAATGCATCTTTCTTCCTCAAAACCGGAGGTCACTTCATGATCTCTATAAAGGTCAGTAACAAGAAAAACTTCAACACACTGACTGATTCAAATCAAATCACGTCTCTTGCATTGTTTGTTTAACTAGAAGTTTTTATCTTTCAGGCGAGTTGTATAGACTCAACGGTACCAGCAGAAGCAGTGTTTTCAAGCGAAGTGAAGAAACTGCAACAGGAGGACTTTAAACCAGCTGAGCAAGTGACTCTGGAGCCTTTTGAGCGAGACCATGCTTGTGTTATTGGTGGATATCGCATGCCTAAGAAGAAGAAAGCTGCTACGGCTGCTTAAGAAACCTAATCTATTTACTAGATATCGTAATTAGCATGAGATTTTTTCACACACCTTGTTTGAGGCTTATTAGGTGTTTTAAAGCTTTTTGTGTTCAGGTTTACTTCTGATCTCCAGAAGTGGAGTTTTTGTTAGAAACGCCAATACATCTTGAGTTAGATATTTAATTTATGTTTGGTTTTGGTGAATAGAACTTACTTTGATGACTTCACATTGAGTTGTTTTCTGAGATGATTTGTGATTTTATAAGTTTGTTATCGATTACAGTATATGATTGTCTGGAAGTTTACATTCGAATCAGCAAACAGGACGTAAAAAAATTGCTGTTTACCTGTCTAATATATTGACCAATAAAAAGTCTCAGAGAAAATAAAAAATAAAATGTCAGGAGTGGGATTTGAACACACGCCCTCTTACGAGAACCAGAACTTGAATCTGGCGCCTTAGACCACTCGGCCACCCTGACTTGTTGTTCATTATTTATAAAAATCATAGTCATATTATAAACATAAAGTGTCAGAAATGACAGGTGAATTGGTTACTGATTATCGTCAGTTAATAACTTCAGTAGGCCTACTTAAGGCCCACAAACTAAATCCTCGTAGGCAAAATAAATATTCCCAAACAAAACAAAAAACACAAGAACAACAAATGTTAGTGACGAACTTTGAGTTTAATAAAATTCAATCCATAAAGCACTGACAGTTGTGACATTGTTGGAATATTTTTCCTGTCTAAGAAAAACAAATTGAACAGGTTCCCTATTTATAAATAAAATAAAATAAACTAATAGGAATACAAAATCCGCTAAATTTGGTTCAGAAAATCATTTTACTTTTAAACTTATGAGTAGGGTTTTGTTTAATAGCTAAAATGTGAAACTGGAAGAAAACTTTTTTCATAAAGTTATGCTCCACATTAGCATATTACTACTCTATTATAGGTTTATTACTGTACCACTGACAAGAAAAGAGAACAGAAAATAATGGTTGGAGGCATGGAAACAAATGCAAAAGAAATAAAACAAGAAAATCGAATGCAAAATGTGTGGATTTCGTGTGGCGAGTGGCGACGGTAAGCTTCTATCAACTCCATCATCGAGAAGCGCGTGGCTTTCGTTACCCTACATTTTCCTTTACATATTTTTCAAGTTATTCAATTTTTCTTTTTCATTTATAACATTTTCTTTTTTGGGTTAACACATGTAACATGTTCACCAATTAGTTGTTCTACAAAGAAAGCTAACAATTTGGTAAATTTAGAAAGAGAACGAGAACTAACCGTCATAAATTCCATAGCATACCGTCCAAAGTCCAAACTGACTAAATCTTCTCTTGATTTCTCGTTTTGCAAAAAGAAGAACTTAGGAGAAAACTGAAAAAGTATTCATTATCGAACTATTAAGTACATGCAATACATTGACAAATAAGAGAGTACAAAACAAAAATTAAATATGTCGCCTGATTTACTATATTTTCACGCCAAAGTTAAGCAGACACACAAAAATAATGTTGATCCGATCCAAATGATCAAATGTTTTAGTGGAATATAACATTTGTTTATTCTTAAGTCTAAAACAATATATTCGCACCATATCAATTCTTAAAATCAAAATAATATATACTACTTTTTAGTTTCTAATATTACGGCTTAACTTGTGACACTTAAAAGATTAAAATAAATGAAAAGGAAAGGAATAAAAAGGAACAAAATATAGAGAACTCATTATATTAAAAGAGAAAACACTAACTAAATAACCTTTGTCTAATGTGTTATTAACAAGAATGTCATTGCTTAGGTGTCATCACTAGGTTCACTCTTAGAGCAATTTCTAATTAAGACAAGCTTTACTAGACAAATTACAATATATGCCATTGCATATTATGCTTACAACCAAATAATGAAATTAAATTTATCATTCTCTTTCCTTAATTGGCAACTACGAAAATTAGTAAATAAGGAAGATATGAGATTCAATTTAATTCATCATAATAATTTCTTTTAAAATCAGTACATCTTCTATCATCTTTGTTTAAATTTATTTAATAAAATAATTTGAATCACAATATAAAAAATCTATCAAAAAAAATCTAAAACTTTTTCTGTACATGTTATGATTTGAATTTTTAAAAACAAAATAATATAAATTGTTTCGTATATAACCTCATTTAGTAGGTATCCAAATGTAATTTTTTTTTCATTTAATATGGTTTTTTAATTAAAATCTATAATAAATCGAATAAAAAAAGTTCTTTTTATAAATATTTTATTTTGATTAAACTTTTGAATATTACTCTATCTGTTTCAACTTTCTATACAAAATTAATTATATTTTTGCTGTTTTGACAATTTGGATTCTGCATATTATTTTCTGATTGGTTGGATTGTTTTGAAATTATAATAAAGCATGTTTTAGTTTTGAAAGAAAGAAAAAAATTAGTTCTAATCCGTGTCCACACAGCTAAAACTTTTTATCTTATGAAATACATGATGTATAATTTTTCTAAAGAATAATGTTTTATTTTCAATTTTTTTTCTTTAAACTATCTTATTATATTATAGTTATTTGAGTTTTATGTATCTCGGTTAAATCTATCATATTTAATCTGTGGTTACGATCAATGCTTTAATTTATTTTTTTTTTTAAATGGATTAAAATGCCTAATTTTCATACTATAAACGAATAACAAAGATTAAAAATCTCTCGCATAAAATGTCGAAATATTTAAATAAAAATTTTTAATAAAAATACAAATTCAGAAACTATCACCCCGTGCTGGCACGGGTCAAACCCTATTAAGAGAGTACAAAACAAAAATTAAATATGTCGCCTGATTTACTATATTTTCACGCCAAAGTTAAGCAGACACACAAAAATAATGTTGATCCGATCCAAATGATCAAATGTTTTAGTGGAATATAACATTTGTTTATTCTTAAGTCTAAAACAATATATTCGCACCATATCAATTCTTAAAATCAAAATAATATATACTACTTTTTAGTTTCTAATATTACGGCTTAACTTGTGACATTTAAAGGATTAAAATAAATGAAAAGGAAAGGAATGAAGAGGAACAAAATATAGAGAATTCATTCTTTCTCATTTTTTATAAAAAAAAAATTAACACTAAAATTCCTTAATCAATATGAAATGAGGGGGAATAATATGAGATACACGTCCCTTATGAATCGTGTAATTTTTAAAGAATGAGAATAAACTTTTTTATTTTTCTTCATTATTTGGTCACCGGTTAGAGCCTACATATTAGTTCCATTTTGTGATTAGTAATAAAAAAACAGTATAACTTTTTACGTTGTGATTAGATCGTTAGAGACCACCAAACCGTCAGAGCATCTATATCGCTCATCCTCATCTATAGACTCTTTAAATATTTTTTATTAATAAAATATGATTTTCGAGGTACAATTTAAAAAAAAAAAATCAACCCAATTGGATGATGACACATGGCAGAATTCTTTCTAGAATCGACTCCAAAACTGTCTTTTGCAAAGTATATTCTCTAAATTTTTCATGCCACATCACTATTGTTTATTTTGTTTCTTTTTTTTTAAATTGTAGAACCTCAATAGAGATGAGCTATACAATGCTCTCAAATTTAACTTGGTTTTTTTTGTTTACTTTCATTTTTTTTACTGATTTGTATTTTTAAGTTCTAAGTAATAACCATTTTGTTACTACCATTTAATTTAGGTACCTAGTTTTAACACCTGACTTTGATTTTATTAATTTGTGGTATATTAAAAAGAAAGGAGAATATTGAATATTTTATATGGAAAAAAAAACATGAACATATATAGTTTCATGAACATATATGACCGAATAATCAAATGATTATAACCGGTAATTCTCGATTAGTATGAATAGTCGACCACCAAATCAGGACCTACTATCACTTGGTCAACTTACTTTAGAGTTTCTTTTAGCCACTCTGTGTACTCTGTGATTTATATATTGTATCCCCTTACAAAAAGTACCCTTGCATTTATCTAATAATCATATCATCTAACCATTATTGTTTTAACAAAAAAAAAATGTACAAAAATAACTTTTAACTTCAATATTCGAACTTGGATATTTGGAACAAAAATTTATTGCCATCTGTGGTTTGCTCTTTTGGGTGATAGACCCAAAATCTACGTGGTTTTCTTAGAACCAAACAAATTTACTCTCTTTTTTTTTATAAAGGATTTAAACCAAAACAAATTTAATCATAGTTTTCCCACATATCTTAACCAACCAATATTAAGTTAACAATGCACCAAGAAGATTACGTAATACACAAAATCAACTAATAAAGCTGGAACTCCTTTTGAACAGGGAAAAATGGTTGGAACTCCGGATTTGTGTTAATAACTTAATATATATGGTGGAGAAAAGTCGAGTTAGGCAAGGCATAAGTAGGACACGTGGTGATAAAACTATTCATAATCATATATACTATGTAAAATTAAGAAACTACTAAAGAAATAAGCTAAAGTAGTCAAGCTTTAAAAAAAATAAAAATAAAAATAAAAGAGATTAAGGTGGAAAGTATTTTGGATGATATATTGCTAAGCGAAATTTTACTCATTAGGGTTTTGCCTTCACGCAACCTACCAAGAAATGTTAAAAACTTTATGCCGTGGTTTTATTTTAATGCTTCCGAATCATAGGAAAGCTTTAGATATTTGTTATTGCAAATGCAGTTGAATTTTCTTTATTACTAGAATAAAAGCTGAGGAATTCTGTTCTTTTTCTTTGTCAACACCAGTTCTCTTCTCGTTATAAATCCTTATTTTTTTCAGATACCACGCACATATTTAATGTTCTACTCTGCAACTCTATTAAGCTATTCGAGATGTTTATTTACACCGTATCATGTTTCAAAATTGTTAATTACCATAAAACTACGGCGCCTTAGCTAGTTAAAACTTAAAAGTCACATCTACCCAAATACTATTAGCCATATCTTACATACAAAATTTGGGTCAACAACATAATATTTGCATTTACAACCAAAAATATTATTTGGATAAAAGACCTAAGTAACTTGCTGAGATTGATGGAATTATTCAAAACAATGTAATCTAGAAAATGTTACTTTATGTATATCCAATTAAGAACCGTAATAAATTTTGGATTATAGTTTTGCATGTAGAAAGTAGAAACATATAAGCCGCCTTTATCAAAAAAAGAAACATATAAGCCACAATTTGTGGTTCAAACCTAGAAAAGTGCATGAACAAACCCTTAACTTTTAGTCTCCAATAAATCATATTTTTATCATTGTTTCTTAATTATTTTCTATAAATTTTATATAAGTAGCTTTTGGATTTTTGATAGGGCCAACTAGTTGTTTAAAGCAGCAATTTGCTTCTACAAGTTCGGAGGGCCCCTTGTTCTCATAGGCAATTTGAAACCTTTCTTATGTTTTTTCATCCATTTTCTTCTGTGCCTGTAAGTATAATACATATTTATATATACATACCCATATATTGGTTAGACTTTTGGAAAGTTATGGAAGGTAGGGCTATTTTAAATAACAATTATTGTTTGAAAAAGAACCACAAAAACTAGACGAGAGTGTAAAACATTATTAATAATATACAGTATGAGTATTAAATTTTAATGATATAGAAATGACATTGCCGGCGATCATTTTATTCCTAAGGTTAACCTGATTAGTTATGACCATAAGATCATCAATTAAGTTTGATTTTGCATTTGAAAATAACATCATAAATACTTTTTTTTATCTATACAAACACGTTCTCTTTTACTCCCTCCATTTCAAATTAGTTGTCAATTTGCCAAAATGTATCTACAAATATTTGGATATATCTGCAATGTAAAATACGTCCAAATACATCCAAATATTTACAGTTACATTTTGCCAAAATGACAACTAATTTAAAACGGAGTGAGTAATAAACTGTATGTATTTTATTTTATTGCATACATATAACTCCATTTTGTCCAATACTGTTTATACTTATTATTTATGACAGAAGAAAACAAGAATGTAGAAAGAAATAGATTACTTACTAGAATTATAAAGTTGCATCGTGACAATTTTCATGTTTTATTGGAAGAGGTAAAAAGAAGGGTACGAAACGGAAACATCGCACTGGCATGTGAAAATCTGGGGCTACTTTGAATTGAAACCCAAGTGGCATGTTTTTGTTCATTTTTAGGGCTTTATTTAAAGTTCAAAGGATACGCCAAAATTGAATTTTTTTTTTCTTTTTCTTGCGGATATTTCCTCAGCATTTGTATTAGGTAGATAGAGATTCACTGTAGTTATATTTATTAAATTAGTAGAATTGAAAAAAAAAATATTTAAAACACCATAAAACATCAGAACTGCGAGGGAAAAAAATACATCAGAATTGCAGAAGTATAAATATTGAATAACTATATTCTACTTTTGTAACAGTTAATTATATTTAGAAATTCTAACATACCTAAATAGAGTTACACAAACTATAATATATACAAGTAACTAACTGATTCTTTTGACTAGCCAATTCGGATATAGGAATCAAAATACTAGAATATGCACTATGTTAAACACGAAATATAGAGTACCTTTTTAGGATATGAATGGTGGTGACACACTGACATTAAAAAATGTAGTGCGATTCAACCGCCCTATTCACATTTCGTCACTATTTTGCAATTTTTGTATTTGTGATGTGGTGCAAAACGATGATGTAGAATGCGTAAAAACAAGAATTAGATCAAATAAGGATGGTTTAAAGTGTGATTCATAATTAACAACAAAATGACAAGTTTGAATTTTTTTAAAACTTTTACGACTAAATGCAAATTCTATTTAAATAATCTGTTTCAACCATTTTTTAAAAAATTATTCAACATTGGATAGTTTTTACACTGAGATGGCACATATTATGATTATATTCAATTTTTGTGTTGCACATTTTGATATGTTTGATCTGCTTTGATTTCTATCACCATTCGAACATTTGTAGTAATTGAACTACTAATAATTAAACCAAGTTAAATCTAAAGTCATTGATTAGGGAAATTTCAAAATTACATCTTTTAATGTCAATTTTCAAAAATACACTTTTATAATGTCTACTTTTAAAACTACACTTTTTTTATTGAGTAAAAGAACTTTAAACTCTAAAATATAAACCCAAAACCCTAAATCTAACATTGAACCCTTAAATATAAACTCTAAACTCCAAAATCTAAACTCTAATATAGAATTAATGAACCCAAACATATATATTAAAACTAGAAAAAGTGTATTTTTGAAAATTGATACACTATAGATATAGTTTTAAAAATTTGCACCTCAAAAGGTGTATTTCTTAAAATTTCTCGTCATTTCATTACATTTTGAAAGTAACAATCAAAAACATAGATTTAACTCTAGTAGTTTTTACTCTTTCGAATAAAATGGATATTTGTTACAGTAATTGAAACTACATTACTCGAACGTTTATTCAGAACACTAATTAAAACGTAATCTCTTCATAACTCGAATTCAATTACAGTAACAAAAACATTCTAGAACTTGTCGGAGTTAAAGAAAAAAAACTGTTGAAAAAGCAAATGTAAGTAAAAGACCGACACGTGGCCGAAAGTCCTATCGAGATTAGCCGGTAATCTTGTTAAACAATTTAAACACAAATAAAAAACAAATAAAAAAAAAAAGAGAAAAGAAGGGAATGAAAATAATTTGAATGAAGCGAACCCAGTTATACACAGAGAGAGTTTATAACGTAACAGACTGTGATCAGCATCCAACGCTACAGATTCACGAAGAAAACACACGTGTCGTAATCGTAGCTCAGGTTAGTCTCGTGTTTTCGTAAATGACATGTCAGGGGGAGAGAGAGAGAAAACATTCGGTTAGAAAACGGTGAAACGAAACTCTTTTGCCGTCGAAACAAGACAGATGCAGGTGTGTTCGGAGTTCTCAACATCGCATCCTCACCGTACGATTGTTTCGTTAAGGCTAGAAACGTAAATTTAAATATCTGATCGGACGGTTTCAAAGCTCTTTACTCTTTCCTTTTATATTTTCGTCACTATCACCTCAAAATGCCATAAGAGAAAGCAACTTCGTCTTTTTCTCTCTCTAGATTTCTTCAGAGTATCTAATCTCTCTCTTTTCTTTCCAATATTATCATGCGTTTCATCGAAATTCGGTAATTTTTTAAAAAACTCCGATCTCTTTCTTTGTCTTTCTGAGCTCTGTGAGAGAAAATAAAAATGGCATCTGGATTTACCGGCGGCGGTGGTGGACCGGAGTTTTTCGGCGTCGGTGGTAGATCTATGTCTGGAGGTCCCGGAACCGTGATAAACGCCGGTAACAATAATCCTCAAGCGACTTACAGGAACCAGATTCCCGGAATTTTCCTTGATCAGATCGGAAACAGAGTCTCCGGTGGGCATGGAATCGCCGGGAAACGGACTCTAGCTGATTTTCAGGCGGCTCAGCAGCAATATCAGCATCAGCAACAGCAGTCGTTTCATAATCAAGCAGCTATCAACGCTTTTCTTCTTAGGTCCGTGAAGCCTAGAAATTTCCAGAATCTTCAGTCTCCGATGATCGATCTCACATCGGTTAATGATATGAGTTTGTTGAATCATTCCTCTCAGCGTTACGGCTTACCGCTTCTCCGGTCACAGGCGCAGCAGCAGCAGCAGTCGGATTTGGGAATTTATGGTGGGGTCCGAATGGGATTCGGGTCGGGTAATCCGACGTTAACCGGCGTACCGTGTATTGAACCGGTTCAAAACCGGGTCGAGGAATCGGAGGACATGCTGAATAGTTTGAGAGAGCTTGAGAAACAGCTTTTAGACGACGACGACGAGAGTGACGCACAAGGCGGTGATGATGACGTGTCTGTTATCACCCATTCAAATAGTGACTGGATGCAAGGCCTCGTGACTCCGAGTCCGAACCCGAGCCCGAACCCGAATCCGGGTTCGTCTTCTTCCCCTAGCTCTTCTTCCTCGTCTTCTTCGCCTTCAACGGCTTCGACGATGACATCGGCCTGTTCGAGGCAAACGGTGATGGAAATCGCGACGGCTATCGCTGAAGGGAAGACTGAGATAGCGACGGAGATCCTGGCGCGTGTTTCTCAGACGCCGAATCCGAGGAGGAATTCCGAGGAGAAGCTGGTGGATTTCATGGTGACGGCGCTTCGAGCGCGGATTAATCCGGCTGAGAGCTCTGCTCCTGCTCTTCCGTCGACGGAATTGTACGGGAAGGAGCATCTGATTTCGACTCAATTGCTCTACGAGCTCTCTCCTTGCTTCAAACTCGGATTCATGTCGGCTAATCTCGCCATTCTCGACGCCGCGGGTAACAACGACGACGAGGGGGTGACGATGCATGTTATCGATTTCGACATCGGAGAAGGTGGACAATACGTTAACCTCCTCCACGCGCTCTCCGCGCGTCGGAGCGGTAAGAATCCTCCGGTGGTTAAAATCACCGCCGTGACGAACAACAGCGACGGATATTTAGTCGCCAACGACGGTGGAGAGAATAGGTTAACAGCCGTTGGAGAACTTCTGACGCAACTCGGTGATCGACTCGGTATTTCTGTGAGGTTCAACGTTGTGGCGAGTCTAAGACTCAGCGATCTGAGCCGTGAATCGCTCGGGTGCGATCCCGACGAGAATTTGGCCGTGAACTTAGCTTTCAAGCTCTATCGTGTTCCAGACGAAAGCGTATGCACGGAGAATCCGAGAGACGAGCTTCTCCGACGCGTGAAGGGGCTTAACCCGCGCGTGGTGACTCTAGTGGAGCAAGAGATGAATTCTAACACGGCGCCGTTTTTGGGCCGAGTGAGCGAGTCGTGCGCGTGTTACGGTGCATTGCTTGACTCGGTCGAGTCGACTGTTCCGAGTTCGAACTCGGACCGGGTCAAAGTCGAGGAAGGGATTGGTCGGAAGCTGATAAACGCGGTGGCGTGCGAAGGGATCGATCGGATGGAGCGGTGCGAGGTGTTTGGGAAATGGCGGATGCGGATGAGCATGGCCGGGTTTGAGCTGATGCCAGTGAGTGAGAAAATAGCTGAGTCGATGAAGAGTCGACTCAGTAACGGAAACCGAGTCCACCCGGGGTTTACCGTTAAGGAAGATAACGGAGGTGTGTGCTTTGGTTGGATGGGACGGACACTCGCTGTCGCATCCGCTTGGCGTTAACTTCACACACTTTTTTATTTTTTGCTTCTTATTATTACGGAATTACCATATTATTACTATTGTCGTTATTAATTAATTTTCTTTTCGGGATATTCTGATATTGATATTATCATTGTGATTTTCCATTTCGAAGTGTATGAATATAAGAAAATGGAGGATTGGAGGAGAAAAGGGAAGGTAGGAATCTTATGTAACAAAAGAAAAAGGACTTTTATATTTTTTACTAATAATAAAAATAAAGAGTGATTGGGTTTTAGGGAATTTCTTAAGGTTCTTTAGTATTCTATTATTGTTATATCTTGTCAATATCTCTTGCAATCACTAATAAGATATTACAGAATTTATGCCCTAAAAAGCTAATATCTGATGAAATTTTTTTGTATTAGAATCTCGCAGGTGTAGCAAATAACAACTTGACAGATAATGATTCTTAGACATCATACCTACTAATTATTTATCAGACCTTTTCTTCAACAATTAATACCTACTAGTTATTAACAAACTGCATGATCATTACCAAATCACTACGTATTCTCATGGCATTGTAGTTTTGTATTGAAGCAGAATAGCAGATTACTACATACTGGAAATATATATCTTTGAATCTTTTGTATGATAAAACATCTTGTCCTGCCGGATATGAACTCAAAATATATACACATATATTGTATGGTATATTTGCGTGTAAATATCATGATTGGACTTCGTCGATTATAACACGGGTAGTTTTAACGTGAGTGAATATGTTGGTGAGAATATAATAAAACAATTTTTTCTTTCTTTAGAAATCAGAGAAAAAAATATATGATATGGTGACTTTTGTGGTCATGGACCTCGTAGATCAATTATTTAAACACTAATAAAAGTTGGCGTTGGATGGGTCCATTTCTCATGGCATTCGATGTTCCTATTTTATGCTTTTTAAAATAAAATAAAAATTCTTATAACGATCCATCTTTACGCAAAACTTGTAAACTCCGTGTCCTTGGAATTTCTTAATGCATGTATATGAAGCCTGGTCATTAAAAAGATAATATTATTATTGTTTGGTGCAAGCTGGTTGTGGCTAAAAATATGCATATAATCTTACGAAAGACCTTTCTTTCTTAATTATATTAATCTCTTGTAACTTGTTGGTTATTTAAGATTATTTCTTTCTATTATACGCAACTGAAACGTGTGTACTGTGTTGATAGGATTGTTATATTTTCTTTTACCAACAATATCACATAGATAAATATCTTAGCCAGGGTTTCTTCATATTAAATTTGGGATAACATAAAGTAAATAGTTTTTTTTTTTCTTGTGCGTTGAAGATACAGGTAGTTAATATATAGAGCCAAAACGCTATGATAAACTGTTCATCAAGAATGTACGTAATTTGATGTTTCATATTATATTACAGATTCCTAAATAGTAAATACTAATGATGAAGAATCCATGTTAAAAAGCTAGTTATAAAAGAACACATGTGTTATATATGGATAAATTCATCGGAAATCTCATAAGGTCGTAACACTTCCGGTCCTATCTGAGTTGTGATGGAGTAACAAACTTTCCCGATTGCGACATTATATTATACATTCATACGGAATAAATGAAGGCTGAACTTTCATATTCATTTAGTTAGAAATTTTTTAATGAAAACCAAAAATTGAAATAACTGAAAAAGTTCAATTTCTTTGGTCATTTATGACAACTCACACATCTTATGCAGTTGACGTTGGTATATTTTTTTCACTTGATCTGAAGTTAAGGAGCTACACGAAAAGAAAGTAACAAAAGGCTTTACACACGCTTGCAATAAATGTAAGATGGTGAGAGCAATGCATATATATGCATTATGCACATCTATATACTATGTAGGCCAAGTGCATTATATTGGACCACTAAGTTAATATTCATCATCCATTCTTATAAGAATGATACGACATATTCTTTGTGAGTTGGTGTGGTTATGTTTTTAAATAATTTAAGAACAATGGAGATAGTGTGAAAAAAAAAGGATCAAGATATAGACTATAGAAGATGGCTCTTGTGAAGTATACATGTGATGAAGCCCATATTGAATGTAGATTTATAACACAATATTTTAGTTCAAATGTTGCAATATCGATAGGTGAGATTCAAAATAAAATGAAATATATAGAAGTGTGATCTTATATATAACAGATAATACCATGCTGAATACTATAAGAAATTAAAAAAAAACACCAAGTTGAATTCTATAAGAAAGTAAAAAATAGATGGTATGAAACAATTACAACACATAGTCGAATATGTTTTTTTTTGGGTTTAATTACAGTTTAAGGTATAGATTTTGGAGCTTCGAGTTTATGTTTTGGATTTATGGTTTATATTTTTGGGTTCATGTAGAATTTAAGGTTTTAATTTTTGGGTTCATTAAAAAATTAAAGTATTTTTATGTTGAATTTTAGTCTATTTTGGTCATAAAATTATTATAATGTAATTTTGGCCATACCATGAGTTTTTAATCTACTTTGGTCAACTCTGCCCACATAATAAACAAAAAGTTTTTTTTATGCATTAATCTTACGGATGGATTTTAAAAATAATGGTAATAACTTGGGCATGAAAAAAATCAACCAAAGCTTTCTTTTTATATAAATAGTACACATATTATGGTAACAACAAGTACATAATCAAAGGAGAGGACATACAAAAATATTTAACAAAAAAAGGATATACAAACATATGTGCACGCATCGTTTACTTTCACAGAAAAAGATAGATTCCCATCATCCCATGTTTCTTTCATTTATTCTCATCTGCACATTTTTATTTTTTCCTCTCTTAATTATTCTTTGGTATTTTAAATATGATTTACAGCCAGAGAAATTAAATGTTAAATAATATATGCTACATAACAAATCCAAGACATTTGCCTTTTTTTTATTTTTCTAGAAAGTAACTGTAAACTAATCCTAGACATTTGCTTTCTTACATGATATTTTATTTTTAAACTGCAATTATTCAAATTAAGGAGAAATGGATGATATAACTGTTCGCTTCCATTTATATCATCCAAAATGTATTCAGAACTTCACCATTTCATTAATTTACTATTCCATTTCATTTCATCATTTTTGCAGCATTTTGAGGAATCCCACCATTGCAACGCCATTTGTTTCGATTATAAAACCATTATCACACCGTTTTGGTTTTTAGTCCAAAAGACTAGGCTGAAAGCTCACTCATTGGATACATAGAAACCATTCTTTTGTTGTCAATTTTGGCTGAAAATGTTCTTGGGGAGACTTGGAGCATAATTGAATCGAAATTTCAATTGCAGAATCTTCTATCTATTGTTACTGTTAAACTCCAAATCATGTGGAGATAATTTTGATTAAATTGTTTTGGTAGTATCTGTGCTCCATTGATCTAATACGAATCTCATATATATATAGATATATATTCTGGTTTTTCTTACCTTATCTATTTGGTCATTTTGTATTTTCATGAGTCTTTCTTTATGGTTGGTCTTGGGTTTGACATGACCAACTAGCTTATAGCTTGAACCAGTCTTTGTTTGTTTGGAATGTTGAACTTTGTCCACTTTTTGTACTGGCGCTGTAGGTGCAAGCGCTTGTTCTGGTTCTGGAAATCAGAGTGCGAGATCAACAGCCTGGGAAACTGCAGGTGAGTAAATCGCAAAAATAGAATCAGTTTAAATCCAAGAGTGCTTTGTCAAACATGTGACATACCTGAGAGCAACTTGAGCTTGCTGCATTAGGCTTTGAAGAGGTAGTAATCATCTTCTCTTTTCCTTTGCCATGCAAAAACAATTAACACACGTTGTAGGTTGTAGCATGATAAGTCTCCTTGTCCTCTCTCAATTGGCATTTATGGTTTGTTTTGAGTATTACATTCGTCGATGTTGGTTATAGAGCGCCATCAATGTTGTTCTGAGCAGGCTCTAAGGAGCATTTTCCATCATCTACAATGTCGTTCTCATTTTTACTTGAACAGCTCGTTCAATCACTGTAAATTCTTGTGAATGTTACACAACGAAACTATTAAGTGAATATCTATCATACTCATGATTTACACAACGTAAGTATTATGTGAATATTAATCATCCATTTAAATATTGAGGAGTGCTTTGTCAATCAACAATCATGTGACATACCTGAGAGCAGCTTGAGCTTCATGCATTAGTCTTTGAAGAGGGAGTAGTCGTCTTCTCCTTTCCTTTGCCCTGCAAAAACAATTAACAAATGTTGTAGATTGTAGCATGATCAACTCTCCTTGTCCTCTCAATTGGCACTTCTGGTTTGTTTGAGTATTATATTGGTCCTACATGACCATCTAGCCCATGGCTTGAACCAAGTCTTTGTTTGTTTGGAATGTTGAACTTTGGCCAGTTTTTGTACTTTAGGTCTGACTTTTGGTGATTTATTAAAGTTTTTGCTTCCTATAGACACTTAGAATGCACTCGGATGATTAAGGAAATGAAATTTGTTTTCCAGACGGGTAGAAAGGGGCTCATTAGCTGGTTCTAATGCATTGATCACAATGCAAAGTTCAGCATGAAAAAGTTTTGTGGTTGAGTGATTGGAGTTGATGCTAAGAGATTCCAAAATGCCATAGTTTTCACACTGCCAACAATAGTCCACTCTAAACATATACAATCTAGTAGTCTTCATTTCTTCTATCCTTAGAAATTGATACATATATGTGTTAATTAACCTAACACATATAAGATCTCAATAAGCAATACATATATGTGTTTAGTTTAACAATTTCTATATTAGCTAGGTAAAATTAAAGTGACCGTTGGAGGCAAATCACGTAGAGATCATACTATCATATTATCATACTATCTGTCGCAAATCGCACCCATCATTGCCAAACCATTACCATCTTTATTTTATAAAGTTGGATGCGCACAATATGGTAGCGACACATAGGATTTTTATAAAATATATGATTGCGACATATATCACTTTTAATGTTACGTCCGTTAAGATGTCTTGGAAAAAAGGAAAAAAAAATTAAAGGAAAAATTTTAATCTTTTATAATAAAAACGAAAATTTATATAATAAATTGAAAATAATGTAATAAAAATACCTATTAATACATGGAATAGGTATGTAAACTAAATATCCTAAAGCTGTATGAAATAGGTTACATAAACCCCTATTTTAAAAGATCCCATTAGTACATGTAATAGGTATGTAAACTAAATACAGTAGAAAGTAGAAACTCTATAAATTAATACTCTATAAATTAATAACTCCATAAATCAATAAAATTGTATGGTCCCAAATTAAGTATTTGATCCAATAATCTCTCGATAAATTAATATTTTGTTAAATTAATAAAATATCTTATGCCCGACATTATTAATTTATAGAGTTTCTACTGTATCATAAAACTGTATGAAATTGGTTACATGAACCTCTATAAAAAGAGAGCTACTGTATTCTCTTTTTCTCATTCACAAACTTATCAAAGCAAATTCAGCAAATCTCTTTGATTCTCTTTCTCTAATTTTAAAATCATGTCTTTGAAACTTCAAGAGGAAAGTGGAGATTATTTGACTCTAGGTCAATTGGATCGAAATCGAAATTATCGTCGTACTATAGTACATGTTATTCGAAAGTGGGAAGCTAGAAATCCTACAGAAAATAATATTCTTATGTGAGTTGAGCTTCTATTACTTGATGAAAAGGTTAGTAACATCTTATTATATTGATATAGATAATCTTATTATAACTTTGATTAACATTAAAGTTTTAATTTTGTTGGAAACACAATTCAAGTTTTTGTTCATCATTCACTACTTCAAAATTTTGGAGATCAGATGGCCGAAGGAAACATCATCGGAATTTGTAATTTTAATCTGCAATCTACTGATAAAAAAAACTTTTATTAATTGATGAAAAGGTTGGTAACATATTGTATTGATATATATTATGAAGAAAAAGAGGAAAAATAACTCTCATTAATAAAAGAAAACAAAACGAAAATAAAAAAAAAAAAGAAAAAAAATTGTTACATCCATTACCAAAGGAAAAGTAAAACATATTTCAAATACGAGAAGGAAAAAATAATAATATATAGTAAACTATAACCTTCATAATTTAATTGTGTGATTCTATCTTTTGATTAAACTTCTCTTAATATTAAGAAATAAATATAATGTTTTTGAAAATTCATGATATCTATGAAGAAAATTTAACTTTATATCAGTTGGATCCAAATCAAAATTATTGTTGCTACTTGTGTCTAATATTTTGAAAACAAGTGTTAACACAAGAAAATTGGAAAAATGTATAAAATATATATAAAAACTAACAAAATAATTAGAAAACAACTAACTAATAATGGAAATGAAATTTTATGATGGCCTGAGTCAAAAACAAAACTGAAAAAACAATATAAATAGAAAACTAATAAAATAATTATGGAGCAACTAACTAATATTAAAAGGAAAAATTTATAATGAACTGATATTCTAATTTTAATAGTTTAATTTTTTTGTTAGGTAAAAAAAGATTTAAAAAAAAAAATTTCATCAACCGAAATCTTCAATGGAATAATAAAATTTTCACGAATTAATCAATCAATCAAACTGACACATGTGTAAATCTTTTAATTTTAGATAAAAGTAAAAAGATAACAAATTAATTCATTTTTCGTATCATGAATTCAGAAAATATGTCAATTATAATAAAAGTGTAAAAACATTACCAATCTAATACTCCCTCCGTTTCATAATAAGTGTCGTTTTGACTCTTCACTTACCCAATGTATCTAGATATTAATGAATGTATTAAGACTCAAAACACATCCAAATACATCATTAAATAGTCTAGATTCATTTTGTCAAAAAGACACTTATTATGAAACGGAGGGAGTATTATTTAGAGGTTTTTTATCGGGGTTTTAATATTAATCTACTTATTTTTAAAGTGTCAAATTTTATATTTTTCTATAATTTATTTCAAAAATTATACGCGGTGCCAAATACTCAATAACCCAAATAAAATATTAAACTAAAATGTACTTGCTGAGTATTACGAAGGAACGCTTAAAAAAACCCATGAATTGGGCTTATAGATCCATTTAAGGATTCATGGGCCTATCCACCCATGAGAAGCTCTCTGCTGAGTCATCATCATCTCAAAGAGAAGACTAAAACCTCTGCTTGAGCACAGCGTTAAAACACAAATCTCTCATCCCTGAAAGTGAGAGAGATAGATAAATGGGGGCTTCACTAAGACTCCCTTCTCTCACCTCCCTCCTCTTTCCCGCCACCACTCGTTACCCGTCATCATCTCTCCGGCGAACCTGCTTCCTCCGGAACAGACCTGCTTCCTCCGGATTCGCTACAGCTCCGAGCGGCACTGCTTCGCCGGAAACCAAGTCGGATGCTGAGCGACTCAGGTCGTCGGACCAAGCCGTCACGCCTCGCTCGAAGGACTTCAATGCGTGGTATCTGGATATCATAGCCAGTGCTGAGCTCGCCGATTATGGCCCCGTTCGTGGTACTATGGTCATTCGTCCCTACGGTTACGCGATCTGGGAAGCGATTCAGGTTCTCTTCGTTTAGCATTTCGACATTTTGAATTGCCGGAAATGCTCTTTGCCTCGCTCCAATTTCCAATTTCGTCGATTTCGATTTTGCAGGAGTATTTGAATGTGAAATTCAAAGAGACTGGTCATAGCAACATGTACTTCCCTCAGGTATAGTTTGAAGTAGAGAAATTAGCTTAAGCTCATCTTCAATTGCAGATTATTCATAAATTGAAGTTTGAGTAACGTTTTGGTCGTTTGTTTAGTTTATACCATACTCGTTCATTGAGAAAGAAGCTTCACACGTTGAAGGATTTAGTCCTGAACTAGCTCTTGTCACTGTTGGAGGAGGTAAAGAGCTTGAAGAGAAGCTCGTGGTAGGTCTACTTTTACCACAATCCACAAAGCTAGAGTTTTGAGGATTCAGTTAACCTAAGTTTTTGGCTATGATTTGTTGATTTGCAGGTTCGACCTACTAGTGAAACCATAGTGAATCACATGTTTACTCAATGGATTCACAGCTATCGTGATCTTCCTCTCATGATCAATCAGGTGTGTGGAATGAGAGGTCCAAATCATTTATCATTTCTATGTTATTAGAAATTCTGGCACTTATGTTTCTGATTTCTTTGCGGTTTAGTGGGCCAATGTGACTAGATGGGAGTTACGTACAAAACCATTTATCAGGACTCTTGAATTTCTATGGCAAGAGGGTCATACTGCTCACGCCACTCCTGAGGAGGCAGAAAAAGAGGTTTGTTCTTCATTCTCTTGTGGTTTAACTTATTGCTTGGTACCCTCCTGTGACGAATGTTTAGCTGTTGTATTGCAGGCGAAGCAGATGATCGACATCTATACTAGATTTGCTTTCGAGGAAACTGCAATACCTGTGATTGCAGGTCGGAAATCAAGATTGGAGACTTTTGCTGGTGCTGACATAACCTATACTATTGAGGCTATGATGGGAGACCGCAAGGCTTTGCAAGCTGGTACCAGCCACAATCTAGGGCAGAACTTTTCTCGTGCCTTTGAAACTCAGGTACAGAACTTTGCTTTTCTCAGTCATGAGATAAGAACAAACAAAAAAAGAAGCAGATTACAACATTTTATGACCATTGCCAGTTTCAAGATGAGAATGGAGAAAGGCAACATGTGTGGCAGACGTCATGGGCAGTGAGTACACGTTTCGTCGGTGGCATTATCATGACTCACGGAGATGACACTGGTCTCATGCTTCCCCCTAAGATTGCTCCGATACAGGTTCTTCTTCTACTCGTTCCCTTTGCTAGCTAAAGAGGATTTGTTGTGTTTGGAAATGTAGCTGTTTGAAGTGAGCTGAGATTGAATCTCCCAATGACTTGTTATGAAGGTAGTAATCGTACCTATATGGAAAAAGGACACTGAGAAAACCGGAGTCCTCACTGCTGCAACATCAGTAAAAGAAGCTCTGCATACCGCTGGGATCAGAGTTAAACTCGATGACGCAGAACAGAAAACTCCAGGATGGAAGTTCAATTTCTGGGAAATGAAGGTTCGTTACTCTCTTTACTCTCTAGAGAAACAGTAGAATCGTTTTTCTGAGTTTGATAGTAAAAGATATCATTGGGGTTTGCAGGGAGTCCCTCTAAGGATTGAAATTGGTCCACGCGACGTATCCAGCAACTGTGTTGTTGTCTCGAGGAGGGACATACCAGGAAAGGCAGGGAAAGTTTTTGGAATATCAATGGAGCCATCAACGTTAGTTGCTTATGTAAAAGAGAAGTTGGAGGAGGTCCAATCATCGCTTCTAGAGAAGGCTGTAACATTCAGGGATAGGTACTCTCTTTTCTTTTTTCTTTCTCTCCCACAAGTTTTGGTCCATTCCTCACAACATTTTTGATGTGGTTGTTTGCAGTAACATTGTGGATGTGAACTCATACGATGAGCTAAAAGAGGCGATCTCTTCAGGGAAATGGGCAAGAGGTCCTTGGTGTGGCAGTGACTCAGATGAGCAAAGGGTTAAAGAAGAAACCGGAGCAACCATTCGGTGTTTCCCGTTTGAACAGACTGGAGAGGCCAAAACATGCCTAATGACTGGAAATTCAGCAGAGGAAGTTGCAATCTTTGCCAAGTCTTATTAAAGGAGGTCTCTCTGGTTTTCTCACATTCACTCAATCATATCAAATTCTGTTTATTAAGATAGAACTGGAGAAAAAGAGTTTACAAACATCAACCTCAACATGAATTTTGACATTTTGTTGTTAATTTAAATTATATAGGAAAATCTATTTCATTGTCCTGTTAAGTTTTATTTGAATTTTGAATCATGATTCACTGGATCTTTGACTCTGTCTTAGGGTCAAAACTAAAAAATAAGAATCGGAATATACAACTCCATCAGTTATTCGTCCCAACTCGATTATTATCCACAACACAACATATCGTAGAGGTAAAAATTTGCTCATATAGTTAAAAACTGTATTTTGTTTCTTATACTAAGACTTGAATCATTTGCAAAAACAACAATACATAAGGTGGTATTTAAGAAAATAACAATGATGCCACTTAGATATTTGTTTGAATGATTTTAAATTGTTCATTCATCTGTTTTTCAAATATAGTTTTTTTTCCGTTGTAACTTTTTAATGTAAACTTTATACTGTAGTTGTAAAATACTCCCTCCGTTTTTTATTGATAAATTTCTAGAATTTTCGCACATATTAAGAAAAAACTGATTTTTAATCATTAGTGTATAAAACTTTGCAATAACACAACTTTCTATAATTTTAGACCAATACAAATCTAACAGTTACAATTAATGTTTATTGAAAACTGAAAAAGTGCATCAAAAAGGTAGAAAATTTATCTTTGTGAAACAACAAAAAATGTCTAGCAAGTTCATCTTAAAAAAACGGAGGGAGTAGATGTCAGTGTTTACACGATCGGGTTTAGGTTTTTGTTAGAGCGTCATATGGTTAAAAACGTCCAGAAGTATACAGAGAAACCAGAAAGCAAGCAGAAAGACCAAAATCTAAACTAAACAAACTACAACAAGCGGAAGCAGAAACTGAAAAGGAACAGCATAGAAGACGATCAACACAAGTTGAGAAATAGAAGCATAGAAGCCAGCGCAGGCTAGGTCAACAGTTAAGAGTTTATATCAATTGATTATTATTTTTTGGTTAAATAACCGTAAACATTCATATTGAGTTGCTTAATTGATTAGTTTAGAAAATCTCTGTGATAATTATTTTATTATTTTCTTTTAGATATGTATTTGATTTTACATTATACTCCCTCTGTTTCATAACATAAGAGGTCTAAGGTTTTTACACACAGTTTAAGAAGCCATTTAGTTTCTGTAATTTTTGGAATAAAATATATTTTATCATTATTTCCAAGATATTTCAACCAATGAAAACAAAATCTGAAAAATATAAATAATTAAAAGTAACAAAAACACATTTAGTTTTGCATGAAAACTCTAAAATCTCTTATATTTTGAAACAAAAAACAATTCTAAAACCCCTTATATTTTGAAACAGATGGAGTAATTGGTAATCAAAGTATTCGTTTTAGGATCTATCATTAAATTTCAGAGTCCTCTCAAATTCCAATTTATTGGATCCACTTCTTGACTTTCATTTATTGTTATATTGCATCTCTGAAAGTTTATGTACATAGTATTTTTTTGGTAATGTATGTACATAGTATAGTATTGACTTTCATTTATTGTTATTTAATGTGAAAAGAGATAGGGAAAACAGCCGATTGGTCCTCAAACTCCACCTAGAAGTGTTTATCAGTACCTAAACATATCAGGTGTGTGGATCGACATCTACACTATGCAATATCCTGTTGTCAGTATCCTACTTAATGTTCGTTTGGCCAAATAAATCATTGACCTCAACTTCCGTTAGTCGATCATTTGATCTCATGATTCCATTAACATAGGTCTTGATTGGAAAATCATTTAGAAGAGCATTAATGTAACGTCTCTGCCGCCTCTCCTGGTGAGTCACTCATGCCCTCTCTCGGTCCGTGGGTCCCACCCCTGTCCGACGGTCGGTGCGTTATTTTTGGGAGGTTCGGAGAATGTATTTACTGTCCCTGCAATCATCACCCGACCTTTTACCGTGTTTTTTCCTAACTCACACGATTTTCACAGAGGACTTCCCGAAAGGTCACCCATCCTTCCACTACTCCAGCCCAAGCACGCTTAACTCTGGAGTTCTTTATGGACCCTTGACCAAAAAGGTAAGTGCACTTTGATGACATAGGTAGCCAAATTAATTCTCTTAATCCTCTCCTCATTTATTACAAATCGGGATGTTACAATTAAGCTTAAGGAGCATAAGCATGGTGAGTATTTAGAAGAGCATTAAGCTTTTGAACCATCTATGCTCTTGATTTATATGATTGGTAGACATGTGAGCCTTTATATTATATTTTTTTTTGTGAAATTTTTTAATATGTATATCGATACTTATTTTAATGCATCATATATATATATATTCATTAATAACATAATATTTTTTTTATTTTAAAAAAACATTTAAGTATTATTTCATATTTAAATTATATTTATTAATTTTTTATATCATTAAATATTTATTTTATGAATAATACATTAATGATAAACATAATTTACGAAATTATAAAATTGTAAATTTAATATAAATATGATTTTTATTTTTTTTACCAAAATAAATAAACTAAATATAATTTCTTTTTAAAAAATTAAATTTTTTGAGCTCAATACTTTGGAAATGCTCCATTTCAAAGCTGGGAGGGAAAGAGCAGTTTAGGAGCATTAGCAGTTTTTAATGCTTTCCTAAATGCTTTGTTAAAAAAAGTTGATTGATTTAGAAAGAGCTTAATGCTCTACCAATCAAGGCCAGATGACTCAGCCGCCACATCACATATGTCATGTTGGAACGTAACAACAAAACGACGTCGAACATAACTTGTTCAATTACCGTTAAATCGTTTCACTTTTTTTGATCGAATGAGTTAAATATATTGACTAAAACTCAATATAAAAATGATTCAAAACTTTTCTTTAAACTCAAAATATAAACCCGCAAAAAAGCTAAACTCTAAATCCAAAGATTCAAAATATATTTTGGGAAAAAGAAATACAAACATAATTTTTTATTTATATATCATTTATTTATGATAAATTTGGGACTAAGAAGTTGGGATGTGAACGGAAATTTGGGACTAATAAGTTAATTCACAAATTCTTAATAAATCTAGAAAAATGAAGATATTTTGAAAAATTACGGACAAAACGGAAAAATACGAAATTTTTTTGGAAAAATATGAGAAAAAATAGAATATTTAAGAAAAAAATCATCTAATTTTAATTTATTTTATTTTTTAGACGACTATTATAGGAAATTGCAACTTTTCATCCCCAAAAATTTGAGAAAATTTAAACGGGTAAAAGAGAAATTATGATTTCCATCCCGAAATGCACATGGCTATACTGAGTAATTGATGTCTATAATGGATTTATTCTGTTGACAATTTTATTTGGTTTAATAACAGATTTTGTAAAGAAAAAAGAAAGAACAAAAAATATGGAAGCTTATAAATCAATTGGTAAACTTTGTATCAATTTCATTTGTGAATTTGGTAATCTTAAATTTGTTTTTTTTCGTATGCAATATCATATGTTTGACTTATAATCAAAACAACACATATACATAACTGTTCAAACTAGAGAACATATATACGTGCATAAGTGCTTATGAGTAGGTAAGAAATACGTTTTATTTCTCAATAATTTGTATAAATATTTCTTTATCTCGACATGATAACGATGTAAACATTTTATAATTCAATATAAAAATGTTACATAGATAATATTGTTAATTTCTCTGTTTTTTTCTTGAGATACTTGGAAGTTTTACAATAAATAAAATATCACAAAAGACCACACATACAAAGGTAAACAAAAAAAGTTTTACAGTGTGACTCTTTCTATAATAAAAAGAAATTGGATCAAACAAATCATTGAATCATTTAAATTGTAGCCAAGTTATAATAACAAAAAAACCATTGGGGCTAAGATAGGAACATATAGAAAGTTTAGGGGCTAACCCAGAAGAAGGTTTAAAAGAAAACTCAACGAGACCACGTCCTCCACACATGTGGAGCCACCAAAAGTTTTCACTTTCACACGAAGCCATGTCTGTGTTTTGACCATTGACTTTTTTAAAGAGAGAGAGGGGTGGGGTCTGATTTTTATATTGAGAACTACGGTAGCCAAATTCCAATTTTTATTTAATTTCGAAATAATTAACTTTATAATGGCAAAACGGTTAAAAACAGCGTGATTGAGGGTAAACAAGTAATTTCAAGGTGTAATCGAGGGTAATCTAGGTATAGAGAGGATGATAAATACGTGGTGATAGGGCACCAAGCTCAATGTGCTGTTGATCCATAAAATCCAAAGAGAGAAAGGAATAAAATAATCACATCTCTGTGAAGAAGACGCAAAGGAGGAAGGAAACGATACCTAGCTTCGCCGCCTCTCTGATCGGCGATTTCTTCTCTTTCGTTTCTTAGTCGTGTATTTTCCGAGATTCTCCGATTCGCATCGATCTAGTTTCTGTGGAGGGTTTGTATCGCGTAGACTTTAAAAGCGCTGGTTTTGAATCGAGGAAGAGAGTAAAGAGGACGGCCGTTTGATAAAAACCCGATCTGTACGTTTGCGATTTGGGAGGTAGTGAATTTTACGCGGAGGAGTTGATCGGATCTCTCTCACGAATCCTGTGGTGCTGTTTCTGATTGAGTGTGGAGAAAAGGGGAGAGGAAAAAAAAAAGTAGGTGGACTCAGGTATATGAAAACCCTAAGTTCTTTGATTACTACTGCTCTTTGTTTTTGGTTGAGTCCCTTAGGGTTTTGATTCGATTTCTGAGGAGAAAAATCAAATCATGGGACGAGGACAGATCGGTATCTTCACTCATCTGGAGGTCTTCACTATTGGCTTCATGAAGCCTTTATTCTGGGCTGACTTTCGATTCGTCTACTTACGACCTTAGATCAGATAGACTTAGGACACGGGATTGATTCTGATTTTGGGAAAAACGAAACGAGTTTTCATGGATCTCACCTTCTTCTTCTCGGAATATTGCCGATCAAGTTTTCCTTTAGACCATGGGGTGTGCCGACAGTTCTCTGGAGTCGGATTTAACTGGGAATAAAACCCAATTGATTGCTAGTTTGTATGCTTAAAACGTTCATCAAAGTGAGAAGATTTTTTCAGACTTGAAAAAAAAAATCTGTATTGCGCAATCTGTTTTGAGGTAAAGGCTCATGGAGTCTTTAACTTGACTGTCTAGCTATGAAGTTTTGTGTGCAGTGGCTATATGATAGGTTAATAGAACCATAGAAGTTGGTCTTGTGTTACCTTTTTCATGGTTTGCTAATGGAAGATCGTTTCTTTTGCAGGTGAGGTATCTGTTCTTACACTGGGAAAAGATCCTACGGTTTTGGCGTCTAGTGATAAAATAAATATCAAGTTCTGTGGATGGGAGTGTATTGAAGCATGACAAGCACTGACGGTGTAGAGCTTAAGAGTACCATAGAGTCTGACCTTCCTTGGAAAATGGTGGCTAAAGGTAGCAGAAGTTCGACAAGGCGTACCAAGAAATCAGTTGTGCGAGTTGCAGCTTCAGATATTGAGGCAGAAGACAAGAGCTCAACAAGCACGGTAGCGGGAGAATCAGAGCCTGAAAAGGTTTTTCTCTCGATTTCTTTCCTGTTTTTTTCTAGGGAAAGTGTTGGTGTATCTTTTATTCTAACGTTTGATTCTTTCTTGCAGCTTGGCGTTTCTGTTCTAGGTCGGCATTTCGCAGAAAGAGTAGAGCATGTTCCAATAAAGAAGCGGAGATTTATGGTTTGCTCCCCGACACCATCAAACAAGTCATCTGCTCAACGTGAAGGCTCAGAACCTAGAGCGCAGATCAACCATGCATTGCCAGTTTCGAGATTAAACCCTAATTTAATCGAGGGAAGAACATCGGACGTCGATAATGAGAAGCCTGACTGTAGTGGTCATGACTTTTCTGGTATCGAGATACTCGCTGAGGCTGCTTGCAGTAGTGTTATGAGTAATGATCTTGCACCAGCTGTTGACCCTGTGCCTGCTGAAGAACCTCTTGTTCAGCAACAAGATGCCTCGACCCTATCGACCCATGTTGAAGGTAACGATTCATCAGCTGGAACTGCTGATGTCTCCCTGAAAGATACTGCGGTTGATTCCAGTGAACAGGCCGGAAGAGGCAAGGATGAAATCGCAGCGTCTCAGAAATCTTCGGTTGAAACTTTGTGCAATGATTTGTCTGATGAGAAAAGTTTAGAGCACAGCAGAGTGACCTCTGGAGGGGCTAGAAAAACCAACATCGCTCTTTCAGATGAATCCTCTACAGAAAGACTGAAGGCTAATATGGAAGCAAGTGAAAGTGAGAATTTAGCACATGACAGTGGAGCTGTCACGGTGTCAAAGAAATCATCGGCTGATGAGCCCACTGAAAAGAAAAACGAAGACCTTAAAGATGTTAGGTTTCACTGGGATTTAAACGTTCCAATGGATGCTTGGGGTCAACCTTGCGAGGTAGAAGATGAAGCCTCTGGAAGAAATGCAGAGGGAGAGATCACAGAGTCTATTGCACCTAAAGAGAGCGAACCTATTGATGGAAGAAAGGGTCATATGGATGGGGTGATTGCATCAGACAGGCATACAAATTTTTCATCACCATCTGGATCTAAGGCGGAAGCAGCTGCTAGAAATGGCAAGGAGTGCCAATCTGGTTACGACTCACAGTTTGAGGATGGAGAGTTGAGGGAACCATATCCTTGGGAAGAAAACGAGGGTGATACGGGAGATGTAGAACAGTTGGATTACGGGTCTGAGCCAGAGGATGAGAGATTCTACTCTATGGTTGATAGTAATGACAACAAGATGGGGGAGTCCGAGAAGGGAGTCTTGGCAGAGACAAAGTGTGGATCTTTAAAGTGTGAATCTGGTGACGCACTTAGAATTGGGGAGGCTAATGAAGGCAGTGACATAGAGAAGCATGTTGTGGTTTGCATGAACGATTCGCATCTGAAGAAAGGCTCTTCTTCTCCTTCAAGGAGTTTTGACTCAAGACCATTGAAGGAGTTGCCTTCACATGATGCTATCCAGAGGAGAAGGCAAGTTTCGATTTTTCCCTGTTGGGTCACTCACTTTTTAATGGTTTCTTATTAACAGTGTATTGTTCTTATGTTTCAGGCCTGATAATTACGAAGAGGGTCAAGAGAAGTTTGTTGGGAGAGATGAGAGATCAGGGATGCATATGCGTAACAGGAGTACTGGGAGAGAGTATTTTAGCCGTTGGGATTCCAAACGCCGCTTCTCTCCTCCACCTAACTACAAAGGCGGTTCCTATGGTTTCGGGCGTCCACGGCCTAAAGGCATTGTAGATGATCGAGGTATGATGAACAGCTTTGATCAGTCAGGGTCCGGGCCAGGACCAGGGCCAGGGCCAGGACCAGGACCAGATGGTCATGTACGCAGGCAGTTTTCAAATGGCGGATACCGAGGTCGGTTTAGAAGGTTTCAAGATGGCGGTGATCGTGATTTCAGGGGACCGCACGGAGATAACAACCAGTTTCCTGGGCGGATGCACAACCGGATGAGTGGTAATAGGAGGGAGAGAGGCAGCTCTCCGGTCTTCAGGAGATTGCACTACCCGCAATCGGAGTCGAGATCTAGAAGCCGTTCTCCGGTTTCGTGGAACGGCCGGAACAACAGATCATCTCCTCCTCCTCCTGGCGGGTTTAGAGCGGACGAGAGGATGATGGAGAGAGTGAGGCTGCCTTTCCAGAAACGGTTTCCTGCAGATCAAGAGATGGGTTTCATGTCACCTCCTAGAAACAGAATGTCGTCGCCGAGGTTCTTTGAAGGGAGGAACAACAGTAATAATGATTCCGGAGACTTCAGGGAAAGGAAGTTCCGGCCTGGACAGAGATTTGATGCCGGAAACTCTACGAGAAGATTCAACTCTGACAACAACTACAACAACAACAACCACTTCAGACCGTTTATTCGCAACAAAAGATTTGAGAGTGCAGAAGACAACAATGGCGGGAACAGGTTTGAGATGGCTCAGCAGCGGAATCGGCGGTCTGAGGCCACAGAAGATGGCGGTGGCGGTGGTGGTGGTGGTGGTGATGATATTCGACGGTTCAGGTTGAATGGAGAACAGTCGGCGGTGGTAGCGAGCAGCAACGACAACAACAATAACAAAGAGTCATGATAACAAATAACGTAAGAGATTCTTTTGGCGGGTTTCAATAGAATCTCTCTTATGTTAGTTTTGTTTTGTTTGTTTGTCATTTCAATTTGAAAGACACGTCAGTTTAGTAGGAGGGAAGAAGAATGCCATGGAGTCATTTGTTGCTTTAATGACTCTAATGGTGTTTTTGGGTTTTCTTTTTTTTTTGAAGGAGAGTTCGCTTCTCTTTCTTTCTCTCTTTCTTTTTTAATCTCTTTTGTCTCCACAGAGTTTTAGGGTTTCTAGATTTAGTAGCTGCTGCTTTCCTTTTCCGGAAATGATTTCAATATTTGTAGAAAAACAAAAAAAAAGTGAAATCTTCCTGCAAAATTACCCCTTTTTACCATTTTTTGGGAGTTGAATTTTATTTAGCCAATGCAAAAGAGCAGATGAGAGGACTTTTAACTCCAATATTGGCGTTTGACGCAAGAAACAGAAGCCGTAGCTCTCTCTACCTTCATCAACTACGCTATTCCCAGTAACACTCCCAATATGTATCAGAACAAGAGCCATGGCTTCTCCAGCGGGTGCGAGATGGTCGAATTGAGATGGAAACAGAGTTGCTAAAACCACTTGAAATTCCGAAATGCTTTGTGCAACAGTTGCAACTTTGCATATTAGATAAAAGTACAAGTCTTGTAGCCATTCAAAAAGGAAAATCACATCAAACTTAAGCAAGAATGCAAGAATATTTTGGCGGGAAACAAAGTGACGTCGTCGGAGAAATGGTTCAGGCGAAGGAGTCGGGATGGAAGTTACATTCAGGAACAGGAAAACTCATGTTGCAGCCGCTGGTATAGAGAGAAAGAGAGAATAGAGGAAGAACCACATATTATTTTAAAACTACTGACATTTTATGTTGATCAAGATTCAATTATTGTTATTAAGATGATAACCAAGTCTACAATCATCAGAATCCTACGACATGCAACACACGAAAAATCTCTAAATCTTATTGGTTATTGCAACCAAAATCAACATAACCGTGACTGAAGAAGAGACTGTTCTCTTTGTTAACTGAAAGATGCAGAGACAAAGCGAGAGTTTACATACATAAACTGTAGTCATATTATTACCAATCTTCACATGAACTTGAGGACTTTCACTCCAAATGCAATCCCTAAGAAAGTTGCAATGGCAATCCCGAAAATTCCGGCCAGAATCCCGGGAACAATCAACGAGTTCCATCCTTTCGCCGTCGCCATTCCGGCAGCAGTCGTAGGTCCTCCGACATTAGCATTCGATGCCAAAAGCAGCAGCCTTAGCTCGATGTTGAGCAGCTTCCCTACGCCTAATATCACAGCAAGATGTGTCCCAATTTGTACCAACGCAAACAAGAATATGCTCGGCGCCGTATTTATCACACTCCATATGTTTCCGCTCGCACCTATCACAGTGAAGAACACCTGAAAAAAAGAAAAGTGGTTTAAGTACATTTTCAAGAAGATTGCTCTGTTCTTGAAAATGAGTTTGTGTAAAAACTCTCTCTCAAATCTCACCTGCATAAGAATTAGAGCCATGGCTTCTCCAGATGGAGCAAGACGACCAAACTGGGACGGAAAGACGGTGGCTAAAACAACAACCACCGCGGTTATAGCCGGTAAGCTACCACCAGAAATCCCAAACTGCTTCGTTAGCAAAGCCCCTGCCTTGCATATAGCTAACGACACAGCAATTCCAGTAGCTATCAGCAGCACAGGGATTTTGTTTTTGGTTTCAGAATCTTTAGTTGTCTCTGCATCTGCCATGGAAGAGCAACATCAAAACCAGAACTCACAACAAACTGAATCTATCCACCGAATACCAGAATCGACATGATATAAGAACTGAAGCCAAATCAACATCCAGACTTACCAGTAGTTGGTGGGGGTAAAGTCTCAGCAGGTATTTTGGAGCCTATAGCAAACAATGACGTGAAGTATACAGCGCAAATAACATTATCAGCAGCAAGTCCAGCAGCTAAAACTGATGGTGAGACTCCAAGAGCATTTGCTATGGCAACGTAGTTGACGGCTAAACAAACAACAAATCATAAGGAAGAGGCGTTTCAAGAAACTGGAAGATACAATAACTGGTCTCTCATAAGTCAAAAGACAAATGGATTTTCACCTCCACCGATATGCCTCCCCATGAGAGCAGCCGCTATCTTCCAACTATCAGGACCAAGTGCTCTCATTGGCACTAGATAGTAGGCCAGAGCAGTACCAATTGTGGTCGCAACTGTTACAAAAACCATGAATAGAACAAAAAATGATCAAGCTTTCTGCTAATTTGAGAGTTAAACAAGCATAAGCTTTAGTGTGAATTTGAGCATATAATACCTGAGCCAATCACAAAAGCCAAGAGAAGCTTTCCGGTAGACTGAACAACACGGCGTAAATCAGCTCTGAACAACAAGAGAGGAACAGCTAAAGGGAGCAGGAAGTTCAACACTATAGCAAAAGCAGGAGCTTCTGAAGAAATGATCCCGAGATTACTAGCTGCAAGCCCAATCAGAGTGCTCACCAACGCACCACTCACCGCACTTCCAATCTTCGTCTTCTCCGACCTGCAATTTCAAAATCAATCACACCCTTTTTCAATCTCCCATGCACATTTTTTTTTTTAAAACCTCTCTAGCAATCCAGGCAAAATCAACTTCACTAACGATCAAAGTTTAGAGATAGCGAGAGAGACGGAGAAGGAAAGAGCGATTACGTACCAGAGACCGAAAGCGCCGGTGGCGAAGAGCGCAGTCCAAGTTCCCCAATCATCGTTGGCAGAAATGAGAGGCGTATTCAGTTGCGATCTCACAGTCACCGACCGGATCGGAGAGGGTAAGTCCGGTAACGAACCGGGAGAGAGAAACCTGTCGCTTCCGTTACGAGATTGCGACGATGAAGAAGGAGAGACGCTAAGCCGCGGCGAGGAGACTGCTTTAGCAGAGTACTCAGGAAGATCCTGGCGTGAAACAATGTACGATCGCCGGCGAATTGATCCCGACGACGGCAACGAGATCCCTGTCGCATTGAGAAACGGCAAGCTCGTCGCCATATCGCCGTCGACGTCTTGCTTTACGACGAGAAACGTGAGAGAGAGAGAGAGAGAAGCGTTACTTCAGAGAGAGTGGACTTGTGACACTTGTTGACTCATTTAGTGCGTCAACTTTTGATCTATAACATTCGGTGTGAATGGTAAGCGTAATAGATGTATGAGAGGAATGAAAAATCTTTATATTATTATTAAGAAATACATGAAAATTTTATAACAAAAAAACCAATCTAATTATGAAGAGAAAGTGTTTGGCAACAGAATTTAATGAGGATCAATTTAATACATTGTAATGTTTGGATACAAGAATAAGAGAAAAAACTATTTGGATAGAATAAATTGTTTGGATACAAGAATAATAACTTAAAACAAACCGATGGCTTAGAAACTTCCGTTTTCTAGCTCTTAAAAATCTGCAAAAAAAAAACTTAACATAATCTAACGATAATATCAAATCAATAGAATATGATTTTGGATTTTCGGGTTTAAAGTTTTTTTTTTAATTTTAATTTGGGTTCAGTTCAGGTTTCTTTAAAGTTTTTTTTTTGGTTTTTGGGTTTAGTGATATAAAAGTCGTTCAAGTTTTTTAAATTTCTGAATCGGGTTTGGTTTGGGTTTTTTTAAACAAGTTCGGGTTTGGGTGAAAATCTCAGACCTAATTTTATAGATATATAAAGATATAGAAATTGTTCGGGTTTTTTTAAACTTTTGTTCGGTTTGAGTTCGAGTTTGTTTGGGTTCAGTTCAGGGTTTTCCGGATTTTTTGGATTTTGGGTTTTCGGATTTAGACATATTAAAAAAGTTTGGGTATTTTAAAATTTTGATTAGGGTTTTTAGTCGGATTAGGGGTTTGAGTCAAAAAAATTAGAGTTTTTTTTATTCGGTTCAGGGTTTTCGGGATTTTTTGGATTTTGAATTTTCGGGTTTAGACATATTAAAAACGTTTTGGTTTTTAAAAGTTTTGATTAGGGTTTTTGGGTCGGGCTCAGGTTTAGAATTTAGATTTTCTTCACAAATTGCAGCGTCATACCGCGCGTTTGCGCGGGTCCTCTACTAGTTAAAAATTAGAGTAGAAGAATGAGAAAATGAAAAAAATGTTCTCTTAAAAAGTAGTAGAAAAAGTAGTAGAGTAAAATAAATTAATACTTGATATAAATTAATAAACTCTATAAAATAATGATTTTCTCCGGTTTCAAGTCGGGCCAGTGTTAAAATTAGCAAAATTCGATAAGATAATAATATTTTTGAAATTTCTATGTAAATATATAGTCCCATTAATATAATAAATTAATAATTAACGTAAATAATCTTATGTAAATCAGTAAATGCATATCTATGATAATGTAATAAGTATATTTTTCACTTGTCTTTTATTTGATATTTATGTAATCAGTAAATATCTATGATCTAAAATCTATAAGTAAATAAATTAAAAAATTTGCAATTTAGTTTAACTTTGTTTTGTTAAATTATAAAATTAGCATAAAAAGTAAGTGTGGGACTTCGAGTTTCGGGTTTAGAGATATAAAAATTTTAGATGTTTTTTTTCTTAATTTTGGTTCAGCGTTCGATTCGAGTTTTTCCATTTTTTTGGGTTTTTCAAAGGTTTTTTTTTTTTTTTAATTTTTATTTAGATTATAATTTTAGAGATAGAAATGTTTTTTTTGAAAATTTTGGTTCATGTTTTCTTGTTTGGGTTTCGGGTAAAAGTCTCAAGCTTACTAAGAATCATATATCCAAACTCTCGCTCTGTTTCATTAGTCAATGTGAAACAATTCTGGCCTCTAAACATAATTTATTTGTATGAGCAACGAAGGTAGCATCAAATCCATCAAAAGCTGAGCTGAGGTCCAAAGAACTTTACAGCCACAACATAATCTACATCCTTTGGAGAAGATGAGGACATTGTTACGATGGTGACCATTTGGGTTTGACAAAAAGGTATAGTTCTTAATTATAGTATATGAGTACGTACACTCATGTGTATAATATAATATAATCGCTTGTACCAAATTCATTAAGAGGTGATTATATTCATCCTATCTTTGTCAGAATTTTTTGTGATTATAATATTTTGTGAAATAAGAGGTGATTATATTCATCCTATCTTTGTCAGATTTTTTTTTTGTTATATGTTTTAACGTGTTAAATAAGATTTCATTAATGTTAGAATGTAAATAAGGTGAAAAAATTATAATGTGTGTGATTTTTTCTGGTCAAATATGTGGTCTTCTTTTTTTGATAACAAATATGTGGTCTTCTTTTGACTAGAAATATACAAGTAAAAATTATGTTACATTCTAAATTTTATTTTGTTAATTTTTAATTGTAAATTTTGACCATGAAAAATACCTTTTTACGCATGCTTATGTTACCTATATATAGCCAGTCTATAGCGAAAGAACAAATCATCAAAAAATTGAAAAGACAAAGATCATAAAAATGGTTTTCCGCATGAAAAATCTAGTTACATTTGTTTTCACTATCATTTTCATCATATCTATGGCTCATTGTCGTACAGCAAGTACTAATGCTCTAGGTACTCGTTTATTCTTATACCATTTACATAATTGTGGAGAAGATTTCTCTTTTGATGAATGTAGACATTGGTTTAATGTTTTTTCTTTTTTTAAAAAAGATACAGGTTATGGAACAAATGAGGCCCCAACAAATGACCTACCGCAGAAATGCGTCTATGATGCTGGAATATGCAGGGACGGGCCTCAAGGTTGCTTTAGTTTTTGTAGAAGGCATCATTATAATTATGGCGGCCATTGTCTTCCTGATAACACTGCATGTTGCTGTAGCTATCGTAATTGACGAGAATAGTAGCTTCACAAGACGAATATTCTAATAAAATCTAATGATATGTGCTTGTATCATTATTTTCATATGTTATAATTATCTAATACAGAAAATTGAAAGTGATGAAAGAAATAAATCTTACCAAATATAAAATATTTTAATTTTTCCCCGAGCAGTACTTTTTTTATTTATCTTTTTGCAATTTGAATAAAATGTGTTCTACACGTGGGGTTTGGTTAAAAAAAGAAAAACAAAGTTATCTTTATGTTGTTTTTCTGAATTTTGATGAAACAAATCATTACGTATATGGATTGATCTCTTTTAAATTCATTATTAAACCATTAATCAACAAAAACCGATTGCTTTGTCTACAATGTCTTTCTCTTTGGATCAAAAGAGTTAAGCAACGTAATTGGTACATGATTCAACTCATCACCATCATTAGTGATACAAATTAGTCTACAATCATCATATCAATTAGGTTTTGGGAACTCTCATCAAGAAGAAGGTGAAAAAACATGATTCCACCATTTGTGTTTCTCTGCATTCTCTCTCTTTCACAGAGAACCAAAACTCCTATATTCAAACCAATCTTTATCTCTTCTGTTTCTTGGGATCTCGTTTCTCATCTTCCTCCAAAGCTTTGGTTTTTTTCTTAATGGCAGCTACTTTATCTCCTCGGCTCATTTTTCCTGAGCTGCTCCCACTGACAAACCTCGTTCTCTTTGCTGCTTCTGGTAACAATCTTTTCGAATGGTCACGAGATGAGTCTTTTTCCAGAAGCTTCTCACTAGCTTCTCACTACGGCACCAAGCTTCGTTCTGAATCTCTTAATATGTACATTATATATGTCCAGCTCTAAACCACTGAGTGGGGCTATCACTATGGTATTTGCACTTTATGTTTTTTCTCATCGTTTCTCCATATTGTTGGGATTTTAAAACGAGGTGTTCATGGATAGAGCTGAGATTTATGCTGCCGTGGTAGTGAATTTCCAGAAATTTTTATGTCCTTCAGTTTTAGCAAGTGAACCAACAGATTAGCAATGATTAGATGGGAAACTAGCTCGCAAAAGGAAGAATATTTGATTGTTTGCCGTATCCAAGATGGTACAATGTTTAGATGGAGAGTTGAGTATGAAGCTTGAACAGTGTAATTTTTGGATCAACGAAGTAGTGTTTCAAGAGAACCATTTTTCTTACATTAAAGAGTGGTGAGAAATTGGGCTATGCTACCGAGCTTTGGCAATCTATCATGTCATGGGATTATTAATCTTTATAACTTTTCTTTATTTACATCATTCTCTAGCAACAACAACACCACTATTAATTGTATACTTCCTCCCTTTCGAATTAGTTGTCGTTTTAGGTTAATTATTAGTTTCATTTTAGTTGTCGTTTTCTATTTTCAATATAGATTAATGCTATATTTTTCAGTGTTATACTTATTCTTTTACCTTATTAGTTACTTTTATCAAACAAAATAATATATTCAATAGGGGTAAAACAGAAATTTAAATTCATTTTTAATGTGCCTGAAAAACTTCAGAACAACTAGTAAAAAACACGGAGGGAGTATTAAAGTGTGATCTATAACGTACATAGAAATTTAAAAACACGGATTTTCACCTCCACCGATATGCCTCCCCATGAGAGCAGCCGCTATCTTCCAACTATCAGGACCAAGTGCTCTCATTGGCACTAGATAGTAGGCCAGAGCAGTACCAATTGTGGTCGCAACTGTTACAAAAACCATGAATAGAACAAAAAATGATCAAGCTTTCTGCTAATTTGAGAGTTAAACAACCATAAGCTTTAGTGTGGATTTGAGTTAATTATGAGAGAGACGGAGGAGTGATGATGTTGATTATGAGAACAATTGTTTTCGAACCTCTCTAGCAATTCAGGCAAAATCAACTTCACTAGAAATAGCGAGAGAGACGGAGGAGTGATGATGATGATTACGTACCAGAGACCGAAAGCGCCGGTGGCGAAGAGCGCAGTCCAAGTTCCCCATTCATCGTTGGCAGAAATGAGAGGCGTATATAGTTGCGATCTCACAGTCACCGATCGGATCGGAGAGGATGAATCCGGTAACGAACCGGGAGAGAGAAACCTGTTGCTTCCGTTACGAGATTGCGACGATGAAGAAGAAGAAGCCGGAGAGACGCTAAGCCGTGGCGAGGAGACTGCTTTAGCAGAGTACTCAGGAAGATCCTGGCGTGAAACAATGTACGATCGCGGCGAATTGATCCCGACGACGGAAACGAGATCCCTGTCGCATTGAGAAACGGCATATCGCCGTCGAGAGAGAGAGAGAGAGAGAGAGAGAGAGAGAGAGAGAGAGAGAGAGAGAGAGAGAGAGAGAGAGAGAGGACTTGTGACACCTGTTGACTCATTAGTGCGTCAACTTGTGATCTATAATATTCGGTGTGAATGTTAGGCATAGTGTAGATGTGTGAAGAGTAAGTTAAGAGGAAAGAAAAATTAATAATTTGAGTAGAAGAATGCTAATTTTTCCCAAAAAAAATGTTTACTCTTACAAAGTGTAGTATGTTTGCAATGAATAAAGCTATTAATGGTGTTATACTGTTATTGATGGTACTTTTTCGTTTTCTATTTGATAGATGCTTTGGTTTTCTTTTCTTTGGATCGTGCTCTTCTTCTTAAGGAGCTCAAGGCAAGTTAATATGACAGGGATCTATTAACCATCAAGGGAACACTTGATGTGAAAACACTCTCGCCCCATATCCTTTGTCAAAAAGAAAACACTCTCGCGCCTATAGGTACTAAACATGTTCTGTTACTCAAGAACACTCAAGTAATGTCTCAAATCTTCTGTCTGAAATCTATCTATATATATATATATATATAATCTTGATTTTGGAGAAGAGATTATGAAAAAGGAACGCATGTCAATATAGCAATTTGGAATCATGATGCTACATTCACGTATATTAGACAAGTTGACATTACTCTAGAGACACAAACTGAATCGAAGCAGTCACCAAAACGCAGTGACCATTGGATCAAAGCATACGTAGTTAGGAGATGAATAGAATTTCCGAATCTCAAATTATGTTTTTTGGTCTAATTATCTTTCTCGATATGGTGTCCCAACGTTATTACTTTATAGAGGTTTGTATATATATGTAAGAGAAGACAAGATTCTAGACTTGTCCAATTTTATATAATACTCCCTGAGCCAGAGGGAGTAAGAGACTAAGAGATATAGTTATATAATCGCTTGTAACAAATTCAATATTATTTTATGAAATAAGAGCAAATGAAAGTGATTATATTCATCCTGTGTTTGTGTGAGAAAAAAAATTGATATATGTTTTAACTATGTATAACATATTAAATACCATCTCAGTAATGTTAGAATGTAAATTACAATAAAACATTATAAAATAATATTTGATAGAATAATAACCACTATAAGCTAACAAATTTTTTCGGTCTCAACTCAGACCAGTATAAAAGTAAGCAATATTCGATAAAATAATAATATTTATATTTTATTACAATATTTAAAACGTTTATTGATAATTTCAAGTTTATGCATGTCATATTAACAAATAAATTCTTCTAAATTTTTATTACATTATTATATGGAAAATAGTTTTTGGAGATTATGAATTAAAAAATATATTTCCATAAATTAAAAAATATTACTTTATCGATAAAGTAATATTTCTATAAGATAATAAAATTTCAAAATTTCAATATTATTACTTTATAGATGTGTGACTTTTTCTGGTCAATATGTGGTTTTCTTTTGATTAGAAATATATAAGTAAAAATTATGTTACAGTCTAAATTTTCTTTTGTTAAGTTTGAATTTCAAATTTGACCATGAAAAATACCTTTTTATGTATGCTTATGTTACCTATATATATAGCCAATCTAGCTAAACAAAAATCATCAAAAAATTGAAAACAAAAAGATCATAAAAATGGTTTCTAACATGAAAAATTTAGTTGCATTTGTTTTCACTATCATTTTCATCATATCTATGGCTCATTGTTGTACAGCAAGTACTAATGCTCCAGGTACTCGTTTATTCTTATACCATTTATATGATTATGGAGAAGATTTATCTTTTGATGAATGTACACATTGGTTTAATGTTTTTTCTATTAAAAAAAATACTATATAGGTTATGGAATAAATGACGTACCGCAGAAATGCTTCTATGATGCTGGAATATGCGGCCACGATCCTAATTTTGGTTGCTTTAACTTTTGTAAAAGCCATCATTATAACTATGGCGGCCATTGTCTTCCTGATAACTCTGGATGTTGCTGTAGCGTTCATCGTAATTGACAAGAATAGTAGCTCCACAAGATGAATATTCTAATAAAATCTAATGATATGTGCTTTATCATTACTTTATACTCCTATGTTTTAATTATCTATACAGAAAATTTAGAGTGATGAAAGAAATAAATCTTACCAAATATAAAATAATTTAATTTTACCCCGAGCAGTACTTTTTTATTTATCTTTTTGCAATTTGAAGAAAATGTGTTTTACATGTAGGGTTGGGTTAAAAAAGAAAAACAAAGTTGAACTTATCTTCATGTTTTTTTTCAGAAATTTTGATGAAACAAATCATTACGTATATGTATTGATCTCTTTTAAATTCATTATTTAACCAATTTTTCATTTTCCTACATATGATCAAGAAAAACCTATTGCTTTGTCTACAATGTCTTTCTCTTTGGATCAAAAGAGTAAAGCAACGTAATTGGTACATAATTCAACTCATCACCATCATCAGTAATACAAATTAGTCTACAATGATCATATCAATTAGGTTTTGGGAACTCTCATCAAGAAGAAGGTGAAAAGGATGATTCCACCATTTGTGTTTCTTTGCATCCTCTCTCTTTCACAAAGACCATTCCAAAACACCTATGTTCAAAACCAATCATTATCTCTTCTGCTTCTTGGGATCTAGTTTCTCATCTTCCTCCAAAGCTTTGAGTTTGTTCTTAATGGCAGCTACTTTATCTCCTCGGCTCATTTGCCCTGAGCTGCTCCCACTGACAAACCGCGTTCTCTTTGCCGCTTCTGGTAATAACCTTTTCGAGCGATCATGAGATGAGTCTTCTTCCAGAAGCTTCTCACTAGCTAGACGAACCACCAAAGGCCTACCACAAGCTAATCTCCCATGCATCTTCTCTTTAGCCAATTCAGCTTCCTGTTGTACTCACTTTACATGTAGAAATCAGGAGATTGCATTGCAACACTTTGAAACAATCTCTTATCAGAGCAAGCAAATCCAAGAACCAAGAAAAAAGATGGATTGTTAAAATGATTACTGATGTAGCGTATACATTCCTTTTCTCTTTGGTTTGGGTTTTATCATTTTATTTATCTTTCATATTTTTCGTTGGGCTTTATAAGTCGGTTAAGAGATTACTTTATCTCCAAGCTAGGCTATTAGGGTTTTCTTATTAAGATTTGTATAAGTACTTTGCTTCATGCAACTTTGTTATTCGGCTTTGATATTATTAATAAGAGATATACTTTTCTCAACCCTAAGTCTTTCATCTCTCTCGTTTCTCTTTCGAAGAAAGCTTGAGGTTTAAGCATCAAGAGCTTCTCTCAAAATCCATTGATCTTTGAGGGCCTTTTGATTATCCCGCTGCAACAGTTGGTATCAGAGACAAACAATCCTACCATGCCGCCAAAGAAGTCACTCCAACAGCAATTGGAGGAACACAACGACGCTTTCCGAGAAGTTCTCGCTGAGTTTCAAGACAACCTGCGACACACGTTGCGCGTCACCATGGAAGGCGCAATTCGCACAGCTCTTCAAGCTCACCATCAACCTCCGGAGTTCCAACGTCGTCGTGAACCAGTATTTGACGAAGAGGAAGAAGACGATGTCTATGATGACAACCCGTTCGCAAGGCCTCGTGAACGACATCCTCCCGATGTTGCCGACGCTCCACGAGTTGATAACCGTCGTTGGGAGTCAGGTTTTAGACTTGATTTACCAGAATTCACCGGCGGATTACAACCCGACGAATTCTTAGACTGGATAAGTACCACGGAAGAACTACTCACGTTCAAGGAGGTTCCAGATGAGATGAGAGTTCCGTTGGTTGCTACACGTTTTCGTGGCCGAGCTTCGGCTTGGTGGCAACAAACGAAAGAAAAACGTGTTCGAGAAGGAAAGCCACGTATCGCATCATGGGAAAAACTGAAGAAAAAGATGCGTAAAGCTTTTCTCCCTTTCAATTACTCTCGCACAATTTACAACAGGTTGCAAAACTTACGCCAAGGAGCTCGCTCTGTGGATGATTATGCAACAGATTTTTTTTCCCTCCTTGCTCGAAATAGTTTGTTGGAAACAGAGGATCAACTTGTGTCACGCTTTATTGGAGGTTTACGACCGCAGATCCAAAACACGTTGCTCCAATTCAACCCGGCTTCTGTCTCCGAGGCTCATCAACGTGCCATTCTTGTTGACCAAAATACTCGTGCACCCATGTCAAACTGGAACTCAGTTAACAATCGCTCACGCTCTGCTCCGTCAGACTTCGTCAAACCACCAGACCCGGTTCCGGAGGCAAGCGCTCCAACCCGCGGATCCGAGATCGTTGATGGCTCCACGGCTCAACGAAACCCACGACCTCCAACCTTTAAATGCTTTGGCTGCGGCGAACAAGGCCACCGGCAATCTGCTTGCCCCAAGGCAACTCGTCGTGGACTTTTCAATGATGAAGAAGCACGATATGATGATTACGGCGACGATACTGATACACTAGAGGTCGAAGAACAACTCTCGGGCGATGTCGGACGTACTCTGGTTTTCCGACGAAGCTGCTTTTCACCACCCGGAATTCAGGAATCATGGCTCCGCACAAACATTTTCCGTTCCACATGTACCATCCGTGGTAAGGTTTGTCGTTTCATGATCGACTCTGGTAGCTGCACCAACATTATCTCGGAAGAGGCGGCTTACAAATTGGCTCTGTTCACCGAACCACATCCGTCACCTTACACACTGGTATGGCTCAACGTGAAAACAGAGCTGAAAGTTACCAAACGTTGTCGTGTCCCATTCTCGGTGGGTCCAAACTACAAAGATATTGCTTGTTGTGATGTCATTCCAATGGACGCATGTCACCTTCTCTTAGGCCGTCCGTGGGAATATGACAGACGTACAATGCATGATGGATTTGCTAACACTTACGCGTTTTCATTCGAAAACAAACGTATCACGTTGCTTCCTACGCAAGACTCCACCACTCCGACGATTATTAGCACCGATTTACCCGCTCCACCGACTTCTACTCCTCCTGGAAAACAGGTCATGTTTCTGAATAAGTCTCAATTATCTACTGAACTTCGTTCGGCTGACGTGTTCTATCTCTTGGTTGCACCGTCGACTTCACAACGTTGTCCACTTGAGGTTCCATTGGCTTTTCAGGACCTTATTACCGAGTTTAAAGACGTTTTTCCTCATGACTTACCTGATGGTCTCCCGCCTTTACGAGACATCCAACATTGTATCGACTTGATACCCAACGCTGCTCTCCCTAATCGGCCTCACTATCGTATGAGCCCGAAGGAGCATGATGAACTTCGTCGCCAAGTGGAAGAATTGCTTGCCCGAGGCTATTTGCGAGAAAGTTTGAGCCCATGCGCCGTTCCTGCCCTTCTCATACCAAAAAAAGACGGCTCTTGGCGTATGTGTGTGGATAGTAGAGCGGTCAACAAAATCACTGTTCGGTACCGCTTCCCAATCCCCCGGCTGGACGACCTTTTGGATCAAATCGGTAATGCTTCCCTCTTCTCCAAATTAGATCTTAAGAGTGGTTATCACCAAATACGTATCCGTCCAGGTGATGAGTGGAAAACAGCGTTTAAAACGCGGGAAGGTCTTTTTGAATGGCTAGTTATGCCGTTCGGCTTGTCTAACGCACCAAGCACTTTCATGCGAGTTATGAATCAAGCGTTGCGACCTTTCATTGGCAAGTGTGTCGTCGTATACTTCGATGATATTTTGGTCTTTAGTGCATCTTTATCTGAGCATCTTCAACACTTGCATGATGTCTTGTCGGTGCTTCGTCGTGAAAAGCTCTTTGCCGCGTCAAAAAAATGTACGTTTGGTGCCTCGGAGGTTTTATTCCTCGGTTACATTGTTTCTGCACAAGGCTTACGCGTCGATCCTGCTAAAGTCTCCGCCATCAGTTCTTGGCCAGCTCCAACATCGATCACTGAGGTTCGTAGTTTTCACGGCTTGGCCTCCTTTTATCGCCGCTTTGTACCTCATTTTAGCTCCATTATGGCTCCTATTACGGACTGTATCAAGTCTACGTGTTTTTCTTGGACTATGGAGGCTCATGCTGCTTTTGAGAAGATTAAGACTTGCCTCACCACCGCACCGGTTCTTGCATTGCCGAACTTTACACTCCCTTTTGAACTCCATTCAGATGCTTCTAAGAGTGGTATAGGTGCTGTTTTGAGTCAGCAAGGCCGACCGATTGCCTTTTACAGTGAGAAGATGGCTGGTCCGCGCAGTCGCTATAGTACTTATGATGTCGAACTCTATGCCGTGGTTCAATCCATCAAGCACTGGCGCCATTATCTTTTTCATAGAGAGTTTGTGTTGTATACCGACCACGATGCACTTAAACACATGGGCTCGCAAGACAAAGTCTCATCTCGTCATGCGAATTGGTTTGCATATCTCCAGCAATTCACATTTGTGATTAAGCATACGGCTGGATCGCTTAACAAGGTTGCTGATGCTCTTAGTCGTCGACATGCCTTACTTGCTACGCTTCAGGTTACTGTTCTTGGTTTTTCTTCTCTCCCTGAACTCTACCCGGCGGACCCTTTCTTTGGCAAAGTTTGGCCTGATGCACAAGCAGGTTTGAGCCCTGATTTTTTTGTCCTTGATGGTTTTCTGTTCCGTGGTTCCCAGCTCTGCATCCCGGAATGCAGTTTACGATTACAGATTATTAAAGAAATCCACACTGAAGGTCATGTTGGTCGAGACCGCACGTTACAACTCGTCACGGCTTCTTACTTTTGGCCCACTCTACGACGTGAGGTGGAACGTTTTGTGTCACGTTGTGTTATTTGTCTTGCTTCAAAGGGCCATGCTACCAATGCCGGTTTATATTTACCTCTTCCCATACCAACACAGCCTTGGACCGACATTAGTATGGATTTTGTACTCGGCCTCCCTCGCACTCAACGGGGCCACGACTCTATCTTTGTTGTGGTTGATCGTTTCTCCAAAATGGCTCGTTTTATCCCTTGCAAGAAAACGACAGATGCTTCCCAGGTTGCAACTTTGTTCTTTCGAGAAGTCTATAAGTTGCACGGCTTGCCTATATCCATTGTCTCGGACCGTGATTCTCGCTTTCTAAGTCATTTTTGGCGCTCTCTTTGGAAGCTTTTGCGCACCAGTTTAGACATGAGCTCCGCTTATCATCCACAAACTGACGGCCAAACCGAGGTAACTAACCGAGCATTGGGTGATCTCTTACGTTGTTTAGTTGGTGACAACATACGTTCATGGGATAATATTCTTTGTCAAGCTGAATTTGCTCATAATCATGCACTCAATCGGAGTACCGGTTTCAGTCCATTCCGTGTTGTTTATGGTGTTTCTCCACGTGGTCCTTTGGATCTTTCCATAGCCCCTGATCGCACTCGCATGCATGGTCGAGCTTGTGATGTAGTTGACGAGTTTGTGGAGTTACATGCTAAGGTTCGTGATAATTTAGAACAAGCCACAGCGAAGTATAAGAGTGGAGTTGATGCTCATCGTCGTGACCTTCAGTTTAATGTCGGTGACAAGGTTTGGGCTGTCCTTACCAAAGATCGATTTCCTCCTCACATGTATAACAAGCTCAAGGCTCGCAAGATTGGACCGTTGGAAGTTTTGGAGAAAATCAACAACAATGCTTACCGTCTTCGTCTTCCTCCAAACATGAACACTGCCGACGTGTTTAACGTTAAGCATTTGGTTCCTTATGATGATTCTGATTCTGTTTCTCCTCCTACCAGTGGAAATTCGAGGGCGAATTTCTCTTCACCCCCGGGGACCTGATGTAGCGTATACATTCCTTTTCTCTTTGGTTTGGGTTTTATCATTTTATTTATCTTTCATATTTTTCGTTGGGCTTTATAAGTCGGTTAAGAGATTACTTTATCTCCAAGCTAGGCTATTAGAGTTTTCTTATTAAGATTTGTATAAGTACTTTGCTTCATGCAACTTTGTTATTCGGCTTTGATATTATTAATAAGAGATATACTTTTCTCAACCCTAAGTCTTTCATCTCTCTCGTTTCTCTTTCGAAGAAAGCTTGAGGTTTAAGCATCAAGAGCTTCTCTCAAAATCCATTGATCTTTGAGGGCCTTTTGATTATCCCGCTGCAACAATTACCTCTTTACGGTTGTATTGGATGAAAGCGTAGCCGCGTGGCTCTCCTCTCTTTGGACCACGTGTGTGCCAAAGGAAGTCTTCTGATATGATCTTACCGTATGGAGAAAACATGTTTATCAACGCAGCCCTATCAAGAAGAAGAGAAAGATTTCACATGGTATTCAAACAAAGTTTTTTTTATCTATTATGACAACAAGCTTTTGATTCTCCCTCCTTACTCGTTTATTCTAAGATCCAAGTTTCCAACATATAATCTGCTCTCATTCTTTTCATCTACAAACCCATTTGCATCCTGAAGCATATATGCAAGAAAAAAAATTAGTTAGAAGATGACACAAATTAGCATAAGAGAGAAATAGCAAACAAGATAACTCTAGGATATTGTAGTTACCATGAAGCAAATAGATTGCAAAATGTAATTTTTTTAAGCTCAAGAACTTAAAAGATTGTAATCTGAATCCACCTGCAAATAAGCAACTTCAACATTAGAGTAAAGCTTAATCCTTTTTGCATATAATAAAACAAGTTCACATACAAGATATCAGTAGAGTACACACAGATGAGAAAACAATGCTCAAAAGACCAATAGCAAGCAAAAAAAACTGTTCTTTTACATAGAGATGGCTAAAGAGTTCACTTGTTGAAGAAACCAATCGAACAAGACTCAGTTACAATTCTCTATATTGCATAATCAATATCGAAAGCAGAGGCTTCTTCTTGTCAATGAGATTGCAGTAAAAATTCCACAAAGCACCAAAAAGAGAGAAACTTTTGGCTCTAGGGAGCAAGAGTAGAGATGTGTCTACTCGAATTCAATGTCCGTGATGAACTAGAGTATCGACAGAATCTTAATTGCACAATAATCAAATACTACTAGTCAATTGCGACAAATCTCGTGGATCTCATTGGGATGTGTAATTACCAATTACTCCGATTACATGAGCTAAATCTGCTAGAGAGAATAGGAGGAAGACAAACCCAGAAAGTGTTCAACTTGAACTTCAACGGATGAAAAATGTTTAGAGAATCTGCTTACGGGAGTAAAGCTGCTCAAGCGCGATGATCTCCAAGACCAGAATTTTCTAGCTGTAACTTAGTAAACGTATAACCACCGGTTTAAGAATGAAACCGAACCGTTCATCGTGGGGGAATTGAAAGTCTAGTAAAACTTTTTATTGTGGTCTAATGTATTAGTTTTTTTTGGGTGTTGTGCAAAACTAACCTCAAACTAAATTATTTTTGCAAGAAAAACCCTCACCTAAAAAATAATGCAAGTCAAATCACTCACCTCAAAAGTCATCTGCAATATAATCCCTGTCTATATTGATGACATGGCATTGTCAGAATTTTTTATAAAAAATAAGATTTTGTGCCAAAACAATCTCAAACTATTTTCTTTTTGCAAAAAGAGCCCTCATAACTAAAATATTCAAATAGTCTCCACAATTGAGTTTCAAGAGAAAGAGAGAAGAGGAGAGAAGAAGAAAGAAAAAGAAAGAGGAAGAAGAAGAGAAAAATGAAAGAGAAGAAGAAAGAAAGAAGATGATGGTGGGGCGAGGGGAAACGGCCGATTCCTACCTCAACTAGAATTATAGGCACCAATCCCTACCTCAACTTTTTAGGTGTACCAATATATACCTCAACTACAAAAAACCATACATTTCATATCCGAACTTTACTCTTCTTGGCCAAAACGAGCATTGACTAACGTTTTGTTAGTCAACTCCGCTTTTCTATTAACGGAGCTGACTCAGCATGACACGTCATCTGCCACATAGATTTTTTTTTTTTACAGAACTCAAAACGACGTCGTTTTAATATTTTCAGAAAATTGCTTCTTAGGGGATTCGAATCACTACTCTCGAGAGAAGAAGAAAAGGAAGATAACCACTAACCTACATAGACATTATTGTTAACTTTATATATATATATATATATATATATATATATATATAAGGAAAGTAAACACTTGTAGTTTTAATGATTTTGTTAAAATGTTTCAGACTATTGGCTCTCAATTTTATGTTTTAACAGCCATAAATATCTATTTAACTATTAATCTGAATTATTTTAATTTTTCAAATTTGAAAAAAATCAGTTTTCAAAAAGAAAAATATCGTAACCACCTGACTTATGACATATTTTTTAGTTGTTACTAAAGAAAAAATATTTATTATAAATATATGATTTTATATAACTAGATTAAGGCCCGCGTATACGCGGGTATATTTTAAGATTTTATAATAAAAGCATGGAAAATATTAAACAAAATTTGATCATTTTTAAACGTAAACAAAATAATATTGAAAACCCGATAAAAAATATTTAAATAAAATAAGATTGGTAATACTTTTACATTTTTATTGTAATTGATTTTTCTTTTGAATTTATGATATGACAAAATGAATTAATTTGTTTTACTATTATTTTTATCCAATACAGAAAGACTTACACATGTCTAAATCTGATCAACTGATTAATTAATCAAACTTTTATTATTCCATTCAAGAGATTTTAATTGATGAAATATTTATTTCAATTTTTTTACCTAACAAAAATTGAAAATCAAACTATTTAAAATTAGAATATCAATTATAATTTTTTAATATTAGTTAATTGCTTGATAATTATTTTGTTAGTTTTTTATTTATATTTTTCTTTCTCAATTTTTTTTTGCCTCAGACCATTATAAATACTATATATTGGTATTTTTCCTTTTCGAAATGGATTTTTTTTCCTTTTCTTAATAGATGTAACAAAAGAATTTAAATTATTTGTTTCCTGTTTTTTTATTACTTTTAATGGATATTATTTTTTTCATTTTAATTATTTGTTATCTGTTTTTCTAATTTTTAGTTAGTCTTATACATATTAATTTTTTTTTTATTCCATGACACATGTTACGATCTTCATACTTCGAGAATTTTTTTTTTTGTTTCTAAAACTATGTATCGCAAAACTTTCAAAAACATGATTTTTAAATTGGAGAAATATAATCAAAGGGATTTGATGAATTTGTTTTGATGAATTTATGATTGAGAAATCTTGACTCTCTTTTATAGGGGTTCAAGTAACCTATTACATGCAGTTATAGGAAATTTAGTTTACATAACATATTCCATGTACAAATAGGATTTTATTTATTACATTATTTTGATTTTATTATTTGTTTGGATAATATTAATTTGATGAATGGGAAACCTTTCTCTATTAGGATATGACAAATATATTTTTATTTCTTTTAACTGTAATGGATTAATTTTTTAAAAACAATTTCTTTTATTATTTTTTTTTTTTTCTCTAAGACATGTGTCACGATCTTAACGGACGTAACATTAAAAGTGACACATGTCGCGATCTTATAAATTATAAAAATCCTATGTGTCGCAACCACGTCGTGCGCATCCAACTTTATATAATAAAAAATTGATGAATGGAAACCTTTTTCTGTTTGGATATAACAAATATTATTTTTTCCTTTTTGATATAATATATTAAATTAAATTTCGTTTTTTTTAATTAACATTTTTCTGGATTTTTTTTTTAAGTTCTCCTTTTTTCCTAAGACACGTGTCACGATCTTAACGGACATAAACTTAAAAGTGACACATGTCGCGATCCTGAATTTTATAAAAATCCTACGTGTCGCAACCACGTCGTGCGCATCCAGCTTTATATAATAAGATTTATATTAAACTGTTAACTAATGTTCCGATAATAACCAAAATTATACATTCAAACTGTTGAATAATATAATAATTTTAATATAAATATAATCAAATTTTGAGTCCGTTTAATATAATTTTATATAATTTATATTAAATCATTATAAATCCATAATATTAATTATTATCTGAATTTTGGTTAAAAATTAATTTAATTATATTATTTTAAATCCAAAAATTGAATTAGTTCGATTTAACTGTTAAATAGGAATTGGAGAAATGGCTGTTAAAACATAAAATTGGGAGCCAATAGTTTGAAACATTTAAACAAAATCATGAAAACTATGTATATGTTTACCTTCCTTATATATATATATATATAAGATGTCGAAGTTAACAATAATGTCTATGTAGGCTAGTTGTCATCTTCCTTTTCTTCTTCTCTCTCGAGCAGTGGTTCGAATTCCCTAAGAAGCAATTTTCTGAAAATATTAAAACGACGCCGTTTTTGAGTTCTATAAAAAAAAAACAATCTATGTGACAGATGAGGTGTCATGCTGAGTCAGCTCCGTTAACAGAAAAGCGGAGTTGACTAACAAAACGTTAGTCAATGCTCGTTTTGGCCAAGAAGAGTAAAGTTCGGGTATGAAATGGATGGTTTTTTGTAGTTGAGGTATGGATTTAAAAAGTTGGAGTAGGGATTGATGTCTATAATTCTAGTTGAGGTAGGAATCGGCCGTTTTCCCGATGGGGCGATGATGGTGATGCATGACGGTGACGTGATCAGTGACCGGTGATGATGGTGATGGTGGTAATATTAACTCTCGTGGTGATAGCGATAACAATAATCTTAATAACAATGGCTTTGAATGGTGATACAGAAAAAAAAATGCAGATTAAACAATAAATCCATATCAAGCTGAAGAAATACAGATCATGATTTGTATGCAAGACAAATGCATATCAAACAAATTCAATAATAATAAAATATCATACTTAATTGAACAATGAAAAAACAAAGAAAAATTTCAATATATATAAAGTTGTCCTGAAAACAAGAAAATTAAAAATTGAAACATTATCTAAATTTTAAATTTGATTACAACATACAAACAAATTATTTCCAAAATTTAACGTGAAATGTTTTTGTTTGTCCATAATGTATTTGCAATATGTTCCCTAATGTTAACAATAAATCTTTTGTATATAGTTTTGAAATAAATAAATACATAAAATTAGAATTGTAATTTATAAGCTACAGATATAGGTTATATTTATATATAAATAAAAAAAATACCTCAAAATAATTTAAATCTTTAGTCATATATATCAAAATAAAATATATTTTTGCATTTATGAATTCATTGTACTAACTTATATGAATCTCTTTATCATAAAAGAAACATGAAACTCAAGAAATTTAAATTTTGAATTGTTATGTTTGTAATATAATTATAATGATATATATATATATATAATAAATATACATAAATAGTGATTGGAAACAACTACCTACTATATAAAAAATATGAATATGTAAAGTGAATATATTTAATTTTTAGATATAAAATTGTTATGTTCATTGATATTTAATTATTCATTGAAAAATAATCAATACAAAAAATTAGTTTTCACAAAATAATATATAAATTACATAACATACCTTAATCTACTAAGAATCTTATAGATTTAATTTTCATATATAGAAAGAAATATTAATTAGGAAACTCAATATTTATAACCAAATTTTAGAAATAATTAAAAAATTAGAATATATGAAAAATAGTTATGCACATGTAACAAAGGTTTCTAGGCTAGTTTTAGTTTAACACAGGTTTTGTGGATTTATTTGTATAAAAGTAAATAATAATTTTTTTTTTAGCATTTATAAGTAATTACGAAATTAAAAATAAATAAATATAATAAAATAAAAAGATAAGTCTGCATGTGTTTAGGAGGCTTTTAGCTCCTTCCTTGCAAATCAGAAAAATTTCACAAAAGAAAGACAAAAAATATTAATCTGCATGCAGAGTGATTTGTATTTTCTTGATATGTAAATAAAAGTGTGATTGGCTATGAAATACAGATCAATCTGTATGTAATCTGATCTATATTTAATCTGTATTTTTTCTGGGCTTCCATTCAAGGCCAATAATTCTGATGTTTGTTAACTAAATTGTTATCAATGTTAGTATTGATAATTCATATTTTTCTTGGATTGATTACAAGATTAACACATAAGTTTTTACGATAACAGTGTTAATAGAATAATTTGCTGATATGATAATTGGGTTAATATAACATTAACTCACTCGATTATTGATATTGTTATCACCAATGTTATCATCAATGTTATCTTCAGTGTTACCTTCAATTATAAAATGACCTAGTATAACCTTTTTTTTATAAGAAATAGCTATAATAATTCATCTATATTTTTATTACTCATATAGTCATATAACCTATTAATCACCTAAGTAATAAGAAATAGCTATAATAATTCATCTATATTTTTATTACTCATATAGTCATATAACCTATTAATCACCTAAGTAATGATGTATAATTCCAGTTTTATCATTTTAATTATAATTATGTCATTTCGTTTTTGTAATTATTATTTAATTTTAACAATAATAAATTAGTTTTAATTAATAAATAAAAAGAAGGAAAATAAATTAAGAAATAAATAAGTTTTAATTTTAAATCAATTGATTATTTTTATTTTACCAAATTTCATCGGCAATAAAATGCAGAGTCTACCAAAAAATAGGTTGAGTCTGCCAATAAAATAACATACTAGCAAAGTAAAATCCGAATCTGTGAGTAAGTTTGGAAGACTTTAAAAGAGTAATTTTTGGAAGAAAAATAATAACAAACTAGAGTTTGACCCGCGCCTTGCACGGGTGATATTTTCTCAATTTGATTTTATTAAAAGATGTCTATTTACATACAATTTTAGGAACATAGAGTGTTAGACAATTAAAAAAATGTCAATTTACATTAGACGAAATTTTGAGTGATGCATATTTTTTAGCCTGGTTTGATTTTTGTCATCGTTTACAGTGTGGTAATCTAACATTTGCTTTAACAACAGTTTCTCCCTTTCCGAACCCACATATATATTAAATTTTAATACATTTAAAATAATTTTATATTTTGATAAATATAAAATGGCATATATATTTTATGTTTTTATCAATTTTAAATAACTAAAATAATTTAACTTATATGATAAGTTATTAGAATTTATTACGTTTAAAATTTTGATCAAACCAAAATATTAAAAATACGATTTAATTATTTAATTCAATTAAAGAATCAAATTAAATCGAATAAAAGAAATTTTAAAGATTTCCAAACATGGTAAATTTTTCTTTCCTATTTGTGATTATGGTTGATCATTATTTGGATCCTATTTTATAATAGATTTTTGAACTATTATCCCAAAATATAATCATGTGGGACATTTAATTTTTAGAGATTTGCTTCATTTTTAAAAATTCAAACCATAGCATATGTAAAAAAAACTAATTTTCTTTTTTTAAATATTTTGATGTGATGATATAATTTATTCTTGAAAGTAAAGCTAAACAAAAATGATAGATGAATAAATTAATTTTTAAACAATTAATATAATACAATTGAATAAAACTTTCCATATTTTACTGATTGATTGACTAATAAATAAATTTTCGTCATTACCAAATAAGGAAACTGAAAGAAAATAATTTTCATTAATAATTATTTTTCTGACTAAATTAATCATATATATTTCATTCTCTAACCAAATATGAATGGCATAACATGTAATTAGTCTAGTAATGTTTGTCTTAATTAAAACTAACTTGAAAGTGAACCTGGTGTTGACACATCAGCATGGCATTTCTGTTAATAACACATGAGACAAAGGTTTATTTTATAGTGTTTTCTCTTTTAATATATTAGGGATCTTCAAAATTCTTGATAGGCTATTTTGGCTACCACATTAACTCTTCGCCACCGACTTGGATCGTTTAGTTGTTTTAGGAGTAGAGGCTGCAAAAAAAAAACGAACAAATGTTATTATAACAACTCACCCGTTATTGTCTTTGTTTTTTATGTAAGTGTTTGTTACTAACAAAGTTAATTGTTTGTCTAATTGATAGCATCTTCTGTAATTATTTATAACTAGGTTAAAGCCCGCGCGTGTTGCCACTTTTTTTTTTTGTAAATTTGTGTTTTTTCATTTTTGTAAAAATAGGTTTTTTAAAAAATAAATATGATTCTTTCTTTTACCCCAATCCAGAACCTGATTCTAATAACCGGACCAAATCAGAACCAAAATTTTAAAACACTGAAATGGTTTTCCATATCTCTAAATCCTAAAATCCCGCAACTAGACAAAACCCAAAAGGCCAAAACCCCAAAAAAATCAGAAAAACGAACATAATCAAAATTAAAACTTTTTCATATGAAATCGAGGGTGGGAATTTCACAGTTAAATTTCTAGGTTAACACCCATATTACGCGCATGTGATGTTATCATTCTTTCTCGTGTAGTTTCTTTTTTTATGTTTATAAAGCTTGTTTAAAAAAAAAATCAGTCTCTTCGACGCAGTGTTTCATTAGTTTCTCAAGTTTTTATTTTCTACCACTCATATAACGCAACGACTTTATTAGATTCATTTACTATTTTTATTATTTTTGGGTCAGCAAACATCATGCATAGATGCATGAAACAACCAACATTTTTTTTTTTTTTAAATATTAATCAATTCTAGCGAAGGTCTTAAAAATAAATTAAATAAATAAAATATCAATAACAAATAAATCAGCTCAGCGGAAGCAAATAATAATTAAACAAGTCTAGCAAAATAATGCAAAACAATAAAACAGTAAACATCCTATCATCCCCCTCTTCAGCCTTGATTCCGCGATCACACAAATCTTTTACCTGCAACACATTGGAATGGAGTTGCGTAAGTATTTAATAAATACTTAGTGAGGCAATCACTCTGCCTACGAGCCATTTACGCAATTTACTAGATATTTAATAATATTTATAAACTTCAATAATTATTAAATACCATTTTCCAATTATTAAATAATTTTTAATAATTAAAACTCAATTTCTCAATTATTAAATAATTCTCATAATTAAATAATAATTTTCCATATTTTAAAATAATTAAAATAATTATTTTAAATAATTAAATTAAATTAAATTAATTAATTAATATAAACCAATTAAATTCAATTAAACCAAATTAAATCAATTAAATTCAATTAAACCAATATAAACCAATTAAATTCAATTGAACCAAGATAAACCAGAATCAAATCAATTAAATTCAATATAAACCAGATTAAACCACACAAACACACAATTCATCACATAAACAACCAAAATATCATGAAATAACAATTAAACACATAAACTCATCAAGAACAACCACAAACCAAATCTAATCTAGCAAATCACGGACCCACAGTCATGCACTCACCTTGACAATTGATTGAAACTGAAGGAAAAAGGAAGGACGATGAACAGTGCCGAATCGCGGATGAACAGTAACCCGTGAACAGTACCGATGAACAGTACCCGATGAACAGTAAAATTCGAAAATCTCTCCAAAAACTCAACTTTTCTCCTCTACAGCATCTGAACTCGAAAATTCTCCAAAGAGAAGACGGCTGCACTCTTTAAACTTGATTTTAGGGCTTTCTCCACTAAACCGACCCAAACCAATTCACTTAAATTGAACCGACAAAATTCCCAATTTTTATTTTTGGTTTATGGATGTTACAACTCTTCCCCACTAAACTGGATTCGTCCTCGAATCCCAACGCAAACGTCACAAAGACCACAAAACCCAACCTCGCAAGGCCGCAACACCGGAGATCCTCACTTGATCCCCGAGACAAACGTCATATCTTATGTCATAAACACGTTCCAAGAAAATTTCACTCCTAACTCATCATCCAAACACACCAAACAACTTGTACTGAGGCCCACTTGCACCCAGACAAGTCCACACCGGTCCGCACTGAGGCCCACTTGCACCCAGACGAACCCGAAAACGTCCATACTGAGGCCCACTTGCACCCAGATGAACTAAACTGCTTATACTGAGGCCTACTTGCACCCATATAAGCTACACTCAACTGAGGCCTACTTGCACCCAGAGAGTCTGCCAGAGAACGAAGTCTCCAAAAACATGATGAGTTATTCAGGATCGCAATCCTTAGAGTAAAAATTCCGGAAAATGTCTATAACCATAAGATTAGACCGTCTCACAACCAAAAACTGGTCAAACATGTGTAACATCCGAATACCTTTTCACAACACAAGGCAAAATGAGGAAAAACTGCATCTCATTAAAACTCCAAAATGTAAATCGTTACAACGAAAACGAAAATACAATAACACCAAAGCCAAAAATAACAACTGAGGCTACAAAGATGAAATAAGCTCACTCCTCGACCTGCTTGTCGAACCACTTCCTGAACTTCAACTTCATCTTTGCCTCTGGCTCCCAAGTCTCCTCTGTAGAACCACTGCAATCCCACAAAATCCTCAGTAAGGGAATCCTCTTGTTCCTCAGAACCTTTTCCCTCCTCTCTAAAATCCTCATAGGCACTGCCGGCACGGTCAAATCTGGCTGAAGATCCTCTGGAATCCTAGCCACTAACTCCTCTGTAGGGTGAAGACACTTCCTCAGCATCGACACATGAAAAACCTTGTGAAAGGCTTTCATAATCTCAGGCAACTCCAGCCTGTAAGCTAATGGCCCAACTCGCTCCACTACTGGAAACGGACCCATAAATCGCGGACTCAGCTTGTTCTCTGCTATGGATCTGTTAGGACCCCTCAACATAGCCATCTTGAGATAAACTCTATCTCCAACCTGAAACTCAAGCTCTCGTCTGCGTCTATCTGCATAACTCTTCTGCCTATCCTGAGCCTCCTTCATGTTCAGCCTCACAACACGAACCTTCTCTGTCGTCTCCTGAACATAAGTAGCTCCATACATGCTGCGCTCCCCCACTTGGGTCCAGCATAGGGGTGTCCTACATGGCCTCCCATACAAAGCCTCGAATGGAGCCATGCCAATACTCGCCTGAAAGCTGTTGTTGTATGCAAACTCAACTAAGCTTAGGTGATCTGCCCAATGGCCACCCCAATCCAACACACACATCCTCAGCAAATCCTCCAAAGTCTGAATAGTCCTCTCTGACTGACCATCTGTCTGCGGATGATAAGCTGTACTCAGATGCACCTTAGTGCCCATCTCTGCCTGAAACGCCCTCCAAAACTCTGAAGTGAATCTGGGATCACGGTCTGACACAATACTAGCTGGCACTCCATGCAGCCTCACAATCTCTCGCACAAACTTCCTAGCCAAGACAGCAGCTCCATCTGTCTTCTTGATGGCCAAGAAATGTGCAGACTTAGTCAACCGATCCACAATCACCCAGATAGCATCGAAAGTCCTTGAAACAGGTAGTCCAACCACGAAATCCATCGTAATCCTATCCCACTTCCACTCGGGAATGGGTAAACTCTGCAAAAGACCACCCGGAACCTGATGCTCTGCCTTCACCAAGGCACAAGTGTTGCACTTCGCAACCCAGTCTGCTACATCCCTCTTCATCCCGACCCAATGATAGTACCTCTTGAGGTCATGGTACATCTTGGTCGCTCCCGGATGAATGGAAAACTTGCTCGCGTGAGCCTCTCCCAAAATCTGATGTCTCAACTCCACATCCTTAGGCACACAAACTCGCCCACGAACCAAGATAGTCCCATTCGCAGAGACCTCATACTCAGAACCAGTCACTCTCGTCGCATCTAGCAAACTCTGATCACTCTGCTGAGCAACTCTGATCCTGCTAAGTAGATCCGCCTGATCCACTGCCTCTAAACCCAAAGGCTCCTGCGAAATGGCACACAAACGCAAGGTACTGATCTCGCCAACTAGAGACTCCACATCTCGCTCAACTGCGGAATCATACCTCCGTCTACTCAACGCGTCCGCCACTAGGTTAGCCTTGCCCGGATGGTAGTTAATGCTCACCTGATAGTCCGCCAAGAACTCAACCCAGCGCGTCTGTCTCGCGTTCATCATCGGCTGAGTGAAGATATGCTGCAAACTCTTGTGATCCGTGAAGACCTGTACTGTCTCACCTAGCAAGTAAGACCTCCAAATCTTCAACGCGAAGATCACTGCTCCCAACTCTAAGTCATGTGTAGGACGGTTACGCTCACTGCCCTGCCACTGTCTCGAAGCATATGCTATCACTCTGCCCTCCTGCATCAGCACACAACCAAGACCAATGCCTGAAGCATCTGTATACACCATGTAAGGCTTCCCTGGCTCGGGTAACGCCAACACTGGTGTAGTAGTCAACATCTCCTTGAGCTGACTAAAGCTCTCCTCACACTCAGCTGACCAAACAAAAGGGACATCCTTCCCGGTCAACTTCGTCATCGGCTGCGCCATGGTAGCAAACCCCTTGACGAACCTCCTGTAGTATCCTGCCAAACCCAGAAAACTCCTGATCTCGGTGGCACTACTAGGTCTAGGCCAATCTCTGATAGCCTCAATCTTAGCCGGATCCACAGAAACTCCCTCTGCAGAAACAATGTGGCCAAGAAATCCCATCTCTCGCTGCCAGAAACTGCACTTGCTCAACTTAGCAAAAAGCTTCTGCTCCCGAAGCTTCTCCAGAACCAACCTCAAGTGAGTCGCATGCTCCTCCTGACTCCTCGAGTATACCAGAATATCATCAATGAAAATGATGACGAACACATCCAAATACTCCCTGAACACGTCGTTCATCAATCTCATGAAGGCTGCCGGCGCGTTAGTCAAACCGAAAGGCATAACCACAAACTCAAAATGCCCATAACGCGTCCTGAAAGCAGTCTTCCTGACATCTGCCTCATCTATCGGGATCTGATGATACCCCGATGCCAAGTCAATCTTGGAGAACCAAGTAGCACCCCTCAACTGATCCAGTAACTCATCAATCCTCGGGAGTGGGTACCTGTTCTTCACAGTGACTCGGTTAAGACCTCTGTAATCGATACAAAGTCTGAAACTCCATCCTTCTTCTTCACAAACAACACCGGTGCTCCCCACGGTGAAACACTCGGTCGAATGAACCCCTTAGACAAAAGGTCCTCTATCTGCTTCTTCAGCTCTGCCAACTCAGCTGGCGCCATCCTGTAAGGCGTCTTCGATATCGGTGCTGTCCCCGGCTCTAACTCAATCGTGAAAGGATCAGACCGAGATGGTGGTAATCCCTTCAGTGACTGAAAGACATCCTCAAAATCCTGGACAACCTCAATATCTCCCATAACAACTCCAGCTCCTGACTCAGACATAGAAATCGTCGCCAGATACGCCTCACAGCCCCGCTCTAACAACTGCTCGGCCTGAATAGCAGATATCACAATACTCCCGGAAGTCGGTCTCACTCCCTGATAAACCAACCTCCCTGCATCTCGCTCGAAGACCACTCTACCTCTGTAGCAATCCAGATGAACTCTGTAGTGTGACAACCAGTCCATCCCGAGAATAACGTCATACAGCTCCACCGGACTGATGACTAAGTCTGCTGGCATTGACTGCCCCGCAATCTCGATCTCGACTCCTCTAGCACGGCCCAAAGTAGACAAGAATCCACCTCCCGCCACCTTGACCATGCCCGCGCTCTCGCCCGCGCTACTCCGGATGCCACTCTTCTCGGCACGCTCCGGTGTAATGAAGCAATTCGATGCTCCAGAGTCGAATAAAACGTGGGACTCAAAACCGCCCACTAACAAGGTCATTACAAACACATGCGTTGAGAACCTCAACAATTTATCACAGATAAATGAACAACACACAACAACAACAACCATTATGCCCTCGATGCCCGCCACCACAAATGTGCATCTCCACTCAGATAGTGGACTGCCAACTCAACCTGGTACTAAACAAACATCTGATAGACTGGAAATTCCGCTCCAATCTCTGACGCCACATCTGCCGCCTCTGGGCTAACTCCGCCCTAAAGTACGGCGTACCAATCCTCTGCATGTGCCCCATCATATCCAAATAGGACGGCACCATCAAACCCACAGCCTGCGGCTGAACAAATCCCGCAGCCCTCTGCTGCACCTCTGCCACTGGAGGTACTCCCGGAGCCCCCTGTGGAACCACTGGCGGAAAACGAGCCAATAACTGCGTCAGCAAACCCACCACTAAGTCATCAAGACCCTGAGCCGGAGCACCACCCCAACCCGGAGCAGCCCCCGCTCCCAAACCAACACTCGCATCCACACTGGCCTCACTCGCCACGGATACCGACTGGGTCACCGACGCAGTCGCCACACTAGGCACCACACTCTCTCCCGAATCCGCCGAAGTCCACAATCTCGGCCCCGGCCTCGAGCACCGCGCCCTCTCGCGCCACAACCTCTAGCTACTCAGTCCATCTCACTCATGGAACCGAAAAAAGCACACTAGAACACGCAACCAAAACTCAAAACAAACATAAACTCACCGCGGAATCTCTTGTAGCTGAAGGGGATGATACTAAAGCCTAGCAATTCTAACAGTCCTAAAACCGTCTAGGCTCTGATACCAAAATGAAACAACCAACATTTTTTTTTTTTTAAATATTAATCAATTCTAGCGAAGGTCTTAAAATAAATTAAATAAATAAAATATCAATAACAAATAAATCAGCTCAGCGGAAGCAAATAATAATTAAACAAGTCTAGCAAAATAATGCAAAACAATAAAACAGTAAACATCCTATCATCCCCCTCTTCAGCCTTGATTCCGCGATCACACAAATCTTTTACCTGCAACACATTGGAATGGAGTTGCGTAAGTATTTAATAAATACTTAGTGAGGCAATCACTCTGCCTACGAGCCATTTACGCAATTTACTAGATATTTAATAATATTTATAAACTCCAATAATTATTAAATACCATTTTCCAATTATTAAATAATTTTTAATAATTAAAACTCAATTTCTCAATTATTAAATAATTCTCATAATTAAATAATAATTTTCCATATTTTAAAATAATTAATATAATTAATAATAAATATTATTTAATTAATTAAATCCGAATTAAATCTATTTAATTCCATTAAACCAATTAAATTCAATTAAACCCAATTAAATTCAATTGAACCAAGATAAACCAGAATCAAATCAATTAAATTCAATTAAACCAATATAAACCAATTAAATTCAATTGAACCAAGACAAAAATCAATTAAACAATTCAAAACCAAACCACACAAACACACAATTCATCACATAAACAACCAAAATATCATGAAATAACAATTAAACTCATCAAGAACAACCACAAACCAAATCTAATCTAGCAAATCACGGACCCACAGTCATGCACTCACCTTGACAATTGACTGAAACTGAAGGAAAAAGGAAGGACGATGAACAGTGCCGAATCGCGGATGAACAGTAACCCGTGAACAGTACCGATGAACAGTGCCGATGAACAGTAAAATCGAAAATCTCTCCAAAAACTCAACTTTTCTCCTCTACAGCATCTGAACTCGAAAATTCTCCAAAGAGAAGACGGCTGCACTCTTTAAACTTGATTTTAGGGCTTTCTCCACTAAACCGACCCAAACCAATTCACTTAAATTGAACCGACAAAATTCCCAATTTTTATTTTTGGTTTATGGATGTTACATGGCAGAACTATGTAAACTCTCAAATAAGTGAAATTCGACCTTGTTCAGCTAATAAATCAGTTATTTTAGACTTTGAGTTGATTTAGAAGAATGAAGTCGAATACATCAATAACTTTTAATTTTATGTTCTTCTCTACTTCAATAAAGTTAAGTTGTCAATTCTGTTTAAAATTATACAATATATTTTAATTCCTTGATGATGCAGTTGTCTATTTCATGCAATAATTTTCACATAGATCAAAATTTTATATGTGTCACCAAAATATGATGTATTTATCTTTTAACTTTCACTTCCAACAAATCATTATTAGTTCCATGTTCCTTTAGCATTTTAGAAGTCATTGCTTCTTGTACAGCGCATACACATTTGATAAAGAACAAAAAATAGAATTGGAAGATAAGATAAAACATTGTATGAAATCTGGAGAGGGGAAACAATATTGTCACTTGATTCAGACGGGGAATATTTAACATCTGAAGTTAAACTGTTTTTAGGGGACAAGTTAGACATCTTAAGTTAGACTATCTTTAGTCTCCTTAGAGGAGACTATCTCTAGCCTCCCTATATTGTTTAATAATCTAAATTTGATGAACATGCAACAACCCGATAATAGTTCATATGACATAAGTGAATTGACAATGTTTCATGATATTGACTCATAGAGCAGTAGAGAGAACTATACTTTTACAGTTTTACATATGTAGGGGGAGGAGGGAAAGCTGATCTAGTAAAAAACTAAAACTACATGAACGCATCCTAATCGAGCTATCTCTTTCTCTGGAGCTTCTCTAACCGGAAAAAATGATAAGTCTGAGACTTATCCAGACATCTTTGTCTCATCTTTATTGATATGTACTCTGTCTTTTCTTCGGTCATTGCATCCTTTCACGGCAGCGAAATACATAATCTCGTACGTCCAGCCTCAAGAATTTAGAGAATTTACTGTTGCCTTACTTTTTTTCCTTTGTTTCTTCATAAGTTTCTCCTCTGCTTTCAAGTGAGAGAAATTAAAACAGTAAACCGGAAGAGGCGTTCAACTGACCAACTTTTTCATGTGTTTTGGACTGCCATGAAGGCCGTTCGCAGCGGATTGCCTTTAACCGGACCGCCAATCTTGTGAAAGATATAGCTGGTGACGATATTCCTCATCTCTGAATTTTTTTGGCCGGGAAGATCACATTCATGAGCTTCCAATCCTTTTGTTTGTAGAGAACACCTTAAAAAAAGACTGGTTAAACCAAAGAAGGTTATGGCAGCAAGACTTACCAAGAGAATACAAACATCAGGGAGAATAATTTAGCATACAATATATCACCTATGACCAAATGTGCATGAGAAGGGCTGGCTAATCTTTAACTTTCCCTTAATCCAACAACATGAGTACCGAGAACAGAGCCAACGAAGATGGATATGCAGAGATTAAGCAACTAAATTTCCCTACTTTAAGCATCATAGTGAAAGAAAACTATAAAATGAACATCAGTTACGAAGAAGCAAGTAATCTGTAAAGCAAAGCAAGTCTCAGCGACGTAATTAGGAACAACCAAGCAATAGATAAAGCATAGGAAGTCTGGAAAATGTTGTTTTGCAAAAAACATGACAATAAGCACAATTTAGTATACGATATATCTCCCAGGACCAAATGTGCATGAAAATGGCTAATCTTTAACTTTCCCTTTATCCGAGAAGATGAGTACAGAGAAGAGAGCCAACGAAGATGTATATGCAGAAATTGAGCAAGTAAATTTCCACACAAGCATCAAAACTAAAGAAAAATAAAAATTCAACATCAGTTATTCAGATAAAACCAGAAAGGCGTTTCAAGCAAGCAATCTGTAAAGCAAAGCAAGTCTGAGCCACGTAGTTTGGAAAACCCAACCAATACATAAAGCATACGAAGTCCGGGACATGTATTTTTTTAGCAAAAAAAACATCACAATAACCAAAAGTGTAAGACTTTATAACTTTCCAATCAAACTATTAAACTTATCACAGACAAACCCCATCGCTTGTTTCCATACACAACAAAACAAATCATTCAAGAGAGCAATCATATACGTAAGATAGAAGCATTCAAGAGCACCCTCTTATGTGAACCAGATATTTCTTCCGGGAAACACCATAAGACTTGTTAATCCAGCAAAAACAAATGTTACGCATATTATCATAGCTAATATAATTATACAACATAAAACTCAAGGCTAATATATCATAGCTAATATAATTACCATTGGAATGAATAGTCTGTGAGAAGATGCGTTGCAGAACATCTTAATTTGGTCGGGAGAAGATGCGGTTCGATGAATAGAATGGCGTAACAGGCATGACGAATTCGCTATTTGGCTGATATCGGTAGCGGAACAGCCTTGCCAGGAGACGATGAGGCAGAAGGTATGGAATTACGGCAAAGGAGCTGTAGGGCGTTGATGTCGATACAGGGTTTCAAGAATACATTCAATACCAAGCCGAGTCATTGCTTGAGTCACTGCTTTGCAATCGCCATAGTAACCTAAACAGAGTAGTGTAAAACTGGATGAGACTTGTGGGAAAAAAGAATTTGAGAAGGAAGAAAACAGAACAATAAATAAGGAGCACAAAAACCTTGGGATCAATATTCTGTTCCTCGTCTCCAGCAAGAGCTTCTCCACTGACTTTGAGGAAAACCCTTCTCCATTTAAGCGGTGGCTTTGATGTTCTTTGCAGTATAAGATAAAATGGAAATTTTTGGTTAAACATTATTTTTTCTCTCTCAAGTCACCTAATTTTGAATTATCTAATCTTTTTCTTAATTCTATTATTATTGAAATGGGTGAGTTGGTTTAATATTACTAAATTTTTTCATAATTTGAAAACTAACCATGGTTTTTTTTTAATTTTGAAAACTAACTTTTTTAATAAGTGAAAAGAAAATAAAACCATTATCATTTCCTATTAATAACGAGAAAAAAAATTCTTATTTAATATATATATATAAGATATTTTTGAAAATTCATTTATATATTTTTTAAGAAATATTTTAAAATATACATATTATTTTGAAAATATATTCATATTTATCATAAAAATGAATCAAACTCTATAAATATATACACATAAATATCATTTTACAATAAAGAAAAACTCACACTTCATTCTTAAAAAAAAGATGATTGAATGTGTTAAAGTTAACTCATATTCTATATTTATGACATGTTAAATTTCAAATAAGATCTTCTAAATAACTTTTTGTTTTCTTGTTGTAAATTTTATTCAGATTTTATGGGAATATCCCACACTGAAGTTTATTTTCTTCTCTTTTTTGTTATATAAAATAAAATAATTGTTTATAATTATTTTTAGAATAACATTTTTTTTAAGAGCATCTCCAACCCATGCTAAATATGACATATATGCTATTTTGCCATAATTTTTGCTCCAACCCAATTGCATATGCTATTGCAAAATAGCATCATGCTATTTTTGCTTCTATATTTGGCATGAGATTATGCAATATGCTATTTTGCCATTGAACTTTTTTATTTATAAAATAGTCCTTCAATTTGTAATTACTTTTAATTTAACAGTTTAATTATATTGATTATGATTTATTTAAATAAATAAACAATACTCATAACTTTTTCAAAATATAAATAATATTTATTTCATAGAAATATAAAAACATAACCATAATAAACTTAAAATTTTATTTTTAAAAATACTGAAATTCAAAAAACATAAAACAATAGGTTAAAATCTTTGTTTTCTATAATTTTTATGTAATATGATGTATTTTGTTTTAATATTATAATAAAAAAAATAAAAAAATATAATTCTGGTTGTTTTTGCAAAAAAATAAAAACAAATGATTCACTTTGTAAAATTTGAAGAAATCAAGTAGTTTTAACAATTAATAATAAGTTGGAAAAAAATTGTAGCATGACATATGGCATGAGGGGTTGGAGATGGTCTTACAATTTAAATAATTTTTAAATAAGATAAACGAAATTTAAAACAATTTTAATATCTAAAAAATTGATGGTATTTTAGTAATTTTAAATATTAGAAAAATTAGTTTACCAACACTTTAACTAATAAGTTAGTTTTCAAAATGTGATTAATTTAGGTAATATTGGTCCAAATTTCCTCTATTGAAATATATATATATATATATATATATATATACATTATAATAACCTTTAAACCGATCCCTATCTCTTGTGTTTTTTGGGATTTTGTTTCTCATCTTCCTCCAAAGCTTTAAGTTTGTTCTTAATGGCAGCTAGTTTTTCTTCCAATCATCTTTCTGTTTGCTTATGCTAATAATCTATTTGAATGATCATGAGATGAATCTTCCAGAAGCTTCTCACATGCATTTTCTTCTCTTTAGCCAATTCAGCTTCCTGTGTATTCACTTTATATGTAGAAATTAGAAGACCCACATTCCAACACATGAAATCATCTCTCACTAGAGCAAATCCAAAAACCAAGAAAAGATGAATTGTTAGTTACCTCTTTATGGTTATATCGAATGAAAATTGATAGTATAATAATTTAATATCCGATTAATAAATTTGATAGTATAATAAATTTCTCAATATCTTTTATCAAAAGTAAAATAAAATAATATTAAATTTCTACGGTCTCAAGTTAGATCGCTATAAAATATAGCTCAACCTGGTAAAATAACAAAATAATATTTTTTTTAAAGAAACATTAGTAAATATAGAGTCCCACTAATATTATATATTAGTAACTTCTATAAGAAAATCTTATACAAAAATATAACCTATGATAATGTATTAAAATATAAGTATCATGTCATTTGTTTTTATTTAAATTTAAATTTATTTTAAAATTATCTCTAATTTATGGATTAAACTTTAAAAAATATTATAATCCTTTAAACAAATTATTTTTTAATTATTTATTAAAAAATAACTATTTTAGTCAAAACTGATAAATTAGTAACTCAGTAAAAATTAATAAAGTATCAAAGTCACAACATTATTTATTTATAGAGTTTCTACTGTAATTCTATTTTATTTTCCTTTGACTATAAATCTATAAGGAAATAAATCAAAATTGTTCTGTTTCATCTTTGACCAAAAAAGCTCTTTTTGCGTATGTTAATGTTATTATATATACAATCAGTTTAAACAAAGAAAATTTCATTCAAAAGAGCGAAGAAAATATCATAAAAATGGGCATCACTATGAAAACTTTAGTCATATTTGTTTTTTCTGTCATTTTTATCATGTCTTCAGTTCATTGTCGTCCAGCAACTACGAGTACTCTAGGTATTCGCTTATTCTTCCACCCAACTTTAAATGATAAATATATATATATATATATATATATATATATTTTTTTTTAAATGATAAATATAATTTTTTTTTTATGAATGTATATATTGGTGTAATAATTTTTTGTTAATAAACAGGTTATGGAATAAATCAGCAGGATCGTCAATGTTTTTCAGGAGGAGAACCAGGAGGAGAATCATGTTTTTATGGAGGGGACAAAAGTTGCACCCTATTTTGTAAAGACCATGATTATTATTATGGTCGGTGTACTACCGAGGCATGTTGTTGTAGTATATATTGATATACAAATATGGGTCCAAAATGATTATTTTAATAGGTTTTAAATTAATATATATGAAAGATTCAGAGTGAAAAGAATAAAATTTCCGAAAATCAAATCTGTGTTTTCAAACCTGTTCGTATCTCTTCCGTTTCTTGGGATCTACTTGTTTCTCAGCATCCTCCACAACTAATTTTTCATCTAGTGTCATACTATCATTAACTGCTCCCACTTCGCAAAACCTTATTTTGTTTGCTTCCGGTAATAATCTTTTGGAGTTGTCATGAGATGAATCTTCTAGTCAGACAGAGAGTAAAAGATAAAGCTCCAATCGGTTCAAATTTCTTTTGTTTTAAAGTTGAGATACTTTGGTGAGATACCACCAATGGAGATGCTTAATAATTTGGTAATCGTAAATATATAAACAATACCATAGTTGATAGTCAAAAGGGAAAGTAGAAAGGAACCAAACAAGGCAAATCCAATCATGTATAGTGATAGGCTGATAGCACACTAGGCAGAAGATGGAGGAAACCAGTATGGAGCCCAAACACGATCAAGTACACCTCCGGATACATGAAAAGTAGAGACGGTTCTGGTGGTGAGATCGTAAGTACCTAAGCCGAATCCTAGAAAATAGATGGAGTTAGGTTTGAGGCCAGGGAAAGAGCTTGCCGGGACGCAAAAAGCCTCGGCCTTTGACATGAACATGCAGAGATCTCCAATGTCATCAGTGTAACACATGAATCTTCCCTCTAGAGTCTCTTCCTCTCTAAACACCATGATCCTCTGCGTTTCATAGGAGACTTTTTTCGAAGAATCCAAACATCCCTTGGCGTACCATTTGACAAGGAAACGTTCATCCCCGGAGGGTGACTCCACGAGGTAATCCGTCCTGGCAGAAGACGGGAACATCTCAGTGATCTCAGAGTCGTACTTGAAAGCCTATGTAAAGTTGTGAAACTTCAACTCATGAAACTCTCTGTTGAACAAGTGGTGTCCTCCAGGACCGGTCAAGTAGAACTTTTTGTCTTTCTTGTAATACATGAGGTTTGAGGTTGGAAAGTAGTCGGAAGGAGTTGAGATATTGGTCCAGCGCAAGTCACGATGTGGCCTACAGAAACTCAGCTGATCACCCAAGGACTTGATGCCAACTACACAGTCTTCTTCTTCTTCGTCAGGACAAGAGAACATTGCCACGTTCCAGACCAGATCAGTTTGGCAACTAGGCAGAGGAGTTAGTGGAGGCAGAGTGAAGAGCTTGGGGTTCGATTTGCAAGCCCAAGGGTTCATGAAATCGGACATAAGTACGCATCGGTCTTGCGGGTCACAGAAAAACAACCATCCCTTGGAAGCTCCAAAGCCTTTAGCAGAGATTATTTCTTCTGGAATCGCTTTTTCCTTGAGCTCAACTAACTTTTGTTTCGCAGGGTCGAACAAAACCACTTCTCCTACCTTGCCCCCTTCCGGCAAGTGTTTTACGGACCGGCCATGGCCGATGAAAACCAACAACCGCTCTTCTTGTGTATCTGCCCGCCAATTGTTTTGTAAGAGATCAAATCATCAAAAGACTTATAGAAAAGTAGCAATGTCCTCTTAACAAAAAATTTAAGACTGAACCAAAGCAAGAAGGAGCTTACAAGGGGAGAGAGCTTGGAGAGAAGCCGAGACATGATTGGAGGCAGATACCACCAAGGAACCCTAAAATTAAGTTGATGTATATTATTTAGACTCTCTCATCTACATAAAAGAGGAGCGATAGGCGTGTGTACCAAGCTTTTCTTTCCTTTTTTATTCCTTTATCGTCAACTTTTTGTTTATGGAATCTTGCCAAGCCAATGTATAGTCTTCACAATTAGTACAACAGGCCAAGTTAACTGTGTTGACTCAATTATTACAACAGGGATGTTACAACGTAAATTCTGACCCAACCACATTTCAAATGTTATTTATATGTAAATCTTGTTTACTTTTTTGGGTCAAGATGTGTAAATCTCATATGTTATTCTAGAGAAGCACTTTAGGTTTATCTAAATATAATAGCAATCTGAATAAATGTCTTTTCGTTTTTAACAATTTTGTCTATAACTGCCCACCTAAAAAGTTGTGATTTTTATTTGTTTTTGTAACTTCAGTTTCAGTTTCTTAGTAGGATATAATTGCAAATAACCAGAAATTCTGTTTTTGTGTTTGTCTTAAATATATAAATAGTTATTGGAATGGAAATATGTGTTCAGTCTTTTTTTTTTTCTTTTTTTTTTAAAGTTGGTTTAAGGCTTTCTAGGCCCAAAGACTAATCCAACCTGGCCTTGCATCCGGTTACGCGTTATCCCATCGTTAAAAGCACGGCTAGGTGGCCAAGGGAACTTGAACCCGGGTGGCGGTCTTTTGATATTGCTTATCTTTGTATAGGAATCAGAAATAACAAGAAACATGCATATTTCATTTACTCTTTCGTGCAGATTACATCACACTTTAATGGATTAGTTTTTTTTTTTGACATCAAAAACTCCATTGATAAGCTAAAAGATGCAAGCGGGATTGTCTAAACGACTAACCAACTTGGCATCACATTGTTTACAATAGAGTGAATAGAACCTCCTGCACGGCCCTCTTTTGAGAGTCGATCGGCACGGGCAACACGGGCATTACAAGAGCGTGGAATAAAGGAAATTGCAAAGGAAACAAAGGTAGATGAGAGGTAGTTAAACTCTTCCAGTTCTGCTTCCACCGAAGGCCAAATATCTTCTTCTTCAAGCAACTTTGTAAGTTGCAGACAATCAGTTTCAAAGGTCATAGAAGTATAGCCCAATGTTTCCTTCATTGCCCACAGTAGGGTATGGAACTCTGCATGTAGAGGGGATAAGACTTGTGTGCAGGCACATGAGCCATAAGTTCTACCTCGGTCAATATCGGCAATTACCATACCTCCCCAAAAGATGGTACCATTATAGAGCCAGGAGGCATCTATTTGGCATCGTTTTATGGGACTCACGTCCTCATTAGTATGCGGACTTGCACCCTGGTCCGTGCTAGTTTCTCCAACTATGTCTACTACTTGAGCCACAGCGAAAGTGTCCGCTTCCGTATGTGCCAACTGGGTAGTATCTTCCGGCTGTATCTCCTTGTCGTTAAAGAGATTTTCATTACGTGCCTTCCATATGTACCATATAATCCAGGGCCATCTCTCAATACTGTTGTCCGGAGCTCCTCTTTCTTTGATTCGCCACAAGAGATGATCAAATTTTTGGAATAAACCCCCACTCGGGAAAACACTCGGTTCGCATGGGAGGTTTGATAAGTTCCACGTTTGAATGGCCAGGGGACATTCAAAGAGGAGGTGATTGATAGTTTCTTCCTCTGTGTTGCATCGGGGACAGCTTTTGTCTATACCGCAGTGTCGTGATACTAGCTTTTGTCTTACAGGAATGCATCCTGCGAGCGCCTGCCATAGGAAGTGTTTTATCTTCCTTACTGTTTTCAACTTCCACACTTTCCCTCGCAAGGCCATCGTGCTTGGTTCTGTTATTACATGGTCGTTTATTGTATTCTTTAGTTTCATAGCTAACGTATATCCTGATCTGACCGAGTACATACCAGTTTTAGTTAGAGACCAACAATAGCTGTCCGGTCTTGAGGATCGGCTAATTTTCATAGCGAGTATTCTCCGAACATCGTCGGGATTGAAGAGTAAACGAAGTAGGTCTTCCTTCCAGCTTCTCGTTTCATGGTCTATAAGGTGGTGGACATAGAGAAACGGGTCCGGGGGTCTATCGGTTTCCATGGGTGGTCTAGCCGCTGTAGTTGGGATCCATGGCTCTTTCCCCTGACGCTATATTTTTCCTTATCCCTGCTTTCAAGAGATCTTTGGCTGCCAACATGCTTCTCCAGCCATATGATGGTGCATTTGATTTCTCGATATCAAGGGGGTTCGAATGTCGGAAGTATCTTGCCTTTAGGACTCTCGCCAGCAGTGATGAGGGGTAATATAGTATCCGCCATAGTTGTTTCGCTAACAGGGCTATATTGAAGTTCTTTAAGTCTCTAAATTCCAGGCCTCCTTCTTCTAAAGGGATACAAATCTTCTCCCATGCAATCCAGTGCATTCCTTTATTGTTTTGCTTCGTGCTCCACCAAAAACGTGAGATGGCACTTTGTAGCTTGCTTGTGATTGATTGTGGAAGAAGAATGGAGAGCTTGTGCGACAGACTTTATGAGGACTTCTTTTCCTCCTTTCGACATGAACTTTGCCGACCAAGTACTAATCCGTTTATTTAGTCTCTCTTGTACGAAAGTGAATACTTTTTGCTTGGAGCCACAAATGTTTTCAGGTAGTCCTAGATATAAGCCCATCCCTCCCTCTTTTGTAATGCCCATAACACGTTTTAGGTTTATTCTATCTTCTGGGGGAACTTTGCTACCAAAGGAAATAGAGGATTTTGCAACGTTGAGCTGTTGACCTGAGGCTTGTCCATAGCAGTTGATGATTCGCATAAGTTCCGTGCATTGTTGTATATCCGCTTTACAAAAGAAGATGTTGTCATCTGCAAAGAGTAAGTGAGAGATCTAAGTGAGAGATCTGATTTGTCCCTCTGCTTCTGCTCCCTTTATTTGTGCTATCAGAGCTTCTGTTAAGATGATAAAAAGGAAAGGGGATAGGGGGTCCCCTTGTCTCAGTCCTCTAGTTGGGTTTATACATCCTTTTGCCTCTCCATTTAGGAGGACTTGGTATGACACCGATGATATACATTGCTTGATCCACGTTACCCATTTTTTTGTCAAAACCCATCTTGATCATAAGGGCTTCTAGGAATCCCCATTCTACTCTGTCATATGCCTTGCTTATATCGGTTTTGATTGCTACAAAATTTGTCTTACACATGGGATTAGTACGTAAGGCATGGAAAGCTTCCTGTGCAATAAGAATATTGTCTGTGATCAAACGTCGAGCCACAAAGGCCGATTGTGTCTCCGATATTATTGTCGGGATGAATCTCTTCAATCTATTGCATAAGATTTTCGAGATTATTTTATAGCTTACGTTGCAGAGGCTGATTGGCCTAAATTCTGTCATATCTCTTGGGCGTTCTGTCTTTAGAATCAGGCAGATGTTGGTCTGGTTCAGCCGAGGATCAAAATCTGGTTTGGAAAAGAAATCTTGAACCATGTGGATCACGTCCGTAGCTATTTCATCCCAGAAGTTTTGAAAGAACAAGCTAGTCACGCCATCCGGACCTGGGGCTTTGTCTGGGTTTATGTTTGCAATGGCTTGTTTTATCTCTTCATTTGAAGGAGGTTGTGTCAAAGCTAAGTTCATCGATGATGAAACTTTGGGAGTGATATATCGGAGAGCTTCATCAAAATCGGAGGGGTTGGACGTGGTGAAAAGGTTCTGGAAATAAGCTGTAGCTGTTTGCTCGATGCCTTCCTCATTCTCTATCCATTGTCCGTTTGACCCTTTTAGCTTGGTAATACGATTCCGAGCCCTTCTCTGTTTAGTAGTGGCATGGAAGAATTTAGTATTCCGGTCTCTCTCTTTAAGCCAATTGGCTCTGCTTTTTTTGTTTCCAGTATAGCTCTTCTTCTCTGAAAGCCGAACACAGTTCCCATTTCAGGTTAAGTAGCTCCTCATTCGTGATTAAGTCATCCGATTGTGCTTGATCTAGCTGTGTCTTGAGGGCTTCTATTTTCTTTTGAGAGTTTGATTGGTTGGTGCGTTTCCACTGTGATATAGCTTCTCGACATTGTTTAATCTTATTATGAATGTCACCAACTTCCATAGATCCTCCATTGTGATTCCAGCTCTCCTTTATTGTTTCTTTTAGACCATTTTTTCCGAGCCATCTTTTATCAAACTTGAAGCTTCTTTTAGGCTTACCGGCCTTGGATTGTATTCTAGCCAAAACTGGCCGATGGTCCGACCCCATAGTTTTAAGTACTCCACATTTGTGTGGGAAAAAAAATTGTGCCACTCTTCATTGCCGATCGCATGATCTAATCGGCATTGGACTTTCCCGGATTGCCGGTACTGTATGGAAACTCTATCATACCGCAATTTTCAAGGAGCTTTTTAAAAGGCAAAAAGGAGGTTTCTGATCTTTTTCTTCCCCCACGTTTTTCGTGGTTTCCAACTATCGCATTGAAGTCGCCTGCCATGAACCAAGCTCCTATCCTGTTCATGCCTATCTCATGTAGTCGTTCCCATACTTGTTCTCGGTGTTCTGTCACCGGATCTCCATACACGAAGGTCATGAAAATCTTATGTCCTTCAAACGTGGCCTCAATATCGATAAGGCGATTAGAAGAATATAAGATATTCACTTCAAAAGAATCCAAATAAAAAAGTGCTAGTCCACCACTTAAACCCTCTGGTTCAACGGTGAACAAATTATTATAACCAAACTCAGTCTTAAAATCTTGCATAAAAGAAATAGAATTTTTTGTTTCTGATAAAAAAAGAAAAGAAGGAACAAAGCAACGGTGCAGCTCCCGCAAGTGCTGCTAGACTCCTTGACAGTTCCAGGCGATGGCGTTCATATTTCCTTACTGGGTGGTTTCTGGGACACCACCGAACCTGCAGTAGAAAGAGTTTGCTTACTTCAAGTAGACGGAAACACCTCAAAACGAGGGACATTTGTTACAGATTTAGAGCCTCGTAGATTACCCGCTCATGGTTTCTTCTTTTGAGATGGTTTGGCTCTTAAGGCATTAAGTTTCTTTGAGGCTTTGAAGCCTTTGTGATCGTTGACCTTAGGGGGTTGCTTCCCAGATTTGCTTCTCAGGTCTTGTTGTGCACCTTCCTTGTTTGGCACGTTTTGTGGTTTGTTGCTTTCTCCCTTTGATTTGGTTCCTACACGATGGGGCTCAGGCCTGTTAGCATTCTTCTGGTTTCCCCCATGCGAAGGATGTTCAGGTGATAGCTGAGAAATTGCATCTACCTTCTCTGCATCCTCATCCATCTCCTCCCCAAGCAAATCATCATTCTCCATCATTTCATCATCCATAAGACCTGCTTCTGCTTCTTGAAAGAGCTCTTCCATCTCTAAATCCAGAGCCATCTTTTCTCCCTCTGTCATCTCCTTTTCCGGGCTTTCTCGTGGGGATAGTGACATGTCGGTTTTTTCCTTTGGAGGAGATGATCTCTGATTTGTGTTTTGTGCTGAAGTCTGCTTTGGACGGTCAGGGAGGGTCTGCGCTGGTATTCTCACTTGCTCTTGTGGATCTCGGATGGCAAACGTAGCATTCATATTATTCTGCATTGCCATCTGGAACATTTGTTGCTTTGTCTTTTTTGGTGCCTCGACCAAGATCCCTTTCCCTTTGATCCTTCTCAGTCTGTCTTGCTCCGTTTCGCCTTGGTATACCACAAGCTTCCCTCTCCGTTGCATCGGGTTAGTTTCTTGTACTGATATAGTTCGTTGTGAATCCACATGCGAGGTATGACTCCTCTCTGCTTGTACTGAGTTCCTGGTCTGGGGAGTCTCCTCATATACATTTCTCCTGTCATTCCTAGGTGATTTTGGTCTCCAGACTTGTCGAGTTGTCGGTGCCTTTAAGTTAGACAAACAAGTCTCATACTGATTTCTCGAGTATGGATGGTATCGCTCCCGAGGTCGGGGAATAGTTCTATCTTGAGCTGCGTCTAACCGCTTCCAGACCTCACGTCCACGGTATTCTCGCTTGTCCTGTAAGTCCTTGCGGAGATCTCTCATGTTGCGGGTCAACTTATCATTCTGGGCAGTACGCCAATTCTCTCTTGTTATGTGTCCAGCTGAGTGGTTCCTTGTTCTGTTTTCGTTCGTTTCCATTCTTGTTCCATTTGGAGAATACTTTCTTTTGTAGTGTGGAGGCGAGAGAGACCTTTCAGGGAACTCATTTGCCTTTCGTGCAGCATAGTTGTGTCTCCCCTGGTTTTGTGGAGCTATAAGTTCTGGTACAGCACGTTGAGCTCTCTTGAGTTCTCTCTGCGCTTCATTCAGCTCCGGACAGCTCCGTTCCTCGTGGGAGATTCTCTTGCAGGTGTAGTAGTGTCGGAACAAGCCCTCGTAGGTGAAGGTAACTTTGCCCGTATCACCATTGGGGAAACCCACTCTTCTTTCGAACTGTAGAGATTGGTCGGCATTGATGGGGACTTGCATTCTTGCTCGTGTGGCATCTACACCTCAATCGTTCCCAAAACCCTACCAATCTCCGTGAAGGTATTATTGTTCCAGTAGTGCATGGGAACGCCTCTGACCGTAATCCAAAACGGGATCGTGTTCGGGAAGTCTTCTTTGGTGCTTGGTTCCCATTGCTCTAAAGCGAAGCTCCAGCGATTGAAGTGACAAGGTCTTTTGCTGAGGACCTTTAGCAGGTCTGCCTCGTTGTCAAAATCAAACTGAAAACGGTCATTCCCCAAGTTGAAACCCCGTACTCGTCCTTCCACGTCCCAGATCTTTTCCTTTGGGAGCATACCAATTAGGGCGTCAACGCTCCTCCCTTCTAGGTTAAACATCCTACCCATGAGCGTCAGTTTGAAACGTTCGGAGACCTCATTGATATCGCACTCTGGGATCTGGATGATATAATCTTCCATCTCCAGCCTTCTCCTTGCCGAGCTTCCTCCGTGGCGAATTGCACCTTCCGGGTATCTCAAGTTGTTTGCTCTCGACATCTTTCCACAGTAATCTTCAAAAGTCTTAGCAAAAGCTAGAAAATTAATCGTAGAGTAGAGACAATGCGCTAGGTTATATCTTAGCAGTGTGCTACAAGTAGATCTCAAAAACTATGTTCCCGTTGCGTCTATAGAGGGTTTGCACGATATTCTCTCTGCCTTGCCTCACGTTCCTAAAAATCACCTTAGGGTTTGTATGTGATGGAGAGAAGTCAGATCCGCCTCGAGCCGCCGTATGAGTGTCAGAAGTTTTGAGATCCGGAAATCGCCTCTTGCATCGCCAAAACCCTAGCTTTCATTTTTCTTCCATTTTTAATGGATTAGTTTACATGTAGGATAGTGCTGTGGAGTGCACACTTAGCTAAAGAGTAATACATTAGCATTTCTTGGTACAACAGTAAACGAAATATTTTAAAACAGTGTGATTTCTACACATATATAATTTATGTTTCTTTTAAAGCTAACCTTGCGAAATATCTATCTTTAAAAAGTTCTCAGAAGAGTTTTTAATTCATTTTAAAAAACGCAGTTAGCCAATTAACATTAGCATTCATATCCGAAAAATAATAACGCCCAAGACTGAAAAAATTACAACTGTTACCGACTATCAACGTTATCTTCATGTTTTAAGGGTGGTCTCAAAAAGGTGTATTTTTGAAAATTCTTCTAATATATTGAACTTGAGTTTTGTAAACCGCAATTTACAATTTGATCTTGAGACCGTGTGATCAAAATGATAACATGTGTCAACATATATAATTTAAATGAAAAATAATAGTAGATATATATGGTATTACAAAATAATTATCAAACAACATAACAAAAAAATTAAAAAAAAAAGATTATAACAGTCCAGTTTCCTAATTTACAATAATATAATTATATTTTTCAATAATCTAGTTTCCAGCTTTCCAATTTTATGACTAAATAAATAATAAATAATAAATAATTATTTATTTATATGGATTTAATTTATATATATATATATATAATTAAAATGAGTACACCTAACACATATGAAAATAAAATTTAATTATTTAGAAAATAAAAAACTAATTCCAATCGGCAAATTTTTTTTTATCGGTGTTGTAATATTTTCAGTAGTTGTAAAATATTAAATTAAAAAATCCGCATACGTGAAGCCAAATTCAGCAAATTGGATGATGATGACATGTGTTTAAATTATAAAATTTAGTTTTGTATTGATTAATTGTGTTGTGTTTGATCAAGCATATCCTTGTAAGCGGAGATTTCACATTTAATCGCTCATGAAACATCCATCTCAAACCAATCTTTCTAACTTTTGCTTCTTTACAGAATTCAAATCCTAAACTTATTTCTTACATATAGTTTGGGCAAGAGATTATCCACTGGGCCTTATAAGCTTATATTGGAAGAATAATCATCTTCATATCCATTACTACTAAAGCTTCCATAATAAATTATATTCATAAGATTCATAAAGCACACTATATAAAACATAAACAACATTTTACTTTAAAAAAAGGTTACATTAATAACACTTACAAACATCACATTGCGAAATAACACTTACGAAAATAAAAACAACAACAAACACCACAAAACAGAAAGAAAAACAAAATCACAACAAAATATAATAAAACCATAACATCAGTTATGTTGCGACATGAAGATTGCCACAACTTATTTTAACACAAACAACAAAAGCGAAAACAAATCAAATATGTTGCCAAGTTCGTTTCGGTAGAAACCTCAAGCAAACATCACAGAACAATTGAGAATATACTGATGGTAATAAGCAATGTCACAACAATCCTTTAGTTCCTCCCAAATTTGTTCTTCCACTTTTGGAGAAGGACGACATGTGTAAACCACCGTTCTCCTGTAGTAAGATTGAGAAGACGATGGTCCAATTACCAAAAGCCTATCTCCAATTGACTTAAATGCAACTCCCCAACCTAAAGTGATATTTGCTTCCACAGGCACAACACCAAGTTTCTTCCAAACGTTTGTGTTTCTATCATAAACACGAAGCTCACTCACAGAATTTTCCATTAAGTAGAGGTTGTTGTCGACCACGCAATAAGAGGAGGCGAGTGAGAAGACGTAAACGCCATATCTTTGAGCATGTCTGGTATCAGCTCCCAAGAATTTGTCTCGTCATCGTACCTTTCTCCACAAGTTAGGTTTTCATTATTCTCATCTCGGCCACCAATTACGTAAAACTTGCCGCCCAAGAAAAATGCTGAGCTGAATTTCCTTTTCTTGTGCATCTCATGAATCACGGTCCACGTTTTGGTATCAGCATTGTATTTCTCTGCTATGTTTACAGCTTGATAGACCTCATTAATCCCTCCTGCAAAGAAAGCATCGGTCCCACGGCTCGCCGAACCATACATGACCCGTGGTGTGATCATTGCTGGACCTTTGAACCATTTATTGTTCTCGAGCTCATACCGCCAGACTACAATGCCCTCCAGCTCCCTTCCTACGACGATCAGTTGTGCACCCGCACAAACTGTTTCTTTATCGCTATGGACAAAGCAATAATCATGCATTGGTAATTCTGGAAGCTGTCGAAAATTCTTAAAACCCTTATCAAACATTGTCCACAGAGATCCACCACCAGAATGCACAAACACATATGGTTGCACAAGCATGCGTTCTTGCTTCACCTTAAAAATCTCACGACTTCGAGCAAATGTGAAAGTTTTTTGTTAAAAAACTGAAGCTTCGAGTATTCAAAATATGAGGCACGGAGGAAAATCTCGAGCTGGTGCTCCTTAGAAAGCCGAGGAACAATATGATTATCTTCAGTTTCTTCCTTTTCTTCTCCTTCCGAATCAAAACAAGGTTCTGCATTCAAGTCGGGAATGTAGGGCTTGGTTCCAACAATTATAAGCTTCCTTTCCTCTTTAGATTCTCCCAGGCTTGCTCAAATTCTAGGAGCTTGATCTTTTGCTAACATCATCATTTCTCGGTTAATTTTAGCCTCGGCTTTTGACATCCCTTTCTGTAAACTTTAAAAATTAATCAACATTAGTTTATTTGCGTCTATGGGATAATATTTGGGTTAATTTGGTGAATAATCATATTGGGAAAAATATTAAGAATATAGCCATAACAAATGTTTGGCTATAATACATAAATATATTCACAAAAAATTACCTATATTAACCCTAAAGAAATACTATACTATTTTATTGTTGTTGTAGAACAAAACTTCTACTAGATATTTGTGGTTTAGATTTTAGTTTAGAGTAATTTTTGAGTTTAGGGTTTACATATTGGTTTTATGATTTATATTTTAGGTTTTAGGTTTAGGGTGTAGAATCTAAAACCAAATACTAAACCCAAAACCCAAAAATAATCTAAACCAAAAATAAAATATAAACCCTAAACCCAAAATCTAAACCCTAAAGCCTAAACTGAAAAAACTAAACCCTAAAACTATAATATAAACCCTGTTTTAAGAAAAAAAAAAGTCTAAAACCCAAAATTTAAACCCTAAACCAAAAAAAACTAAAATCCTAAACTGAAACCCAAAATCCTAAACCTAAAAATATAAACACAAACCTAAAATCAAAATACTAAACACAAAATCGAAACCTAAATCTAAAAAAACTAAACCCTAAATGAGAAAAAGAAAACATGGTTATATCCCATACACACAAAAAAAAATAGTATGGAATTGATTTTTATGTATAAAAGAAGGACAAAATTGGTATTATTGTATTAAAATATACTTGTATTCTAGCCAAGACTTTCATATGGTTAGTTTGTTAATTTTGGTTGCTCAATATGATTATTGATTATAATTTCCCATAATATTTTTAAATCAAAAATCAATTTAAAAAAAAAAATTAGTCTTGTTGCTAAGAATAATTTAGATTGTATTTGTGATACTAGATTAAAATTTGAGACTATTATTTCTAGATAAGAAAATGTGGTTGTAGAAACATATAAAAATTGTGCTGATATTAAATCCTCCAATATATTAAAGACCATACAGATTTGCTGACATGGCAAGCTCTCATTTTTTGAGCTTCTTTTTGATTTATTTTAATTAAATTCTTTTTCAGTTTCGGGTTGGGACGCGGATTTTCAAGACATTGGGTCGGATATTTTTAATTATTATTGGGCTGAAGTTAGTTTTCTGTTTGTCTATTGAGCTACAAAACAATGACTAATAAGTGGGCTTGCATATCTTAATTCGAATAAGTTGGACGTCCATATCTTTACTCGAATAAGGAAACGAATAACGTGGTTGAGTTATACTTCCATGTTTGAACACATCGTCTTGCGTTTTCTTCACGTTTTCCTTTTCCGGAGATAGGGAGAATCTTTGTGTCAACAATTTGATATGCAAATAAAATCTGCAGTAAATGCTTTCAATTTACCAAAGAAAAAAGGAATAAAAAATGTCAATAAAAATAAAGAGAACCCTAGGTATATATCTTCTATAAATAGGTTCACCTCTTACACATGTTCTCCCCATCATGTCACTTTCTTTTTGCTTTGTCATATATGTTTTTTACATTTTCGTTTTGATTTTCCCATCTTCTAATTTTGTTTTGATCTTCTGTTTCATGGTTTGCTGTATGTATAGCGGCTCTATTTTCAAATCCGTAAAGGTGCTGTGATCAAAGGTAAGAAAATCCTCTTTTCATCGTTTGCTCATATGTATGGTAGCTCTATTCTTATTGTTACTATGAGATCTAAGTGTTGTTATTTTAGCTTACAAGATTTAATGAAGACGTTATAAGAATGCAAATCGGAGAGGTTGCTCGCTTGAGGGTAACATCGAGGTAGTGTTGTTTGTTTATATTGAGTGTATATGTATAGTTGATTTTGTTCTAAACTCTCAGTTTTATACAGTTGAAGACGTAATGTTCCTAATCGTAAACAATTCTTTGCATTTTTTTTGGTTGGAAGGTTACATACAACATGGAAACTGACCAAAGTCGTGGGTTTAGATTTGTTACAATGAGTTGGCTCATGTAGATCATTTTGGATAAACTGATTATTTAATCCAACCAAAGTTTTCTGGTTGTAGAACATCAGTTCTTTCTTTTTTTTTTTATCATAAATCGCATTGTTTGTTGGTCTTAACCCTAAATCAAGAACTCAACTACCTCTCATCGTTCGTTTGAATGTTCTTGATGTCTTTGTTTCTGTTTGTTTGTGCTATTTTAAAATTTATCATGAAACTGATCTTTGTTTCAATTTTGTAGGTGTTTGGAAAAAGTTTTCCAAATAGAGCAAACAAGTACGGTGAAAACTGTCCATGCATAAGTTCTTCATATGTAATGATTCTCTTTGCCAAATCAACCATTTTCTCCTTTTTCCGACTTATACTTATGGATATTGCCTTTAACAAAAAAAAAAGACTAATGGAGATTGCATTTGAATGACACTAATACACGAGAATTGCGAATCAATCGTTCTTTATTTAGATTTGAGTTTTCTATTTCTGATTATAAGGAGAAGAATATCTAAGGTTTGACATGGATGATTATGAATGGATACTACAAGAAAACCTGTGATTTGTCAAACCTTGGCAAAAGAGAATATTCTTATAATCAGTCTACCATAAGATTTTATAGTTATACAATATTTGTCAAATCTTAAATATCAGACGTTAAAAACAGAAATAACCTTGCCAAGAATATTAGTATATATATGTAGATGCATTATCTATGAAGTAATATTACCCCAAACAAAAATTAGGTTTTGATCATGTCGAAGATTAAACAAAATTGTCTGAGCTTTCATATATACATATATTTTTGGTTTCTTACATTTTGATTTTGATTTATATATATGCAAATAATATTCTATTGCATTGCTTCTACCCTGAAACCAACGATAATTTGGTTCCTCTTTTCTTAACCGTAACTTTGATCAACAGACCACTTGGCACTACCGCCCCTATAAATCCTAGGTACGCTCATTCTCATTCTCGCTCTCCATGGTTGATTTGAATAGAAGAAGAAATCGCTGCGGAAAATAAGAGAAATCAAGAGCAACCGAATGTACTTTTCAATTAAAAAACGCTTTTCTCCAAGAAGAATTAAAAGGTTTGCTTTTTTTCTATTCTCATCCCGTCCATGGATTGATAAAAAAACAAAATAAATATTAATCAAAAGAAAAAAAATGACATATCCATTCAATAATAATTTATTTTAAATATGAAAATTTTTAAAGTTAACTTAGTCCCACGCATTAGGCGTGGTAATCCCCTAGTGTTGTGTGATATATCTTACAAAATAGTGATATTATGGAAACAGTTATTCAAGATGACAATATATCATTCTAATTTAAATACGTGGTTCACAGAAAACATATCATTAGATTTTAATTTTTTATTACGAGGGAGAAAAAATATAAAAATGTATACCTCTGATTAATATATATTGTACCAAATATAAAGATTTAGAAATTATTGCAAATTCCTAGAATATTAATAGGGAAATATCAAAGCTGAAGACAAAGATTCAAGATTAGTTATCTAGAAGATTCTATAATTGTATAATCATATATTAAATGAAAGAGTACTTATTTGCACAAAAAAAAGAAAAAATAAGCAGATAATTAATGAGACATATATGAGGGTGTATACCTTGAAATTTGAAGGAGAAGAGTTCACTGGACGCATACTCATACTAGGTTTGACTCAGTTTTTCTTTATTTTTACTTTTTAATTCATGCTTTGCCTAAGCTAAATCTCAGTTATATATACTTATACATATTTAGTTATCTACTATAAAAAAATAACAGTTATGATATGTTTTATTTACCATAAAATAAAAGTCATAAAGGCTTAATTTGTCAGTTTTCCTTTTGAAACAATTGAATCTCATTTAATTTGGTGCTTATTAATTCGTTACCATAAAATACTTGTGATAATATTTCTTTTGCTTTGACCACTTGTTTTGGTAGTTTTTTAAAGTACAATACATTGACTAAAGTTTTTGGTAGTTTTATAAGGTATGTACTTTAAAAACTACCTAGAAAATTGGTCAAAGTTATATAGAAAATTTTCACAAAGTTATTTGGTAGTTTTACAAATTTATCTATAATGGTTTTTGAAAAATTGTATTTTTTCATCTTATCATATCTTTTAGAACTGTCCTTACGAGTAATCTTTTAGAACACATGGTATCATTATAGTAAAACATCTACAGCTTAACAGTTAAAAAATGGTTTTCGTGCTACTATGTGTTTTAGAACAATTGTTTCTACTTTTGAAAATTCCAAAATGGGTTAATTAATATCTTAAAAATACTACTCTTTAATTCAATATCTTCTTCAGACACAATTATAAACCATATTTATTGAGAAGTTTGTGTGAATATAAATTCCGTTGCAAACATCACAGAACATTTACGTCGTAAAGAAAATGGTTGACCCCGTTGCAACAATCATTAGAATTCTCACTACTTATGAAGCAATATTAAAGTTATAGAATGACATACAACATTTGTGGTTCACATTTTCTCAAGAGTCGTGAGATATTTGGAGAATGGCAAGAACGTGGGCTTGTGCATTTGGGTGGTGGATCTCATTAAACAATTTTTTATAAGGAGTTTAAGAATTTTGGAAAGCTTCCAGAATTACCAATGTATGACTATTGCTTTGTTCATAGAGATAAGGAAACAATTTGTGCGGGTACACAATTGATGGTTGTAGGAAGAAGGGAGCGGAACGCATTGTAGTTATATATAAATCAGTGTTACTCAATAAATTTCCAAGAAACATGTGGTTGACGAATTATTTTTTTTTTCCAAATAACATATCGTTGACCGTAAAAGAGAACTTCCAAAAAACATATCATTGAAGAGAAAAAAGTTCCAAAATATTAAAGGCGTTAAATAACATACTAAACGTAATTGTCTAATAGCACTTATAAATTTCTTCTTTAACATAAGAACAACGGTTAAGAAATTTAACTTCAATTATAAACAGAGTTAAAAATTATCTATATCATTCAGAGAATAATTTTATTCGCTTACGCATTCTAAGGACTAGTGTCCATCTTTTTTATCTCGCCATTGTAATATTCTCCTATGCTCACAATTTGAGGTATTACGTTTTCGTTTATCTTAATTCCTCGAGCAAAAAAAATTGGGTTCCACTGCACTATTCTTTTTCCTCTCCTTCTGAATCATAACAATAATCTGCATTCAAGTCAGGAATTTAGGGCTTGGTTCCAACAATCAGAAGCTTCCTTTCCTCTTTAAATTCTCCCAAGTTTACTCCAATTCTAGGAGCTTAATCTTTTGCTAATATCAACAATTATCAGTTAATTTTAACCTCGGCTTTTGATATCTTTTTCTGTAAATTATTTAAAATTGATAACCAATAGTTTATTTGTGATATTGTAGTATAATATTTTAAAATCAGAGCTTATATTTTTTATGAATTTCAGTCATATTGTTACGAAATAACTCAGATTGTATTTGTGATTATAAATAAAAATTTGAGACTAATATTTTCTATTATAATAGCAAATGTGGTCGTAAAAAATATAAAAATTATGGCGATATAAAATATTGTTTGATATGTTTTACAAAATAGTGATATTATGGAAACATTTAGTCAAAATGACAATTTAGAAACCTACACTAATTTAAAGTATGTGGTTCACAAAAATGTATCATATCATTTTAATTTGATTATTACTAGAGTGAAAAACATAAAGACTGACCAAGGAATGAGGGGGAATAAAAAATATCTTTCATTCCCTAAGAATTACACCATTCATAAGGAATGTGTATATCATATTATTCCTTCTCATTCCATATTGATTAAGAAATTTTAGTGTTAAAATATTTCTTATAAAATATGAGGAGGAATGAGTTTCAGTGTTAATTTAGTTTCCCCAAGAAACTTGGTTAAAAAATTTATGTAGCTGAAGAATATATAGTATTTACTCAAATTTAATTACTTGTAAAAATTTATAATACTTCTCGGAAACTATGTACTAGACACCACTAAAGATGTGCAAAAGATGTTACAAAAGAACCTAATGCAAAGAGTAACTAAAAAGTTGGTAATGTGATGATAAATGTGATAAATGTGACATACGAAGCTAGAAAAGGGATACATAGAGATGATCTTGAATTAAAAGTTAGTAATCTAAACTGGTCGATGCAAAAAAATAGGACAACCAGGACACAAAAACACCAATCATGAACGCGCTAGGTAGAAGAAAACGGAGTAAGCCAATATGGGGAGTAAGGAATCTTGTCTGGTGTACCTTCAGGATATTCATAGTAAATGATGGCTTTGTTTGTGAGATCGAGCGTGGCCCACAAACGGCCGTTTGAAAAGATGGAATTAGGCCAGAGGCCACGGACCCACGGTTAGAGCTTGTGGCCACGCAGAAATCCTCTGCCTTTGAAATGAAAATGCCATTATCTCCAAGGTCCTCAGCGTAACGCATGTTTATCCTCCCATCTTTTCTGTCCTCCTCTCTAAACACCATTGCCGTCGGCACTATAAACCCATCAGTATGTTTGTATTCGGTGTACCTACAAAGCCAGACAGGAAGGTGTTTAGTTATGTTTTCAGAAACTAAGAAAATATTCATACGATATATATAAGATTATTAGGTCCTACGCACCATTTGACAAGGAAACATTCGCCAGAAGGTGACTCGACCCAGTGATCCTCCCTGGAATAGGAATCAAACTGTTTCCATCGGGGCGATGCATATGGGGAAGGTCGTGCAAGACCAACTCATGGAACTTAGGGTTGCTGTCTTTCTTGAAGTTGAGATCCCATGAGCATAAGTAGTTGCTTCCAGGAACAGGCAAGTAGAATCTTTTGTCTTTCTTGGAAAACATTAGGCTTGAGTACTCCCATGAATCGAAAGGTACTGAGATGTTAGTCCAACGCAAGTCACGTCGTGGCCTACAGAGACTTAGCTGTTTACCCAAGAACTTGATGCCGACAACCCAATCTTTGTCATCATATGGCTCAGGAGACGAGGACATTGCCACATTGCACATGACTTGGGTTTGGCAATGTGGAAGACAAGTAAACGGAGGCAGATGAATCGTCTGTGGTGGTGACTTGGACGCAAAGGGGTTTAGAAAGTCGCTGATAACTACCGAGCCATCTTTCCTATTTGAGAAAAACCCCATCCATGAGAAGCTCCGACCAATTGCGAGTCATAAAGCTCTTTGGGATATGTTTTCTCCGGGGATCTAACTAAATGTAGCCTTGACACGTCGTACAACAGAACTTCTCCGACGTTTCCACCGTCTGGGGAAGGTTCCACTGTGCTGCATATCGAAGCACACGGGCCAGTCCTGGACGATGAAAACGAACGAACGCTCTTCTTGTGAATCTGCCAACTGTACAAGATCAAAACCAATTAGACTACATCCTCTTCTCTAAGCATATAAAGCAATCTCAACAGTCAACACTCAGTTTTCTTCGTTTAAAGACAGAACAAAATATTCCATTAATCTAACAAAATAAAAATAAATTATAAAGCTTACAAGGGGAGAGAGCTTAGAGAGAAGTCTAGACATGTTGTTTGCAGATACCAGTAACACCAACAAAACCAAAATCAAGTTGATGTATTATTATTTGGATTCTCTTTCGTTAAAAGAGAGATACAAGCGTGGGTATGATGTACTTGCATTTTACATAGTTTTAGTACATCTTTTATGCATCTTTTGCATAGTTTTAGCATCCATTTGCATCATATCTTGTTCCTTTTCTCTTCTTATGCATTCATGTTAGTTTTAGGTTGCATTTGCATACATATGCATGTTTGGTCCTTTGAAATAGGTCTTTTGGAGCATTCTGGAGCATATGGGACATGAGGAGCATGGAGGGACTTGGCACATGGACGCAGCTCAACTGGATACGCAAAGGAAGAAGGGAGAAGCCATCTTGAAGACCAGCTCGACCGTCTACTCGACCAACCGGTCGAGTTCCTCAACTCGACCGGCCAAGCTTCAACTCGATCGAGCTGAGAAGTCAACAGTCAAACCCGAAAAATGTTGCTTCCCCCTTGACTTTCCTTTGACCCTAAACCTAATCCTCTTGTATTTAAAGGCTCTAAGCCACGAAAAAACCACCAAGCTTTAGATTATTTTGTTTTAGTTTCTTTTAATTTATTGTCTTTTACTTTTTAGAGCTCTAATCCCATCTTTGTGTTCTTGAAGCTCTTGCTTCTTGAATCCTAGATCCTGGATAATCTCTTTGTATTTGCACTTGCTTATTTCAATAAAAGTTGTTTAATTTCATCTCCTCTTTCTTATGATGTCTCTTTTATTGCATTTGCTTGTGTTTACATTCATGTGTAGTGAGTAGTTACCCATTAGGGTTTGAGATGGGATAGATTAGAGGTTTCATATGCTTAATCCTTCTAGCTTATGGTCTTAATCTAGATTCTCTCTCTTTTGGATAGATCTTAAGGCTACATGACCACTACCCCTGGCTTGTAAGTCCTTAGGCGATTCCCCACACGAAAGTGATGGCATTCGCTGGAAAAGATCCACTAAGAGCTCCAATATCTCTTGCTCTAGAAATAGAGGTCTAAGGGGTTGGATGGATTAGTTTGGGCAATGATCCTATAGCCTCCAAGGTTTGATTCTCACTGGCTAACCCCCTGTTTCTGAGATCATTCCTTGGTTGATAGCCTCACCTTGGGAAAGGGTTGGCTAGGCATTGAGAAGCCCAATATCAAGAGAAGCCTTGATACAAGGAGTTTTAAGAGCTAGATGATTAAGTGTAGATTCCTTTGATTGCAAAACCCTGTCTTGAACCCTAATTCTCTCTTATTTGTTAAAGTCGTCACCTTTACTGCTTTTCTCAACTCGACCCTAAACTCGATCGAGCTGGTACTCTGTTCCTACTCGACTCGAGTCTTGGTCGAGCTGCTTGTTTACTGCTTTATTTACTTTTATTGCATTTCATTTCTTTTCATTTAGGTTGTTAGTGTTACTTCAATCTATTACTGCTTGCTTGACTTCCTGGTTGTTTCATATTCTCATAGAGTGACAAGTTTCCCATTTTGGATTGATAACCCTTTGTACTACATCAACTATCATGGTTAAAGGGAATTGTTGACTGTGTTTGTGTTTGCATCTTACCACCTCATCATATACCACTGATTGCATTACACATCTCATTCATATCTTTTCACATCCACACACAAATCCTATCATCAGGGTACCAAGCTTTCTTTCTCGTGAATTTGTTTTGTTTTTAGAATCTTGCCATGCCAACCAAGCTCATCGCTATTAACAGAAACTTTGCTTCTCTTTTCCACTTTTCTATTTTATTTCGTTTTATATTTTTTCATCCACAGTTATTACAAAACTAGTAGAGTACCTGCACGTTCGTGCGGTGTGACGTTGTGGTTTTGTGTAGAAAATTTAAACTCTAAATCCGAACCCGACCAAAAAACCTAATCAAAAATTTAAAAACCCAAACTTTTTTAATATGTCTAAATCCGAAAATCCGAAATCAAAAAATCCCGAAAACCCTGAACTGAACAAAAAAAATCTGGAAACTTTTTCACCCGGAACCCGACCCAAATACCCTAATCAAAATTTTAAAATACTCAAACTTTTTTAATATATCTAAACCCGAAAACCCGAAATCCAAAAAATCCGGAAAACCCTAAACTGAAAAAAAAAATGAACCTAACCCGAACAGAAATTTTCAAAGAAACCCGAACAATTTCTATATCTCTATATCTCTATAAAATTAGGTCTCAGATTTTCACCCAAACCCGAACTTGTCTATAAAAACCCGAAAATCCAAAAAGCATATTCTATTGATTTGGTATTATCGTTAGATTATGTTAAGTTTTCTTTTTTGCAGATTTTTAAGAGCTGGAAAACGGAAGTTTTCTAAACCATCGGTTTGTTTTAAGTTATTATTCTTGTATCCAAACAATTTTTTCCATTTATTCTTCTATCCAAATAGTTTTTCTCTTATTCTTGTATCCAAACATTACAATGTACTAAATTGACCATAATTAATTTGTTGTTAAACATTTCTCTTCATAATTAGATTGGTTTTTTGGTCATAAAATTTTCATGTACTTTTCAATTAATAATATAAATATTTATACTTCATATTTTATTTCCTTTTATATTAACTGATTTTGGAGTTAGGGTTTAGGGTTCAAATTAGCTAAAAGGGTCATATATTTTTTGTCTTGTGGAACTAACTTTTTTTTATTTAACTTAGGTATTTAGGTTTTATTTTAATATATAAATATATAAACAAAAATAAGAAAACTAATAATCAATTTAAGTTTATTATTGGCTAATTTTCCCATTTTATTTCTTAAGAAAGCATTTGCTTTATCTCTCATATTTTATTCTTCCTTTAGCTCTGAATCAGAAAAATAGAGAATATGGGAGAACTTAGGATTTTGTTTCCACTTCACCTTCCTTGCTTACTCTGTCTTCACCTTCTTTTTTTTTTGATGAAATTTCAAATTTATTGATCATTATAAGAGTGAATATTTACAACTGCAGGCTTTATGAAAAACAGAGCAATAAAGAATAAAAAATGAGTGGAAAACAGAAAAATGGAAACAGACTCTTCATACAGTTCCTCGTACAGCAAACCACTGCCGTAGAAGTCCCTCCAGCTTGTGGGGCGATCGATAGCGCAGCGACGCTATTATGTTGCACATAGACTTGTCAATGATGCGTTTCATGACGGCTATTGCGATAGGACTACTACCGTGTCTACGGGCATTTCGTTCCCTCCAAATATGGTAAATGCACGCTTGAAATAGCATACATTGTAGGATAGAATCCATAAAGTGGTGGCATGTGTAGCTAAGAAAGTTCACGGTCTCCTCCCAATCTGGTGTAGCAGCATGTCCCAAAAGAGAGCCTCCCAAGTCTAACAAGACAGTGTATGTATAGGGACAAGCAAAGTAAAGATGGTCCCTCGTCTCGTTGCGCTCCCCGCAGAATAGACAGGATTGGTCAAATTCCCATGTACGCATTCTATCTCCCGTAGACAGCCTGTTCATAACTGCGAGCCAAACCGTAAAAGAGAACCGTTGAACTCCTTGAGCAAACCAAACGATCCGATGCCAGGAAACATTATCTCTTTTATTGCGAATCTGCTGCCATGTCTGAGACGATGAGAATTTGTCCTTATAGTCCCCCTCGTCATGTTTCCAAAGCACTACATCCTCTCCTAAGGAAGCGCGAGGTATGGGTAAAGCTCTGATCGTCGCTGCTAGTCCGAAAGGAAGAGACCCTCGCTGTCTTCTCAGTCGCCAACTTGTGCCATTGACAGCCTCCACCACACGAGCCAGACGATGGATCCCAAACAGCCTAATACCGGATTTCCCAAGAATATTCATGAGTTTCTCTTGTTGTGACCAATCGTCAAACCAAAAAATGCAGCCTGACCGTTTCGAATCTCATATCTAATAAAGGACGAGGCTAAGGGCCGCATCTTGAGCAGCTTCCTCCACACCCACGATCCACTGGAACCCTCCTTAGCCGTCCAAAAAGGCTCATCTTTCATCAGATAATGGCGGACCCATGCAACCCAGAGAGAACCGGAAGAGGAGAACAAGCGCCAGATGAGGTTTAGAGCAAAGACAAGAGAGGAGGTACGCAAGCTTCGGATTCCTAATCCTCCCTCTGCTTTTGGTAGACACAGATCCACCCAAGAGACTTTGGCCTTATGTGTATCATGCGGAGAGTCAGACCAAAGAAAGGCACTGCACATACCCGCAATTGTATCGAGACAGCTTTTAGGGAGAATGAAATCAGAGCTCCAAAAATTGACCGTACTAGCAATAACAGACTTGATAAGCTGCAAGCGACCAGCGCAGGACAAGATCTTGGTCGGCCATGAGATGAAACGTGAGCGGATTTTATCGATGAGAGGTTCATAGTCCTGCACTGTGAGAGCCTTGGTTGTAAGCGGCAAACCAAGGTACCGAATAGGGAGAGTACCCACAGCGAGTCCTCTCACTGCAACAGCGGCCACGAGAGTAGAAGCCCCTTGCCCAGCAGCAAAAATAGAGGACATAGACGTGTTAATATATAGGCCCGAGATTCGAGCAAAGCTACTCATGACTTCCAAGACCCCAGAAAGCGATCCTATTGTGCCATCAGTGAAAACTAGAATATCATCAGCAAAACTTAGATGAGTAAAGTTTACCTCCTTACACTGCGGATGGTACCCAAATATTCCTGAGGAAGCAGCCCGATTCAGCATTTTAGATAACACATTGTTCAGAATAACATATAGATAAGGAGACAATGAGCACCCCTGCCTGATTCCCCTCGCACTCGTGAAGAAACCTTCAAGACCACCACTAACAACCACTGAAAAGGAAGCAGTGGATATGCAAACATGGATCCAGTTGATGAACACAAGTGGTAATCCCATAGCCTGAAGCACAGCGATGATGAAAGACCATTTGACTGTATCAAAAGCCTTGGCAATATCAAACTTTATTGTGCAACGAGTGGAAATAGACGATTTGTGATAACCGTTGACTAATTCAGACGCTAACAAGACGTTTTCAACAAGGAGACGGCCCTTGACAAATGCACTTTGATTCGGTTCAATAGCATCAGACAGTATGAGTTTCAAGCGATTAGCAAGGATTTTAGAAATAACCTTATACAGGAAGTTGCAGCAAGCAATCGGCCTATAGTCGTTCATCGTTTGGGAATCCTTGTGCTTTGGAATCAGAGACAGAATGGTGGCATTAACCCCTCGAGGCATGAACCCAAAGAGGAAGAAAGACTGTACCGCAGTGATAAAATCAGCGCCGAGAATAGGCCAGGCAGCCACATATAATTCTTTAGTATAGCCGTCAGGTCTAGAGACCTTATCGTTGGGGAGAGCGAGTAGCGCTTGTCGTATTTCAGTCGCTTGCCGAGAGGGAAGCCGCCATATCAGGGGAGCAGCGATATGTTAAGAGATCCCGCATATATTCCGAAGTCGCCGTCTCTGATTCAGGAGCATGTGACTGCATGAATCGCTGAAAATGTAGGACGACCTCTCGTTTGATGTCAGAAGGATCAGTAAATATCTCGCATGTGTCGACTTTGAGTTGTCTGATAGTGTTTCTCGATGCCTGAATTTGAGTAGCTCGATGGAAAAAAGCAGTATTCTAATCCCCTGCCTCCAACCACTTAATTCGAGATTTCTACCTATAGAATCTTTCCTCTACACTTGCAAGGTAGTGCCAGCGATCAGCAGTGATTGAGACTGCTTCAAAAGTAGGAGAGTCCGGGTTTGCTAATGCCTTATCCTGGAGCAGACAGAGATTGTTGAATGCTTCTTTGGTTTTCGCTGGTAAGCCACCAAACTGAGTACGGTTAAAGGTTCTCATCTCAAACTTGAGAAGTTTGAATTTCTTGTGAAAAGACTGAGAGCAGCACGGGAGTGGTATAGTGGCTCTGAGGCAGACCAGCATTGAGCGACCACTGGGAGGAATTGGTCATGATCAGCGAGAAAGTTGAAGAATCTGAACGGCTTACGAACAAGATCAGGAGCTGGTGCGAGCTGAACCGTACAGCGAGAGTGATCAGAAACTCCACCTGCCTCAAACTTAGCAAAGGGTTAAGGAAAAGAAGTGAGCCAGTCACCATTTATGAAGGCACGATCAAGCTTCTTTCTAATCGGATCCTACTTTCACTGATTTCACCAAGTAAAGAGGGAGCCTGTGGAAGATAGATTCGATAGATTACAGTCACAGACAAGGCTCTAAAACTGCCTCATTCCTGATTGGTCTATCCGATAGTCCAAAGCACGAGAGTGTTCACTTGAGGACAAGATTTCGTTGTAATCTCCCATGGAATGGAGAGGTGACTATAAGCAGCTTGTGTAGCCCTGATTTCATCCCACAATACCGTTCTATCAGAAACAAAGTTGGTAGCGTACACAGCCGAAAAGAGGAAACTAGTAGTAGATTGGGAGACTTTTACTGCACACGTTATATCCTGAGCACTCTTAAACAGCAAGGTGATCTCAACTCCTTCTGTCCAACAAACCCAAATGCGACCTAGTCTATGATAATCGTAATTCGTAATAGCTTTCCGTCCTGGAAGTGATGAACTTAGAATACCCGAGTGTTCCTCTTGAGTAACCCGAGTTTCCAAAAGACATCCAAAAAGCGGCTTAGAAGCCAAAATCCATTTCTTTAGTGCCTCGTGTTTGCGTGGCTTATTGAACCCACGCATGTTCCAAGAAAAAAAGGACGTCATAGCCTCCGCGAGGAAGCCTTCCTCATTGCAGCTAAGCTACCAAACTTTTTAAGATCCCTGGGGCTCGCAGTCGGCTTTCTAGGAGTCTTAGGCCGATGCTTAGCTTAACATCAGCGGTAGCCTTACGTACCCGATTGCTCTCCTTTGCTACTGACTCAGCTTCACTGTCCACTAAATTAGCACTATCCTCTTCATCACATTGACTAGGCTCTACTTCCCCCTCTTCCAGTTCTCCTTTTTCATCTCTGCCTGCTAGTATCACAAACCGAGAAGGAGATGAATCCCCCTGCTGGTACCTCCCAATCCCAGTGTCCACTGATGTTGGAGCCGCAGAAGATTCTTTAATCGGTGAAGTACGACCATGACAAGTTACTTTCTCCCAATCATGGCCGTCAGCATCAAGGGGTTCATGATGCCCTACATCCCTTTACAAACCTGAGCATCCTCCTTAACAGCTTCTAAGTATAGACCAGAATCCTCCTCAGGAGTGGCTGTCAGAGGGCTTTTACGAACGGGAATTGTCTATTGTAGTTCAGCGATCAACTCTGATACGACCCCAAGGACAGAGCCATCAGTTGTAAGGCCAGCGGAGCCCACCTTCACACCATCACCCTTCTTGAGGATGCGGACTTCAGCATCTTTACACTCCTTCATGAGGTGTCCCCATTTGTGGCACATTGAACAGCGTGGAGGAAGCCATGGATATATCACTCCAACCTGCGCATCCACACCATCTTGGTCTTTGAAGCGAATATTGTCAATAAGCGGCTTGTGCAGGTTCACCTCGACTAACACATTAGCCAAGTCCAAACGAGTACACCGAAGCGTATTGGGATCGAAGCGTATTGGGATGCAGTTTCACAAACTTCCCTGATGTAGATGAGAGAAACCTTAGACCACACTGCGAATAAAGATGGCTGGGAACTCCCCTTAAATCAACCCATAATGGCATGGCTGACAAATCAGGCGGCGACTTAGCCATGTCTCGCCGTGTCTTCACCTTCTTACTCCGCTGGGGAACCTACTCTCCGCCGCAAGGTAAACTAATTGGAGAATTTCCTCAATCGTCAACTAATTGGAGTTGGAATTTGTTACATCAAACCAGAATTTGCTTTCTTATAGCAAAATCTGTTAAGAGGTTTGTCATATGCCATAATTTCTGAGATTGATTTTGTTTTCGTCTCTGAATAAGGAATTAGTATTTTTTTCTGTCTCTGAATTGAGTTTTTGTTCTGTCTCTGAATTGAGTTTATGTTTCTTTTTGAGTAACCGATTTAAGTTGAGTTTATGTTCTGAGATTGATTTCGGCATAGGAGGCATCGTATGTTCTGTCTAAGTCAGAAACTCTCATGCTATCTTGTAGTCTATGTATTCTTTAATCCTTAATCCTTACTAGATTTTGTCCCACTTAGAAACAGAACTTCATGGAACTGAACATTCCAAGCTGATAGATTTGATAATATATCCTTTCTTCTCTATATCAAAACCCTAATTCTGAGAGATAACACTAAAGTGCATAAACCCCTTGGTAAGTTCAAAAGACATGAGCAAATAATCAGAATTTGAATAGCACAATTCCTACTGTAACACATGGTGAATATGAAGCTTAAGTTGAAGCATTACATTGAATCTATATTGGCTCTTCAAGAATCTAGCCACAAGGCCGCTTTTGGTGTGTTCCTAACTTCGTGTTTTTATATATCCATGCTACGAGTTATATATATATATATATATCCATTTCTATCTTCTCTCCGCACTGTTTACATACATGATCCACACAAGTTACAACAAAAGAAGTTGGTAATCGTATGATAGAGTGACGGAAACATTATTATCACAAGTTCAAAACACCTATTGATGACCAGTTAAGCACCGGTTAATCACACCTACTAGCCTAGTTGTCAACCAACAAAATAGAACAACTTCAAGAAGTAAATTGCATGTTCGAGTAAGAAGTAAATACGTCCCATGTGATGTGATCGATGTACATAACATAGATATATCAAGAAGCTTATCTTGCTGCAAGCAATATCGAACTTGATTAATCATGCTAATCATATCCTATAGATTTGACTTATCTTTGTGAGGTTACTTTATTCTGTAGTAATTATAAATGGTTAATTAATAAGAAAATTCGGATAAAATATTAGAAAATGCTGATACATGGTTTGGGTTTTGTTCTAATCTTAAGCATGAATCCGCTATATGCATATGTTCCCTCTTTAGAACGACATAGCTTCAGAAGTACCATTTACTATGTCTATGTGAATTCAAGAGGAATCTATTCCTAAAAGAAATATTAGAAAATAATGTGTGTGTATAAGAACATTATACACTAGAAACTCTATAAATTAATACTCGATAGATTAATAAACATGATAAATTAATAAATTTCTCCGGTCCCGAGTTGGGCCGGTGTAAAATATGACACAATTCAATAAAATAATAAGACTTTTAAAAAACTCCTATGTAAAATTTGATCTCAATAATATAAAAAATTAATAATTATTATATAAAATATATATATATATATATATCTAAAATATCTAACTACTAAGATATGAATATCTCACACACCAAACATATATGGAAATTAAAAGAAAATAAAAATTTAAAACAATGTGGCAAGTATGAGAAAAAGTAAATAATAAAGTAAATATAGAAACATCAAAAGAAAAATTTAAGAAAATATATATAAAGCAAAGTTTTTATTTAATTTGAAGGAAAATTTAAAAGATTAGTAATAGTGAATTTTCTTTTTTTGAAAATATTATTTAGTCAAAATCTACTCCCTCTGTTCTCTAATAAGTGTCATTTTAGAGAAAAAAATTTGTTCACAAATAAGTGGTTCTCTCACAAATCAATGCAAAAATTAATGTATTTTTGTTCTTTTGACTCTTTAAATTATGTATATTGGCTTTATATTGGTTGAATTATATTGGATTTGATGATAAAACATGTTTTATTTTGAAAAAATAAAAATTTAATTATTTTTTAATTTGTGTGCATAAGACTAAAAAGACACTTATTTGATAACAGAGGGAGTATATATTAATAACTCTATAAATTAATAAAATATAAAAATTCCAACATTATTAACTTACAGACTTTCTACTGTATTAAAATAATCAGTGATTAACGGATCTTAACAGATATCTATAAGTTCAAATAATTCCTCCATTTTGAATCCCAGTTAATACCACTGATTTTTGCCATTTGTTGTCTAGGCAAATGGTGTCGCCAGGTCGACAACTCGACATCCATTGGCCATATACAATATATTTTGTGAAAAATTTGCAAATGGTATCGTATACTTATACAGTTATTATACCCTTGTTGTTAGTGGGTCGACTCAATAATGTTATTGTGAAGCCTCAACTGGCTCATCAAAACCTCCAAAAGGAACCAGGACTTTTAAGTTGGTAGAATTAGAAAAGGTTCAGTTGGAATATGACTCTTTTCATAGAGATTATTTGAATATTTCTGGATATAGATTTTATTGGATTACACTTTTTTCACAGTGTTGCGGTGGCAGCCACAAGCGGCACACTTGAGAGCGTCAAGCGAACCATCTTCACCGGAAGGCATGAACTCGCAGCAGCCGTCCACGGCGTGGCCACCGATGTTAACGGCATGGTTCTTTAAGCACTCTCTATACCTAATCTTCCCTCCAACGCCTTTTCTCCTTCCTCCTCCGCCGCCACCGCTAGATGTGGCTCCCTCCCCGCTCAGAGACTCGTAACCGCCGGGTGGGTTAACACCTGACATCTCCATTTCTTCTTCTTGCTCCTCAAAACTCATATTTTCTTTTTCTCTCTCTCTCTCTCTCTCTCTCTCTCTCTATTTCTTAATTCTTTAACATCGCAAGAGACATCCGTACAGTTGGATTGTAACTTAAAAACTATTCCGGAGACCAATAATTCATGAGAGTTAAAGAGTACAGAATGTGAAAAAAAATAAACTTAATTTAATCCAAATGAAAAGATGGAACAGTGAAGATAAGAAAGAGAGATGATGAGAGTGTGGTCAACAATTCTCAAGCCTGCCGCTTAATAAAAAGGAGCCTCAACTTTTTAATTTTTTGGTTTTAGCAGATTTTTCATAATATATATACTTATATAGTTTCATCAAAAATAAAAGACCCATAACACATTTCCAGAGGTTAATGAAAGTACAGTTTATACAGTAAATAAACAAAAGTTTGTTCCATTAATGTAAAGGGTAATTAAGTGGTGGGTTTGAGATTGACTAGGGATTAATAGGGGATTAGAAGGGCGCTTAATTAGGGTTTGATTTGTTCAAGGTACGTGTTGTGACTCTGGGGGACTTTAACTGCCAAAAGAGGGATCAAAGTGGAACTGTAGTGAAATCAAAAGTGCCTTTGGGAACTCACTGATCACAGCAAAATGGCAAAAGCATGAGACGTAGAGATAACGTGTCAAGAGTATAAACCCGGCCTTATATATGTATTTTTCATTATAAAAAAAATTCTTAAACTGGATCAACTCTTCAATAAGTGATATATACCGTAATATTTTTATCACAAAAATAAAATTTAACCATTCAAAATGTAGGCTAAATTTCATTATCATAACATTTATCCGTTCCAATAATTCGTGTGATTTGAAATGTAACCCTTTTTTGTTTATTTTGGATTTTGTAGGCATTGCTTATTGCTATGTATGTTGCAATGTTATATAAACATGTATCTAGGTATACTACTGTGAGCCAAAAATCTGTGGACCAACCGTTTGTAGACAGTTTTTGGACTTGTTAAGCGATTTGAGTTGTTTAAAGTTTAAACCCATCATTTCCAATGTATTTTGAAATATTACTGTTGGATAGCCTGCAACGGGACTAGAAAATAACAAAAATACAGTATTTAAACCGGTTCATTTAGGATAGCCATATATATTACAAGAAGTTATGTTTTTTGCTTTTAAGGAAATCACAATGCAACAAATTAATCTAAGTTCTTAAGCATCATTTATCCTTAAACCAGCATTCAAACGTGCACGTTTTATGTAAGGGATATTTTATTTCTGTACCCATGCATGTAAGATATATATACAGCTGGTCACCCAACTATTAATAATGTTTATGTATATATATTCACTTGTTTATACAAATTTACAAAACAATTTTATCTAATTATCTTACTTGTTCTTGTTTTCTTTAATCTTCAAAGATATTTCATGAACATGCATCAAACAAAGAAATTACAAACATGGTGATTTGAGTAAGCTGAATAGGTTTGGAAACAAATGCAAATACTCAAGATTCGAGAATAAGTGTAAGTGATACTCAAACTCAGATTCAAATAAAGATATATGGTATCAAAATAATAATTACTCCTACAGTTCTTTAACAAAATGAGACTGATTTGTGAAGAAGGAAAAAGACAAGAACAGTTATTATGTAGACGATCAAGTTGATAAAGAAGGGAGGAGCTGATTGTGGAAAAGGACAAATTACGAACGGCCCTTTGACGATGGAATAGTTCCACAAAAAGGTATGATGTGGCGTAGTCAGGAGAAAGTTGATGATGAATTTTGCAGGAACATCACGTGAATGTTTGTGTGGTTGTGTCTCACCTCATCTCTTGTCCTCATATCCATATAATATGTTGTATTTATAAGGTTTTCTCTAGAATATGAATGGTGGATCGAGCAATGCAAAATCCTCTAACTATGGTTTAGTGTTGGAAGTTAACCACTTAATCTTTCATCAATCAAACAAGCTTTAATTTCCATCTGTTTTCTATGCCCTTCTATGCTCTGCTTCTTACGGCTGCCTTTCATTAATTTAAGTTTCGCATTTCAACTATAAAAAAATAAGTATTCTAGCCGATAGTGTTAAATTGTTAGTGTTCTTGTGTTGTATTATACTATTATTATCCGAAACTAAACTCATATAATGCATACTGCTTCTAATTAAGAAGGAAGAAATGAATGGTGACAAAGACTATTTATTTGACTCTTACTTTATATTCATCAAACATATTTGTTACACATTTACTTTTCAGTGTTTTTATGTGGCCTAGAGTGTTTCCAGTCCGTGGCAATTTTACCGGTGGCCTCGTCTGTAGTTATGTCACAGTTCTCTTGTAGTAGTATCTTCTCATGACTCCGTAATCGACGTGGGAAAACTTCCTCTTTTTACACTGAGCTTTTCTTCACTCTCCTGTTTTTTCCTCTTTATCTCTTATACGTAAACTTAACGAACAAAAAAATTGTGACATCATTAATGGTATAAAGACAAAGTCCATATTCGACTACGGTATTGATGAACGTTGGTTGAACAATGATGATGCATAGGAGTGAAGAAAATTGAAGAAACGTTCGGTTGTGAATGAATGCTCGTTCTTTCAATTCAACTTCATCTCCAGACTCCACACTATTTAAATTTCAAGTGATATATGGATAAAACACTTGTGTACTTACAATGTTAGTTATGACATACGCATGCATTTATAAAGTTGAACTGGATGAAGATGTAATCCTCTTAAGGAAGATATTAAAGGTAGAATCTCTATCCAACATGCTTATCCTCACATAACTCTGGTCATCTCCGAAGTACTTACCACTTTTCGTTATAATCTTCTTCTTCTCTCTCAGAAACCTCTCACAATCCACAATCCCTTCTTCACACTTTAACCATGCAAAAGCTACCAAATATACACCAAACGAAATGAGAAAAAAAAGAGAGGTGTTGTTATCATTGTCTTTGTTTTTCTTCCAACATACCTGGTTGTGACTCAAAGACCTTGCCAAGGAAATTGCAGCGTTGAGAGGCGAAATCAGGAACGGTGAAACGTTTACTATCCTTTGATGCTTGTTTCAGTAGCTTCCACCTCTTAGACATGGCATCATAACTATGCCCAAAAAAGGATTTGGCAGTTTCACTATCACAACTGTCTGACACAACCTTTAGAACTTTGGCTGCTCGAAGCTGCGAGTCTTTTGAAACCCCAATCGTGTTGAGTTCTATGTACTCTGTCATTTTCCTCGCCGTCTCTCTATCTTTCACCAAAGCCCATCTGCCAAAATGTAACGTTTATTAAGAAACACTTCCTTGTTGTATTGTTCCCACAAATTAAGCAAACAAGATAATGTACCCAATCCGCATCCCTGCATGGCCAGTGCTCTTTGAAGCTGTGAAGAGCATTACATCATGATCAGCTTTTGAAGTTATTGGCGTATACTGCGGCCAGTAGTACGCCAAATCATGGATCAATATACCTTCACTACTACTGTTCACTACCGATTGTCTCAAGAATCCATCAGGATTGTTTGGAGATGTAACAAGCTCAATGTATGGACCTTCTTCCTTATATGTCTTTGCATCTCCCCCCCATCGATACAAACCCGATTTGAGATAGTCTGTAATCAACGGGTACGACTGAAGCCAAACCAGTTTAAACATGTTAGATACATCCACAAGGAAATCAAGAAAAGCTAGTAATTAAGCAACTCATGGCACTCACACTATAGTATGGTGAAGCTGAGACGACATTAATGGGACCAGAGTGATCGTGTGGGGAGAGAGCATAGAGAGCAGCTTGACACAACTGTGTAGAGCCAGTGCCAACAACAATGAAGCGGTCTTGCGTTACAGCGTTCCCAACAATCTGATGCACTCTTACAATCTCTTTGCCAAGCTCCGGTTCAAGAAACCAACAAAGGTTGTTGTTGTTATCTGAAAAATAGCTGAGAGATTGCCATCCAGGTATAACCATTGTTGTAGCCTCCCCTGTTTCTTGCCAGTATCTCTCATACACTGTTGGATCGCCACTGCGTATAGTAGCCACATCAATGTTAGCTATACGTTAATTATGTCTATAACGTGACAAGAATATTTAAATAATTGGTGGGTTGGGTGTTTTTTAATGGAGAACATAAAACATCACCTTCCTGTTTCTGAAACAGCAAAGAACATGGTCAAGCAGATCAACAAAGTAGTCCTTTAGATTCTCTCAAAAGACCAAGATATATTTATCTATGCATGTATGCAGAATCATGTCCACCAAAATGTGGGCCCTCTTTGCTTTTGTTTTTGTTTACATATTTTGTAAGTTTTCTTCTTTAACAATGGAATTGTAGAGAATCAAAAGAGTTTGTCTCAATTTTAAAATTTTCAAATTTTCAACCCATTGGCTATCACTAACTAAACTAAATTAATTGCGAGCATCCAAAAAAGAACATCACTGATTAATATAATCCTCCTTCCTCTAACAAAACTTCACGTACATACCAAATCCCTATCAGAACAAAAAAGTCACTCTCTTCTTTACTTTCATTCACACAAAAATGGCCCATTTCCAATTTATTTAAACACTTAAACAATTGACATTTATGACCAGCCTATAAATTCCCAAGAAAGAAATAAAATGCACCACAAAGATCATATGCAGAGATTTTTGTTTTGCTTTGTTTGAGGAGTCACAAGGAAATAAATAACAGAATCAAATATTCAAACTAGCGGCGTACGTTAAGGAACACAAGCATGCATACACAGAACCAGGACAGAATTCGCAGCAAACTATTTGCATTACATATTGTTAGAAAATATAGTCGACTAGGCAAGTCAATAAGGACGATCATCACAACCCCTCTTCTGAGAGCATGATCAACGCGTGATGCTTACCCGTTCTTAACTTGAATGATGATTATGGCATTAATTAAATCTTGGAGCTTCTTGACTTACGTGCTTAAAAGGATAATCTCAGATTCCTTGCTAATAACCAGTGACTTTCAAAGCAATTAAGTATATGGGATAACCGGATAAGGGAGAAATATGTCTAATGGATTCTAGATGATACGCAATTAATACACATTTATTAATCTGACAACACCAATAAAGAATTAACTAGGAATCAAAAATCAAACCTTACTGATAAGACAAGAACTTTATTTTTCAAATTTTGCAATCAAGAACACATAGAAGATAGAAATAAAGAATGCAAAAGTAGAAACTTACAATTTAAGATTGAGAATCCTGCCGTCGTCTTCTTCAACCTCGCTATACTTGCAAGATGCTGAAGACAACAAAGAAGATCCTGAGACCGCCGTTCTATCCAAAGAATTTCCACCTGAACTCTTAAAAATCTTTAGAATCAAGCTGAAGTTTACGGCCAATGAGAGGACCAACATATTCCTCCATGACAAAATCCTCGGAGCTTGTTCCATTTTCTCTCCAAACTAAAAGACAAAACCAGGTAAGAAAAATATCCAAGATCTTAAAGAAGAAGAGAACCGCGAGAAACAGAGTGGATAGCTGGAAAAATAACTCTTTATGGCAGGTAGCGAAAAAAGAGAATGGAAACAAGTGGGTTTTTTGTAGCTGTCCAAAGAGACACAACCTTTTATGACAAAGAAATCTGAATGTTATAGGAAATTTGAAAGAGATTAAAATAACCCTTTGAAGAATCTCAAGAGATAAAGCTGCAAGCCTTCTTCACAAGGTAATGGCAACAAAAGTTGAAAGTGCCAAAAAAATAAAGGACAAAGACAAAGTAGATCCAAAAGGTGGAAGAACAAACCCCAAATTTCTCGAGCCAATGGGTCGCTGGGAAGCTTTATATGTGAGCTGAAAAAGAAGAATGTGTAATTTTGTCGAAGCTCTTTGTTTCCATCGAGAAAAATATGGTTTTTCTTTTTTTGTTGCCTTTTGCGTGATGAGTTTCAACTTTTTTTCTGCTTGGTGATGGAAAACATTGGAAACGACAGTACATGAACTGAGTGAGACACTGAATTTATCTAGGGACTCTGTTTACTACAAGACTTGTGAATGGTTATGTGTGTCACACTTTCTAGATCTACGTCACTTCTCAGTATTCAAGTCTAATCTGACTTAAATATATCATATACTATAATTTGTTTAGTATTTGAGAGATCATTTCGTTTGTTGAAGGTTATTATTGATGATGTGTTTAGTATTTGAGAGATCATTTCACTTTTGGTTTGATTTGAATTTATATTTGAGAATTTTACTTGATGACTAAGTATTTCTATGTGAGAAATTGTAAAACGCAAAATAATGATTAAAAAATGCAACTTAAAACATTTTACTATATGGTATGCAAATAAATTCTTTATTATTTTTGGTCAGCAGAACTAATTGGCTTTTACTTCATCATTTTGTTTTTCTTTTCGATATGGTCACATTCATTTACAAATTACAGGAAAACAAATAAAAATAAGAACAAAAAAAGCTGAGTAAAACCGTGCAGCCCTGAACTTCGACGCTTTCGTCTTTCAACCAATCCGTTTGGACGTAAGCTTCACTTGGTATTCGTTTTTCTCCACAGATCCCTCGTTTTCTCCTTCATCTTCCTTCTTCGTTCCCATCAATCACCCAGGAGAACATCCGATCTGCTCCTCCTTTTGGATTCTCACGGTATCTAGGGTTTGCGAGGAGCCCCCTCGAAGGAGATATTCTAATTTTCGTTTTGGTCAGTTGTTTCTCTACATCGCTCCTCTTTATTTCGTTGATTTTGTTTTCCGGAGGAATTTCCGTGGTGTATTGAATGCGGCGAGTGACGAGTTTGTATAAATTTCGACTAAAAAGTCTGCGACCCTTGTTGAAGTGATTGGGTCCTTTTTTGTAGAGCCTGATTGACATTGGTGGATACATTTGTGTGTCTAATAGGTCGTTGATTGACGGAATACTGGCGAGATTTCTAAAATTTTGTGAACATGTGTATGTATCTTGGTTTTTAGGAATGTGGTCAATTTAGTCTGGGAAGATTTATGTAGCAATTTGATTGTTGAACATCGTCTGTTTCTGGAAATTGATGGGTGTTTGCAATTTACTTAGCTTCTTCTTTCTTTTGAGATGGTAATTTTTAGAAACTTTTGGAATTTATCGCTCCGGATTCTTCTAGCAGATGGGTAATTAGACTTTGAGTTCGTGTTGGGGAACTTGTATGGGCAGTCTAATTTCTGCAGCCATTCATTTTTCTCAACATTTCATAGTCCGAGTTCTTCTATCTCTGCATTTAGCTCAGTGGATATATGTCTACATCGAATTTGTTTGCTTTCTTGTATAAAATGGTACTCTTTGCTTCTAAGTTACACTATAGAGGGATTCTAATGGTGAATGTCAATTCCTTTTTTTTTTTTATATCAATAGTTCTTCAGAGTCAGCTTGATTTTAAGCTTGAAAAATCTAATTCTGCACGTTCCTTACAGGTTTCAAGAGGTGTTGGTGGATCCTCTAACTGCTTAATAATGACCTCTAATACCACCGGAGAGCGAAGGTTTCTGTTCTTTTCTTTATGGTTTATCTTTGTCATGAACTTTTCTATGTTTTAATTCTGGTTTGTGGCTATGTTTTTTTTGTCAAAATAGAGTGGCTTTTTATAATTTTGCCTCTTTTCGTGATCCCTGCATGATTTCTCTTAATATGAATCACTTGTTTTCAGTTTGCTGTATATTCCAGTTACTGTTAAGATACAATCACTATATGTGCCTGGGTTGTAGAAGGGAACTCTGTGTTTAGATTTCCTTTCTTTGAAAAGAGCTTGCTTACTCGTCTCGTCTAACATCATTGCTTTAACAACAAATTACATTTGCTGGATAAATTAGCAGATGGGGTACTACAAGAAGAAGTGGCATGACTATATTGGGAAAGGTTGCTGTTCCAAAACCGATTAACTTACCAAGCCAAAGGTATATGAGCGCACAATTACATTTAGTTGTAA